GAATTAAGTTTTTTTTAACATTCTGTTATTAATAGAAATTTTTGGATTTTTTTTTTGCTTTTTAAAAATTTCTTAAACTCGTAATACTGACATTAAGAAAACAAAACATTCAGTGAAGGCATTGGCATTTAATTGGTATTTGTCCGCGAGTCTGTCTCCATCTAAAGTGACCCTGACATTTACTCAAATGCATTTTGCATATTATTTCCAGTTACTGTAAAGAAACTATCACAATATTAGCAAAATGATTAATTTAATTTTAAACGTTAAAATATTTTTATCAGGAATAATGAAAAATAAAATAAACTGCTCTACTTTACCGACTGAAAAACCAATTTTCTTTAACGTTAGTCGATAAAGTAAATAATCCTTTTTAGAATTATTTTAGAATTTCACAAGTTTTAAATCATGAAAAAATGGTGTATTCTTGTTACAATTTGTATATACAACAATTTTTATTTTAGCTTTGCAAGCAAGTTAAGAAACTTTAATTTTTTTTCTCTCATTTCTTGATATTATGCGTTTACTTTCTCTTTATAATTCTTTTAATTTATATTTATTAAATAAATAATGAATAGCTATTTAATAATTTTAAAAATGTGAATTTCACAGTAAAATGGAATGTTAATTCTCTATACTAAAGTGTGAAATTCATTACTGTCTGAGGTTGGATTAATCACAACCTTCGTTTACCTTTTGCAGCCACGATTATCTTCGTTTTTTTATGAGATTAAAATCTTGTGGCAGTAAAGTGTGTCTGATGACTTTCGTAAATATATGTACACAACATGGCAATTGTATATTCCATAATAGTGTTAAATTTTTATTTTATTTTTTAACAATATTGTTTATTTTTCAAAAAAAAAAAAAAATAATAACAATGGAAATTCTTTCCATAATGCGAATTTCTCAATTCCTTCTAAATCAATAGAATCCAATTTAGAGAATTTTTCAACTTCATTTGAAATGTGTTTCTTTACCTACAGTCGATATTTAGAATAATTTTTTGCCAAATCAACTTTTAGGTGATTTCTATCATATTAATTTGTATATTTTTTCCCTCTAATCAGTTTTATAGAACTTCAGTTTCTGCATTACCAACCAATGTTTAAGAAAGGGCCATCTGTTTTACCTACAGTCGGTAATTATTTTAGTTTTTTCTTTATTTCAGACTGTTTTGTGATTTCTTACATTAATAAATTAGTAAATATATATAATTTTCCTCGATATTAATTTTAAAAAAATAATGTTTATTTTTTCGAATAGTTGTAGTTTTCTATTTTTTTAAAATAATGAAAGACAAGCATTCAATACGGCCCTGCAGTGATTCGAAAAAAAAAAAAATTAAAAAAAATGAGTGTCCAAAGTAGCACGCAGGTGATTTCTACGTCTCTCGAAAACTGCTACCAATCTCTACTCTTCGTGCTCATACACGTATATTTTATATGTGTGATTTTACACATATTTGTACAAGAGCAAAACGATCCTCGGTACACACGCCGATTCAGGTTTCAAATATTGATATGCTACTTCCGTTTTCTTTTATTTGTCCCATAGGACAAGTTACTTTATACTTTGTATGCGTTCAATTTAAATCGAAAACTTTCTTCAATAAATTTATATAGCGATAATATAAAATTTTCAAAGCTAAAAATAACTAAAAAAATTGTTTATTATTTAATTTTAAATTAAAGAACGAATTTTATTAAATATTATTCAAATATATTTTTCGTTTATTCCAATTCTTGTAAAATAGGAAAAAATTTGTTTTTAGATAAAACAGTTTTTTTGATAAAAAATTCGTGCTTCAAAAATTAAAGTTTTTCGGGGTTTTAAAATAACACTAAAAACAGTGCGATTTGCGGCTAAGCGATTTAATTCAATCAATTCATTACCTAATGTTCTTTTTTTAAACTATTTAAATGCAAGGTTTTATTATTATTTTTGATTCGAGAACGTCGAAGGTAGGCGTGAATATTTTTTTTTTTTTTTTAATAAAGGAGCAGCACTCCAAGGCGTATCGGGATCAATGACACGCCCGCAGATTCTTGAGGCATCCTCCACGACCTATACGTATACATATAGGTATATATATATATAGGTACTGGACAGAATTCCAACAACCTTCCCCGACTTCCCAGCAGGACCTACTGGTTTCTATTTATACACACTACCAGTGAAGTTGTGCTCTTCACTGTAATCCTTGAAGCACGCAATTTTGAAAAACTTGCTTTCAACCTGTTTAACAGATTTTTATTTACCCCAAACTTTTATTGAGACGAAAATTCATATTCTCATATAGTGTGTAAGATTTCAGTTATTTCGGAGTAAGTAAACAAATTGCAATGAAACTCACAGGAATTTTAATCATACATATAAAAAGAAATGTTTCCACCAAATATTAAGTCAAAATATTCACTAATTTTTGAGATTTCGAAATTTTAAAATCGTCGTTTCTCCTTTCTATTTTAACCAAATCACTTAATTTTCTTTTTAAATTCAGCTTAAAATAAAGAAAAAAATTCGTTTATATTAGGGTAAGTGCACCAATTACGGCGCGTTCATAAAAAATAACTATTATTACTCCCTCACAGCACCGAAACTTTCCCAAAGATTTCCTAAAGATTTATTTGAAATGTTCCGAATATTTAATTACAATGTTTAGTGAAAATTGTGTAAAGATTTAAATGTCCTGATTAAATAAATGTTTAGTGTAAACATTTCCTGAACATTTATTTGAGTGCGGGACATTTAAATCTTTACACAATCTTCACTAAATATTGCAATTAAATATTCCGAACATTTCAAATAAATCTTTAGGAAATCTTTAGGAAAGTTTCGATTATATTCAATATAACGATTGCAAAATGATTTAAAAACTATACTATACTATAATAAAATTTAAAAATATACTTTAAAAATTAAAACGACTTGAATCGGAAATTTCCTTTTAAGAATGCGGATTCATTATCTAGCTCCCAACCGATTCAAAAACAAGTGAATAGGTTTTTATTTCCTGGGTACAAACAAAATAATTCCAAAATCCACAGGAAAATCTCAAATTTGTTTTGAATTTTGGTTTAATTTTTTTCAAACGCACCGTTAAATATTTACCTAACAAGTCGATTCGATTTACAAAAGTTATTGTGTTTACGGACAGACATACAGACAGATACTTTCGCCGGACCATGATTTTTCGATTCAGGGGCATCTCAAAACGTGAAGATTTCATGGAAATAGAAAAAGTCAATTTTCGACCAATCATAATACCTTCTCATGTAATGAGAATGTAGAAATGTAATATTTTTTACACTCAAATCTCCCTATATTACGACTTTCTATATAACGAGCACTCCCTGCTTAAAAAGCTGGATAGAAATGGAAAGAAATAAATTTCTTTCCATTTCAATCCTATTTTTGAATCCGAAATTTTCAACAGTTTCTTTAAGATTCTATCAACTAAGTTTGATCAAAATCAATCATTTTTTAATCCTAAAATTGTCCCTTGCTGTTCCACATTATTATTAATTATTATTATTATTAACTATAATAATTTCCGTATTCATTCATTCCGTCTGTTCACACTTGAAGTTAGTCGTATTTTGTTCCTTTTGTTTTTCTAAAATTTTGACAATTCTTGATTTCGTAATATTTTATTGTTAACGCGACGGATATTTTTATTCATCGTCATTAATTAAGTCATATACTAAGTGACAGTTTAAAGTAAAAAAAAATATTGTTCATTGTGTGCAGCACCAGTATATTTCGTACTTGGTATTCATTATTATTTATTATATATTATTATTCATAAATTTATTATTATTAATTTGTTTTTATTATTAATTATTAAATTGTTATATTTTTTATCTGTAAACAATATAAAAACAGTTTGCTTTTTTAAAAAGTTTTCAATTTGTTTTTAATTTTTAATTTAAGTTTAAAGTTTAAAACATTACAAAGTTTTTTTTAGGTTTTATTTTTTCAAAATTTTTAAATATTTTTTAATTGCTTAATACTTTTTAAAATATAATTAATCATTTTCACTTTATTTAATTTTCTTTTTTTATTACATAATTTTTTAATATTTATTAATTATCAGTTAATTAAATTTTTTTGAAAAAAACATAAATTTAAAATTTTCATTTGCAACGAAATATTTATAAAAAATACAAAAAAATATTTAGCAAAACTAATTTTTTGTAATTTCAAAGATTATAAAAAATCATCGAACATTGACTTTATCAAAAATATTTATTTCTAAAATTTTAATATTTATATTTTAAAATTTTTACTTAAAAATCTTATTTTTTTACTATATCAATTCACAAAAAAATTATCTTACTCGTTATATACATTTTATCAATAAGAAAATCCATTCGTCAGTAATATCTTTTATCCCAACAATACTAGAATTGATTTATCAACATTTACACCGCCAATTGTAACTATTGGTTTTAATTTATGTTTTCCTTATCATCACTTTTTTGATAGATTTTTCCTTGGGTTTTCATTGTTGTTACCGTCAACAATCGAACTAATAGTTTTACAAATTAATTAAATTTAAAAATTCACATTTTAATGTATTTCTTAATAGTTTAATATATAATTTAATATTCCGAATTATCCAGTTAAAAGAAATTATAGATTGTTTCATATGCATATATATATAATAAGAAAAAGGGGTTATGTTTACAAATGTTACAGTTTATATATGAATGACAAATTTTAGTTCGATTTTTACAAACTAAAAGAATAATTAAAATTACTTATTGATAGGAATTCACAGTAGATAAATAACTGATGAATAACAAATATAACTGAATGAGCAAAGTTGGGAAACGACGCGCCAAAAGTAAATAGAGCTTATAAGGCCGTTCCAACAATAATAATATTTCAACGCAAGACAATGAATGAACGTTCCTTTATCCGAATTGACGTTTTTAGTGGAGGCGCTGCGCTACTATTGATAAAGCGGTTGATTTTTCTCTCAGTCAAGTTTCGCATCTACTATTTTGCTAAAATAAATTCTTTTCTCAATTTTTCCTTTCTATATACTTTCTGTTGTTCGTTGCTTTTTAGAGTTCTGACAGTCGGTTAACCTAAGTTTTATTCAGTTGTTTTTTTGGCTTTTTTGCGGCATTTAAAGTTTGTAGATAAATTATATTCAACTAATTATAGAAAAGTTGAAAACAATAAATAATGACTGAAGCGATGCAAGAAATTTTTAATTCTTTCCAAGATTATCTAACCAATGAACAGGATTTACGAGAGGTAATTATTAATATATTGTTTTTATTTTATTTTAAGGTTATGTCAATTCTGTTATTTTGCAATTAAATTGTTTCCACTTTTATTCAATATTTTTAATAACAACTGATTAACATTAAGAGTTTCTTGCACATTTTTTTTATTACGTATTAAATATTTTATTACTTATTTAAAAGCCTTATTCTTTAGATACTATTTTTATTATTAATATATTTATTTTATTCACCACCAAAGGACTTTGTATTTTTTGAAAAAAATAAGATCAAAAAAATTTTTATTGTTTCGGAGCCGATAATCAACACTAAATATATTATTAATAATAATAATGAGGACGTTAATGAAATATTGATATTTTTGTTATTATTTATTTTTTATTTCCTTTATATTTTCTTTATTTATAAATTTGAATGCTTCGAAAAAATTGTGTATGGCATAAGGAAAAAAAAAATTTATTTGATTAAAATAATTGGTTAGTTTATTATCAAATAAATATTTACTTGAACCAAGTAATTTTTATTTGACTTAAATAAACTCTATTTGGAACAATAATTTTTGCATTTGAAACAAATACCATTTAATTGACTCAAATAAAAATTATTTCATTCAAGTAAATATTTATTTGATAATAAAGTAACCGATTATTTGAATCAAATAAATTTTTTTTTCTGTACAATATACACATTTTAAGATACAAATTTTTCTAGAATTAATTATTAATTTATTTATTTAATTATAATGTACGGGCTTACAAGAAAAGAGAATAAAAATGCAAAAAAAATTTTACAAATTCAATTGTGTTTCATTTAAAATAATAATTTTTCTCAAATCATTTTTTTACAACAGGAAATTCGTAAAACTGTAAAAGAAATTGAAAAAACCGGAAGAGAAATTCTGATGATTCTTCAGAATATTCACAATGAAAATAAAGAAGAAAATATAAGTAAGTTTTTACAACAGAAAAACTAAATTATATACAAAATTTTATGGCTTATGAAAAAAAAAAAAATTTCTTTTTTCAGTCGTCTCTCAATATTGTGCCAAAGCTCGCGAATTATTTGAAAATGTTCGTACAAATTATGCAAAATTGGCAGAAATTGTACCAAAGGATCAATATTACAGATATCACGATCAGTGGCGAATAGCAACACAGAGACATTGTTTTCTCGCTGCGCTTACTGTTTATTTGGAGATTAAAGTTCTTGTCACTAAAGATACTGTCGCCGAAATTATCGGAGGTAAATTAAAGAAATTTCTACAAAAACAAATCTATAACATTATTAAAAATCTTTTAAAATGTTTTTTTCGGTTTCTTTCCCCAAAAGTAGTGATTAACAATTTTGATGAAATAATTTTATAAATCAAATGAATTTAAACTAAAAATACAGAAATTTAAAAAACGAATTGATTTAAATTAATAGAAAAATATTTTAAACTCAAAAATGTAAGAGAAAAAGTTTTAATGAAAATGATAATTTTATTATACAATAATATATTAAGTAATTATAAAATTATTATTATTATTATTATTATTATCATTATATTTATAATATAATATTTTTAGTTAAATCAAAAGCACAAGATGGATTTCATCTCGACGTTGAAGACTTTCTAATGGGTTTACTTCAATTAGCTTCAGAATTGGTGAAATAACTTGATTAATTCATTTACTAAATAATTATATTTGAAATTGTCTAATTTTTTTTTTTTTTAACTCTTCATTAGGTTCGTTTCGCAGTGAATAGCGTAACAAACGGTGATTTCAATCGACCTGTGGAAATTGCTCGCTTCGTCAGCGAATTGAACGCTGGATTTCGTCTCTTGAACTTGAAGAATGATTCTCTTCGTAAACGTTACGATGCTCTAAAATATGATGTAAAGAAAATTGAGGAAATCGTTTACGATCTAAGAATTCGTGGACTGAAACCAGAAAATGTAGTTGAAGCTCCTCCTCAGGAAATGGAGTAACTTTTTTTTCAAATTTCAAGTTTAATTTTTCACATGAAACTTTTTCTTGATATTGTATTAAAGTCTGATCATTCTAATTTTTCACATCGATAGATTGTAAGTTGTCTTCGAAGGATTAAAAAAAAAAGAAACATAAATTGCGAGAAATAATTTCTAAATGTCAATTTTTTTTCTTTATTTTTTTACATTTTTGTATGAAAAACTTGCCTTTTTTAATACCAAATTGGTATAAAAGGTATACAATTAAGACAATGGTACTACAATAATTTCTATATATTTAATGAATAAGAATTATATTAAGTAATATAAATTTTCCTATAAAGTTCAATATTATTTTGACAATGGAAATTATCGTAGTTTAGGTAGCAACAGATAAAAGTTGTATTTAAATGAAAAATGTTACATTGTCTAGTCTTTCAGGTTTTAAACTTGAAGTAAAGATATTTTTACAAAAGAGACTATAATTTCTAAAATAAATACCAGTTTTAGCAAAAAAAAAAAAAACTGTCTATTAATTTGAAAATTCATTTCAGTTTGCTACCATCGCTAACAAGTTTTTACACAGGCCCACTCCTTCTAAATACAATTAAGTAATTTATTTATTTATTGAACAAATTCAACAGTCTTCAAAATCAATAACAGGATTATCATAGTACAAAATTGTAATTATTAGTAATTATGGCTATAATATGTTATATGTAAAAAAAATAATTATTATGGCACCGGATCCTCTTTATAGTATTCAACAACAGCAGACAAGAATGAACTCATCGTTTGGTTAAATATATCTAAAGTTGTAGTACAATTAGAATGAATTGTATTAAAAGTATCACAGATTCTTAATAAGTAGATAAGGATCATTACAAAAATTACTTGTTTAAACAAATTAGTTTGTATTTAATAGTTTAAAAATTGAAAAATTAACTGATAAATAAAAAACCCCGCACCATTTACATGGGAATTTGGGGTCCGGTGAAATTTTCTGCAACTTTGAACTTTTGTAGTTTTTGACCTCCTGAACAAAAAATGTAAATGGCAAAATTCCAAAAACTGGACAGATTTTTTAAAAATTGAGGTTTAAGTTTAAAAAATAGTGTTAAAAGCGAAAAAAATTCAAAAATGAGTAAAACCAAAAGAACTAAACAAACTTTCTTAAAACTCGTTAAAAAAATAGTTTTTAAACCTTTTTTCGCCAGTCTGCATCCGCTATTTTGGATTTTGAAAAACTATCATCAAATTCGTAATCAGCGACCCCGAAAACCCCCGAGTAACGAGATTTAAGGAAATTCAATGTATTTAAAAAAATCGTCGGCTATTTTGGATTTTCAAAAATTCACATCAAATTCGTAATCAGCGACTCCGAAAACCCCCGTGTAGCGAGTTTTAAGAAAGTTTGTTTAGTTCTTTTGGTTTTACTCATTTTTGAATTTTTTTCGCTTTTAACACTATTTTTTAAACTTAAACCTCAATTTTTAAAAAATATGTCCATTTTTTGGAATTTTGCCATTTACATTTTTTTGTTCAGGAGGTCAAAAACTACAAAAGTTCAAAGTTGCAGAAAATTTCACCGGACCCCAAATTCCCATGTAAATGGTGCGGGGTTCTTTAAAATTTAAGAAAATAAAAAATTTTCAAGAAATGGAAAGAAAAATAGATAATTTTAGGAATTCCAATTAATAGAATTTAAAGATAATAATTTGAAAAAGAATAAAAAACGCGAGAAATTTATAAATTTTTAGAATAAAAGGAGAAATTGCGGCAAAGTTGAAGTTGAGTTAATTATGGCATTTTTTTCAGTCTTGCGCGTTTTGGCGTTGATGACGTCACTTCCTTTTATGAAAGAAAACTTGAGATAAAAGTTGTTTCATTTCTCCATCCAAGATTTTTTTTAAAATCTTCAATGACTGTTCTTATATTTTGTCCAAGGCCGGCTGAAAATTAAAATTTTAATACAAATATCAACAAAAAAAATTGCCCTTTATTTTGTAAAAAATAAAGTTTTTTTTTTTAATAAAAGAAACCAAAATATTTTTTGCAAGATGAAAAATTTTATTTATTTTTGTAAAAAGATTAACTGGACTGAAAAAATTATTTGATTGAAATAATCGGTTATTATTTAAAATTTATTTTTAAAAAAAGTGCCTCGCCTCGAAAATAACTTTTTGTTAGCTCCTTGTCTAAAGGAAATGTGTCTGATCATTCGCACCATGCGGCTTGAAAAAGTGTTTCCCTGACTGGATGAGGATCCCATGATGATTAATAATAATTGTCCAAGGTATGCTGCGCCATTCTCTACAAATAAATATCAAGTAAATAATTTTGTATTCTCTTTTTTGTTTTATTTATTTATTCTAATTAAAAATTTTATTTGGTTTGGCCATTTTTTATATTTTGTGGTAGACTTTGGCTTCTCGTCAACTACCGCACCCTGCTGTAGTGAAAATTTAGTGACTTTATTGTTAAAATTAAAATTTACTATAAAGTTACTAAATTTTCACTAGAGCAGGATGCGGTAGTTGACGAGAATTATGACAAATGACGAGTGGAGACAATGGCAATATTCCGTCCAATTCCGTCTAACCTAGATAAAGAGACAATCGGAGAAGAACGCGAGAAATGTTTAAAGCTTAAGTCCTGAGCAGAATATAAACGTAATCGTAATTGCAATGGTAAATGGAAGAATGGGTTAGAGAAGGATTGTCATATATTATTGTTCTTCTCTTACTAATTCTTCAGTTTGCGATTGCGATTACGATTGCGGTTACGTTTCTATTGTGTGCTTAGGCCTTTAGGAAGGAAGATAAGTGTCTTAAGAGGATTGAAGAGAAGATCGGAATGATAGGAAAGTCTTGCGAAGTCCAGAAGAATGTCAACATGACTATTAAGGATGGATTTAAGACTCTTTAGAATCTTGTTAGTGAGGCGAAGACAAAGCACGTCCTAGTTGATAATGGAGATAGCAACCTTGGTGGAACTACAGGCTCTGGGAGTCCAGAAAGGACTCTCCGCCGTGGCGAAAAAGAAGCAAGAGAAGACACCTCTTGTCAAAAGACTGCGCAGGTGACGGTAGCACCAAATCCCAAGCATACCAGTAAGAAGAAAGCGACGAGTGGATCAACTTTGTAGATTCTGCAATGGTCATCAGAGTCGCAACAGGAACAACGTATGCTAACGAACTGAGCAAACTTCGGAGGAACAAAATCCGGACGTCAGCCACACGCAGGTCGCCGGTGCAAGACCTACAAGAAAGAAAGATTTGCTGATCAAAATCGGAGGAGATTCCAATAAGGAGGCATTTACTGCTGAGGTCAACAAAGCGGTTGGAAGCATGGGAAGGTGTAGACTGTAGATCGTCAAGTTACACTGGATCCGCGACCTGGATTGCCTTACCTAGGAAGAAGAGATCCACCAGGCCTTGACGAAAGTGCTCCAGAAGCCAGGAAGGTGACGGTTCTAGGACCCAATCGATGAAGAATGAAGCTCGCGATTCTAGTCACCGACTCAGAGAAGGTGGGCAGGCTGAAAAAATTGGGACGCATAAGGATTGGCTTTACGTGTTGCGCAATATGGCGTGCAGCCATATAAGAAGAATTTGTAAGGCAATTGCCTTACAATGGTATGTCCATTAATGGACATACCGACTGCGTGCTTCAAGTGCGGTGAAGTCGATCATAAGTATGCAAACTGCAGAAGTAGCTCAAGTTGCTTCTTATGTAGAGAAAATTATGTCGATAAAGCGAACATCAGCCATGTCACAGGCAGCGGAGGATGCGGAGTCTTCAGGATGTTTCTTGAGGAGACCAAGAAAACTCTCGCAACAACGAAGAATAAATAGACCAGAAGGATCGGCAACGGCACGAATTGCGAGATCCCAGCCCTACTGAAAATCCCTGTACAAGATCTTGTACAATTTCCTGTACAGGATCAGCAACTGAACTTGTACAAGATCTTGTACAATTTCCTGTACAGGATCAGCAACTGAACTTGTACAAGTTCTGACCAGTTCCTGTACAGGAAAATGCATACGAATTTGGAACAAGTTCATGTGTGAGATCTTGTACAAGATCTGGTGCAAGATCTTGTACAAGAAAGATGCTTGTACAAGAAAATGTTCATGTACAATTTCATGTATAAGTACTTGTACATGAACACGTCCATGTTCTTGCACAAGTTAATTCATGTTTTTCTTTACTAAAAATTAAAAACTTCAAAGGCTGCGCAATAGTTTACTTTAACCTTTACAGCTGCGCAATAGTTTTTAGCATGCATGAGTTACGAATCTTAGTGGTTAAATATTATCAAAATCTCAAATTTTATTAAAAAAAAAAATTTTACAACTATACATGTGCAAGAACATGAACGTGTTCATGTACAAGTACTTATACATGAAATTATACAAGATCATGTACATTTTCTTGTACAAGTATCTTTCTTGTACAAGATCTTGCACCAGATCTTGTACAAGATCTCACACATGAACTTGTTCCAAATTCGTATGCATTTTCCTGTACAGGAACTGGTCAGAACTTGTACAAGTTCAGTTGCTGATCCTGTACAGGAAATTGTACAAGATCTTGTACAGGGATTTTCAGTAGGGAGGGACTTTCATCTGCGAAGTTTAAAGCTTGACGCCAGTTCTGTAGTATAGGAGGATTAGTCCAGTCAAACGATGTGGTTTTTAGAGGATTGACCAGAAGAGGTAGCTTTTAATCCAAGAAAATTCTAAAGCTTCAAGCTTTGCTATCAGAATTGCGTGGTCAACTTTGTCAAAATCAGTAAAAGTTGCATCGACTTGAATAACCCTTTTCAAGGTTTAATAATACAAAATTAAAAAACAAGACTAGGTTGGTCAATACTGATCTGCGTCTCATAAAATCAATTATCAAAAGCTCCACTTACTCATAAATCAAATCAAAAACAAAACTTTCGAAGACTTTGAGAATTGCACTAAGTAAAGTTATGGAACGGTAATTTACCACATTTTTCTTGACATCATTATAAACTGATTCAATAATCCTTCTCCTCTACTCAAATGGAAAAACTCGACGATAAAGATGGATTAAATAAGATATGTAACGGATTAGCAAAGACAGAACTGCATGTGACTTTAGAAGAGCAGAAGGAATGTGATTAATAATGCAACTGTTAGTATAATTAAAATCGGACACAGAAATACCTGTAGACTAAAAATAATAATTTTTCAACAAAAAATGTCGTTTAATAATCATTGAAAAATTACTTGGAGAATCTTATTTTAATCAAAAATACTACCCACTTCGAAAGGGTATAATATATTGTGAAATAAATATTTTCAAGTTTAATTTGATTTGATATGGTTAACATATAATAAAAACATATATAAAAACACCAAGTTTCCGGTACAAACAGTGTTAGATATAGTTCTGTAGGTACTAAAATATGTACATAATGTATATCATGTTTCCAAAGTGGAAGGTGAAGAAATTTGCATCGATCACAAAGTTATAAGAGTGTTTGTTGTGAATGTTTTCAGGTAATAAGAGTACTTTTCTTGTTTTTCAATGAATTCATAATGCACCAAACTTTACAGATTCTTCGTCTTCGAATCGTCAATAACTTATTCTTAAATTGATTTTATTACTGTTCCGCAAGTAGCAATAATTAATGATAACAGATAATGGTTCCCTGGAAAATGAGATATACCTAAACAGAATATAATCATTCATTTCTCTTTTATTATATTTTTTTTATCCATCTCAAGATATACGTATAGTATATCTGATAATTTTTCGAGCTCTATATATAGTACAACTGTACAGTTATGAATATTCCAATTTTTCATTGGAGTTTAGAGTTCAGTCTTAATTTTCTCGGTTTGTTACCAAATAAACCAAATTTATTCAATCAACTTCTCTTGTGTTCATCGTTAGTTGTAATTTCTCCTTTTCAATTAAAAGATATTTTATTTTATGACAATAGAGCAAAGATGTTGGATGGAGTTCGCGATATGGCCGTAATTATATTTCTTGTCGTTAAATTTTTAATTATGCTTTCGAATAAAAGGTATATCTACAATATTTAGACTTTTTTAAATCATCTAAAACAAATTATATTGTAAAAGGAAATCACTTTTCTGCAATATAAAGTTGTATATCTGATTTCTTTTAGTAGTTTACATTTTCTTCTCAAGGAACTGGAGGAGGATTGGAAAAATATTAAAAATTCGAAAAATGAAAAAATAATGATGGAATATGTAAATTATGCTCATAAATTTTGCATTAGCGATTGGTCACTTTATGCAATTACAACTTGCACATATATCGGCGAGTTTTTTATAATTTATTTCACTAATACATCGGACCAAAAAATATTGTTTATACCCGCAACATATCCTTTTGATATCAATCCCTTACCAATTTTTATAGCTGTAACAATTTTGCAATCTGTTCTATTTGGATGTTGGGTGTGTGCTAATGCTTTGTCTGAAACTTTACTTGCCACATTGGTAAACTTTTTTTTACTACATTGTTAATGAATGCAATTAATAACAATGTGAAATTATTTAAAATTAATATTGTTTAGGTATTTCATCTTGTTGGTAGGATTGAAATTTTACGAAATGAAATCGGAAACATGTCTTTTTCTCCAAATACAGTAAACAGCAAACGATATTTAATAGATTTTATTAAAAAAATTGTATACCAACACAGAAAACTTATAATTATAAGTCAAAAAATTGAAGCCATCTACAGTTATATTTGCTTAATTCAATTTTTCACAAGTACTATCACGTTATGTCTTGCTGGATATTTATTCATTACTGTATGTATCTATAAACAAAACAGAACACTGCGCAATACAATAATTACCAATTATTCAATTTCAGTCTGTGGATGATTTGGATTTATTTTTAATTTTAAAATACATCTGTTTTATACTTCTAATGTTACTTCAGTCATTTGCTATCTGTTTCTGTGGCGAAATTTTGCTAACGAAGGTTTGTAATTCTTATTAAAATTTTGGGAGAAATTGTGTCAGTAATCATTTTTTTATAAGGGTTTTAAAATCTTGCTAATAAATCTTATAACTTTTATTAATTACAATAAAAAAATTATTGTGTAGAGTTTAAGTATTCCTCAAAGTATAATTAATTGTTCGTGGTATGAGACATCACCGGAAAACATTAAGCTCTTATTAATGATTATCGTGAGAACCCAGAAGCCAATGTCCTTAACAATTGGAAAATTTACTGCTTTGTCTATTAAAGGTTTTACAAAAGTAAGATTTTAGAAATTTTCAAATAATTAAGTAGATTGTAGAGTATATTTTAATAGAATGTATAGTATATTATGCAACAAAACTGTATTACCACTTATCTCTATATATAACTGGATGGGGTTCCGGTGTGCTTCAGATTGAAACACTGGTCGCCATATTTTTCATTCCCTGTTGTATACTCCTGTCATTGTGTGATCACGTTAGTGAGATTCGATACTTAGTATTGATTGCATAGTAGGTTGGTTTCCATTGTCCCCACTCGCTATTTGTCATAATTCTCGTCAACTACCACACCCTGCTCTAGTAAAAATTTAATGACTTTATTGGTAAAATTAAAAGTTACTATAAAGTCACTAAATTTTCACTAGAGCAAGGTGCGGTAGTTGACGATAATTATGACAAATGACGAGTGGGGACAATGGAAACCAACCGTAGGTGAAAAAGGTGTTTCTTTTCACAAGTCAGTATTAATTATTATTAATAATATTATTATTATTAAAGTTTCTAATTTTTAGGTTATATTTTGTATTTTTTTACATTTTACACAGTAATATTTGAATTCTCCCGCTACTTATGAAAAAACGGGAATGAACAATATGGCGTTTCCGGTCTTCCAATAAAAGTACGGTAAGAAACACAATCGCCCGTCCAATTATATATATATTTTACTGCTTTAACCTGTTCTAGTGCGCAAATAAGTTGATATACAAAACAAAAATTTATTATTATAAAAATTTTGAAAATAATAATTTTGATATTACAGATTTTACAAACATCTGTCTCATATTTGTCTGTATTACGAACAGCATATTAATACCTTAACTACAACATGGCAGTGGAAGTAAACTTCTTATCCCTTTTTTTTAGTAATCGGTAATAGGATAAAATAGATGTTATGTATATTTATACAAAAATACTCAATTCCTTATTTTGTAAGTATTCAATTATTATACGTATATTGTACCTTACATAAAAACAAATTGTCAGGAGTAATCATTATGAATCAGTTTATTTTACCATTTCCGCTTGTTTTGATATTTAAGCTCGTCCTCATATGCGACGCACATGACTCGCACGTTCTGATGGTCGTATGCAAATGTGTAAAATGAGAACACTTTTATATAATACACTATTAATTCAATAATAATTTAATCATTATTCATTCATTATTTCAATAATAATATAATTAAACTAAATTTAAGAAATAAATATTATTAAGAGTGTATTATGGAAAATTTTTAATAAATTATTTACTTTACTTTATAGTCTTGAATATGACGAATATAATAACGGAAACCGTGTTATGGACTATTTAAGAGCTCTGGCTGATATAATATTGTCATTAGCTAATGAGTATTTTTAATGGTATAGGTACAAATTGTCCAAACCAAAAGGTCCAAAACTATGAAGATCCAAAAAGACAAAAGTCCAAACAAAAAAAAAAAGAATAATTACATTCAGTTGTCATTACTTTGGTATGAAGTTGTTTCAGGAATAACCTACATTTCATAAAATTGTTAGTTTTCTCCTTTGTAAACGTCAAATATTCAAAATTTTTAGTTAATATTTATATAAAATGGTTAGTGCGAGTCAAGATCATAAATAAATCATAAATGCAGCACAAACTAATATTGGCAATGATGTCCATTTATGCTTATTTCACCTGTGCCAAAGTGTTTATCGTAGAATTCAATCTGAGGGGTTACAGGAAATGTACAATAATAAAAATGATCCAAGTATTCGAGAAGCAACACGAAGCATGTGCGCTCTAGCATTCGTACCACCGGAAGATGTGCCTGCTGTTTTTGATTTGTTTTTAGATGATGTGCCAGAGGAGTTTGTACGAGTAGCAGAATACTTCGAGGTTAAAAATTAAATCTGAAATTAATAAAATATTTAAATTTAATATACTATTAAAATATACTATTCCACACATGATTTTCCTTAGATTACGTATATTTGTGGAAAAGCTGCGAGAGGAAGAAGAAAAGCAGTGTCAGTTCGATATGCTCCTATTCTGTGGAATCAGCATCAAGCTGTCATTCAAAGAATTGTGGCACAATATCAACAATATTTCGACGACAATCGAGAACTAGAATATATAAAAGCACTTGGGCATCATTTACATTTATAAACAATTTACACCTTTATCAAACATGCATTTCAATAATATTATATATTTTGGGTAATTTGTACTTTTGGTACTATTGGGCTTTTGGATCTTTAAAGTTTTGGACCTTTTGGTTTGGATCTTTTGTACCCCAATCTTTTTAATAAATGTTTTTTTATTTCGGAAATTTAAATTCAAAAATCTGTCTTTCGGAAAAAATACACTGAAACGATAACAAAATTCATTAAATAATTTATTTAAAAAAAAAAAAACTATTACCTACTGTGTGCATTGTAAAATGAAAATATATTCAAATATCATTTGTTTTGAAACAACTAACAAGCATTTGAAAATATTCACTAAGTTTAGGGTGCATAAATTGTTAGATGTAAAGAAGCATTATAGTTCTCTGCAGATACTACAATATGTGCATAATCTATAATGTTACGAAAGTAAAAGGTGAAGAAATTTCCATCGATCACAAAATTATACGAGTGTTTGTTGTGAATTTTGTCAGATAATAAGGGGACGTTGTCTTGTTTTCCTATGAATTCATAATGCACCAAACTACAGATTCTTCGTCTCTTGAATCGTCAATAACTTATTCCTAAATTGAGTTTATTACTGTTCCGCAAGTAGCAATAATGAATGACAATACATAATGGTTTCCTGGATTGTAGTGGATCTAAACAAGAAATCATTATTCATTTTACCTTTCTTAGATTTTTGTATCCATTCAACATTGAATATTTTTTTCTCATCACTGGTCTATATATTTACCAATTATGAAAATTCCAATTTTTCATTGGAGTTTAGAGTTTAGTCTTACTTTTCTTGGCTTGTGGCCAAATAAACCAAATTTGTATCCTCAACTTTTGTTGTGTTCCTCATTTATTGTAATTTCCCCTTTCCAACTAAAAGATGCTCTGTCTTATGAAAATAAAGCACAAATGTTGGATGGAGTTCGCGATATGTTTGTAATTATATTTCTGGTCGTTAAATTTTTAATTATTCTTTTCAATAAAAGGTAAATTTTTGCAAATCTTTTTAAAAACTTAAAATGCAAATTAGAAAATTTTACTATTAGTGAATGGAATCATTTTTTTATAGCAATCTGCATTTTCTTATTAAGGAACTAGAGGAAGATTGGAAAAATATAAAAGATTCTCAAGACGAGAAAATAATGATGAAATATGTAAAGTATGCTCATAAATTTTGCATTAGCGAATTGTCAGTTTATGCAATTACTTCTTGTACATATTTTGGCGAATTTTTATTAATTTACTTTACAAATTCATCGGGCAAAAGAATATTGTTAATACCAGCAACATATCCTTTTGATATCAATCCTTTACCACTTTTTATAGTTGCATCAATTTTTCAATCTGTTCTATTTGGATGTTGGACTTGTGCTAATGCTTTGTCTGAAACTTTACTTGCAACATTGGTAAACTTTTTTTTTTTACTGTATTCTTAGTTATATTTAAGAATAAAAATGATGACAATTCATAATTATTTTTTTTTAGATATTTCATCTTGTGGGTAGGATTGAAATTTTACGGAATGAAATCGGAAACATTTCTTTTCCTCCAAAGACAGTAAACAGCAAACGTTATTTAATAGATTTTATTAAAAAAATTGTAAACCAACACAGGAAACTTATAATTATAAGTCAAAAAATTGAAGCCATCTACAGTTATATTTGCTTAATTCAATTTTTCACAAGTACTATCACGTTATGTCTTGCCGGATATTTAATCATTACTGTATGTATACATATGAGACATTCCATGCGAAATCGATCACCTCGTTTCTAGAACCATTTTTAAGAAAAAATTATGTTATTACGATAAACAATAGGTAAAAAAATAACCTTTGGAACTTCGTAATCATATTTTGAAAATTTTTAATGGCGGATCCAAGATGATGGAAATTTTTTTAAATCTGAATTCGCAAAAACTTGTCAGGGGATTTTAGGATCGCTGCGATTACAAATCTGACCTTAGATTTGAAACATTAAAATCGTGGAATTAATATATCAAGTAGTAGTAAAGAATAGCCAAATTCAATTACAAAGAATTATTTGATTAAATTCATCTTTCACATATTAACAATTATTGAAAATACAATATTGAATTTATTTAATAAATGACAAATTACTTATTCATTCATTAAATATTACCACTTAGTTTTCATTAGCTATAAGTAAAATTGAGGGTTAGATTAAGGGAATATTATTCTAAATTCCCAGTGGGAAATTGCCAAGACTAAATTTTGGACCAGTTATTTTAGCCAATATTGGACCAAGTCTGGGAGTGTAGAGAACAATGCCAATAATCCTAATACTTTGTTTTAACCCCTATGAAATCCGTAATTAATTCGGCCTTTGCAATTAGTAAATCTAGAACCCAGTGGGAAAAGCACGATTGGCTGAATATTGGTCCAATATTGAAATTCGAGCCTTGGCATTGGTCTCTACACTCCCAGACTCCCAGATTGGTAAAAGTGATCCCAATATTGGACCAATATTCAGACAATCGTGCTTTTCCTACTGGGTTCTAGATTTACTAATTGCAAAGGCCGAATTAATTACGGATTTCATAGGGGTTAAAACAAAGTATTAGGATTATTGCATATTTCAACTTAGGTGCCAACTTCCGTAATAGGGTATCCCAGATTAGGCTCATTCTTAAATTAGATTAGAATTTGCTTCTCATTAATAATTACACTGCGTTACAAAAAAAAAATAATTGAAAAACTTTTTATCATACAATTCTTACATAAAAATTCTGGATTCATTTTGAATTGTTTTTTGATCTAACTAAAATCAAATTGTTGCCGGCTAATTGTGGATTTATTTCATATCAATTTTGGAATATTCCGGACTGATCTTGGATTTATCTTTTCATCCAGACTGATTGCTAACTAATACGAATCAATTTCGGATTGTTTTCGTACAATTTCTGTACTAATTCAAACTGATTGGATTGGATCTGTTTGTATTTAATCTGAAATCAGTCTGAAATTTTAACCAGGGAGGCTCGATCTGTCTTTTATGAATAATTTGCAATGGATAACAAAATTATGTAACAGTATTAACATATATGATATTTAAATTTCAGGTGGATGAATTGGATTTAGTTTTAATACTAAAGTACATTTCTTTTATACTTCTTATGTTACTTCAGTCTTTTGCTATCTGTTGTTGTGGAGAAATTTTATTAACTAAGGTTTGTAATACAAATAATTCTCTAGTAATGTCAAGTTTTTGTATTTTTTTTTAAAGTAATACCACTCACGTAAATTTTACTGAAAGTCATAATATAATTCTAATAACTTTTATTAGTAATGAAAATAAATTGTCTAGAGCTCAAGTATTCCTCAAAGTATAAGCGATTGTTCGTGGTATGAGACATCGCCAGAAAACATTAAGCTCTTACTAATGATTATTATGAGAACACAAAAGCCAATGATGCTGACGGTTGGAAAATTTACTGAATTGTCTCTTAGAGGTTTTACAAAAGTAAGATTTTAAAAGTTGTTTATTAAATAATTATAATCATTTAAAAGCAAATCAGATAGTAAAAATTTAACAAATAGAAATGCAAATTTTTAAATTATTTATACACAGTCTAAATTTGGGAAATTACAGATTTTGCAGACATCTGTTTCATATTTGTCTGTACTGCGAACAGCATATTAATGATGCAGAAACATGTGTCCGTACTTTGTCAGCCTTTCAAGAAACTAGAGTATTTTTCTATAGAAATGTTTTAGGATAATATTTAACTTGATATTCACCCGAGTTTGAGTTTGGTGTATAAAAAACTAATTTGAGTAATAAGGTTAAAATATGATAAACAAATAAGTTTGTCGCCAATCTTGTTCCTAGGTTATTTTACAGAAACATCAACTGCGTGAAGTAATTAAACGTGTCTATAAGAGTATGTAACAGTTGTCGAAAAGAAAAATGTTTTGGTTTCAAGAGGTGATATCATATGTGTTTAAAATTAAATCCATTTAAATCTTAAAAATAAATTATACCTCTATAAAATTGTAGTTATCACAGCAAGGATACTTTGTAGATTACTCTATACAAGTAAAAATTCTTTTTTATACAATAGTTTCTAAATGCGAAATCTTTTTGAAAATCGTCAATTGACCTAAGCCATCCGATTAACAGTAGGTATTTAAAGAATTGAAAAGTTTAGAGGGTGCATAAATTGTTTGACGTATACAAAATGAGCTCTGCACATACTAAAATATGTGCATAATCTATAGTTGTTTTCAAAGTATAAAGTGATGAGACTTACAATTCATAAATAGTACGTAGTAAGAGAAAAAGTTACCAGTTTGTGAAATGCTATGGGTGCGTTTTTCAGATTTCTTATTAATTTTTAATGCATCTGGAAAATGCAGTTTATGCTTGCGATCCTTAAGTCTTCAATAAGTTATTTTCAAATTGATTTTTGTTACTTTTCTACTAGCTGGGTAGAAATAATGAATGCCTTCTAACGGATGGTATACTAAAACAGAAAAAACGCCTCATTTCATTTTTGCTTTCTACATTTCTGTTTTGATTCTTGTACAATTATGAAAATTCCAATAATTCATTGGACATTAAATTACAGTCTTTATTTCCTTGGTTTTTGGCCAAATAAACCGAATCTTATTAACCAACTGCTATTATGTTCATCGCTTGTTGTGATTTGTCCTTTTCAATTGATAGATGTTATAAAATTTTCCCATGATAAAGCAAGAATGGTGGATGGGATTCGCGATTTAGCTGCAATTATATTCATATGCACTAAATTTTTACTTATCCGTTACAATCGGAGGTGAGGAGATTTTTATCTATCTAAATATTTCCAATTAACTTGTGAGTTTGGTGAAAACCCTCAGGTTAATTCTATTGATTAATACTGTTTGGTTAAAAATTCGCTGAATTATAATTAGTGCTAAAGTTTGAAATGAGACGCATGAATTTTCTCCAAATTTTAAATGGCCTAAAACTTAATTGACGTAAATTCAATTGGCCTAAAAGTCGTATGAACTATAATTATTACTTGGCCTAATCTGTATATGATCTAATTATTATTTGTCCTAATCTTCATTCAATCTAATCCTCATTTGTACTAATCGTCATTTGTTCTAATTCCCATTTGGCATAATCTTAATTTAACCTAATTGTTACTTGTTCTAATATTAATCTAACATATTAATTCTTAATTGGCTTAATCTTAATGTAACCTAATTCTCTTTTAGCCTAATCCTTATTTGATCTAATTCTCACTAGACCTGAACTTCATTTGTCACGTTCATAAGCGGGTGACAAATTAAGTTTAGGCCAAGTAATAATTAGGTCAAATAAAAATGAGGCTAAAAAAGTATTAGATTACAGAAAATTTAGGCCAAGTAATAATTAGTCCATACGACTTTTAAGCCAATTGAATTTAGGTGAATTAAGTTTTAGGCCATTTGAAATTTGAAGAAAATTCATGCGTCTCTTTGAAATATATCTTTCAGTTATTTGTATTCACTATTCAACGAAGTGGAAGAAGATTGGAAAATTTTAAAAGATTCTCAGGAAATTGAAATAATGATGAAATATGCAAAGTACGCTCACACATTTTGTATTTGTGAATGGTGGCTTTATTCAACTACTAGTTTTGCATATTTTGTTGAATTTTTCGTACTTTTCTTCTCTCATTCATCAGAGGAAGACAAAATGCTGTTAATACCAGCAACATATCCATTTGACGTTAATTATACTCCAATTTTTGTTTCAATGTCAATTTTTCAAAGTGCACTCCTAACATTGTGGGTTAGTGCTAACGCTGTCTCGGAAACATTACTCAGTACATTGGTATGTCTTTATTTATTTTTACATTCTAATTACCATTATGAAAAATAATTACTGGATATAATTATACCTGGCATATAATTATTGAAATAAACTACTGGATTAATTACTAGTAACTCTAGTAATTATTTTTCATAAGGGTAATGTGACTTTAATAAATATGGGAATATGTATAGTCATGAGTAACTAGTGAATACAGATTCTAGATTTACTGATTACGCAGATCGGATAAATTTTGGATTCAATAGTTCTTTAAGTAATTTTGCATTTATTAGTTGTGTATGATCTCGGATTTATCTTTTTATCCAGACTGATTGCTGACTAATCCGGATCATTTGCGGATTTTTTTTCGTATACAATTTCAGGACTAATTCGAGTCACATGAATAAGCACTAAAGCTAATTTTTTAGAATTATATTTAAATCGAATTTTATTTTGAAGAATATTATTTTTGTAGAATAGTAATTTAAAAGAATCTTAATTTTGCATAAAGAATTTCTGGCTAATTAATTTGGGTCTAAATGAAAATTCTGCAACATTGATAATCGGTTAATAATATATTTATTCTGTAAAATGAAAATTCGAACAAATGAATATTCTGGAAAATTAAAATTTTGATTAAAAAAAAAGTTATACATGAAAAACAAAATGTTGTCCACTCATGACTACATTCCTCTAATAAAAGAAAAAATCTAATTTCTTAAAAAAATATTTTTATTAATGCAGGTATTTCATCTGGTTGGTAGAATTGAGATATTAATGAAAGAAATTAGTGAAATAACTTTTCCTTCCAATTCATCGTCTGATAATAAATATTTAATAACATTTATCAAAAATATTGTAAAGAAACATAGAAAACTAATACTCATGAGTCATAAAATTGAGTCTATTTATAGTTATATTTGCTTTACACAATTTCTTGCTAGCACACTTTTGCTCTGTTTAACAGGATTTTTAATCATAACTGTATGTTTATGGTATATGATTTTTTTATTTTTATAAATTTTTTTTATTTTTTTTATTTTATCGAGTCAAAATTCAATTCCTACTTAACGCCAAAAAATTGACGCTTGTTCAGATCCTTAAAACTGTATTTTTAATTCTTCTACTTGGAGGCATTAAGTAGGAGAATTTTTATAAAAATTCTCAATTATTAATTTCCATCTATTCTACTGGCTTTCTTAATAGTAAAGAACAATATCATAATAGTAATTAATTTTTCATTTACAGTCTGTGGATGCACTTGACATATTTCTAATAGTAAAATACATATGTTTTATATGTCTCTCATTACTGCAGGCATTTGCTTTCTGTTTTTCTGGTGAAATTCTTCTTTCTCAGGTTTGAAATAAAAATATTATACTTGTATACCTATAAATCAAAAATTTCAAATTAATAAAACGTGTATGGTCAGTTGGGGTAAATTGAGACAGGGGGTAAATGGGGACAAGAGGCGATGGAGCTTAATTTACAGTTTTAAAATTAAGTTTAATGTCAATATTTTAACCTCAGATCACCTACAAGAGGTTCTGAGTATTGCCATAAGATTTTATCTTGACAATTGGCAGCAAGATAAAAAAAGTTATCGCTCAATGCATAAAAACTTGAAAATCAATGTCAAACAGTTTCAGTATTTTGTTTCGCATTTCAAAGAAAACAGTCTTAAAAATCATACCAAATTTTTTTCTTATTCCTTATGACTCCTATAACAGAAATTCACTTTAATTTTTTATTTTTGTCAATTTGGTTAATAATAACAAGCTGTCCCCATTTACCCTAAGAAATTGAAAACTCGGGGTAAATAGGGACAGCTTGTCATTATTAACCACATTGACAAAAGTCAAAAATTCAAGTGAATTTCTATTATGGAAATCATAAGGAATAAGAAAAAAATTTTGTATGATGATGATTATAATACAGTAATATACTTGAGGAAAATTTTTTCTTAAAACTTTCTTAGAAACTATGCTCTCCCCATTTACCCCGAATTTTATGAAATTTTCTAAATTTTGGGGTAAATGGGGGACAGTCAGTTTTATGCGTTTAAAGCTTATCTAAATTTTTTTTCTGCTGCATAAAATGAATCCTGGGAACGTAAATAACAATTTAAAAAAAAAACCCCCAAATATTACCTTTTAAAGGAAGAAACTTACGTAATTTGTGAAAAATAGGGATTTTGTTCCCATTTACCCCAAATGACTCTATTTAAAAATAAAAATATTCTTTTTGCATGCAGAGTTTGAATATTCCTCAGTGTGTATGTAATTGTTCATGGTATGAGACAACGCCGGAAAATATCAAACTATTATTAATGGTTATTATGAGAACACAAAAACCAATGACACTAACGGTTGGAAAATTTACTGAATTATCTGTTGGCAGTTTTACAAGGGTAAGTGTATTTTTTACTGTTCATAAAAGAAAGCAAAAAATTTGCAATTACATAAAATTATTTTACAGATTTTGCAAACAGCATTTTCTTATTTGTCAGTATTGCGGACGGCGTATTGAAAATAAATGAAACATATTGAAATTGTGTATACAAGAGTGAACGTTATAAAAGAAATATATTTTTCCACATATATTCATATAAATAATTTAACTATAAATACAAATGATATTTATCAGTATAATTAAGTTGTATATTCACTGAGTGTTACAAAACAGTAAAATTGAAATAATTTTATCGAGAGATAAACAAGTTTTATTATAATACTAATTTTTTAAAACTAAAACTGACAATATTTTTTATTGTATACACTGTGAATCAGAGTATGAAACTTAATCTGATAATTAGAATGTATTTTTTTTTTGTCATTTTAATATTTAATTTAAAAATTATTTTAAATAGAATAAAAAAAATTAAAATTGAAGTTCTATATTATTTAATTGCTTTTGATAAGTTTTAAGAGAATTTTTGCAGGGTGGTCCACTCATGACTATACAAAAAAGAAACAGATAAAAAACACTGTTTGAAAAATTTCTAGAAAATTTTTCTGTAGTAAAAAAATGTCTAAATACGTAACTTGTAGCTATTATTATAGCGGTGTAGCAAAATTTACTAATTATTTACCTCAAAAAAAGTTATACACAAAAAATAAAACATGGTCCACTCATAACTACACTCCTCTATACATAAAATACATTTAAAAATAAATTTCGCGAAAACGAAACTCATGGGTAAATATCTCAAATAATAATTTCTTTAATTTAATTAATTAAGATTTATTTTCAATTTTTTAAGAAATTTTCAACTGCAAGAGCTTTTTTACAATATTAGAAAGATTACAAAAAAAAACTTATAAATTTACCTAAGCGATCCTATTTTGATAAAATATATATATGCTTGAAAAAAAAATTGAAAAGTTTAGGGTGCATAAATTGTTTGACGTGTAAAAAGTAAGCTCTGCACATACTACAATATGTGCATAATCTAGTTGTATTCAAACTATCAGCTCAAGAAAAATTTACCATTCATAAAAAGTTGTAAACAAAAAAGTTGCAGTTTATGAAATGCGTCTTTCAAATTTCCTATGAATTTTTAATGCTATACTCGGAATACACTTTTATGCGTGGATCCTTAAGTTTTTAATAAGTTATTTTCAAAATTTCTCTGAATAGAAATAAATGAATTTCTCCTAATATTAAAAAAAAAAGAACCCCATTCGTTTTCATTTTCTGTCTTTCTACGGTTCTTGCCATATATAATTATGGAAATTCCAATCATTCATTGGACATTAAAATACAATCTTCATTATCTCGGTCTTTGGCCAAATAAATCAAATCCAATTGCCCAATTGCTTCTATGTTCCACGCTTGTTGTGATTTGTCCCTTTCAATTGGTTGACGTTATAAAATATTCCCACATCAAACTAAGAGTGTTGGATGGTATTCGCGACATGATTGCACTTACATTCATAATCACAAAATTTTTACTTATCCGTTTCAATAAAAGGTGAGGATATTTTTATCGTAATTTTTGAATTTTAACAATTTAATGAAATTTTGAAATTGTATTCTTTAGTAAGTTGCACTCGCTTTTCAACGAAATAGACCAAGATTGGAAGAATTTAAAAGACCCTAAGGAAATTGATATAATGATGAAATATGCAAAGTATGCACAAAAGTTTTGTACTTGTCAATGGTGTCTTTATGCAACTACTGGTTCCTCATATCTTCTAGAATTTTTAGCAAGATTACTCACGCATCCAGAGGATGAAGAGAGTCAGTTATTAATACCAGCAACATATCCATTTAATGCTAATTATACACCAATTTTTGTATCAATGTCAATTTTTCAAACTGTACTCTTAACATTGTGGGTTAATGCTAACGCTTTGCCTGAGACATTACTTAGCACATTGGTATGTCTTCATTTTTTTTTTTGCATTCATTGAAAATTAATTGAAAAATTTAATTTTAGTAATATATACATATTTTTTATTGCAGGTATTTCATCTAGTGGGTAGAATTGAAATTTTAATGAAAGACATTAGTGAAATAACTTTTTCTCCCAGTTCATCAACTGATAATAAATATTTAGTAACATTTATCAGGGATATTGTAAAGAAACATAAAAAATTAATAGTTATGAGTCAAAAAATTGAATCTATTTTTACTTATGTTTGCTTTACTCAGTTTCTTACAAGCACTCTTTTGCTCTGTCTAACAGGATTCTTAATGATATCTGTATGTTTACTTATTTTGGGGGACATACTTTTTTCAATTCATTTTTCCCAACCGTTAAAATCCCCAACTTATTATTTTTCTAAAGTAGCGTTAACATTGATGTTTTTCATCAAAATTATTTTTATGATGCTCAGTAGTATTATACTATTTATAATCTTATATTAATGTTACAAACAAATCAAATTAAGTTAAAAATCCTACAACCACAGATTAGTATATTGAAAATAAACTAATGTTATTTTCTCATTTTAATGGTTACTAGCGATGTATTCCTCGCTCGCTAACGCTCGCTCGGTTAAAATTGTACTTATTGTTGTTTACTTATTGTAGTTTATGTATATTATATTTATAATTTATGTTTTAAATTAATATCTTATTAATATTGTATAAAATTTATCTTAAAATTGAAAAAAGATGTTACATAAAAATAGTTTGTAAGATTTTCTAAAAGCATATATGCAAAGTATTTTGATTTATTTGAAAATAATTGAAAATAGATTTTTCAAGGACGGTGTCGAGGTCACGGGGTCGGTGTCGTTTTTCGAAATTTGTTAACTTAATATAATAGAAGATGTTTCGTTTTAAATTAAGAAATGTTCAAATTATTAAGTTAAAAACATTTGATTTTAATGACACTTAAAATTAGACACAATATTATAGGTTACTAACTAAAAATTGAAAAAACAACAATAAATAATAAAAAATAATCATAAAAAATTGAAAAAATCAAAAAATTCTTAAAAAATAGCAAAATAACCCTTTTTCGGGTTAAAATTGAAAAAAGATGTTACATAAAAATAGTTTGTATGATTTCCCAGATAAAAATTCTTGTACAGGATCCTTAGAGGATCCTTAGAGGTTCCTACATAGGATCCTTAAAGGTTCCCTGAGGGATCCGTTAAAAATCCTACGCAGGATCCTACTAGGATCCCTTGCAGGAACCTCTAGGGATCCTTTAAGGATTCGTGGGGTCCCTTTGTGTTGATTACTAAACTCTTCACTGATGTATATTTTTTTTAACTGCCGAAAAATACTCTTAACTTTTTTAGTTTTTTAACTGCTGTGAAATAATACTAACACTGATGTATAGGGGAGACCGAGGAGGAAAGTAACAAAAATCAGTTTTTTTATGCTAGCATTAAAAATATTTGTCAAATAAATTTGTCCAATATATTAAATGAAAGCTTGGACATTCACCTTTTAAATAAAATTTGAATTAAACATTTATAATAAATTGACAGTTCACAGTATAACTTTTACGCAAGCTCTTCATCTGTTACTTTCCTCCTCACCCCCGAGGAGGAAAGTAACAGTATAAAATTATGTAAAATTCTTTAGACTAATGACTATTATTAATTAGAAATATTTTTATTAGGAACACATAAAAGTTTAAGTACACTTTATACTTATTTGGCACATATTTGGGACATATTTAGCACATATTTCGAACATTTTATGAATTTAGCTCATTTTTTTTCTTAAACATATTTTATGCTTACCTAGATCACAGGTTTTTCTTAAATAAATCTCTGTTATTCGTAAAATTAAATACGATTTGCTTCAATCATTAGTTAAAACATGGACAATATCGACAACAGGAGAAAAGTAGCGTGTTACTTTCCTCCTCGGTCGCTTTTTTCTTGTATGTCAACAAAAACGTTAAAACTACACAAATGTTAAATTGTTTGTTTAAGCACAACTTAAAGACAGATAATAAGGCTACAAAATAACGAAAGGCATATTTTAAAAAACAATAAAATTAAAGAAATACGAGACTTTGAAAAATTGAACGAAAACTTACTTTTGACGTTTTTTCTGCACGTCATACCGGAATCAGACCTAATCTTTCTTGTCAGGCTCGGACACACTATGGAGGAGGAAGGGGGAACAGTGCCGACTAAAAATATGTTTGAACCATGTCTATCCGATAATTTGTTTAAAAGTTATAAGCTTTGTTACTTTCCTCCTCTGTTACTTTCCTCCTCGGTCTCCCCTATATATTTTTTTAAATGCTGCGAATACTTAATACTTTTAAGTTAGGATGATTGAAATAGGAAAAATGAATTGGCAAAAATGTCCACCAATCGTATGTTTATGATATATAAACTTAAAATTTTTGTTAGCGATATAACAATTTTCATATCAATTGGTAAATTAATAATAAAAATTAATTTTTCATTTTCAGTCTGTGGATTCACTTGATGTATTTTTAATAGTAAAATATGTATTGTATATATTATTCTCATTACTGCAGGCATTTGCCATCTGTTTTTCTGGAGAAATTCTACTTTCCCAGGTTTATAACAAAATTATTACATCATACATACTGAAGAACGTTATAGAATAGTTATTTGTAGAATTTCATTAGCTAAAATTTTCTTCTTAGTCCATAAGTTTCACTACTTTTAATTATTATTTGGCATAATTTTTTATTTAATCAAACTTCCATTTGAAAGAATTTTTATTCAAAGGAATATGTATCTATTTAGCTTAATTTTTAGGAGACAGAATTTTCATTTCTTCGAATTTTTATTCGCACCAATTGTCATTTAAATGAAATATTTTGATTAATTATAAAAATTATATTTTACACACAGAGTTTAAATATTCCTCAATGTGTATGTAATTCTTCATGGTATGAAACAACGCCAGAGAATGTCAAGCTTTTATTAATGGTTATTATGAGAACACAAAAACCAATGACACTAACTATTGGAAAGTTTGCCGAATTATCTATAATCAGCTTTATAGGGGTAAGTAAATAAAGTGAAAATTTTAAATTTTAATGTTGATAAATTTGAGAATAGTTATGTATTCAAATGCAATATTTATACTAATTGCCAAAACATAACGAGAAATTGACTTCTATCAAACTTACTTTACAGATTTTACAGACAGCATTTTCATATTTGTCAGTGTTACGGGCAACGTATTGAAAATAAATGAAACATATTAAAAGTAAAATTCAAATAACTTTATTACTACAAATGAAAGGTAAAAAAAGTTTGTTTTTAGATAACCTATCTGAAAATTAGCAAAAATATATTGGCGTAATAAATTTTTTTTCAATTTGCGGAAACTGGAAATAAAGTGGATATCAGATTTTAATTATAGGCTATAAGTTTAGATAATAAGATAAAAAATGTATGAAAAAAATGATTTTTCAATTGTTTAAAAATTAACTGTGTTTGAATTTAGACGCCGCCACATAATTATATCCATGTTAAATTATAGAGGAACAAGAAATATTTAATATATATTTTTTGAAAGGATGAGGCAAGACCACAGAAGATTCCTCAAGAGTTACAATAAGAAATTCCATAAAATTTAGAAAAATTATTAGAAATTCAAATTTTGCATAAGGTTTAACTACACTCAGAGAAATGGTATATTTGTCTCCGAGCCTACTAACTCATTTATTTGTTGCAAATATATTTTATTTCATTGAAATAAAAAATTTATTTGAGGCAAAGAAAAATTTATTTCTGACAAATAAAACTTTTATTTACGCCAAATAAATAAGTTAGTAGGCTCTGAGACAAATATACGTTTATTTAACTCAAATATATTTTATTTGGTTCAAATAAATCATTTCTCTGCGTGTAATACCCTTCAATCATATATTAATTCAGAAATTATACCAAAATTATGACTATAAAGATTAAAGAAGACAAACGATATTAACCATTTTTCGATATCTTTTTAAATAAAAGTTTTAGTATTAAAAATCATTATACCCTATATAGATATATTTACTACAAACATTCATGAAAATGAATTTCTGAGTATTTAAACATGTAAATATTTGGTACTTTTCAAGTGTTGAAGTTACTTTAATGTTACTTTTACCACATGTTTTGGGATATATTTATGATAATCGATTTTAAACACAGAAAGAAAGCTTCATCTGGAACAGCGAAAAGTTTCACTAGAATAGTGAAACAGATTTATATGAAAAAATTCAAACTTTTGATATTCTATGTGAAACCTTGCCCTATTCCAGGTACATCTCTTTTTCCGTGAATGACTCTTGTTAATGATTTTATGACAAACATATAAAAAAAATGGACCAAGTCCAAAAATGTTAATGTAATTGCACGAGAATTGATTCTATTTGTTCAAATGACATTAAAATAGTTTACTTTTATTAAAACTCGACAATAGCATATGCAATTTTATTTCTTTAAATTTAATTTTACTGAACTCTTTCAATTTGTTGTAAAATTATTTGATTTTTTTTATTACAAATTTTATAAATATGAAGAAATTGTTAAATAATTAAATTTTAAACGCTTTTTTTAAACTAATCTGAATAATGAAATTTGTGATAATTTTAAAAATATCATTAAACAGTACTTTAAGTATTCTTCCTTTTATTAAAAAAGAGTTTATTTCATTGTTTTCATAAGTAACATAAATTATTAAATTTATATTTTCCCTCGTAGATTACAGCAAAAATTTAGCGAAACCGAATAAAAGTCACAGTTAAGAACTAAGAAGGAAAAGAAATTGGTTTTTTTTCGAAAAAATATCAAAAAACGACAATTGCTTTTTTTGGTGATAATATAGGTCTTACTTTACTCCGATCTGGGTATCAATTTTTTTCTACACTTAAAGGAGTATTTTGTGCAAGAATTTGCATTAAAATCGTCTGCCTAAGAAAAATTGAATTTTTTTGGGAACTTTTTTATGATTTTGGATTTTTGGGATGGATGACTTTTTGGTGGTAACAGGTGTCTTCCTCTACTCGTATTTGGCTGTCAATTTTTTTCCACACTTTTAGGAGTATTTTGTGCAAGAATATGCATTAAAATCGTCTGCCTAAGAAAAATTGAATTTTTTTGGGAACTTTTTTATGATTTTGGATTTTTGGGTTGGATGACTTTTTGGTGGTAATAGGTGTCTTCCTCTACTCGTATTTGGCTGTCAATTTTTTTCCACACTTTTAGGAGTATTTTGTGCAAGAATTTGCATTAAAATCGTCTGCCTAAGAAAAATTGAATTTTTTTGGGAACTTTTTTATGATTTTGGATTTTTGGGTTGGATGACTTTTTGGTGGTAATATGTGTCTTCCTCTACTCGTAATTGGCTGTCAATTTTTTTCTACACTTTTAGGAGTATTTTGTGCAAGAATATGCATTAAAATCGTCTGCCTAACAAAAATAGAATTTTTTTGGGAACTTTTTTATGATTTTGGATTTTTGGGTTGGATGACTTTTTGGTGGTAATAGGTGTCTTCCTCTACTCGTATTTGGCTGTCAATTTTTTTCCACACTTTTAGGAGTATTTTGTGCAAGAATATGCATTAAAATCGGCTTTTTAGAAAAATTGAATTTTTTTGGAATTTTTATATGATAGGGTTTGCCTTAAGGGTGGTAATAGGGTAGATTACAGGAAAAATATAGCGAACATGAATAAAAGTCACGATTGAGAACTGTAAAGGATAGAAATTGATTTTTTTCGAAAAAATTGTAAATAATGACCAAGTCACTTATGTTATTATATTTTTAGGCGTACGGAACCCTCGATTTAGTGTGAGTAAAACTCGCACGTCTGATTTTTTTTGTCGGCTTCTCTAGACTCTAATACGTAAGTATACCAAATTTCGCTTAATTTCGTGAAGATTGGTTTAAGATAGGACGATTTATGTTTTTAATTTTAATGGAATTGAGAAAGAAAAAAAATTCAAGTTTTGTGATAATTGAAATATTACCAAATTCGGTCAAATTTCAGTAAAGATTCGGTTTGAGGCAATAAATTCCAAAAAATAATCAAAATTTTGTAACTATTGTTATCGGGAACTTTAAATTAACGATTTTTTATTTTTTAAACATTATATGTTGTTGTAGAATTTAATTTTAATTTTTCGATATTTTTTGACCCAATTTTCGCGGCTTGCATACGCTAAGGAAGAACTTAATGAATTGCTTTAAATAATTTGAATTAGGGTAAATGCACTTATTTCGGCGCGATTAGAATTGAAATAACTTTGAAATTGAAAATTCGACATTTCTATTGTATAAAGTGAATTTAACTCTAGACAGCACAACATAGCTGGCTGATACGTAGAAGCACATCTGGGTTAGAAAACCACTCCAAACTTGTTTTGTTGCTAGAATGTTCATATTTAAGGCAAAATATCTTTATTTTATATAATTTTCTTCATTTTTGTATAAGGAAGAAGATAGCGTTTTTTGTTTTTTGATAGGATCAAAAATATGGCCAAAAAATTTTAAAAACCACAACAAAAAACTTATTAAATTAAAAATCGATTATTTAATCAAATATGAGAAAATTAAAACTAATACCGTTCTTTTCTATTACGGCGCGTTTGTATCTATTTCGGTGTATCAATTACGTTAACCAAAAATTACGTGTATTTTGAAGATACTTTGCCCGCCGTAATTGAAGCCAATGAAAATCTTAAAAAATTTTCAATTACGGCGAGAGAAAAAATTTGATCTCAAATAATTAAATTAATAATTGTTTGAATGTGCATCTTTATTAGTAATTGTATCAAAAAAAGATTAAAATAATTTATTTTAATCATTTTGCAACAGTTATATTGAATATAATAGTAATAATAATTATTTTTTATGATATTGCGCCGTAATTGATGCACTTACCCTATATAACAAAGTACCATTTCAATGAGCTCAAGAACGTTAAAAAGTATTAATTTTTGGTCAGAGAAATTTAAAAAAATAATAAAAATTGGGTTTTTTCTTTGATATTTAATTTTTTTCAGAATTGTATTTGTTTTTAGAAAATAAAAAGGAGAGAATTTTAAAGATTTATTATTTTTTAAGAGTTCGCACATTTGCCGACGGTAGTGTAAATTTTGCCAAAAATTCCCGTTTAAAAATTAATAAACATTTATTTCTTTGTGAGCACATGTAAAATCTTCTTTGTTCATGCTGGACACCCTGCAAAATCTACTGGTAAGTACGGTTCAAATTTTTTAAATTATACACTACCGTCGGAAATTGTCGGTACGATTAACGTTCGAGGAGTGGAAATTCGGCGCTGACTTTAAAGCAAGATATTTCAAGTTAGAAAAAAGTTGGAGACTTCTAACTTAGATGGTTGGAGAGCTGATAAAATTCTGCTTCTGATTGTATATCAAGAAAATTTGTTTCTTTTTTTTTTGTATTTATAACACCGAAAAGATTTCAAGCAAAAATTATGCAATTTTCGTACTGTCGTACTAATGTTTTTGACTTCCGGCATAATCTAGAATAATGTATGGAAAAATTTTACAATTTTACAACATAATCTTTAAGATCTCAGCTTTAATTTGCATTTTTGAAACTTAAAAAATGTATTGTGGTTCCTGAAATATTGTTAAAAAAGGTCCGAGCATGTTTTTCTATAAATCAGCCGCTGATTATCATTTTTTGCCGCCTCGCTGCTGGCTTGTAGAAAAACATGCTCGGACCTTTTTTAACATATTTCAGGAACCACAAAACATTTTTTAAGTTTCAAAAATGCAAATTAAAGCTGAGATCTTAAAGATTATGTTATAAAATTGTCAAATTTTTCCATGCATTATTCTAGATTATGCCGGGAGTCAAATACATTAGTACGACAGTACGAAAATTGCATAATTTTTACTTGAAATCTTTTCGGTGTTATAAATACAAAAAAAGGAAAAAAAATTTCTTGATATACATTCAGAAGCAGAATTTTATCAGCTTTCCAACCATCTAAGTTAGAAGTCTCCAACTTTTTTCTAACTTGAAATATCTTGCTTTAAAGTCAGCGCCGAATTTCCACTCCTCGAACGTTAATCGTACCGACAATTTCCGACGGTATTGATTTTAATTATTAATTTATTCTTTTAAACTTTTTTTTCAAAACATTTAATATTGTTCACTGTACAAAATCCCTATTTTGCCGTATCATTACAAATGTTATTCAGTATATAGAAAAAATTAGAAATAATATGTTAAGGATTTATAAATTATTAAGCATAAATGATAGTAATATAATTTCACGATAATAAAATATGTGCATAATTGACGCGTTTTTTTTTTAGAATAAAATACGATAAAATGTAAATCTATAATAAATTATACATATTAATTTGAAATAACTTAGTACACTTCTAGGATTTCTTATAAGTTTCTAATACTCAATAAGTATATGCACTTCCTCGGTCTTTGAACCTTGAATAACTTATTTCTAAATTGATATTGTTATTATCCTATAGATAGAAATAATGACGCATGTCTCCTAGGAAATAATATTTCTAAATAATAGAAATAATTTTTCTTCCGTAAAATAATTTTTTTTTTTTTTATTCGTCATAATTGAAGATTCATCTTTCTTGTAACACAGAGTCGTGTAGTTATGAAAATTCCAATTATTCACTGGACTTTAGAATATAGTCTTCATGTTCTTGGTTTGTGGCCAAACAAGCCAATTTTAATTAGTCAGTTACTTATTTATTCGTCACTCGTAGGGATTAGTCCCTTTCAAATTAAAGATATTTATGCAATTTATGAAGATAAGCCAAAAATGGTGGACGGAGTTCGCAATACAGTTGCAATTATATTAATAGTCATTAAATTTGGAATTATGCGTTACAATAAGGGGTAAAGTATATCACATCATCAACGAATGTATTAATTGCAAAATTTATTCTTCTTAAAATCCAGGATTTTTTTACACTGCAAATTATGGAATCATCATAATTTATTTATTCTTTTGCTTCGTTAATTGAATATTTTTTTAAAATTCATGCGAAAAATTTTCCTAGATACATTTGTATTAGAAAATAATAAATTACTGAAGAGGATCCAAATCTAGGGTCGAAATAAACAACAAAAAAATAGTTTCAATATTCTTAAAACAAAGGACCCTAAAAACCACTAAAGATTATGTTTCAAACTTAGACAATTCTATTGCAAAATCGAGTTAAAAATTACAATTTATATTTATTTTTCAGCAATTTGCATTCTCTTCTTATTGAAGTAGAAGATGACTGGAAGAATATGAAAAATCCTCAAGACAAAGAAATAATGATGAAATATTTAAAGTATGCATATAAATTTTGCATTTGCGTTTGGACACTTTATTCGGCAGTTGGAATTTCATATGGCTTAGAATGTTTTTATGGTTTTTTTGCTAATGAAAAAGTATTACTAATACCTGTTGCATATCCTTTTGATCTTAATTTTACCCCTTATTTTCTATCAGCGTTAATTTTTCAATCAATACTTTATGCAATGTGGCTTTTTGCCAACGGTTTATCTGAATCATTACTTGGTACTTTGGTAAGTTTATTAAATTATCTAATTCTGAATTTTTAGTGGTTATAGGGTCCTTTATAGACCACTAAAAAAAAATGATTCACATTCTTTGGATCACAAAATAAATTTCATTGTAAATTATATATTTTTTTTTTAGATATTTCATCTTGTGGGTAAAATCGAAATTTTATTAAAAGATATTAGTGAAATATCATTTCGTTCTACGTCGTCGTGTGATAATAAATATTTAATTATGCTTATAAAAAATATTGTTCTCAAGCATAGAAGACTAATACTCATGCATCATAAAATAGAATCCATTTATTGTTACATTTGTTTAACTCAATTTTTAGGAAGTATTATTGTACTATGCCTTGCGGGATTTTTAATTATAACTGTAAGTATAGGTATATCTTTTCGAAGAAAATTTTTATATAATTCAGATACCAACACGCAAAAAAAAAATTTTATTTTTATTTACATTTTTAGCAATTTTTGCAGCATGTTTGCTAAATTTTTTTTATCGAGAATTTTTTTAAACCAATAAATTTTACAAATAATCATGATGACAATAGAAATAATTAATTTTTCAGTTCGAATATGAAGGAGCACTTGATGTATTTGAAATTATGAAAAATATCATTTACATACTTCTAAATTTGTCGCAGGCATTTGCATTTTGTTTCTCTGGAGAAATTCTGCTGTCCCAGGTTTGTAATAAATATTTTCTAAAAAAAAATTGTACTCTCTTAAAAGGTACTTGAATTTCCCATAAAAATCATTAATTAGAATTTTTATTTTAAACTATTTTATTAAAAATAATTATTTTTTAGAGCAATTTTCATTTTTTGAATTAGTATTTAACAGAATTTCTGTTTATACAAATTTTTAGCTACCGAATTTTTATTTTATAGTCATTTAAAAATGACTTTTTATTTAAGAGAATTTTAATTTAATCCAATTTTAATTTAACAGAATTCTCATTCAATCGAATTTTATGTGATTCGAATTTTTAAATGACAGAAATTCCAATTCACCGAATTTTAATTTGTCCGAATTTTTATTTGTTCGAATTTTTATTTGTACAAATTGTACGAATTTTTAAGACGCCAAATTTTCATTTAGCAGAAATTACAAATGGCCGAATAAACAATCGACAGAAAGATATCGGTGCAATTTTTAAAATTGACCAATCACAATTTTCTTGATAATTTCTAATTGGTCATAATTATTGAAAATTGCGCCGAAATCTTTTTATAATTTCGGCTAAATGAAAATTCGGCATCTTAAAATTTCCTTTAATTAAAAAAGCGTACAATTAAAATTTCGGACATCGAAAAATTAGTTTTTTTATGAAAAAAAACATTTTGTTTTTTCTATTTTTGAAGCAAGAAATTAAAAAATGTTCTAAAAATATATTATTTATAGAGCTCAAATATTCCTCAATGCATAAGTGATTGTTCGTGGTATGAGACATCACCAGGCAATATTAAACTCTTACTAATGGTTATTTTGAGAACACAAAAACCATTGGCGCTAACGGTTGGAAAATTTACTGAATTGTCTATTGGAAGTTTCACAAGAGTATGAGTATTTTTAAATTAGCAAATAGAATTAATAAATGTAAATTTCGAGTCCCATATAAAACAAACGTTTCTTTGCTCCCATACACAAAAAAAAATTTCTTTGAAACAAAGAAATTGTTTCTTTAAAATCACTTTATTGAATCAAAGCTGAAATTTGTTTAAATTAAAAAAAAATTTCCAAAAAAAATTTGAAGAATTTTGAATTAAAGAAATTTTTTCTTTAAATGATATTTTTAACCTAAAGAAAAATTTCTTTGATTTAAAAAAACCAATTTCTTTGACTTGTTTTCTTTCATTCAAAATAAAATTTTCTTTGAAACAAAAGCTTCTTAGTTTAGTTTCAAAGAAATTTTCTTTGGTCCAAAAAAAATTTTCTTTGAATGAAAAAAATTTGTGCATTAAATCAAAGAAATTCTAACATTGATATAGGGTCAAAGAAACATTTATTTAAATTAAATAAAAAATTTCTTTGAAACGAAGATATTTTTTTTAATCAAATATAATTTGTTTGATACAAAAAAAATTTTCTTTGTATCAAAGAAAAATTTATCAACGATATTGATTTCTTTGAATTCAAGAAATATATTTTTCATTTAATGAAAGTACATTAAAATAAAATTTTATTTCTTTGATTCAAATAAAAAAAAATGTTGTAAAATCAAAGAAATTTTTCTTTAACCCAATATAAGAATGCACAAATTTCTTTGATTCAAAGAAAATTTCTTTAAAACAAAGAATCTTTTTTTCTGAATGCATATGTTAAAAAATTTGAATTTTCAGATCTTACAGACAGCAGTTTCGTATTTATCAGTGTTACGAACAAGATATTGAAAGTGTAAAATGTGTAATTTTGTATCGTGATTATATTGTCTTTTTTTACATACCGCATTAAAAAAATTAATTAGTTGTAAATATTTTGTTAAGAAAAGACTTTAATATTTTGCAGAATGTAATAATAAAAAACAATTATGTAATTTATCGACTTTTAAAAATTTATTAATTAATTAGTTATAAATATTTTAGTTGTAGAAAGAAAAGAAATTGTTTCATTTAAAAAAATAAAATTTGCAAAAATCTCTAATAACATGTACACTGAAAAAAAATTTATTTGATCCAAATAATCGGTTATTTTATTATCAAATAAATATTTACTTGCACCAAATAATTTTTATTTAAATTAAGTAAATTGTAATTGAACCAATAATAATTTCTGTATTTGAAACAAATATCATCTCAAATAATAATTATTTGGTTCAAGTAAATATTTATTTGATAATAGTCAAGTAATCGATTATTTGAATGAAATAAATTTTGTTTTCACTGAGTCTTTAAAAGCCCAACATTCTATGAAAATAGTAAAATATTTAGATTTTTTCTTTCCGCGTAGTGTAGAAAAGAGAGAAAAATGAAAAAAACAAAAGCATTTTCAGGATAAAATTTCTTTATTACTCCTCCTAAAATTGTTTCGAATTATTCATAGTTTTCTTACACATCGCTGTGCGCCTACCACAACAACATTAATTACATTTAATTGATCACCTAAAAGTAAGAGATACAGTAAGCGTAATTATTTTTATATGTACAGTATTTTTTTTTTTTTTCATTATTATTATTTAAACATCCTCATTTCCCATCGTTTATGTTTCCCACGTATTTTTAAGCACCGCAGCCTTATTAAAATCCCTTATATTTAATCTGCGGTGCTGTTATTTTTATTTATTTATTTATTTTTTTTTTGTTTTGAAAAATTACATTTTCAGATGCGAGTTTAAGCACGAAGACTCGAGTTAAGTGTACAAAAGGAACGAAGGCTCTTCGCTCTCGTTTGATTTCAAAAACCAAAAATGACGAAATTTTCAAATAAACTGACTATATATATATTTATATTTATATTTCTGATAGTTTATTATAATTCTTTTGAAATATTTTCTTTACTCATAAAAAAATTCTTTCAAAATTCTTTTTCTTCCTTTCAAATAATTTAAAAATATTTACAAAATTTATTTCAAACAATTTTGAAATTTTCAATGTAATAAATAAAGTAGAATTTTTTTTTTTTGGAAAATCTTCTCGATTCGTTCTGTGAATAATTTTTTGAATCAATTGAAATGAGAGAAAAATGAAGAGATTCGAGAAGATGTCTTTTTTTGTAATAGACTGTTTTTGTTTGTTTGTTTTTTTTTAACAAGAGCGCACAGACTGTTACGTAGAAGAGCGAGTGTACGCCTATGGATTATAGATACAGGTAAGCTAAGACCCTTTAATACGAATAACTTGTGTACATTTAGATTCGTTAATGTCACTGTCGTTTCGTGCCAACAGATTCTCACTTTCACTCTCACTCTCTCATTCTCTCTCCTTATTTTCTTTTTTTAAATCCGCGTCCGCGTTAAACGACAAAAACCGTATCATTCCAATTCTTCAACTTCGCTCAATTTGGCCAATATTTTCTATTAAATTGAAATTAATTCGATATTAACAAATAAAATTCTTTTATAATTTTTTTTTAAAGTGAATTTTAATTTATTTCCGTAAAATTTTGTTTTTAAATTATTTTATTTTCACTTGGAAATGTTAGGTTTTCTTAATTTTATTGGAAAAGATATTAAACGTATTTAGTCATTTTTTTTTTTTGAAGTTAGATGCAAAAAAGGAGAACTTTTTAGCCCAAGTGAGCGAAGTTAAAAAATTTAGAGACTTTGAATCTTCTCACAATAAATATTACCCTAATTTCGTAAAGCGTTATGTACTTTTTTTTTGTATAAACCGTTCGCGGCTACTAAACATGAAAGACAAGAGTGTCACGATATACCCGTTGTGTATACCTCGTAGGTCCCGACGCTAATAATTATTTTCGAGGTCAACTCTCGACGACGGCCTTTCAATTTCCAGACACAATATTCGAAAATTCAAGTTCAAAAATCGGAAAATTTTTTGATTTGTAATTTACAAAAAAAAAATAATAAATTTTTCAATCATTAATCTCATTTGTAATTATTATTATTATTAAATAATTTAAATTAATTTACAAAAAAAAATAATTGAAAACAATAAATTCATCAATATATTCAATCGTTTCGAATTTTTGAAAAAAAGTTCCGATTTTCAGACTCAATTTCCTTTTTTTTGAACTTAAAAGACGCGAAGATATTCGAACCTCGAGAAAAGTGACTTGCTTGGAAGAACGATGACTTATTTTTTATGGAATATCAAGTACAATATGTGGGTGGGGGGGGGGGGGTCGAGAGAAAAATTCACAACAGGAATTTTCAGCGCGTCTGGAAATTCAGTACCACGACTAGATTTAAAATTGCTATATATAGTTATTGAAAATCCTTTTTTCAATTTAGAAGAAATTGCACAAAATTGCAAAAAATTTGTGTAATTCGCAATATTTTCTTTTTTTTTTTGTACATTTTTGACAATTTGCGCAAAATATTTTTGTAAAAAAAAACAACCGATCGATAAATATCGAAACTTATAAATTATTATTTACAAACTATCGAGATACTCGAAAATATAGAATTTTTTTTAAATAAATAAAAAAAAATGACATAAACGCAAAAATTGAAATTTTTACAAATTTCAAAAAAAAATATATTTCATTAGTTTAAAAAAAAAGAGCCAATGAAACTAGGAGAAAAATTTGCAATTTTGAATTTTTTTTTTAATGAATTGATGAAAGGGGAAAATTTTCGATGTTTTTTTTTTTATCGAGTCGTGGCGAAAGCGTCGATGAGCGAAGAGGAGGAAAGCGCCGAAAGAGTGTACGCAGTCTGTAGCCAGTGTCAAAGAAAAAAAAAAAAAAAAAAAAAAAAAATGAACCGAAAACGGAAGAAAAAAAAAGTAGATTAGGTAGACATCGGCAAGGTAAAGTCAGCGAAGCCCCCAGTGACGAAATGGCAACAACAGGGGTGCCAATAGCAGGCATCATGTCACTTCCATTGCGAGTGAATTTGTTTTACTCGTTCGCACTAATTGCTGTTGTTGTGGCTTCCCATCACACGCCGATGATTCCACTCCATCTACTTCCATTTCCATTCCTTCACTGAAAAAATAATTTCATTTATTACTATTGTAAATATTTTTTTTTTGTATTAGACAATAGGTCTAACAAAAACGAATTTTCAAGCAAAATATAACAACAAAATTTAAACTGTATAAGCAATAAACCCCTAGAAAGATATATTTCTTTGATTCAAAGAAATCAATTTTGAGAAAAAAAAATTACCTTCATTTCAAAGAAATTTTTTATTTCATTCAAATAAATGTTTCTTTTACTTTATATCAATGTTATAATTTCTTTGATTTAATGCACAAATTTCTTTCATTCAAAGAAAATTTCTTTGAATCAAAGAAAGTTTTTTTGAATTTTTTTGTTTCAAAGAAAATTTTATTTTAAATGAAAAAAAAACAAGTCAAAGAAATTTGATTTCTTTAAATCAAAGAAATCTTTTCTCTACGTAAATAAAATAACATTTAAGCGTACTATTTATTTATGCAAACAAAATGTTACCTTTTATACATCAATAAATATATGGCAACAATTTTTATGCGTTACACCCAAAAAAAATTCTGTTTCAAAGAAATTATCTTTGAATAAAAAAAATTTGTTCATTCTTTTAGGGTCAATGAAAAATTTCTTTGACTTAAAAATATTATTTCTTTACTTCTTTTTTTTTAAATATTTTTTTGATTTAACGAAATTTTTTATTTGAATCAAAGAAGAATAAATTTTTATTTTAATGCACAAATTTCTTTTAAATGAAAAATATATTTATTTCATTTCGAGATTTTATATACGTTCGTATTTTTATTAAAATATAATTTTAAAATAATTAAATATCCTTGAAATACCTGTGAAATATATTTTAAAGACATTTAATTAATTTAATACGGACTTTTACTTTTACAAGTTCGGAAAAAATATTTCTTTGATTCAAAAAAAAACTTTTTTATGTTAAAAATATCATGTAAAGAAAAAATATAATTAAAAGAAAAAATTTCTTTAATTCAAAACACTAAAATTTTAAACAAAAAAAAATTGTTTGTAAAAACAAAGAAAACTTTCTTAATTCAAACAAATTTCATCATTGATTCAAAAAGTGATTTAAAAAAAAAATTTTTTTATGTCTCAAAGAAATTTTTTTTCTAAGTAGAAAACAATTTGTCCCATTGTTATAATTTTTAAGTTAATTTCTAAACTTAAACATGAAAAGAAACAAAAATTATGATTTTTAAAAATCAAAATTTTAGAATTAACTAAAAAAAAAAATTATAGTCAAGTAACCGGTTATTTGAATCAAATAAATTTTTTTTTTCGTGTAGGTTGTTCGGGAAAATTAAATTCATTGTAACTTCAATGCTAAAAAAAAAATTCTTTGATTTAAAGAATAATTTTTTCAGTACGTGTCATTTTTTTGATTAAAAAACAATGTTTTGTGATCAAACAACAATTTCTTGGATTTAAAGAATCAAATTTAAATAAAAATAATTATAGGAAAAACTAAATTACAATTTTGTAATTAATTGCTAAATTACTCGACTTAAAAATCGAATCTTAAAAAAACAAAACAACTGTTTAAAAATGGTGTCTATATTTTCCCTAGGGTAAAAATAAACACTTTTACACCCAATTTCCAGATATCTAAAAAAAAATTAATTCAGTTTTTTACTGAATTTTTCATTTAGATTCAATTTTACGTGAAAATTCTGAAATTGTTAATTTAAAATTCAATTTCAGTAAAATTTTTTGATACAATGAAAATGAAATTTTAAAATTGATATTAAGGTCATTTAAATATTTATATGTGTTGATTTTTATTTTATTTATTAGAAAGTTTGTTGATTTAAAAGTTGTTTTCTGATAATTGTAAATAATGTGTCAAATTGACGAGAAATTAGTCAAAGAATTTTGAAAAACTTCCAAATAAATAAAATCAGTGTTTTTAATTGTGAATGTTTAATATTTAAAAAAATGTACATTTTCATTGATAATTCTATCACGTAGTATACATTAATATTTTTCGAAAAAGTTCATTGTAGTAACTTTCCCATAAATCATAAAGGTACTAGATTAAAAAATAATTGTACAAATTATTTACAAAAACTTAAAATTACTTAAAAAAAAGGACTTAAGTGTTATAAAATGAGTTTTTCTAATGTTAAAAATTTGGAAATTGCAAAAAATCGCATTTTTTTAATTCTCAATGTTTTTTTTCCATTTTTTTTTTTTAAGTTAAAAGTTAATAATTTTCTAATTAAATAAAAATTTCTGATACATTTTCTTTTTTAATATAATTTTTCTGGACATATAGAAAAATTAAGGAAAACTATATTAACTTTTTTTCTTTTAAATTTAGTTTATTTATTATTTTTACTTCTATTGGAATGAGGAAACGTTTTTACATTTATTATGTTGTTCCGAAGCGTTCAAGTTACAATCTGAAAAAACAAAAGAGTTCATGTTGAGATGGAGGGGAAATGGTCAGGAGAGCGAGCTTAAAAATTTGTTAATTGAAACACTTAAGGGAGAGATCAAAGAAGAAATATTTGAATTTATTAAAATTGTTGAAAAAAAGAAATAAATAAATAAATTATTACTTATTTTTACTTCTACTCTTTTCTTAATTATTTCCCCATTATTAAATTTGTATCATTAAAATTTCAATGTGAAAATTTTATTCATTTTTTTTTGTAAAATTGCATTTTTTCTAAATAATAAAAACCAATTTTTTTATAAAGTTTAAAAAACAATTAAATAAGGGATGGATTGAAAATGTTTAGAAAGAAAAAAAATGAATGAATGGAACTTTTTTACACTCCTACTAATTTCTTATAATTACAATTGTTTCCGATGATAATATTTCATTTGGGTAAATAATTTAATTTTAATTGACTAAAATGACTCAAATAAAAACTGAAACTTATAATTTCAATTAGAAAAAAAATTAAATCAAAATGACTAAATAAACAGAACAACTTTTCCGTTATAAAATTGATTTTCAAAGCTGAATTTTGAAAAAAAAATTTATTTCCCTATTAAAAATTTGTAAAATATCAATTTGTAATTTGATTAATCGTAAAAATAGGTAAATAAAGAATTTCGTTCATTGTGAAATTTGAGTTTCAACAAAATTCAGATGTCTACAACTAGCAATGAAGAAAGTTCCCAGAATTTCTGCGGATTTTTCATTTCGATTAAATTATTTTGATGTTTAAAAATACACATAATAAATATTAAAAAAAAAAAAATACATTTGCATAATTTTTATTCTTTATTCGAAAAAAAGCAAAATTCATTCTCTATTCTTTTATACTTGGAACTTTAAAAATGTTTCCGATTTTGAAAATTCAGGAATTTTTTTTATCCAGTTTTTCGCATGAGTTAAAAAAAACTCAATTAAAAATTTTTTCATAAACTTTTTTTTTTATATAAAACAATAAAAATTATGCAAACGAAATAACAGAAATTTAAAAAAAATTCATTTCTACATTTAGAATTTCTAGGTTTTTTTTTTTATTTTCCTGAAAATTCCAAGTTAAAAAAAAAGAAAGAAAAAAATGCATTACAGCAAGAGTGCAAATTTGCGTGAGATTTTAGCGATTTCAGAGTTAAGTAAAAGATTTCAATTGAAATGAAAAAATGTACATTTTGAAGCATGGTTTATTACTTCTGTAATTTTTTTTTTTTAATTGGAACTAAAAATAATTATTGTTAGTGTCAATTCATTAAATTTCAGCTAGTCGTTGCGACCTCTTTTAAAAAAAATCTGGACACGAAGTTTAAAATTGACCAATCACAATTTTTGTAATTTCTTTGTTAACTTTATATTGCACTTGTTTTTCAATTAGAATTATCTTGCTTTGACATTTATATTAGCATTTTATTATCGAGAGGCGTTGAAATATTTTTACGAATTAGATTTTTCTAAAAATAGGATGCAACGAATAGCTGAAATATAATGGATTGATCCGTTAATTATTATTATTATTGTTTTCAATGGTTAAATTGTTTGGAATTATTTACAATAAAGAAGAATAGATATAGTGCATTCTATTTTAAAATGACACCCCTAGTAAACAATTGATAATATAAGATAATTTTTAAATATTTAATTAGTATAAAAAAATTAATTTGACGGACATTTTAGAGGATTTTGAGAAATTAATTAAAATTCTCAAACGTTTTAGATGTTAAAACGGTTTTGAAATTTTGTAAGATTTGAGTACCACTTATTTAACAAAGCGGAATTTGTTTTTAAAGATATTTAGAAGTTTAACTTTCAAACTGAATTTTTTTTGTACTAATTAAATATTTTTTTTTTTAAATTTTTTTTACAGTAATAAAGTTTAGAAATTTTTCTTTCAAAACCACTCCATTGGATAAGTAATTTGATTTAATTAAATAGGAGAAATTATTTTACAATTTTCTTATATTGTCAATTGTTTATTAGGGGTGTAATTTTAAAATAGAATGCCCCATAGAAATATTTATTTAACCAAAGTTGCAAATGACTCTATCTAAATACAACTACGCTTGCGCTACAACAACTCTCTTATAGGTCAAAAAAAGCGCGCTTTTATAAAATGCTTAATAATAAAAAAACGTTGAGAAAGCAATATAAAAATATTTTCACTATGAAATTTATTTATTATTTTTTTTTGTTAATTATATTGCTTTCTGATAAAAATATTAATTTTCTTAACGTACTTAAGTATATAATAATAATAATAATAATCGTAATATTGCCAATAATAATAATTTTATCATATTTATATAGCATTAATATCATTATTTTTTAAATATTATATCTATTATTATTATAATCAATATAATATGTATTAATTAATATATTATTTATTTTTATGATTATCATTATTTTCATCAAATTACTAATAATTAATAATCTATGATTACATTACACATATAACTATTAAACTAATAAATATTATATTAACTGTAATATGATGTTATTATTATTAAAGGAAAAAAATTCCAGGTATTTCTAGATCAAAATTTAAGAAATACTTGAAATTTTTTTCCTTATTAATTATTATGGTCTGGATGATAACTTAACCTTAATTATTAGAATTATTATATACTTAAGTACTTTAAGAAAATTAATATTTTTATTAGAAAGAAAAATAATTAAGGGGTCTTGTAAATTTTTGAAGCCTTAAATTGAAGGTTTTTTAAAGATATTTTTTCTCAAAAGTTTCAAAATATTATATAGTTTTGAGTAATTCGAGGTTTATTCGGTAGAAAAAATTCCACTGATTTGAATGCAACAAGAATTTTTAAAATCAGAAAATCATTTTTTCGGGTAAGTGACAGCCAAAAATACAATTTTAAAGTTTGGATAAAACGCCCTCTGTAGAAAGAAAATATTAATATTTTTTAATTATTAAAAAAAGGTTTAACGTCCGAGAAATATATTAATTATATTTAATTTATAATTTTATATTCTAACTTCAAACTCTACGTTATTATTTATTGTATTTGTTTATTTGACAATTTATTGTAATTTTGATAGACTCCCTGAAGAGGAAATTATTTAGTTTTCGAAACGTTGGAGTAAACTTTTATTAAAACAAAAAAAAATTCATTTTTTTGTCCCAAATATACATAAAAACATTAAAAGATGTAATTTATATTTTAGACTTTAGAGTTCAAAAATCTTCTATTTTATGCTTCAAACATTTCAAGACCCCTTAAAAAAAATCAATAGTGAAAATGTTTTTATATTGCTTTCTTAAAGTTTCCTTATTATTAAGCATTTTATATAAGCGCTCTTTTTTCGACCTATAAGAGAGTTGTATTTAGGTGTTCAGGCCAAATCAAGAAAATCTCACGCGAGTGTTTTTTTTTAAGCGGCAAAAGCAAAAAAAAAAAAAAAAGCCTTAAAATGAGATCAAAAATAGTGACAGTGTGAAAAGAAAAATAAAAGGCTTTTTTTGGAATGTGAATTAAAGCTTCAATTAGCCGTGAGATAAAGAAAATTCTTCTTCGCTTCCATGCCAACAATTGATGCAATATTATCGCCAACTGACCTATTACTACTTTTAAGCGTAATTTCCCCGGACGTTGGAATCTGCTGTCTGAGGCTGACGAGTTTGTTGTTCTGGGTGATGATACCCGGCAGCAAATTGGACGGCGCTTGCTTCTGCGTTTGGAGAATGATGGTCGATTGATTGTTGGAAAGATGGCTGTTCTGAAGATTATTTGTATTGGAATTGTGAACAACCAATGGTCCATTCTGATGTCCGTTTCCCATATTCCCGAGAACTTTGGCACCGCCTACGTTACTTTTATTGTTCGTTGGACTAGTTAGCGATTTCGATAGTATCGAAGCGGTGGCGGCGGCAACAGAAGAAGATGAAGAAGAAGAAGAACAAGTGTTATTGACAAATTGTCTTGTTTTAGACAGTTTGTTTAGTTGGACTTCGGTTCGATGAGTGAGGGGCGATTGCGACTGTTCGTGCGTTGTCGACAACGACGACGATGACGACGACATTGTGATGGGCGTCGCAAATGACGAGGAGGAGGAGGACGAGAGTGACGACGTTGAACTTGAGGACGAGATGAGGAAATTTGTCGAATTTGTACTTACATTATCACTAGCACTGCACTGGGGGGGTCGATTTGGCGGCGGGGTAAAGACTGAGTTCTCCGTACTCAAAATGAAACGAGATGATCCGAGTTGATCGAGTTCGTCTGTTCGCGACTCGCTCGGAGTATTATTGTTCGTGATTGTTGGCAATGCACTGCCAACCGCCAAATCAAAGTCCGACAACGCGTCCGTTGAGAAATAGTCCGATATATTGAATTCAGATGTGAAGGGCGGCTCGTCACCGGGACGATCAGACTCAACGTCAACGCATATTGACGTCACCTCCGCCGGGAAGGGATAGGGGGCCATTGGCTCCGGCCTCAGGTGAGACGATGGCTCTGTTTCCGAGTCGGAGTCACTGCTGTTACCACAACTGCTGCCGCCTGACTCACTCGGAGCACTCTGCGACATTGGTGGCGTCTTCGGCCGGAAGTGCAATCTAAAAATTCAATTTCTCATTGCAATTTCAATTTAATTTCTAAATTGTAATTATAAATTATTTATTATTTATATCAATAACTTTTGCTCTGAATTTTAAAAAGCCACGAAACACTTCGTTTCCTAATTTTTTAAATTGTCAATAGTTTTCAAAGGGAAATTATATTAAATTAACGTACATTTGTTTCTTAACTGCAGTCGTAGTTGTGGCAGTCGCCGTTGGATCAATCGATTCTCGTTTTGGTTCATGTATCGTGAAATCCAAAGAAGACCACATGTCGTCCATATCGCTTGGACAACGGTCCAAAATTACTCTGAAAAAAACAAATTAATTCAATTTAGTAAAGAAAAAGAAAAATTGCATCTATAAAAAAGAGACTTGTAGGCCTTGTAGGTATCTTTTACTCCAACTATTTGAAAAATGATTTCTTTTTTTTTATAATTACCTGCCGCCTCGACCAACTCGTCGTCTTGCAAGGCCAATGCACCTTGGAGTCGGTTTACTAATGCTCGTCAGGGCGAACCTGAATCTTTTGTCGGCTAATCCACCTTCATCTCTATCGCACCAAGGCCAATTTCCATATCCACCTGATACAGGCTATCGAACAAAAAAATACAAAATTAACTAAACTCCGAAAAATACTGATTCCTCCTTTTCATTTTTGCAGTAAAAGAAAAAAAAATATTTTAAATGTACTTAAGAATCATAATTTTGAGTCACTATTTGTGTCTTGAATTTGTTAAAGAGAGGTATTAATTTTAATCTAATTAAAAATTACCGATAAGTAAGAATTATATCTGGTTCGCTTGAATGCGAATTGACCCTCGTCAGTCGTGTCGTCATCAGTGCGATCCAAAGGAAGCGAAGGTTGAGTGTGCGAGTGAGACGGAAGAGGACTGTCTTCATCTGAACTGATCAGCGGGTCCAGCCCGCTTCCAAGAGCCGCTCGACTTCCTCGACCTCCGCTACTTCCCGTACCACCTCTCACATCATCTAGACCTCCTCTTGTGTCCGGTTTGTGTTTTCGCTTCTTGTACTGTCGTTTCTCCTTCCTCGGAATCACTTCGTCCTTTATTTTTTTTAAATAACAAACGTTTCATTTAAATCAAACACTTATATTCACATTCGCAGATTTCATACTGATCCTAACAAATATTTTGGGGGGAAATAGGGAAAATGAAGCCTAAAAAAAAGTATCTCACCTTTCCACAAACTTTATTGGCCCAATTTTGATGAACACCAAACTGATTTGTGAAGAGTGGAGCGAAAGCCGGTCTTGAAGTCTTCAATGCCGAAACTTCCGTGAGAATTTGTCCACTAAAGTCCTGCGCTTGATACCTGGTAAAGAAAAAATTTTTTTTCTCTTTTCTTTTTCAGAAAAAAATTTCTCTCTTAAAAAAAAAAAATAAAAAAAAAACAAAAAACGATGGAAAACTGAAGTAACACCAATAACGGACCTCTTTTCGTAGACTTCGATAGTCAAATGAAGATGCTCTCGTTTCGTTTTCTCGCGTCTTTTCACCAACTCGAGAAGAGTGACAGCTCTGCTGAGATCACGTCGCAACTTGAGCATTTTTTCATAACTTGTCTCGTCATTTTTACGAATTTTACGCGTTTGCATTTTTTCAGCTCGTCGTCGGAATGCGAGATACGGATTGTTTACTGCCGAACCAATACGATGTTCCGTTTTCACCGTCAAAAGTAACGGATGTTGCTAAAATTTGCAAAAAAAAAATAATTAATTTATAAAAGTCAATTATCGAGAAAACTTATTAAAATTATAATATAGAGAATTTCAGATTAATAAAGATAAAAAAAAAATATATATATATATTCACCGTTTTGAGACGTTTGTTGAGCCAATAGTCAAAAACTGCAATGATGAGATCGTCATCTTCTTTTAGAAGCGCTTTTGCCTCGTTGAGAGTGACAACAGTTTGACCAGAGCTTTTCTCGAGTCTATCCATCATTTCCTCGAACTGCAGAGGAGTCAAGTCCATTTTTCGACTTTGAATTCCGACCCATCTTTCGTCCTCGGAATCCATGTCATAATCTGGAATGTCCTGCTCCATTGCGAAGGCTGAAAAACATTTATTCTTTTTATTGACAAATAGTTTCTAATTTCGAGTGCAATTAAATTAATCTGGTTTATTTTCTTTATTTACATATATACGGGCTTACAGAAAGAAAGAAATGAGCCCTTTTGTATGAAGTTGCTGAATTTAAAAACCTATATTCAAAAGTAAAAAATTTTACAGATAATTTTAAAAAGATTAAAGAAAATTGAGTAAAAAAAAATGTTTTTAAAAAGAAACTAAAAAATAAATTCAAGAAATAAAATAAAAGAATTGTTGAAATAGAAATTAAATCGAAACCAAAAAATTATTGAATAAATAAAATTAAAAAAAATAAAGACCAAAAACTCATTGAATGAATAAAAAAAATAATTATAAAAGAATAGAAAATAATCTGAAACGTAGTAAATATTTTATCAGGCAAGAAAAAATGAACAATGTAAAAACAAAATAAAGAAATAAATATAGAGATAAAAGAATTGAAAATAGCGAAAAAAAATTTCGATTATTTACATATACAGATTAACAATGTTACATAATTCTTTATGTTAATGTTTTTTTTTAACTTATCATTTAAAAAAATTGCAATAAATATAAGTACTGCCAAGTTTTGATGAATTTACTTTAAGTATTTTAAAGCTTAAAAAAAAGGTAAATTTTGATTGGTTTAAATTTCACTGGTGATTATTGTAAAATTCATCATTTTTTAATATATTTATTCTTTTTTATTGCTAAATTCTTTACACTTTTTCTATTATTCTAAAAAATCATTTCCATGAATTTTTAAAAATTTTTAGTATCTTCAAACAGTAAAATTTTTAATTGGTTAAAAATAAATATTTTTTATTATTTTTTCAAACATTTTACAATGTATTAACTTAAAATTTAATATATTCTTTAGAATGTAAAAACAATTAAATTATCAATGAAATAAATTATTGAGATTATATTTTTCATAATCATTGAAATTAACACTGAAAAAGAAAAATTTATTTGATTCAAATATTCGTTTATTTGACTATTATCAAATAAATATTTACTTGATACAAATAATTTTATTTTATTAAAATTATTTTCATGTAAAACTAAAAAATTATTTTATTTTAACAAATAAATTTATATTTGAGTTAATAACTTTTGTACTTGAAACAAGCACCATTTAATTGACTCAAATAATAATTATTTTGATACAAATAAATATTTTTTTGATAATAGTCAACAATGAAAAAAAATTTATTTGATTCAAATATTCGGTTACTTCATTATAATCAAATAAATATTTACTTGAACCAAAAAAATTTTTATTTGAGCCAATTAAATAGTATTTGTTTTAAATACAGAAATTATTGGTCTAAATACAATTTATTTAATTCAAATAAAAATTATTTGGTACAAGTAAATATTTATTTGATAATATTCAAGTAACCGATTATTTGAATGAAATAATTTTTTTTGTGCTTACTTACTTACTTCAAGTAAAATTTCAATTCTTTTGAAATAAAAAAATTTCATTTCCACTACAAAAGAAATCATTTATTAAACTTTTTTTATTTTAACAATAAAATTCAAATATTTTTAAATTTAAACGATTCCTTTTACGGTAAAACTAATTCTTTTAAAAATTAAAGAATTTGATTTAAAAGGAAATTAGTTTTAAGTTTATTATTATTATAATTATTATTTTTGATTATTTTCGTTAGTTTTGAAATTTTTTTTGAATCTTTAACTTATTTTTGCCGAAAATATTAATTAATTTTTATTTGGCTAAATTTTTATATAAAAAAGCTTTCTAAAAATTTAAATTTGCCCAAATTTCCACATGGTCGAATGAAAATTTGTCCAAATGAGAAAAAAGGGTCATTTCGTAAATTTTTTATTTTATTTTAATTTCTAATAACTAAGTGGAAAAAAATTAAGATTTTTGAGAGAAAAAAAAATCTTACGTTGCATGTGAATAAGCTGTCGAGGTAATTTGTAGTCAGCGGGATAAATTCTGTCGTAGATATTTTCTTCAGTTAAATTTGTTACCTCAGGGGTAGGAATGATTAACCCTTTGCTCATCGCTCTTTGAAGATGATGCTCCTGAAAATTACAAAAAACGTAAATAAATTCTTCAAAAACTATTAAAAAAAAAAAATCAAAAATGTTTTCTAAAATTGTCACTTTTTTATAAAAACAAATTTTTCTACTGCAGTTTCAATTTTTGTTTTCTAATAAAAAAAATATATTAAAATTGATAAAAAATAATTTCAAATTATTTAATTAATTTATTATTATTAATTTTCGCAATAATTTGAATATCATAAAAAAATTTCGTTGTTTACATTTTAAAAATCGCTATTTTTGAAATAGATGATTAATTATTAAATTAATTTTTAATTACAAAAATCATTAAAATTAAACAAGAAATAAAAATCAAGAAGGATGTTTAATATAAAAAGACAAAAAAAAAAAATCAATATTTTTCGGAAAAAATATTCTCATGAATATGGCAACAACATCGCCCTTTAAACCCCGATGTGTCAGGCCTCCAAAACAATGCAAATAAAACATTTCCTAATTATTAAATAATCGATATTTTTCAAAAAACCTTTAATTGAATATTTAAAGTTCCTATTAAAAACAATATTCACCCTCCCCCATGGACCCAAACACCATGAAAATGTTTTTTGGCGTTAATGTTTTTTGACACAAACAGGCAAAACAACAAAAGTGAATATTTCACTTCCAATGCATTGTCAACTCAAAAAATTGATAAATAACAATGTCTAATATTAAAATAAATTAAATTTATGTGAAAAAATAATGAAAAACTAATTAAAAACATAAAAAAAGGGAAAAATTAATTTATAAAGCGCGCGCAACGCCATCTCTCAGGAAAAACGAAAAGCACGCAACAAAATGGCGGACATTGAAAACATGCTCGAGAAAAGACAGGGAAAAATGTGTAAAAATTCATGAATACTTACGCATTCTTCCTCTTTTTCCATTCCGCTTGGCATTTGAGGCACAACACGATTGATGGCTGAATAATCAGGAAGATCAGGGAGTTCCTCGGCCATGTATATTGGCATGGGCTTGAACGCTTCCAGGGGGCGCGCCCTGAACGAAACTTTACTCATGTTGACAAAGTTGTATTTTCAATGGCGCAAAAACAATCAACAACTGCCGTGTTTTGGCAAGAGAATGAAAAAAAATATATGTAGATAATAAACTTGAAGGGAACACAAGGGAACCCGTGTGTGTGTGTGTGACGAGGGGGGAAGTGGGGTCGATTTGTCGGGGCGTGAGTCTTGTTTAGGGTTGGGCCTGGCTGGGGCCCTACGACCGGATCACCCCACACGGAGGACGCTCAGGGCCTCATTTTCGCGTAGCCATTGTCACTCGACACGATTACACACGCGTCAGGTAAGATTTTTTACTTAAAAAACATGTTCGCGTGACACGGTCCCTACTTAAAGCCATGATGGCCGACGCTCAGCCATTTGCACGCTCGGCATTACTATTTTCACGAGGGGAAACTATCAATTCGCATCAGTGTACTCGACAACAGCGCGCAAACAAAAAGTGACGAAACGTCGAACTAAAAAGTTAAAGCAGAACGTTCGAAATGTGAAACGTCTATTGATTTAAAATTTCACTATGCAGGGTTGGAAATGTATAACTCTCTAGGCAGGGTTGTGCCAGTGACTAGTAATTTTTCAAAAATTTCGGGAAAGTTACTAAACATTCAAACGTAACCCTATTGAATTTCACGTCACAGTTGAAATCATTTGTTTCTTTTCCGTTAAATAAAAAGATCATTTTGTCAAAAGTTTTTAGCAAATGTATAATTTAATAATATTAATAATATAATAACAAATTAATTATTATTTTCAATTTTATTGCAAAATTTGAACGTAAAATAAAAGTAACAATTTTTCAAATTATTAAAAACAGTAAATTGTTGTTTAACTGATATAATTCTATTTCAAATTAATTTTTTCAATGTTAAGGGGAGGGACCGGTGAAATTTCAACTCATGTTGTTAAGGGGTGTCAATTTTTTTTCTGGCATTATTTGGAATCTAAAATTATTGTGAATTATCAAAATTAAAAAAAAAAATTTTTTTTGACCATTTTAGAAATTTTATTTTTTGAAAATATTAAAATTTTTTAAAATCCATACGATTGATTGTTCAGAATCATGAAAAAAGCCTACAAAAAAATTACCGATAAAAAATAATAAAAATTGTAAAAGTTAATGAATTTTTAAAGAATAATTGATCAAATTTAAACTAAACATAATTGGTTTTGTTTAGGGTTAACAATTTTCTTTTTAAATTTTTTTAGAACCTAAAATCATATTCCACTATAAAAAATGAAAAAAAAATAATTTTTAACAATTTTACAATTATTTTTTTCAGAAATTTTATTTTTTGAAAAAATTGAATATTTTAAAAATCCACACGATTGATTATTCAGAATCATGAAAAAAAAATGTATCAAAAAAATTAGCAATGAAAGATAATAAAAATTACGATAGAAGTTTAAATTTTTAGTTTTTGATAATTTCGAGTTTTATTTAAAAAATTATTAATGAATTAATTTTTTTTTCAATTTCCAATATATGTATTACAGTTTTAAATCTTTAATATTAAAAAAAAAATTGACAATTTTAATATAAAATAATTTTTTTTTAAAAAAAAAGCTTATTACCACCTGAAAGCTTGAGAAATTCTCTATTAAAAGCATTATTTACATATTATATTTAAAGTTTTTTAAATAAAATAAATTATTATATGAAAAGTACTCTACACGCGATATTCTTTCGAAGGTGGTACGATTTAAAATAGCCTCAATAAATTCAATAGTGAAAATGTTTTTATATATTGCTTTTTTAACGTTTTCTTATTATTAATAGTACAATTAATTAATTACACTGTGTGATAGAAAAAAATTACTTTCAATCGGATTTACCCGATTGTCCTTAAAAACTGAAAAAATGGTGTATATTAAATCACTCAAACACCCCCAAAATTTAATTTGAGAGCAAAAAAAAATCGTTTTTTTTGTTGTGGTTTTTGTATAAAATAGCTTGTAACTTTGACATTTTTGGTCCAAATTCAATGGTTTTTTTTTCATTTTAAAGCTGAAGAAAAGAACTTTTTAACCCTTGTAAGTGTTTTTTTGTTATAATTAAAAATAAGGTCAGAAAAATTGGAAAAATATTAAACACTAATTTTCGGTCACAATTTCATTTAGAATAATTTTTTTTTATTTATGCTTTTGAAGAACATTTAATTATGCGTCGAATGAGATTTTTTTGAACACGATTCGTTAAAAATTAATTGAGTTATTGAAATTAAGAAAAGTGGAAAATTTATATCTTTTGAATTCCATTTCTGTTCAATTCTTTTTTATTCATTTAGAAGAATTGAAAATAATTCAATTCTTTTCAATATTGATTGGAATTGATAAAGTTTGACCTTCTCATAAGTAAAAATTCTTAATTCTTCAATTCTTTTTAAATTTTAGCTTCTTTCTGGTCTGAGGCTTAAATTCGATTTCGAAACTGCATTTTGTGAAATATTAACTCGTAAAAGTAAAAAAAAAAAATTATCGTGTAGAAACTTTATTTTCATAAATAAATTGCATTAATTTCTTTTTAATTATTTTTCATTATTCTAATTCGGATTGAATCAGTCTTAAGAGTTTTTCTCCTGGACTTCTCGGGGGTTCAGATTCCAGTAAGGAAGCGGCTTTGGTCAAAAGAGATTGTCTTTGTTCCCCGGGACATGAAGCAAGCTCTCGAAGAGCAATTGCTGTGTAAAGTGTTAGTCGAGTGCCATAGGGATCAACAATGGAAGTCGTTGAAATTATTCTCTTGCAAATCTCTGCTTTCTGAGGATCATCGGAAGGCATCAATTGAATTAAGGAATGACCCACTGATATACAATGCTGATGACAAGGATGCAAAAGAACCATGAGTCTGAAAAAAATTAATTTTCAAGATATTTCGAAGGAATTGAAAATGTTTTTCTAAAAAATATTTTATACCGTGAGAGAAGATCGGTGAGAACTTCTCGTTTGGCTACTCCCATTGCACCTTCGACTTCTTCACCTAATCTCTCGACTAATTGAGTAACTTCTGTGGAAGTTAGTGTTCCAGGACAGGAGTTACATGACCATTCAGTCTCTTCGTCGAGAGGATCCTTTGGGAGTATCAATCCTTCATTACAGGGACATTTTAAAGTGCCAAGATGACTTCCCAATTCTGATGGATCTGCGCAACGTTCACAAGAACAGAGAAAATATTTCGTTGCCAAAAGATGATCTCTTCGAACCCTCGTCGACCAAAAAACATGAGTATAAGTTGTACTCAAATGTTCTCCCCTAAAATTGAAAATTTCCTAATTAGAAATTTCAATAATCTAAATTAGTGTTCATTTAAAATATTTAATACTTTTTAATAAATGTAACGGCCTTAACGAATATTCGAGGTCTACCCATTTCGTCAATGGAGAATTTAAATCTGGTATTGGCAATACACTGATGTTCCAAGAGACAAGTGTTTTCGTAAATTCCCACCGATCCCTCAGGAGGATTCGTCTCCAAAGCATTTACATCGATCAAGCCAGAGATTTTTGGCAGTACCTCAACGGCACTTGGATCAGCCGATAAAAATGGAGCCAAATATTGAGCGAGGCTTTTAGTCTCTTCATAGGCCTCCGTTCCTAATCCTCGGGATTCTTCATGGCTCTGGAGTTTCATAACTGTTTTCCATTTCTTTGGATTTCTTCGACGCAAAATCAAAAGTCGAAGAGCCAAAATAATACTGCATCTGGTTTCAAAAGAAATATATAGTTTGGAAAAATGATTTTTTTAAAACATATTTTTTAATACCTGGGTAAAATTCTGGCCTTAGCAAGCAATTGACACTCGAGGCCGTGTCTTTCCACATCCATAAGGCCATCGCAGTCAATTCTGCAAACAGGCCAAGAGCATCCAATGCATCTGGCGGGAATTTGTCTACTGCCACAACCAACACACACTCTGTCCTCACTGTGAGGTGCTGGTCCAAAAACTAGTGGCAATTCGGAAATAATTAATTCCTCTGGATGTAAATCTCGAGTGGCCACAAGATATCTTCCCAATTTTTTATCTTCTTTTATTTCCCATGCTCGACACGCGGACTTGTGTCGTTTCCAATCATTACGCTGATGATCTTTGGTGCAATAGAATTCAACTTTACAATCGCTACAACGCAATGAAGCCGGTTTCTCGCAAACTGCACAAATTCCTTTGGATTCTTCAGTTTCCATTTCTAAAAATTTATTTAAAAAAATTACTCTACCGTTAGAAATTAAGTGCGACCTCTGCTTTTTCGATGACTATAAAACGGTTTAAATCTTCAAAAAATATTAAAACTAAAATTTTCTTCTTTTTATTTTCTAAAAGCTAATAAAACTCTGAAAGAAATGACACTTTGATAAAGAGAATATGTTAATTTTTCAATTAGATATCTAAAAACTCAATTTTCAATGTTTTTACTATTTGTTATATTTTCTCTGGCAAAAATTAATATTTTTCATCGTCCTTGGAGTCATTGGAATGGTATTTTGTTATACAATTCAAATTATCTAAAACAATGCATGTCTAAATTCTTCCCTAGCATATGCAAAACGTAAAAGTTGGTTTCAAAAAATTAAAATTCAATTCTACAACAAAATATAATATTTAAAAATCAAGTAAATAGATCATCTTAAACTTCTCTGATTTAAGTAAATTTAAGATTTACATTTGCTGATCATTTTTTGTCATTTAAATATTAATCATAATTTTTTGACTTTTTTAAAGCTAATTTTCACAGTTTGCATAAGGAAAAAAGTGGATATGAATTATTTTAAATAATTTGAACTTTATAACAAAATATCATTCCAATAAGCCCAAGAAAGTTGAAAAATATTATAATTTTTGTATCATTTCTTTCAGAATTTTATTAGCTTTTAGAAAATAAAATAGAAAAAATTTTAATTCTATATCATATTAAAAATATAATTTTTATTGTTAAATGTTTTTTTATGATAATATTTGTAATTTATTAAATTTTTTAAAATTGTTTTTCAAATCTAAATTTTGAAAGAAACTAAAAACTTTTTAAAAATGTTAATTTAAAATTAATTTGAAATTAATGTTATAATTCTAAAAAATACTTGAACTGTAAAGGCTTATGTTAAATTTATAAAAAAAATTGAACGTATTTATTTAAATACTTTATTATTTTTTTAAATTTATTTTCAACCTATTTTAATTTCAATTACTAATTATACTATGTTATTAATTTTTATTTACACTTACCAAAAAGATAAATTTGAAGTAAATTTAATAACTCTGTAAAAATGTTTTCCAAATAGTAATAATCAGTTTATTTCAATCCGCAATCATTTTATAAAATTCACTAAACAAACAATTAGATGCACTATTTTTAAAAATAAACAATTTTTGTAAAAGCAATTGATAATTCAGAAATTTTAATTTAAAACTTTTATTTTACTTTCCTGTTGAAGTTGTTTTAGAAAACCATTCGACGCCATGATAAGTTTATTTTTATCCTGAAACCAAACTACTCGCATCTATTTTTAAAATTGTATTTCTTATTCTATAACTGAAAACTAACCCAATATGTACAGGAAGTTTAAAAATAATTATTTATTAAAATTTAATATTTAAAAAAAATTATTTATTAAATTTTAATATTTAAAAAAAACTTAATGATTATTACTTTGAAAAATAACGCGATTTTTTTATTTTTCATTATTACCATAAAAAATTAATTTTAAGAAGAAAAAAAAGAAAACGTTACTTAAGTTGTTAACTTCACTGTTTTCTAAAATTTAATTTTTTTTAAATCAAACTTTTTATAGTTAAAAAAAAATAAAATAAAAAAATTGTAACAGTTTAATAGAATTAAAAAATGTTTTTTAAATATTAAAAAACATACAAAAAAATTACCAAAAAGATGTTCATGTATAAATTTCTGTCTTAAACTGTTTCTTCATTTCCGATTATTAAGGTTAAGTTTTTTTGTAAATAAAAATGTTTCTAATTAAAATTTAATTGCTTTTTTTAATAAAAAAGAATTCTAATAAATTGGTTGATATTTTTTTATTTATGTATATTTTACACTTTGTAAAATAAAGTAGATAAAATTTTATTGACTTATTATTAAATAATAATAATAATAATTAAAAATTAATCATCAAGAACGTTACCGATTTTTATTTCTAAATTAAAATTGTTAACAGATGGAATTTTCCAAAGTAGCAGACTCATGTTTTACATGGACAATAAATGATTTTGAAAAATCTTGCACTGATTCGTTAAAAAAGAAAAATCTTTGTTCATCAAGTTTTACAACTTCAATAGAACCAAGTAGACAGTGGAATTTAGTTCTTTCTTTAACGGAAAAATTTGGCGAACATTGTGAACGTTGTAAATTAATAAGACCAAAAAAATATCCACCCGAGCCTTGTAATGTAAAACTCGACAGAAAAATTATCAATTTAGAATTGATTTGCGACAAAATTATTGAAAATCCAGCAGATATAAAAGTTAATATTTCAATAATAAAAAATCTTGAAAAAATTTACACCAGAAGTTTTATAACATCTGGAGATGAGACAAATTTTGGTTTCAATAATTTCATTGATTTTGATGAATTAATGAAAATAATTAATGACAGTCAATTAGAAATATTTGTTGAAATGTTTTTAAAAGCTGACGAGAAAAATAGCGATTTTAAAGTGTTTATGAATTCCAAATTTTTGAGTGATATTCAAATTTTAATACAAGATCAAAAGTTCTACGCTCACAAGGTACAAAAAGTTAAGTAGTTAATAAAAAAAATTAAAATTAAAATTTTTAATGAAAAAAATATAACTAAATTTTTTTTTAAATTAACTATAGTATTATTATTAGGTAATGTTAGCAGCAAAAAGTCCATATTTCAACGATTTATTTGAAAAAGATAAAGAAATGAAGAAAGTAAATAGTCTTGATTGTATAAAACCAGACGCCTTTATTGAAATTTTAAATTACATTTATTCTGATAATATTGAAAATTGGTCGTTGTCTTGCGATATTTTATTGGGGGCAAATCTTTTAAAAATTGATAATCTTAAATCAGAATGTGAGGAATATTTAAGAAACAATATAACAATGGAATGCGTAAGTCCAGTTTTGATGTTGGCTGTTGCGTGTGATACAAAATTTTTATTGAAACACTGTCTTTATTATATTATGAAAAATGTGAATAATCTTGCTAAATCGGATAATTTTCAATGTTTAAAAACTGAACCACTTATAATATTGAATATTCTCAAACAATTATTTCAACACACAGCTAATGGAGATTTATCAATTACTGATAATATAAGACTCTCATTTAAAAATAGTGAATCACAAATTAATTGTCAAATGTTAAAAGATTATGAACCATTTTTATATAGCGATATTTTAAGTGATATTATAATTAAAGTTGAGGAAAAAATTTTTCAATGTCATAAATTGGTTCTTGCTGCAAAAAGTTCAGTATTACGTAGAATGCTAATGTGTAATATGAAAGAGGCTATTGATAATTTTATTCAAATTAAAGATATGAAAGCTCAAGTATTTCAAGAAGTACTCAGGTAAATTTCAAAAATTCATTCTCAGGTTTCTAGAAAACAAAATAAAATTATCAATAAAATTCTTTTTATTTCGTTTTTTTATAGAAACCTTGAGGAATTATAATTATTTTTTAAAATAAGAAAAAAATTTATTCTTACATTGTGAGAAAAACAAATGTGTTAATATATTTTGAAAATCTAAAATATTGAAAAATTTAATCCTTAGATACATGTACACTGGAAGAGTGGAAAAACTACAAGATTATGCACTCGATATTTTAAAAGCTGCTGATCAATATGATTTAGAACATTTAAAAAAATTGTGCCAAGAATTTTTGGTTGACCATTTAACGCAAGATAATGTCGTTGACATTGTGAAAATTGCAAACACATATAATGCATCGTTCCTAAGAAAGGGTTGCATTTATTTTATTGTAAAGCAAATGATTTTTTATTCAAAAATGGATCGAGAGCCGAACAAAATTATTTTGGATAGTCTTACTGAGAATCATTCTAATATTCTTTTTGAAATTCTTCAAGTCTTAACCAAAAATTGTCACATTTATCACTATTAAAATGAATGTTTGCTGCATTAAAAAAAAAAATTTTTGCAATCCGTGAAAAATTGTTATTACAAAGTAAGTTATCAAAAAGTATTAAATTTTCTTTTTTTTAAAAAAAAAAAATTTATTACATTAATTTTGATCTGGATTTATTTTTCAATTTCTAGAAGCACACTAGAAATATTTTTCAATACATGAATGACTAGAACTGTTTGCGAACTTTTTTGAATCATTTCTCGCTTGTCTTTGCGCATTTCACTACCTATATTTTTTAGTCCTAACTCTCAACAAGTAAGTTCTTCTATATTAAAAATTTTGATACAAAAAGTAGTCAATAATTTTTTATTACTCAAAATAAATTTATCAATTTTTATCCTTAACAATTAAAAAAAAAATTTTAATTGAACCTATTTAAATTTAATTTATTTTGTTAAAAATACAAAATGTGAGCAAAATAAAAAAAAATGAATAATTTCGAAATATTTTGATTAATTAAAAATATTACTTTTATGATTTATAAAGTAATAATTATACAGGGTGATTTTTATGTTCAGGACCCCCTAAAAAAAATTTTTTATTCTCATTTTTTTTCGTTTTTTAAACAAAAATAATGGAATTTAAAAAAAAAATTTAGGGGGTCCGGAATTGTAAATTAATAAATTTAAAGATCTGGGAAATTTTTATGTGGTTTAATTTGACGAATTTTGGTTAATTAATAATAAATTTTAAAATTGAGTCTTCGAAATATCCAGAATGTTACCTTTAGTTCCCAAAGAATAGAAAAAAAAATTAAAAGATTCTGTTAAAATTTTACCAGCATCTGCATTTAATTAATTAAATTATTTAAAATAAAATTTAAAAAAAAATTCATTAAAATAAAATTTTAAAGGTTGAAAATAATTTTTTACATTAGAAATTAAAATAAATATTTTATTTATTTATTCTAATAAAAATTTAAAAAATATTTAAAATACTAATTAAATAACAAAATATTTTCATATCTTGTATTTTTTTTCTTGCTTACAGCTGAGTTTCTATATAACTTTTTTATAGTTAATGTTTTTTTTTTTTTATTATACGGGTCTGTTTATGTTCTTTATTACTTTCTCGAGTACGAAATATGTCGCAGAAAAATGTTTTTTATCATATTTTAAAAATAATAAATTTCGCATATATTTTTTCTCTATAAAAATTCTAATAATTTTTTTTTTCTGCAAATATAATTATTGTAAACTAGAATAAAAAAATAAAAAAATTTGGAAAAAATTTTTAAAGAAATATTTCAACATAATAGAAGATAATAAATATTAATAATTTAAATTTTACAGATGGAATTTTCAAAAGTAGCCGATACATGTTTCACATGGACAATAAATGATTTTGGAGAATTAAATATTGATTCTTTGCCAGAAAAAAATTTTACTTCGACAAATTTCACAACATTAAAGGATCCAAATAGAAATTGGCAATTACTTCTCTCTATAAATAAATTAAATCAAATTTTTCGTTCAATATCAAAATGTGATAATTCTAATTGTTTAAAAAAAACATTAACCAAAAAGATTATTAATTTGAAAATTTTTTGCAATGAAACTACCACTAATCCAGAGGATATGAAAGTTGATATTTCAATGAAAAACAATTTTGAAAAATTAACTAGAAGTTTCATTATTTCGGGAAACGAAAAGGAATTCTTTTATGAAAATGTTATCGATTGTGAGACAATGTTAAAAATGATTCAAGACGGGAAACTAGAAATATTTGTTGAAATGTTTTTTCGAATTGAGAAGAAAATAAAATTTTTCGAAATAATCAGAAATTCCGAATTTTTGAGTGATATACAAATTTTAATAATGGGTCGAAAATTTTATGCGCACAAGGTAAAAATCATAAATGAATCATAAAATCAATTTTTATCAATAAAAATAATTTTTTCCATCGCAAGTATTTATTTTTAAAAAATTTTTATTCACAGGCTATTTTAGCTTCGAGATGTCCATTCTTCTATCAATTATTTCAACAAGAGAAAGAAATTAACGAATTTAAGAATCTTGAAATAATGCCAAAAATCTTTACGGAAATTTTAAAGTACATTTACTCCGACTATTTGGAAAAATGGTATCTCTCGTGTGATATCTTAATTGCTGCAACTATTCTACAAATGGAAGATTTAAAATTGGAATGTGAAAATTATTTGAGAAATAATTTAACATTCGATTGTATTAATACAGTTTTGATAATATCTGTCGAGTGTAATACAAAATTTCTACTAAATCACTGTCTACAGTATGCATTAAAAAATATAAATGCACTACCAGGATTAAAAAATTTTCACTGCCTCAAAACAAAACCACTTGTGGTATTGCGTATTTTGCAAGAAATTCTCGATCAATTTCATAATGGAAAAATAACAATTGTCGACAATATAAATTTATCCTACGCAAAGATTGCGTCAAATAAAAGTAGCTATTTATTAAAAGAATACGAGTCATTTTTGGATAATAAAAATTTAAGTGATATTACAATTCGAGTTGGAGATAAAAATTTTCACAGCCATAAAATTATTTTAGCTGCTAAAAGTCCAGTTTTACGTGAATTAATTGTGAAAAATATAAAGGAAAATAATTTAATGGAATTTAATGATATTAAAGCAGAAATTTTTGAGCAGGTACTAAGGTGAGAAATAATTTTAAAAATTAATTTGCAAGATAATATTTTTTTTTAATCTATAATTTTTGGGGAATATTTGTTCGTTCCAATTTAATAATGAAAAACTTTCTATTTAGATATATGTATACTGGAAAAGTGAACAATTTACAAGAGTACGGAATTGATATTTTAAAAGCCGCAAATCAGTATAAATTGGAGCACTTGAAAAATATATGTGAGGAATTTCTTGTGGGAAATTTGACACACGACAATGTGGTGGATACATTGAAAATTGCTGACGCATGTAATGCTCCGTTTCTCGTAAAACATTGTAGTCATTACATTATGAAGTATATACTTTCGAATTCTCAAAAAAAAGAGAACAACAAGAGAATTACTCTAAATATGTTTATTAATTGTAAACACAATATTTTCTACGAATTTCTTAATGTAATGAGCAAAAATTGTCAAGTTTTATATAATTGAATTATATGTCTTGTATTTCATCAAGAACCGAATTGACGCTGTCACCTTTTTTTTTAATTTTTAGTAAATTTTGATTTCTCTTTTGTATCTATTCGTATTTATGGCACTGACTTTTTTAATATTGCTTTCCGTTTTCAATAATAAAAAAAAAATTATACGAAAAAAATAGTGTTTTATTTAAATAAAAAAAATCATCTGAACATTTTTTAACTTTACTGTTTTTTAATTTTTAAATAAGAAAATATTTTTTATAAAATTAATTAATAAACTTGTAAAATTTGTTGAATTTTTTTGATTTAGAAACTTTTATTTAAATTTACTTTCAAATTTTTTTTAGTGATTAAAGAATTTAATTTACAAAAACAATGGCAAATTATGAAAATGATTTTAACATGCATTTTCAAATTTTAATATATTATTATTGAAATTAATTTATTTTCTATAAATCTACCTCTAATTTAAAATTGAAAATTTTACAAAATTTTACAATTTTATACTGTTAAATTAATTTTTTTAATTTTGTAGTCCTTCAAATATTTTTATTGCTATAACTTATTAAATTCAAAAGTTGACGGAAATATATTAATACTTAATAGTAAATTCAATAGTGAAAATGTTTTTATATTGCTTTCTTAAAGTTTTCTTATTAAGCATTTTATATAATCGCGCTTTTTTCGACCTATAAGAGAGTTCTTGTAGCGCAAGCGCAGTTGCGTTTTGGCAACTCTGATTTTCTTTCAATTATACCTAAGCCGAATGAAATCTCTTAAAATCTTAAGCTTTTACATGAGAGAGAAAAGGATAGAAATATCTTTTGTCCTTTTCTCTCTCATGTAAAAGCTTAAGATTTACGATTAGAGATTTCATTCTGCGTTGGCCCATTGAATAATAAAATATTTATTTATAAAAATAAAATATTCTAATCTAATTGTGGGAATTTATTCATTTAAATATTTTCAATACTGTAAAAAAATAAATGATTGTATTTTTTCTAGCAAAGAAATACAGCAATACAAAAGTAAACAAATTAACTTAATTTACAACTGAATATAAGGAATCTATATAAAGTAAATAAATATATATATATCAATAATAATACTGATTTTAATCTTCTTCCTCGCATTTTAATCCCGCAGTTATTAGTACCTCTAAAACAAGCTGCGGATGTGATTTTGATAATTGTTTGAAAGCATCCATTCCTAGAGAGCCAGATATTAGTTTATTTATCAAGAACACAATACATCGTTCTTTGAGTACAGTGGCATTTCGATTTTCCGCAATTTTCAGCATTGAAACAACATTTTCCACATTCACTTTTAACATCAATGCCCGTTCGCAAACAATTTTCAACGTTGGAATTTGGTATTTATCAGCGGCTAACAGTAATTCATACGCCATATCGTCGAGATTTTCAACAGATCCACTGTAAATGAAACGTAATAATTCATAAAAAACAAGTGGATCGACGTCATTAATTTCAATCTTTGCATTTCCCTCGAGTTCAATGAGAATATTTTTAAAAAACAAACTTTTTGCACTTAAAATTAATTTATGTGCACGATAAATTTTCCCTCCATTATGAATTTCAACATCGCTCCAAATTTCTTGATTGAGAAATGTCTCGAAACCATCGTTTTTTTCTTGGATTGTCTCATTCATGTTTTCAGATGTATCTATTTTATTTGTTGTCCATGAATTAACGAAGAAATCTTCAGCAACTTGCAATAATAAATGCATATAACGATCAGTGAGTGTTTTAAATTCTTCGGACGCAACAACCTCTTTTAAATTGGATTTAATGAATAAAAAACAATTGTCCTTTAGTCCAAATGCATTAAGATCATCGGCGAGTTTTAATATTCTCACCACATTCTCGCTGGTTAAATTTTTATATAAATGTGTCTCGCAAATTATTTTCAAACAATTGATATCGTATTTATCGGCAGCGACTAAAAGGGGACACGCGTATTCATTTAATTTTCTCACTTTTCCACTGTACATGAACCATAAAATTTCGTAAAAAATATTTGACTCTATATCAACGATATTGACAACATTGGAAATATTTTCCTTTAACTGATGAGAGAACATTTGTCGAAAAACGGGACTTTTAGATGATAAAACAACTTTATGAGCGGGAAATACCTGATTGCCGACATGAAATTCAATATCGCTCAGTGATGTTTTAGTCATGAAATTTTCAAAACCAGTTGATATTGTCTTCAAGGCTTGCTTTATGTTACATACAATTGTAAGATCCTTGTCTACGATAAAGTCTTTGATTCGTTTTAAACTGATAAAATCACGAAATCCTGACTGTGAAAAATCACCACTTTGTACACAGAAAATTGTACTTTTCTTGTAGTATTTATTTGTAGTCGAATTTTTTAAAATGTACTTCACCTTTAACGGTGGGAGATTTTGATTAATTCTCAGATATGAGAGACGAATGGAGACATCGCCTTTACAATGTTCCTGTTGACATTCCTCGCAAACTAAATTGTGATAAGACGAACAAGTACCGCAATAAATTCTTCTCGAACAATTCAATGAAATACTCCAATCTTCGCAAACGTTGCCCTCAGATGGGAATTCTGGTGAAGATAATTCATTTTTTGTTGTTATGGTTTGATTAAAATCTTTTATTTTCCATGTGTAGCTTGTTTTTTGAAATTCCGTTATTATCGACATTCTGTGCTCAAATCTGAAACATCATTATTTTGTAAACTGAAATTTTTTTTACCGGAAACTTAAAATATTATTATTAGTGGACTTTGTATAACTTTTTTTTTGTAGTAAATAATTATATAGCTAATTTCAAAACAGCGTTGGATAGGTAGTGAGAAAAGCTACAAGTTACATATGTGTATTTAGAATTTTTTTTTTGCTGTCGTAGAAAAATTTACTAGACTTTTTTTAAAAAGTGTTTTTTTCCGACTATTTTTTTTCTGTAGTCATGAGTGGACCACTATGGAGAAATCATCTTGAAACTTGTCAAAATTCATTAAATATCATACAATTTAAATATTTATTGAATAATTATTTATTTAAAATATTTTTTAATGAAAATAATAAAAATCAAAACATTTCAAATCATTAAATTCCGTTTTTTGTACCTGTTTTATGAGTTTTTGCAACATTTTTCTATTTTTAAATTGGAAAAAATATGGCTTTCGTAAAAAACCTGTTTTTTTGTGATTTTAGCCAAAATCCGCTATTTTTCAGTTTTTTAGTATAACTTATAAACTAACATTTTTTCATTCATATTAATATGTATTAAGTCAAGTCCACTTCTGGGCCGAAAGGCTGAAGCTTTATAAATTATAACTAACGTTTTTTCGAAAAAGTGTTCAATAGAAAATTTAAAGCTGACTAAATTCCTAACAATTTGCAAAACAAAAAAACAATGTGAAAGCCCTAAAAAAATAAGGAAATTTTTCGAACTCGATTTTTTAATATATCTTTTTCGACTTCAGGAATCCAAAAATCACATTTTTAAAAAATGTCGTTACAACTTATTTTCATAAATAGAGGGTAAATGCACTAATTACGGCGCGATACGAGTCAAAATACCTTTGAAATATAAAATTCGATATTTCTATTGTATAAACTCAATTGAAGACTTATTAAACTAAAAGCTTATGTTATTTAGATATTAAAAAAAAATTTTAACTTTATAAAAATTGATTATTTAAATAAATATGAGAAATTAAAACTAATACCGTAATTTTCTATTACGGTGACAAAAATTACGTGTATTTTGAAGATACTTTGGCCGCCGAAATTGGAGCCAATGGAAATATTAAAAATGTTTCAATTACGGCGAGGGAAAAAATTTGATCACAAATAATTAAATTAATAATAATTGTTTGAATGTGCATCTTTATTAGTAATTGTATCAAAAAAAAGATAAAAATAATTTTTTTAAATCATTTTGCAACAGTTATATTAAATATAATAGTAATAATAGTTATTTTTTATGAACGCGCCGTAATTGGTACACTTACCCTATCTTAAATACTATAAGAGCAAAAAAAATAAAAAAATTTTTTTATCCAGATTTATTAAAATTTTAAAATTAAAAAATTTTGAAAAACTTGACTTTATTGAATTATTTACTCAAAAATCGTTATGTAACTTTAAAATTATCATAAACAACTTGGAAAATATTTAAAAACGAATGAATTGACCTATTATTAATCCTTTTATTATAAAATATAACGAAGTTATTGATGTTAAAAATCTATCTCTGCAAACGCCCAGAAACTGCAACTTAACACTTTTTTCTAAAAATTATTATAATACTAAATAAATTAACATAAATTTATCACAAAAAATCTCCATTAGGAAGCAAAATGTTAATGAAATGAACACAAGAAGTTCATACTTATAAACTTGGCAGCGGTTTTTTTTATATAATTAAATTTGTTAGTATTATTATTATTTAACAATCGTTGAATAAAGTTTGTATGTCTAAATTTAAAATATAACAAAAACTTATAATTATTTTTAAAAAAACGGAACTTTTATAATTTAACCTCAAAAATGGTCAACTTTAAAAGACTGTATTTCACGTAGCTCACAGAGCTATCACGTTGTTTTTTTTTTGCAAATTGTTAGAAATTTAGTCAGCTTTAGCTTATCTATTCTTTGAAATATTCTTTGAATTAAGAAGATTTAGGTTATGTATTTCATTTTGATAACAAAACAGCCTATAATTACTGTAGAAGAAGAATTCATATTTTACCTTATAAATTATTGACTATTTCTTAATGAACTAACAAAGTAATGTTTCTTTTCGTCAAAAATAATAATTATATCTCTAACAAATCGTTATTGTATGAAGTTTCAAAAATGAAATCAGCAAACTGTATACAAAAAGTAAACATCCGAAATAAGGGTACGGTCACAGTTCAGCTACTTAAGTATAGAGGGTCGTTGTGATAACGTATGAGAGTGAGAGAAATAAAAAATGTTTTCTTTCTCTCACTATTATACGTTACCATAACGACCCTACTTAGATAAAAAAAATTCTGCTAGAACATCCTAAATTTAACAGTTCATTGTAAAAAATGGCCTAAGCAGCTTTGTGCTTTCTGCGCGTCCCAACCATGGTCAGATAGAGAGTTTTTTGAAGGACAGAGTTCATTATTAATTTATGTTTATATGATTATTAATTCACAAAGTAATAACAAGAACTATATTATTGTTGTAAGAGAGTTTTTGGCACTTTTTGAAAAATTGTGGGACAAAATCCTGACGTGATAAAAACTTCGCTATTATCAGAAATTAAAGCTTGCACCGTGCCCTTTTTAAATTAGCTCTCAACCGACTCTTGCTTCAACCGTTATAGGGTTATGTAGGAATTAAATTTTTAATTAAAAAATTTGTTTAACGATTAATTAAACGTGAAGGAGTTTTTAAAATAATAGGATAAATGCACTAATCACGGCGCGATTCGAGTCAAAACACCTTTGAAATAGAAAATTCGACATCTCTATTGTATAATAAAGTTAATTTAAGACTCATTACACTAAAAGATTATGTTATTTAGATATTAAAAAAAAATTTTATCTTTATAAAAATCGATTATTTCAATAAATATGAGAAATTAAAACTAATATCGTAATTTTCTATTACGGCGCGTTTGTATCAGTTTCGGTGTATCAATTACGGTGACCAAAATTACGTGTATTTTGAAGATACTTTGCCCACCGTAATTGGAGCCAATGGAAATCTTAAAAATGTTTCAATTACGGCGAGAGAAAAAACTTGATCTCAAATAATTAAATTAATAATTGTTTAAATTTTGCATCTTTATTAGTAATTGTATCAAAAAAAGATTAAAATGATATTTTAATTTTATTTTCTTATAATGTTTATTTTAAACTGATACTTTTTTATTTTTCAAATGCAAATAAACATGCTTCAATGTTGACATTTCATATTCAACGTATTCAATGTTTATTTTAATAGTTACCATAGCAACATTTTTTGAAACTTTTTTATAATTATTATTTAATATTATTTATTATTTTAATTTAATATTATTTTTTTTTCTATTTTATAGTATATATCTATACATACATTAATAAAATATATTCATTTTTGCTTACAAAAAAGGAGTAATTAAAATGAGTGATTATAAAAATCAATAACATAAAAAACTTTTTAAAAATTTTTATGGCAAATTTTTATTTTCGTATGTAATAAATTTTATAATTCTAATAAAAAATTGTTAATCAAGGATTATATACATTAATTCTATGAAATTTTAAATGACAATCTAAAAAATATTAATTTCACAAGTTTATGAAATTTAAAAATTAAATTTTTGAAAATCTTTGCAGATCTACCAGTAATTACGTCAAAATTATGTTAAAATGCTGCACAATGGCACTGAAAAAATAGGTATATAAAATTTAGTAACAATCTATCAAAAAATGAAAAATTTCAAAATTTTTGATTTTTAGTATTTTTCAAAAAAGTAACGTATTTCCCGTTCTATTGAATATTTTTGAGTTATGTAAACACAGAAAATTAAAAGGCATTAAAATAAGTTGCAACGCTTATTATTTTAATGCCTTTTAATTTTCTGTGAATTTAAAATTTTAAGTTGGACCAACACCTAAAATTCTGCCACGTTTCAGGTAAACCGACGAAGCGTTTTTTTTTTTATTTATTTATTTACTTTTAAATTTTATTTCAAATCTCATTGTGTAGAATTTTTTCGTGTAGGATTTCCTAGTGTGCAATTTAAAGTGTAGGATTTTATTTTGTATTATTTAATTGTGTTGAGTGAAAAATTGCAATTTAATTTACTTTATTATAATTATATTCGATTTTGTTTGTAGAATTGAGTTATATAATATTTTATTATAGATAATTTATTAAGATAAAGAATAATTTTACAATTTTTAATCAAGAAGTGTACTGTCTTTGATTGTGCAAGGCACTCGAAATTCTTGTCCAAGTTGATGCAACCACTTATTAGCCACTGTAAAAAAAATATTTAAATTTATAGAGCGATTTTTAAAAATTTTCTCTATAATTGAAAGTTTTAAATAATTTTCAGTTAAATTTTTAATGAAAGAAAAAATACCCCACTTTGATCCAGAAATAACTGGACATCCTGCGTGAACTGTTAAAAAATCTCCTTCTCCATTTGTTTTAAGATTGTACCAGAAAACAGCACTTCCCTTTTTTGGCTTCACGGATAGATTAATTTCATTGAAAACAGTCATACCTCCTTCAACGACGTCATTCAACTTAAAATTAATAAATTTCTTTTTTAAAAAATTGACAAATTCGAAGTATATATTCACGGCAAGTCCCTTGCGTTTTTAAATATTAAATGAAATTTTACGAGATTAAGAGAGTCCATTACTCTATTTTTGTCTGTACGAAATTTTAATAATAATAAGAAATGTTTCGAAAACTAAAACATTATAAAATTACTTACGTAAAACATAAATGTAGCGATTCGATTTCCTGTTGAACGCTTTTTAAAAGCATTTTCCTAAAATATTTATTAAAAATGCCTTATTAATGAAAAAAAAATATTCCACTTTCGAGTTGGAGAATATTATAAAATTTGCGTTGAAAAAAAGGACAAAAAGAAATTTTTTATTTTAAAAAATTAGAATATTTCTTGAAAAATCTCTTGTTCTGTTTGCCCCCCCCCCCAAAAAATGAATTTTTTTAAGATCAAAAAAAAGTAATAGATTTTCATATAACAGTTTATTAACTAACAGTATCCAAATTATCAAAGTCAATGTGAGGATGAAAAAGACCTCCAATTTTATAGTAAGAAACTTGAAGAGGTTCCGCTGACTCGATCGACAAATTAGTAACAAGTTCAACTCGCTGACTTAAAGAGCTTACGTATTTGTGTTCAGAATCTTCTATCCATGCGAATTTGGCAATTCTTACATTTAAATTTTTTTCAGTATAATTACCATTTTTTTCATTATTATCAACTGAATCCACTGTAGCTTCATAAAGCTAAAAAAAATGTATTTAAAATTATTGAATAATAGTTTTACAAAGTAAAATGACAAAAATTAAAATATTTATAATTTAATTTTGTAATACACCTGAGATTTTGCTAAGGTTTTAAGAGTTTCTATTTCCTCGTTATAAATAATGTCATGATATATCACAATTCTGGGATTAAGATAGGCTTCTTCTTCTTTAAATGGCGCTAGTCGTAGAAAAGGAATATTGCGATCGATGTATCGACATTTGAGTTCTTTCTCTATTTTTGCATCTAAAAAAATCTTTCCATTGCAGAGCATTTCATATTTTTCCAACAAGATTGCCTCATCATCCTCTATGTCCGAATTAATTTTCTCCTTAATTTCACTATTAATATTATTCCATGTAATCAAAAATTCCTTTAATGATAATCGCATTTTTTTAACATTCATAAAGTACTTTTCAATTTTGTTGTACTTTTTGTGAACTTTGTTGATTCGTTCTTCAATGTGATGTCTAAAAATTATTTTTGAAAAAGATAATGGAATCCTTTAGGCTTGGAATTTAACAAAATATTTAATAAATTTTTGATTTTTATAAATCCTTATATTTTGAGGTTTTCGTCGCTAATTTTACATAGCTGACAAATTTTTCAGAAAATTGTTGGAAAATTGTTATTTTGTCGTTTTTGGAATAGCTAATTGTGATTTTCCTATTTGAATATATGATGAACTATTAAAAATATGAAATATAATTTATTACCTGAAATCGACAAATCTTTTTTGTTGTTGCCAATATTTAATAAAATTTAATAATTTTTCCAATAAAATAGCTTCTGTATTTAGTAACGTATCTAATCTATCGATAGTATCATTAAATTCTTCATTCATAGAGGCAAAATTTAACATTATGACAATACCAAATACAATTATTAATACTTTAATCATGATTAAGATGCTAAAGTTATTCTTTTTTAAAAAAAGTAAATTTAAAAACTTTAAACTTCGTAGGAAAAAATGTTGCCCAACTAATAATATAAGAAAAATTTAAGTGGACGTTGCGGTTTATCTTATACAAGCTGTTATAAATTAGTCGATAAGAAAGCCAAACTCAAACACTTAAAGAATAATTGTCTAACAACTTGAATTTTTTTTGTAAGAATGTTCTTCAAACATATAAATTCAAATATTTAGAAAAAGAATTTATTTCTTCAATTCAAACTCTTTCAAATGAACTTATTTTTAGTAATTTTATTAAAATATTTTTAAATGGAACTTGAAAATTATTTTACTCGGGGGTTTTCAGGATTGCTGATTACAAATCAGAGGTCAAATTTTAAAAATTTTACGCCATATTGAATCCGCCATTTTGAATTTTGAAAAACTGACGTCAGATTCGTATAATCGCCGTCCTCGAAAGCCTCCGAGTAACAAGTTTCAAGCATATTTCTTTATATAAGCAAAAAGCTTGTAGAAGGTTTATTATCATGCTAAATATCAACGAGTTTTATATAAAACTGTTTTGAACTTTGATCATCTGCAAACAATGTAGCCAAGATTTAAAATTGTAAATTTATTACTTTTCAAAATAGACCATCAATGAGAATATATTTAAACTTTGATACTGAAAATAAGGTGAATATTTGGAAAATAAACTACTAGAAGTAGTAAATATGTTTCTTAAAATAGTACCTTTAATTTTAATGTGGGTTAATGAATTTAATCAATGATGTATGATTTTTGAAATAAATTATTCAACAGTGCTGAGAATAGAAAACAATACTCATTTTACATATTTCGTTTTTTTATCGAGCACATAAATCTAGAAATGAAAAATCGAAATTAATGACATTAAATTTAAGTCTACTTCAGCTGTAGCAACTGAAAATTATATTAAAATCTTAATATTTAATTATAATGGAATCAAAAATGACTGGAGATGAAATAGTGATATCGGGAATATCGGGAAAGTTTCCAAGTAGTGAAAATATTAATGAATTACAGAAAAATCTTTTAAATAAAACAGATTGCGTTACTGTCAGTAAAGCTCGTTGGGACTGTGGTATGATATTTGTTTAAATTATCCAAATTAACAAAATATATAATAATAAATAGTTCTTTCATTCTGTCCGTAATTTAAAATTTGCATAATTAAATTGAATATCTGCAGATTTTTTTCATACAATATTTTTTATATCCTTTTAATTTTTAATAATAACCATTTCATATAACATAGAGCATCCTCAAATTCCGCCGCGAATCGGTGTTATGAAAAAAATCGATACATTTGACTCTCTATTTTTTGGAGTTCACAAAAAATTGGCCGATCGTATGGATCCAATGTTTAGATTGATAATGGAAACTACATACGAAGCAATCACAGATGCTGGAATTAATCCAAGAAAATTAAGAGGTAGTAAAACTGCAGTTTTCACTGGAAGCACTTTTGCAGAGTCAGAAAAAGCTGTCATCTACAACAAAAAGCAAGTTAGTTATTATAATGTTAAATTTAACAATTTGTTGATTATATATCCCTGGTAAAAATTCCAGACTAATCTGGAATTAGTCCAAAACAATCCTGTTTATTGTCAGGTTTTTTTCTTCCGAAATTAGTCCGGCTAAATCCGAAATTTGCCCGATTTGTGTAGCTAGTGAATCCGGAATTAATAAGGTCTAATCCAAAGTCATTTCTATCAAACGTAATTTGAATGCAGATTCTCAATTTACTGATTATACAAGCCGGATTAATTTCAGATTCAATAGAAGTTTGCATTTATTAGTTGTAAATGATTCGATTACTTTGGGATTAGACAGGATTAATTCCGGATTTAGTGTATTTTTATTTTATCTATATTTTTTAGCCAAGTGGCTATGGTATGATGGGTGCCGGTAGTGCAATGTTAGCAAATCGTATTTCATTTTACTTCGATACCACCGGCCCAAGTATGAACATTGATTCTAGCTGTTGTGGGGGTACAACTGTATTACAAGAAGGATATAGAGCAATAAAAGATGGACGAGCTGAGAACGCTATTATTGGTGCTAGTAATGTTGTTTTACATCCACACATGTCTGTACAACTATTCTTGTTGGGTAAGTATAAACATTTTTCTGCCAGTTATTGATTTATGGAAATACAATCGATCTATCAATTCAGGACTTTTGTCACCTGACGGCATAACAAAATCATTCGATAATGCAGCAGACGGTTATACTCGCAGTGAAGGTTGTGTAGTTCTTTTCCTTCAGAAGGCTCGTCATGCAAAACGCATTTATGCAGAAATAAAAAATGCCCGTATGTGTTTTGGAAATGTCAACGATTGTTTTGTTTTGTTTTGTTTAAATGGCCTCTTGTATAGACAAATAGCCAGTACTAGTCAACGATAAGCATTCGTTTTTTTATCCGACTCACGATTTTCAAGCTAGTCTCATGAAAACAGTTTTGTCAGAGTGTGGCCTCAAGGGAAACGATGTTTCATATGTAGAAGCCGATGGTTCAGGTATTAAAGATATTGACGCTGAAGAGGTAAAAGCCATTGATCAAGTTTACAATGAAGGACGAAAATCACCTCTTCTAATTGGATCTGTAAAGTCTAATCTTGGATCATGTTCAGCAGTTAATGCACTCAATGGAATAATCAAGGTTTTTGCATTTCCAATATAGTCTTTACGATTAGTTGTTATAAGCTTATTTCTTAACAACTAATCGTTAAAACAATATTGGAAATAATCTTCTGCGTAGGTAATTACAGCAATGGAAACAGGATACATTCCTCCAAATCTTCATTTTGAAAATCCCTCGAACATAATTCCTGCTCTTATCGAAGGCCGGTGTAAAGTTGTAACAGAATTAACTCTTTGGACTGGAGACTATGCAATCGTCAATTGTCTTGCTTTAACTGGTTCTAGTGCTAATATTATATTAAAAGATTTCAAAAAACAGAAGAAAAATGAAGGAACACCTGATGATAATCTTCCACGATTAGTCACAGTTTCCGGACGCACAGAAGAAGCAGTTGACGTTTTACTGACCGATGTTAATATAAAGATTAATTTTTTAAAAATTAAAACAAAATTTCAAACTTGAACATTGTTCAGAATTTGATGATTTAATAAATTTACAGCTAGAAAGCAGACCCGTTGATGTTGAAATGCTTCAGCTTTTGTACGATATATTTGAAACGGAAATTCCAGCTAATTTGATTCGAGGATATACATTGCTTCCTTCTAAAGGATTACCAAAAACTAAAATGCGAAATATTGAATTAAATACGAGTATTAAGAGGGAAATTTGGTACATGTTTTCTGGTATGGGCTCTCAATGGTTGGGAATGGGTAAGTTATGAAAATCAGTGACCAAAATTATAAACTAGGGAAACTATTATTTGCATTTATAACAATTATTATTTTGGTAACAGGTAAACATTTACTGCATATACCTATTTTTATGGAAGCCATAAATAAGTGCAATAGAGTCCTACAACCTCGAGGTATTGATATTGTACGCATTATTACAGAAGAGGATTCAAAAATTTATGATAACATTCTCAATTCTTTCGTTGGAATTGCAGCTATTCAGGTAAATAGAGCTTCTGCAAGAGGACTAAAATTTTTGTTCAATTTTGAAAAAAGGTCCTGTTATAACTTTTATTCAAACCAGATTCTCAAATAATTGATGCTTTTTCAGATTGGTTTAGTAGACCTTTTAACTGCCATAGGATTAAAGCCAGATTTTGTAATTGGCCATTCAGTGGGAGAATTAGGTTGTGCTTATGCCGACAACTGTTTTACAGCTGAGCAAATGATTCTGTCTGCCTTTTATAGAGGTTTAGCATCAATAGAAACAAAAATGCCTAAAGGTTCTATGGCAGCAGTTGGTCTTGGATATGAAAAAATAAAAAAACTTTGTCCACCTGATATTGATGTAGCTTGTCATAACAGCGACAACAGTTCTACCATCAGTGGTCCTGCAGATTCCATGAAATCATTTATTGCACATCTAAAAGTTAGTTTGCATATAATTTCCAATTTTTAAAAATCTAAACTCTTTATTTTATAGGCCAACAAAATATTTGCTAAGGAAGTGGCTGTTGGTAATATAGCCTATCACAGTCGTTACATAGTACCGGCAGGTGAAAAATTAATTAAATACCTTCATGAAGTAATACCTGATCCAAAACCGCGAAGTCAGCGATGGATAAGTAGTTCAGTTCCATACGATGATTGGAATTCGGCTAAAGCTCGATTTTCATCTGCAGAATATCATACGAATAATCTTTTAAATTCTGTCCTCTTTGCAGAAAGTGCAAAGCTTATACCATCCAATGCAATTGTTATAGAAATAGCACCTCATGGTCTTTTGCAGGCAATCGTAAAAAAATCATTGCCACAAAGTGTCATTAATATACCATTAACTAATAAAAATCATCCGGACGGTAATTTATTCCTTTTTGATGCCTTAGGAAAAATATACAATGCTGGCTGTAGTATAAATGTGTCCAATCTTTATCCAAAGATCAGCTATCCAGTATCACGAGGAACACCTTCAATTTCCTCATTAATCCGATGGGATCATTCAAATAAATGGTAAGAATAAAATGCATTATAACAATAATAATGCTCATTTGATACAAATTGTAAATTAATCTTAAACAGTTACACTCGTTTTTTTAAACAACAAAAAGAACTTAAGGCAGGCGAGATGAATTTTACAATAAATCTAAAAGAAGCGAATTGGGAATATTTGAAACATGCCAGGATCAATGACAAAATTGTTATTTGTCCTTCTGTTTATTTGAATCTTGCTTGGCAAGTATTAAAATTGTTAAAAAAGAATTCTGAATTCTCAGTAGTTTACCACGATGTGCAAATTTATGATCAAGTAGAAATTACAGAAGAGAAAAATACTACATTGGTGGTAATGGTACAAAAAGGTAATAAAGCAAGCATTAAGTGTATTTATTATTTTATATGCGGTTTACTTTTTCTAGCGACTGGATTTTTCGAAGTAAGCAATAATGAGGTTTTACAGTGCTCGGGAATTATAAAAGCGACCGACAACCCTGAATTGGAATTCAATCAAGTTTTCAATACCGATAATTATCTAGATCTGAGTGAAAGCGACGTTTACAAAGAACTACAAATTCGTGGTTTTCAATACTCAGGTCCGTTTAAAACAATTTTTAAAGCATCAACTAAAAATTCTAATGGAATTTTAATATGGAAAAATGATTGGACAACTTTTTTGGAAGGAATGATTCAGATTTATGTCCTGGGAAGTGATATTAGAAATACTCAAGTTCCAATTAAAATTAGAAAAATTGTAATTAACATGAAACTACAACAAGCAACTGTAAAGTCAAGAGGTAAATCTTGGATTTAATTATTCATTCCCTAAATGCATTTATTAGAAAATAATTGTTTTTTTTCAATTAGAAATTCCTGTGATAATTTCTGAGAAAAGGACAATTGTGAATGCAGGTGGTATACAAATAGAAGGAATTATACTTAAATCTGTTCAGCGTCAAGACAGAAAAAATAGAATATTTACAGAAAAACTTCAGATTGTTTCTTGCACAGATGGGGCATTATGTAGTTTATTAGAAATTTTAAAAATAACACTTCAATTTCTGAAGGAGAATTTAAAAAATTCACGAGTTATACGTATTGTTGGTAATAAAATTGATGTTGAAAAAATAAAACAAGTTCTGCAAATAATTCTTGGTGAAGAAATTAAAAAGTTTAAAATTGATGTAGTGTCTTCTAGGATAAGTGAATCAAATTCCAGTGGCCTTTTGGTATTATGTAATACTGAACAACAGACGTTAAAGGACCAATTAAATCTCCCATTAAATGGATCGTTTTTATTAATTTTAGCAGAACCCAAAAACGAGAGTTTAATTATGACAACTGCTAATTCTGCAAAATTAGGTCTCGTTGTGAGGAAATATTCTTCCAACGATCAAGTTGCATTGATCTTTCGTAAATTGGAAACTGCAGATAGGATAAGTATTTTAGACATCAAGGATTGGGATAATCAGGTTAGAACAATTCTGAATTTGAAAGATCGTGATAAACTTATTATTACAATCAGATCCAAGGACTATTTCAATTTGTCTAAAATCCTTCAACTTGTTCAAAAGGAACAGAAGATAAATAATATTCAAATTGTCGATATTCAAGATCCAAAAGTTTCTAAATTCTTTCTAGATGATTCTGACTTTAGATCTCGTATGGATCTCAATCTAAAGTTAAATATTCTTTTACCAGATAAAATTTGGGGAATGTATCAATATTTTCCAATTTCCTCAAACCTTCGACAAGTCTCCAATTGGATAGCCCGACAACATAATGGTTCTGATTTAGAATCAATCTCATGGGTTGAAGAATACGTTAAAAAAAGTGAAAACACAATAAAAGTAGAGTACTCTTCTCTTAATGAGCAAGATATCTTTCTAGCAACTGCGAAAATAACATTAGAAAACACGAGACTTGAAACAAAGTTATTTGGTCAAGAATATTCTGGAATTGATTTAAGAGGTAATAGAGTTATGGGAATCACTCAAAGTGGAGCATTTTCAAAATTTACATCATCTGTCGCTGATTACACATGGAAAATACCTTCCAATTGGTCTTTAGAAGATGCTGCTACTGTACCTTTAGCCTACACAATTGCTTATCTATCAATTGTCATAAAAGGTGAATTAAAAAACAATGAATCAGTTTTTGTCTTCGATGGCTCTTGTTCAATTGGACAAGCTATTCTTAATCTAGCATTAAATATTAAATCTCACGTATTCTCAGGATACGCTAATTGTAATGCTAAAAAATTTCTTGAAAACAATTATTCGAATATTCAAATTTTAAACACAGTAGATAGCTTTCCTGAGGAAATTTTGTCACTAACAAAAGGAAATCGTGTTAATTTGGTGATATATAATGGAAACGATTTAAGTAAATTAGAAGATTGTTTAAAATTTGTGAATCACAAAGGAAAAGTTATTGTCATTGGAAATTTACAAGATTCATTCAATAAATCAATAGGTATGCAAATTTTCGATGATGGAGTTAAAGTATTGTCAATAATTCCAACGAAATTAATCAATCTCGATGTGACGATGAAGAGAAAATTATCACAAATGATTGTTAATGGAATTGAAACAGGAATTGTAAAACCACTGCCTAAACGTGTCTACTCAAGAGAAATGTTAACGAACGCTTTTATTGACACATCTTTAAAAAGTTTCTTTGAAAAAGTAATTTATATTATTTATTTTTGTTGAATAGAATTTTTAGGGTTCTTGATTTAAGAATATTGAAAATGTATCAAATTTAGTTTTATAAAAAGTAGATTATGGAAAAATATTTTAATTCCAATTTTCAGATTATTGTCAAAATACAACCGAACGATGGAAATAACAAAGCCCTGGCATTACCTCGTTTCATATGTAAAAGTGAAGCATCTTATTTAATAATTGAAGGATTGAGTTACTTTGGATTAGAACTAGTTGACTTTTTAGTTTCCAGAGGTGCTAAAAACATTGTTATTGTTTCGGAGGCAAAAAATACAGGACTTTACAGTAATTCCATAAGTATGTGGAAACAATATGGAGTTTCAGTGGTAGTTCATGAAAAAGTGGATCTTTCTCATCGACAAAGTTTCATTACACTTTTTAAACAAATTCATTCGCTTGGTACAATAGATGCAATCTTCGATCTACAGCGCATTGAAAATTTATCCACAAGATCCGAAAGTTCGAAATATATTATTACAAAATATGCTTTTGAAGAATCTAAACAAATCTGTTCCAATTTACGACAATTTATTATTTTTACGACTTGTAAAGATATTGGAGAAAATATTGAAGACGTTTTGTTAAGAGAAAACTACTTGTCGAAAATTTTTCAAGAACATTCAAAAGAAACATTTCCAGGACTTTTGATACTTTTAGGACCAATTAGTGGAATTGTAGAATATACAACGGAAACCAAAAGAAATGGACATTTTTTTATCTATTTCAAGTATTATGGAACAAATGGATAAAATACTTGGATTAAGTGGATCCATCGTGTCGGTCTCTTGTAAATTATCAGAAGAATCAAAAGAAATTTTTGATTCTGAGAAGGTGAGAAATTATAATTTAGAAATTTAAGTATGTGTGAATTTTAATTATTAACTGTCGTAAATTTAATTTAAATGTTTAGTTAATTATTGAGGAAACAGAAAAGTCCAAATTCGTCAAGTATATTACAGGAGGTCAACACGTAGCAACGTCCTTTGAATTTCAATTTGCAGAAGAAGGCAAAAATTAAAAAAAATGTTATCAATTAGGTTTAGACAAAGAAGAGTTAAAATAATTAAATTTAACTGAATATTTATTATGCAATGCAATTTAAATTTTTTAAAAATGAATTTGAAATAATAATTTTTAAATTCTTAGGTCAAAAATTGTTTACCTAATCAGTAGGTATTGAATACAATTTACCAGATGAAAATATCTAAATTATAAAAAATGAATTTTTGTAATAAAGGAAACATCAACTCATAAATTTAAGAAAAACTTTTTTCCTTTAATTATTATCACATTGCGCTAAACATTATAAACGCATCAATAATATTTAATTATTTTTTTTTTTTTACAAAATAAGGCATTTCAATCTTCAATGTAACATTCTTAATCTAAATTAGATTTACCAATAATATAAAATTTGTTCAACATTTTGTTCAATAATATAGAGAGCCATTAAAATGAAAATTAAAAAAAGAGATTCCTTACTAATAAAATTATCGATAAAAAAACTTTAATTTACGCAACAATTGCGTATGTTGGAGCTGTTAAAACTCCACAATTATTTTCTTTTTGAGCCATTAAAATATAACCGTCATTGCCCCAATAATTGGACCAAGAATTTTTCACAAGCCAATAATCCTTGCCATTCATTGTTCCATAACCGACTGCCAAAACTGCGTGATCCAATGAATTTTCCGTATTTCCTGCAAAAGGAAAATGTCACAAATTATTTTTCAATTGGGGCTATTCTACTTAATTAGGGGCTATTATACTCAGAGCCAGTTTTTTTTTAAAGTAGTTTTTCTGAGTATAATAGCCCCCGGTTAATGTGAAAAGAAAAAATGTTTTTAAATTGCGATTTTATTTAATAAATGTTCTTTTTCTCACCACATTGAGGATCGTAATAAACGCCATTTGAATAAAAGGAAAATGTTTTATGTGAAGCATCAATAGCCACTGAAATTGGTCCATGTTTAAACATTGCGACTTTCATTGCATTAATATTCCTTGGAGTAACGTTGATAAATCCCGTCATATGTGCAGATGAAGTAACGTTATTTGCGTGACAATATCCATCCTGAAAAAAATTATGTTTTTTAGATTTTACAAAATTTTAATATTTTAATTATTTTATTTCTTATTATAATTGTTTGTGTTTTATTTCCATAAAAAATAGAAATTTTCTTTTTCAATCGAGACTGTCTTTTAAACTTAAAGTAATTTTTTGTTTTAAAATAAAAAAACGTTTCAAGAAAAAATTTTTTACGAAAATAGTTGAGAATTTATTTTAAAATTTGGATATGACAAAATAAGATAAGTGGACAATTGAAAAAGTTTTAAAAGAATTTTAAGTTGTTACATAATTTTAAAAATTTCGAAAAATTAGAAAATATTTTTCAAAAATCTATATAAAAAAAAAATAAAAATGAGAATTTCTTACTTGGCCTAAATATCCTCCGTAATCCTCTTCAGTAGGCAATCCATGTTTTATAATCCATTGGTAAGATCGAAAATCTTCACCACCGTCACATCCATTGTTTCCGAAACCCCATGAACAATCAATGAGTGCCTGGAAAAAAAATTAAAAACTCCTCTTAAAATATTTTTTCTCTATTGAGAATATTGAAAAAAATTAATACTGCAATAAAACGATTTCTATAAATAAATGAAACAATCAGTAGATATAACAAGTAGCTACCTGCTGCGATAAACGAAGGAGTTGACCGTGTTTCATGAAATAAGCTCCTTCCACAGCTCCAGTTGTTCCAAAACTCCAACAAGAACCACATACAGATTGATCTGAAAGTTTTTGGTAAAACAATTTAATTACAAAAGGAAAACTTTAGTTTTTATAAAGAAAAATATATCGAAAGCAGTAAGAATAATTAAATAATTAATAAATTAATACTGAACCAAAATTAAAACACTTTAATAACGAAAGAAAAAATGTAACAGCACAAAGAAAAATAATGTGAAAATAAAATAAGATATTCTAAATAAAAAAAATAAAATTACCTTTCACGGGAGTAACAGCGCCTGACAATCGCCAATCAAGATTTGTAGGAACACTTTTCATTTCTTTTTCGACATCATAAAGAAACGATAAACCACCATTATAACCATTTCCCGTATATTGCTTTCCTCTCAAGGCTTTTAACTCCAAATCGGACTTGTCAGCCAAATGATTTACACCCAATTGATATCCCAAATTTGCTCGATTAACGGAATGAATGAGTCTAACAATTAAAGGTAATATTTATTTATAATAAAAAAAATAATAAATTAATTAATAAAAATATTGTTCAAATTATACAATTAAACAAGTCAAAAAGATATAAATTGTAAATTATTCCAAAATAACAAATTTTTTGGGACGCATATTTCGCATAATTATTAATTAGAATTTTTATTTGAAAGAATTTTATTACTTTTTTAAACGAATTTTCATTTTTCGAATTAGCATTTAACAAAATTTCTTTTTATACAAATTTAATAAACGCAAAACTCACCTTAAATTTTGTCGGAAATTTTCTTTGGCACGATGATGTTCCTTAATATTTTTGTACTTTCGATCATGTGTTTTTTTATATTTATCAAAAGCAATTTCCATATGATCGTCATGTGTATTTATAAATTCTTTCATTGGATTAAAAGTGTAAATATGTTTGTCACCGGGTCCAGGGAAACTTACACATGTTGTATCTGAAAAATATTTTTAAAAAATATTAAAAAAAAAAAAAAATTATCGAGATTTATTAAAATTAAAACTTGATACTAACGTTTGTCAATAACTAAAATTTTTTACTTCTACTAACGTAAAAAAACTAAATTAATTGAAAATTTTACTCACTTTCTGTTACTTTAAAAACATCTTCACTTGGTTTTTCATAAGTGTACCATTCGTATTCTAAATAATAATGATCATAATGAGAACCCAAAAGAGAATTAAATCCTTTCATTTCATATCTCACTGGAATTGGTTCCTTGCCAATTGCAGTCTTGTTTGAAGTCTACGAAACATTTTTTTTAAATTCATTACTTTTTTGTCACTCTGAATACTTATTTAATAAAAATAAAGTAATTTAAGTAATGAAAAGAGTTATTAATTACCACGTAACGAATCCACAGGATGTATTTGTTAGTTTTGTTTCCTACTTTGGTATACATACGCCATTTTTCACAGGTAAAACCGTGCAACATTTCTTCTCCAATACACTGATAAAAAAATTAATATTTCATTATTATTATTACTACTGGATTAAAATTGAATAATAGTAAATTTTAATATTTGTCTTTTAACTGTTAAAAATTTTCGTGCTCTAAATCGACTCTAAATGAAAGTTTTTGAAAAAATTTGTACGGTAAATAGTTTAAAAAAAAAAATTGTCTCTACTTGAGAATTTTATTAAAGCAGAAAAGTAGCTTTGTTGCAAAATTATACTAGCCTTAATTGTATTACTTTTTTCTATTTATAGCTTATGAATAGCCACTTGTATTTTTTTTTACTTAATTAGTACCATTGTACGAAAGGTTTCTTTTGAACCCGTTTATGTTTTCTAAATAAATAAAATCGCAGCCACAATTAATGCCAGTTAACATTTTAAATTACCGAAAGAATTTTTACTCGTTTCGATGCATCCTCATTAGATTTTTTTTTAAATATAAAACATTTCCAAAAATTTTCGTTTGTTTAAATCAGTTTCTGTATCTAAAATTTTTACGTTATTTTGTGAAAAGTCAAAACAATATTTTTGTTCCGTTGAGTGTTTACATGGATTTACTTTTTTTGGTTTCTTGATATTTGTGTTCGTTAATTCTTTTGATGTAAATAAATAAATATAAGCCAATAGAGGCTACAAGTAAAAAAATCTTTTCTCTATTATAAATGGCTGAAAAAATTAAGAAATTTTTTTTTGCACTTCATATATATTATTTTAAATTACCTCCATTCCTGTAGTGTCGGGAACAATTGTTTGTGGCTGAATTTTCATATCACTAGTGCCATTAACTTGAAGACACACCTCATTATTAGTGACTGATTCCGTTGTAACTGGAGCAACTTTTATACTCGATCCATAATTTCCTTCATTGCTCAATTGAAAAGTCTTGACCATACCTTCCAAAAAGAGTTTTTATATTTTCTCTATTATAATTTTTTTTTACTGATTCTTAAGAAGAAGTAAATATTTTTAAAAAATAATTTTTTGTCAAAAACTTTTTTAATTTGTCTAGAAAATGCAATCGTTCAAAAAATTTATCCATTTTTACCTCCATAATAATCGATTCGGCTAGATCCGGTGTTGCCATCGTACCAAGCATAAAATGGTTCTTTGATTTCGGAATAAGGAATGTAAAGAGTTCCTTTTGTTGAATAAGTTGGGCTGAATGTTGGTGCTTTTACATTTGTAGCATGCGAGATGCCTAAAGAAAAATTAGTTTTAATTATTTCTATTATTTCGGGGGTTAAATTAAATTAATTAAAATAAAAAGTCGAAGAAAATAAAAGAAAAGTAGAAAATTTTAGGAATTCCAAAAAAGAAGAATTTAAAGGGAAATATTAAAAGTAGAATAAAAAATAGAATTTTAAAAAATAAAAATGAAAAATTAAGGAAATACAATGTCGAAGAAAAGAAAAATTGAGAATATTAAAAATTTTCAATATAAAATGTGAATTTAGGAAAAAATTAAATTTCTAAAAATAAATAAAATTTAGTAATTTGCTAAATGGAAATTCGATTAATAAAAATTGTATATTGAATGAAAATTCTGCTAAATGAATTAATTAAATATGAAAAATAAATGTTAAATAGAAATATGAAAAAAATCATCATTAATTAAGAACAGTAACAATTAACTAATAATAAAAAAATTAAATTAATTTACAATATTTATTTGAAAGGAAATTATAAAAAAAAAATAAAGAAAAATTTACCACAAAAGAGAAAAGCGAGTTGAATAAGCAGCGCGAACATCTCAAACGCTGGACTGAAATGAGAAAAAGCATAATTGTAATAGTATACTTATACGTGCGTATCATCATTTTTTTATTTTTTTTAAATATAAACACAAAGCTTGATATCACGTTCGAGCTATTAATATTTGGTTTATCTCTTTGTTCTCACATGAAAGAGAATTTAAATTATTATATCTAATAATCCACACATGTTTTGACTAATCAAACTTTATGTTTCAATTAAAACATAAAATCATTTAATGGAAAACACCCCCAATTTTGACTCACTTAAATTTAAAATATTTTTTTTCGAAAAAAAAATTAAAATTCATGCCAGAGATTAATCAATTAAAAAAAGCGTGGAAAAAAATTGTTGATTTAAAAATAATCAAAATTGTGAAAGTAGATTTAAAATATTAATCTTTTAATTAAAAATTTTATTTTTTTTGTCCATCCCGTATGTTTTTAGGACCCAAATGATGTAAGAAAAAAAATATAACTTCCTGCGATTATTTAAATTTAAAGAACACAAAATAAAGGTGGTGACTCCCGTTAACAAAAAGACTTAATTGATGCAACATATAATTAATAATAAATTGTTTATGATTTATAACCTTTTTTAAAATTCCATATTCTGCCGGAAATAATTTTCGAAATAGAAAGAAAATTAAAGAATTTTAAAAATCTTTCATTTTTCTTAAAATAAAATATAAATGATAATAGGATTAGATTTATTTTCTCCATTGCGTGTACTTTTACAAAGTTTTACAATTTTTCTTTCCGGCAAGCTTAAAAAATAAAATAATTGTGATATTTACATTAACATAAATAATGAAAATTGAATATAAATTATAATAAAGAACATAATAAAAATTTTCTTTAACAAAGAAAATACAAAATTAAATATAAAATTACTAATATTAATAGTGTATACGATTCATTTTTTCTAATTGCGTTCAAAAATAAATAAATAAAAACAAGATAAATATAAATATAAACAAAGAAAACGCTTACAATGATAAATTCTGCTTCTTTGTGAACAGCTGAGATGTGTTAAGTCATCGACAGCCAAACTCAATACTACCAATAGGAGAAAAATTCTTGAAAACAAACTGTAGCATCTGCCAGCTCAACGTACTACTGGAGTAAAAGAGAGAGAAAATTCAAATTTGAATTTTTTCTCGCAGGCAGCAGCAACCGCCAGAGATGCCAACGATTTTTTTTTATTAGAAAGCCTTAGGGCGCACTCACACCTTTTGGCTGCCTGCAGATTACCATGGCAACGCATGAGAGTGAGTGCGACAGAAAATTTAAAAATTTGAATATTCAAATTTTCTGTCTCACTCACACTCGTGCGTTGCCATGGTAACCTGCAGGCAGGCAGGCAGCCAAAAAAGGTGTGAGTGCGCCATTATAATTAGAAAAACAATTCAGAGTTATAATTTTTTAATTTTTAATATTTTTTATAGTTAAGGAGTTTAAATAAGCGCGGTTTTTACTACCAATCACAAGTTAATTGAGGCGCATGCGCAGTTGCGTTTGGTGACAGTCGTTGGCTACACGCGGTGTATATAAGAAATAAGAAAACAGTAAGAAAAAATGACAAATTTAGTGAAAAGTGACAATCAGTATGAAAAATTAGATGATAAAAGACCTCAGTTTGGAAATAGAATTCTTTCTAATGAAGATAATGTCTTTGAACATAATGCCTGGTAAATATTTTCATCCCTTTTCATTTCTAACCTATAAAAAAATGTCAATATTATTTATTTTAAATATGCAAAAATCCTAAAAATTTGATGGTAAATATTTTTATAAGCCTTATAAAATTCTTAATTATTAGTTAACCGATTATTTATATTAAATAATTTGTTTTCAGTGTACTAATAATTTTAGTATAGCAAATTAAAAAGTATATATGAATATTTTTTTTATATTGATAAAATTAATGCATTTTCATTTAATCTGAAAAATAGACCTAATTTTCAAGGGACAATGTAACTTGGGATGAGGAACAAGAGGAAACTGCTCGACAAAAAGTCGCTGAAAATTCATCTATTCTCGCATCCTCTGAATTGACATTAAAATATGAAACCGAAGCTGGCAATTATTGGGATAAATTTTACGAAATACATCAAAATAGGTAATTAAATATACCTGCTTATAATTTATAGTTTCTCAGCTTTTAACATTCTATTTTCTCTTTCATATATTTAGGGATCATCTCTGCAATTTTAATCAGCTTTCCATTTTCTTGATTGAGATTGGAGATCCAATTAACCATACCAAAATATTAATTAAAAATAATATTATTTTTAATTTATCACTCGACAGTATTAAATAATAAAAATGATGAGAGTCAAGATTATAAAATGAATTAAAAAACTATTCTTTACGTTTCAACGACGCAGTCGTCCTCTTCAGAAACTGAAATTTTATTACAAATATAAGATACAAAATTTTAAAAAAATAATAATAAATATGTAAATTAAAAAATTAATGAAACATTTAAAAATTCTTAATAATTAAATGTCTATATCGAGACAATTGCGAATAGACACTGATCAGTTTGGAAAATATTACAGAAAATGACACGCTTGAAAATAGGGTCATTGAATTTATTTCAATAAGTGTAAATAGATAGAAGAAGGAACGTCAGGGCGCGATCAAACAAAGATAAACGTTACGAAGATTTTCTATCATTAAGGAAATGAAGATAACAATTACTAAAATTTGGAGTGGCATCTTTCTTATTTATTGCATTATTTTTCAGATTAATATGAATCATTTCAAATATTATTATTAATTAATTAAAAATATTTATTATTTTTTCACTTAACATTAACAAATTAATGATACTTTTTTTTTAATCAAATTATAACTTATTTATTTTTTACTCAGCAACAATATTCATGATTTTTTTCAGGCCGATTGAAGGCTGATAACAGGTTTAAAAATTTTAAATAAAATTTTATTTCTTAAACAAGTAATTTAAAGTTTTAAATTAAATTTTTCCTTAAAAAGTAGTTTTTGCGTAAAATACGTTGAGACAACTTTTTTGTACAGTAAAAAAATTTAAAAAAAAATATTTTTAATTAATATTTGGTATGGTTAATTAGATCCCCAATCTCTATTAAAAAAAGGAAAAATGATTAAAAATCGCAGAGGTGATCCCTAAATCTTATATGAATTTTTAAGAAAATTAAAAGTAACATTAAAAAAAAATTGTAGATTTTTTAAAGATAGACACTGGCTCTTTACTGAATTTGCTGAACTTTCACCTGGAACGGAAAATAGTGACAAGAGAATCGAAAGAATTTTACCTGACAATTCGATAAGTCAAAATGAATTAATCGGTGATGGAAAAATAATTTTTGAAATAGGTTGCGGTGTTGGAAACACAGTTTTTCCTCTACTTTTGTATAACAAGGATCCAAATTTATTTATCTATTGCTGTGATTTTTCCAGCAATGCTATTGAAATTTTGCAACAGAATTCGGAATTCGATCCTTCAAGGTATTAAGTAATGTAAAAATTAATTAATTTAAAATTAATATATTTCATAAATTTTTATTATTTACATTAAATTCTTTTTTATTTAGCCAATATTTATTGAGTAATATTAGTTGTTTTATTAATGAAAAAAAATTTAATTTTCTATATTAGATGTAAAGCTTTTGTCCTTGATGCTACTCAAGAAAATTGGTCGCCTCCATTTCCAGAGGAAAGTTTGGATATTGTTATTTTAATATTTGTACTTTCTGCAATACATCCAGATAAGTAAGTTATATATTCAGAAAATTTTAATTTTTTAACTCAACTACTGCTTTATAATTATATCTAGATTGTTATTATTTTCACAATATAAATATTAAGAAATTAATTTATGCTAGATAATAAATTTCGTTGCCATAGAATACAGCATGTAATAAAACAAATTCATCGATACTTAAAACCTGGAGGATTGGTTTTATTCCGAGATTATGGACGATATGATATGGCGCAATTGAGATTTAAAAAAGGTCGCTGTCTTTCAGAAAACTTTTATGCAAGAGGTGATGGTACTCGGGTTTATTTTTTTACCCAAGGTAAATTTAAAAAAAAAAAATAATTTCCACTGTATTTTTTTTATATTTATTTCAAATTTTTTTTTTTACTTCCCAGAGGAAATAAGAGAATTGTTTACTGGCTGTGGATTCGAGGAGAAGCAGAATCTGATCGATAGAAGATTACAGGTAAATCGTGGAAAACAGCTAACAATGTATCGAATATGGATTCAATGTAAATTTCAAAAAAAAATTAAATAATTTTTAATTAATTTTAGTTCTTTTAATGGTATTTAATTTTGGGACCAATATTTTACTTTAATTATTATTATTTATTGTTAAATTATGATATATCGCGAAAATTATTTGAATTTCCCGCGAATTAAATTTGTAAAGTTAGTACAAAAAGTGCTTGTAGATGGCTGATTATTTCTCTCACAAGAGAAATGATTCGCGGAGAATATAAGAGAGCGAAAGAGGAATGAATACCTCGTGCCTTAAACTAATGAGTAAGGAAAATATAAAGCTTTGGTGACGCTTAGCTATGCTATAAATTAAGCGAACTTATTTTTGAAGAGGAACAGGTCGTCCCATAATTGCTTGAACTACTTTTTCAAGTGATCGGGTGAAGCGATCTTACCTCGCTAATTATTATAAAAAAAATAAATCATTTAATAAATCCTAATTATTTTAATATAACTTGTCTTAAAATATTTTAATTTAATTTTGACTCATATGTCTCCCAAAAAATCGTCTTCATTAATTTTTTCTGTTAATATTAAAAATTTATTTAAGGCACTTTAAATCTGAATCAGTCAAATTGACTAAATAATTGCAACATCAAAAATTTCAATATTCAATAAAAATCTGCTAATCCTTTTTTTTAATATTATTTAAAATAAAATTTTTTATGTAAAAATATAATTTTCTGAAAGCATATTACAAAGGATTTTGATTTATTTGAAAATAAGTGTAAGTAAATTTTTCAGTGTCAGTGTCGCTATTGGAAATTTGTTAACTTAATATAATAGAAGATGTTTAGGTTTGAAATTAGCAGTGATACAATTTTTAAGTTGAAAACAATTGATTTCAATGACATTTAAAATTACATACACTGAAAAACTTTTGGGGCAGCTGCTCTCCCAATCGAAAAATTTCTATATTCAGTTAACTTCATACTCAATATTTATCATGAGTTTTTATATGAGTGAAGTTAACTGAATATAGAAATTTTTCGATTGGGAGAGCAGCTGCCCCAAAAGTTTTTCAGTGTAATAATCGTGAATATCTTTCGTTCATTCTGTCCACACCTGAAGTTAGTATTTGTTATAGGTCTTTTGTTTTTTTTAAATGTGTTGTTTGACATTATTTTGTGTTGGTTAAAATTTTTCAATGTTTTGACATTGTCATTTGTGCGGTCGTATTTTAATTATTAAAAATTATAAAATTGTTAGAATCGTGCAAAAAAATTGTGAGGATTGTGAGAAAAATTGATTCGATTGCTGTTAGAGTAAGCTGCATAAGTTGATAATTTTATCAAATTTCAAAAATTTATTTAATTACATCACAATAATTTAATTAATTTTAAAAATAATAAAAAAAATTTTATATTATTTATTTATTTATATTATATTTATTATTTATATTATATATTACAAATTAAATTTTTTTTTTATTTTCACAAAATATTTATTTATTTTTGTTATTATAATTAAAAAAATTTATATTATATATATATTTATATTATATATACATATAAATTTTTAATTTTAAATATTAACTTAATATAAAATTTTTTAAAATAATTTTTATTTAAAATAAAATTTAAATTATTATATTTTATATATATTTTTATATGTTACATTAATTAATTAATTAGGAATATTGAATAATATATATTAAATATTAAATTTAAATAATTTATAAATTATTTATTTATTAATTTAAATTTATTAATAATAATAATTATTATTTATTATTATATAATAATAAAAAATAAAAAATTTCATTTAATAACAAATATTTTTATTATTTTTTGGTTATAATTTTTTTTTGCAAAATATTTTTTTTTATTATAGGCAATTAAAAATTTATATATTTCATATAATAGATTAATAATAATAATTATTATTTATTATTATATAATAAAAAAGAAAAAATTTTATTTAATGATAAATATTTTGAAGATAAGAAATTTTTACAAGACCTTTACCGATATATGTTATATTAAAAATTATCAATTTAAATTTTAAATCGAAAATTTTCTTGAATAATTTCTGAAAAATTATCGACAGATAATCAAAAAAAAATCAAGAAATATTTTTTTCTATTTGATAAAAATTAAGGAATTATTATTAACAATGTAATAATATTATAATAAATTAAAAATATTATTGATAATATTAATTTTAATTTCTTTATAATAAACAATTAAATCCCTAATTTCGCGCGCGTTTAATTTTGCTAGTTAGGTATAATATTATAGATTCCTAATGAAAAATTTACAGAACAACAATAAATAGCAAAAAATTATTAAAAAATTGGTAAAACGTATTTAAAAAAAAGGAAAAAAAATTTTGGATTTAAAACAAAATTGTTTTGAGTAACTTTTCAAAAAAAGAGTAATTTCATAGATATATATCCAAAAATTCGAAAAAAAAGTTAAAATTCCAAAATAACTTTTTTTAGGGTTAAAATTGCAGAAATATGTTGAATCGGTAAAATATGTAAGATATATTATAATACGTTGAATTATATTATACTTATTATTAAATAACAATATAATTAGGAAAAAGTCGACTATTTTATTCACTTAGGGGCTATTATACTTATTGCCAATTTTTAATCAATAAAATAATTGCAAGGGTTTTAAACCTCTCCTCCTCAAATAAGCATATTGTAATGGAAAAAATAAAAATTTTGTATGTCGCGTAAGCAACTGAGGAACCCGCCCCCCTCCCCTTCAGGTGTTTAAGTAATACTTGAATAACCCCATTATGTTAATTATTTAAGAAAAAAAATTGATAAATTTCATTGGTCTACAATAAAATCAGAAAATAGTTAATAGTATCAATTTAATCATTATTATTATAAATTAAAATAATGTAAATTATTATCTCACTCGCAATTTTTCTCACCGTGCTTTGGATGCTTGATATGGTAATCAGCGACACAAAAAAAACCTGTCACAATAAATTTATGAATAAAAATTTATACTAGAAAGTAAAATTTTTTTTAGAAAAAAAATTAATTTTTATCTAGATAAACAATAAATCAAAACTTTATAAGTTTCATTGATTCTCTAAAGATTTTATTAATCAACAGAATAACAATGACAATGTTAATTTAAACACTGGTATGAATGTTGCTCTATTTACATAATAAAAAATTTTATCCGATAAGAATAATTTTAACATCTGTCTAAATTAGTTCATATAAGTAATGAGTATAAAACTACCAACGTAACAAAGTTATTTTAGAACTATATAAGTTCCCAAATTTTCGTCTTCTCTATACTAGGATATATAAAAATCAATAAAACAATTTTTGATTATTTAATGTTTCAATTTACCAATATTTAAGGAAATATCAAACTTTTGTCAATAAAGGCATATAGTTTATAAGTAATGCAGGTAAATAATTTTTCTATATTTAAAAAAAACTATACATTAGTTTTTTCTTAACGAACCTACTTCTTTTTGTTTAAATACTATTTAATAAATGTGAATATTGTTATATAATTTCAGATTAGTCAGTTTAAAATCAGTTTGTAAAGAACGCTTTTTACAAAAGTTACTAAAATATTTTTAAAAATTAAACAAGGATTATCAGTGGCTTATCTAGAGGAATTTGAACTAACTTCAGTACAACTTTCAAAAATTGCTGATCATGATGAATGAAACCAGTCTTTTTATGTATTCGACACAAACTTTTCAATTTTTGTCAATACTAAGTTACACTGACAAACTGAGCAATATATTTTACAATCAAGATTTATTAGAATCAAACAATCAATTTCAACACTATGCAATCATCAATGCGTACTTTGAACATCTCAACAGAACGAACAACGAGGAAGAAGCGAAAAGGCGTCTCGTTCAAAATCTACTCCAAGGATCTGACCTTTACGGAGGGCATGAAAATGAAACACTCGACATGGAATATGTCGACGCAACGTTTCAGTATATTATAAGTAACATTGTATTTGCGGACTATGGAAATGTCTATGGATACTTGGCAAAAATCGTCAACTTGGCAAATAACTTGACACTTTCGTTCCTCAAACAAAATATCCTCGAGGATCTAATGAGACTCGAGTTTTTGACTCCAGAGGGAACGATTTCAAAACTCAGTCTTCTGTCATCTGTTAGAATCAGAGACGACTTTCTTTTGTCTCTGTTCCCTCAACCAGAAAAGGACATGAACATAACTGACATTGACTACATTTATGCTCAAGCTGGTTTAATATTTGCTCACTCGGGGAAAATTAACACAACTAACGTGACTTTCAATGATTTCATCGTAATATCGCAGACTTTGGAATTGGCAGTCTTAGAGAACACGACAAATCAATCTGCATTGACAGTTTTTACTCTTCCAGCTCTTCTCTTCAATGCAAGTAACGAAGCAAAAAAATTCAATCAACAATATGTGGCTGACTGTGTTCAGAATGAAACTTTCTTGGCAGAAACGCTAAACAGTTTATTCTCATACTTAAATGAAACCTTCCTGACAATTAATCGAGAGGCATACGAGAGCAGTCCATTTTATCAATTCAATATTACCATGTCGCACTTCAAAAGTCGTACTGACCTGGCAGAACATTTTTTACGTCAACAATGTAATTTGGAAAATGAAACTGAATCAGCTATTGACAAATACAAGTTATTCGCATCGAGCAGTAAGTGCCCGAATAATGAAAGTATATTATTGCCCAACGTGGATCAAGTTTACCAAAGTCAGGTTGATGTGCTTCAAGAAAAATATCACTCTCTTATGGAGATATTACTGCAGCAAGTGTTTTCTTATGCCGGATTAGTGGACTTGATTAATTCAACAAAAACCGCTGTTTACGAAAGTCAGACAGTTCCAATTCCGACTTCTTGTTTTCCATATCCTTGTCCACCGTACCAACCACGTCTTAATCCAAATATTTATTTATTTGCCTTGAGAACAGCGGATGGTAATTTTTATTATGCATTGGACAAAAGTGGGAGTAATTTAAATTTGCTGTACTACAACAGCGATCCAGAGGAATTTTTAAACAAAATCGGCTTACCACCGAAAGCAGAACTTGAGATATCCGCAATTCCAACAATTTTAAAACACTCCTTTGAAACTTACGAAACGTTTATTGATCGCTTAGCACGTTTGAAAGCCAAAGAATTTGCAAATCAATTGTACTCCACAGGATATGAGAAAACGTTCAAAGAGAAGATAGTGGACGTGTTAGTAGCTTTTGTTCCCTTTTACAATTGCATTAAATTCGCGAAAGCAGGTGATAACGTGGGTGCTTCGTTTTCATGCATTAGTGATGTCATCAGTTGGATTCCTTTCGGAGGTCAATTACTGCAGCTTAGCAGTAAACTTGGAACTATGACTTTTAATCACCTACTCCTTGCCACTGGAGTCTCTGTTAAAACTTTCACTACAAGACAAGCTATTCGCATTTCGATGGAAGTTGGACTTTACGAGGCTTCGTCAGGATTAGCGGAAATGGTGAAGAACGTGATTTTTACTAAAGAGATGTTCAAGAATCTGTTTGTGGGTTTAGTTCGCACAGTAGATCCTGGTTTTGAATTGGTTGGCAGACTGCACTGGAAAGGAGGATTATTGCTGGGAAAACTGTTCAAAAAGACTTGGACAGTGGCTGCAAAGAAGTATCCACTCATAAAAGTGAATTTCCCCAAGGAAATCTCGCAGCAGTTGTCCAAAGCGAGTCTCCAGTCGGCAGATGATTCTGGAATGATTCCCGTTTTACTAGGACAGAGGGACGGTTACGACGTCTTTAGATACACATACCCCGGTGGAGAAAAGACATTTGGACCAAAATTTCTTCGTTTACCGAATACAAATGCAGAATTAAGACAGGTCATGGGCTTTAATGCAGAGACTCCCGTAGTTGTGTCAAGAATTAACAAATATAATGTGTATTACAAAAAGATTGATTTGAAAACACAAAATACTTACGGTTTGGAATTGGAATTGAACGGAGACGGTTTGCTTCAACCTGTCAGAGCTCCATTTCGTGAGCACATTGCAACAATTGTGAGAGAAGGATTGAGCGGGAGAGGGGCATTGAAATTACAAAGAGAAACTGCTATTAGAGAAGCTACTTTAATGATATTGAAATCAAATACTTTTCTGAGTCGTTCTAGTATTATTTCTTATTTACGTCACTACATTTTAGCATTTGAACGTCCGTTAGATATGCAGGAGGATCTTAGTAAAATTATAATTGATCCAGTTTTAATCAATCAAATCGAAGAAGTAAATCCTAGTTCAATAAAGCAACTGTTGGGAAAAGGTCCATTGATTGTGGATCCATCGTTAAACAATTATTTAGTGGTTCCTACTTACAGGGATTTCGCGCTAGATTGGGTCAGAACTCAAAACATACATGATACATATGAGAAATTTCATGTGTTACACTCAAATGAATTAGAGCGGTTGAGGACCGTTGATGTTTTTGATTCCATAAATGTATTCGACTTAGCATCGGCTAAAAAACTAATTTCGTTTAATTATGGTGACAATTTTCAAGAATTGCTAACAATAGATTTAGCGAGTGTTCTTAGTAATTATGATTCTTATAACGCTCGATTCTGTGTTGATTTTCCTGATTATTTTGGCATATTGGTTTATATACAAAATGCCTTTAAAAGATCAATATCGAATGACGTTAAAAGACATATGTCCAGGGCACTGTTTAGATTAGCAGTGAGACAAACTGACGAGGAGATAATAGATTTTCCCAAAAAAATTTTTTTTTTTGAACGAAAGTCTATAAAACAAATTAACGAAAATATGTTTGATTCTTTCTTTCGCAATGGCAAATCTTTCACAATAGGCAATTTTCAACGAGTATCAACGCAAGAAAAGTTTGTTGATAGAGCGATTTACAATCTTTTTTGGAATAATAATATAATACCTGTAAAATACGAGATACATCTGGATGAACAATTTTTGGCAGTAAATTTGGCTCGTTTGATTTCTCTTGATGAAGAAAAGTTCGTTATTTTTCCTTTTACAGAATTTCATTTAGATGAAGTAATTGAAAAAGTTGATAGTATTCATGTGAAAATGCACAATTTGCCTATTTCGAAAGAATTATGGTTAGTACGATTAATGAAACATCGTGGGAGAAATTTTTAATTTATTTAGTTTTTGTAGTTTTTGTATATATGTTATTTCCTTATTATCGTTATCCTACAATTAATTATTTGCTTATTTTACTTAAGGGGTTACATGGGTTTACTCGGCAAAAAAAAGGACTATTTTCAACAATTTTTTTTATATGAGTGCGATTCCAAGTGAGATTTTGACTTTTTCGGAGTAGGTTAACCGATTGCAATGAAACTTTGGAATTTTGTTATATATAGTAAGACTAATCTTTAACGTAAATTTCAGCCTAAAATATTTGTTAGTTTACGAGATTTGCAATAATAACAAAAAATTTAAAACTGCTATATCTTCCGTTCTAATAAACGGATTGAGGTCTACTTTTTTTTAAAATGTCAAGGAAAATGAGAGGAATAAATCTCTTTCAGAACATTTTTTTATAATTTTACAACTAAAAAAATTATTAAATAATAATTGAATAACTTTCGCGCGACTAACTAAAATTCAATCACTTAAACGCTAAAATGATCTTACCTGTGTTTTCTTTAATGTTCCAAAGGATTTTTATTGTAAATGTAAGTTTAACTTAAGAAATTTTATTAATTTATTAGTATAAACAATTGAGATTTCTGCTAGTTGACGTGCAGACGACATTGCGCACGCAGCATTCTCACATAGCCAACTGACGTGATTCGTGGACTAAATTGGCTATGTGAGAATGCTGCGTGCGCAATGTCGTCTGCACGTCAACTAGCAGAAATCTCAATTGTTTATACTAATAAATTAATAAAATTTCTTAAGTTAAACTTACATTTACAATAAAAATCCTTTGGAACATTAAAGAAAACACAGGTAAGATCATTTTAGCGTTTAAGTGATTGAATTTTAGTTAGTCGCGCGAAAGTTATTCAATTATTATTTAATAATTTTTTTAGTTGTAAAATTATAAAAAAATGTTCTGAAAGAGATTTATTCCTCTCATTTTCCTTGACATTTTAAAAAAAAGTAGACCTCAATCCGTTTATTAGAACGGAAGATATAGCAGTTTTAAATTTTTTGTTATTATTGCAAATCTCGTAAACTAACAAATATTTTAGGCTGAAATTTACGTTAAAGATTAGTCTTACTATATATAACAAAATTCCAAAGTTTCATTGCAATCGGTTAACCTACTCCGAAAAAGTCAAAATCTCACTTGGAATCGCACATGAAGAAATAAATATTTTATTCGTAACTTTTTAGTTCTTTAAACATACATATTTAAATAAGAATTTTATAAATTTTTAAAGAAAAATATGCAGAAGTCAGCCATTGAGACGTCATTTCCGGTGACCCCTCGGAAAATAAGTGCGTCCGCGTTGACAGCACAATTCCTAACAGAATCATCTGAAATTAAAAAATTGAAGATTTTCTTTTAGTACAGACCTAAAACTAAAAATTGGACGAAGGGGAAAAAAAAAGTTAAAATTGGATTTTTGGCGCACCTTTTTACAAAAGAATGCAAATTTTGATCAAATTTTCTCAACATTTTTTTTTTAATAGTTGTAATTGAAGAAAAAAAAATCCTTCGTCCAAGTTCTCGAGAATTGTATCTCGAAGGCCTGTGCAAAATTTCATGAAGATCGGTTGAGTAGTTTCCGAGATATTTTGACAACCGACTTTAAAAACACAGTTTCGAGAAAAACGTATTTTAAGTTTTGAGTACACGGGAAAAAGAGAAACGTTGGATTAATACCGTTTTCCGATTGGTTCAACGTCAGTGGGCCCTGTCACGATTTCGGCATTGATTCAACAGACTTTTACTGTTGAACCTACTGTCCATCTATTGTTACAAGTAAGTTGATCCAACAGACACTGCCTACAGCGCTCCTTGCCGTTGAACCAATCGGAAAACGGTATTAATCCAACGTTTTTCTTTTTCCCGTGTACCAATAAAAGTGAAAAAAAAAGATTTTTTTAACTTACATTGAATCGTCGATTCCTGTGCCATAAAGTTAACTGCCTGCAGCAGCTGCAATGTCCAGGGCATCCTTCTGTTCCTGTCTTTGGCGAATTCTGGCTTGTCGAGTCTCTGTCGCAGATTTTTTTCGGCTGCGCACACACGGTTTTCGTCTGTGGTTTGGGCATATTCGTGGGAATTTCGGCCAAATTTTTATTCGGATCGATTTAAAAATTTCGGACAATATTTTTGAGATGTTGTATAAATTAATAAAACAATTAAAAAAATTGATTTTTTTGAAGCTGCCAAACCCATGTAACCCCTTAATAAAATGAATTTTAGTTGAATAAAGCGAAATAGAAAAAAAGATGATCTTACCTTTTAAAATTTTAATTTCTGATTAATTCTTTTATTGTCCTACAACCATTTCTCCTAATACACAAAATGGATATTTCTTTGAATTAAATTCCCTATTTTCGTATTTTCCCTAAAAGTCCCCTTTTTGCTATTTGGCCCTAAAAGTACCCTATTTTTAAATTTTCAGTCCTCTATTTCCTCTAAAATATTTTTTAGGATCACTATGAAGCTTGAAAATCATTAATTTCGAAATTAAAATTAAAGTTATTTGAAATTATTTGACTATATAATAAATGAATCCGTAAAAATGCCTTGTAAAATTTTATTTCAATCAACATTAATAAAACGGAAAATAAACAAACAAACAAATTACTATAGTAATTTTATTCCAATTTTTTTATTTCTGACATATATTTCACTAACGATAGTTCTTTCACAGTAGGCTTATTGTGCATTTTTACTGTTACAATATTTGTTTTTTCAATTACTTCATCGATATGAAATTCTACATTGGGAAGTATTACGACGAGTCCCTCAATTGTAGAAAACACACGATTCACATTTACTGCCAAAAAATTGGAATCCAAATTTATTTCATATTTTACTGGAATTAAATTTTCGTTAATAATTTCAATTACTTTATTATCTAAAAATTTCTCTTTAGTTGATGCCCTTATAAAAAAATTCAAATTTATAAAATATCCTTTTGATAGTGATTTATCCATTCGAAATTCCTCTACAGTTTTCCCGTGTACACAAAATACTTTCCTCGGAAATTGAATACCCTCGTCAGCTTGTCTTATGGCTAATTTATAAAGAGCATTCTTGATATACCTGTTTGGATTTTTGACACCGCTTTTCGAATAAAGCATCAATCCGATATAATCTTGAAAATTAACAAACCTCCTTGCATTATTAGAATTATAACCATTATAAATAATATCGAAATTAGACTTTAATATATCTTGAAAATTTAATCCATACAACGATTCATACTTTTTCATAAATTCTGCCAAGTCTCCTCTTGCAAAGTTATCAAGAATATAGTTACTCCTTAAGGATTCTAATTTTACCGGATTTTCCACATAAAATTCAGAATATGATTTATGTATGCTTCCAGTTTTAATCCAATCGAACGCAAAATCCCTGTAGGTAGGTACAATCAAATAACTGTTCAAATCAGGATCACCAACCAGTAAATCCTCTCTTAGGTACTTTTGCAATGTAATATGATTTACCTCTTCTATTTGATTTATTAAAACTGGATCAATGATAACGTTTGTTAGATCCTCCTGCAAACCCAACGGACGTTCAACTGCTAAAACGTAATGTTTTAATGAAGATTTAATACTACTAAGACTCAAATAACAATTTGAATTAGCTATCATCTTTGCAGCTTCATTAATGGAACTTTCCCTTTGAATCATCGCTGCCCCTCTCCCGCTCAATCCTTCTCTCACAATTGTTGCAATGTGCTCACGAAATGGAGCTCTAATTGGTCGAAGCAAACCGTCTCCGTTCAATTCCAATTCCAAACCGTAAGTATTTTGTGTTTTCAAATCAATCTTTTTGTAATACACATTATATTTGTTAATTCTTGACACAACTACGGGAATCTCTGCATTAAAGCCCATGACCCGTCTTAATTCTGCTTTTGCATTCGGTAAACGAAGAAATTTTGGTCCAAATGTCTTTTCTCCACCGGGGTATGTGTATCTAAAGACGTCGTAACCGTCCCTCTGTCCTAGTAAAACGGGAATCATTCCAGAATCATCTGCCGACTGGAGACTCGCTTTGGACAACTGCTGCGAGATTTCCTTGGGGAAATTCACTTTTATGAGTGGATACTTCTTTGCAGCCACTGTCCAAGTCTTTTTGAACAGTTTTCCCAGCAATAATCCTCCTTTCCAGTGCAATCTGCCAACCAATTCAAAGCCAGGATCCACTGTGCGAACTAAACCCACAAACAGATTCTTGAACATCTCTTTAGTAAAAATCACGTTCTTCACCATTTCCGCTAATCCTGACGAAGCCTCGTAAAGTCCAACTTCCATCGAAATGCGAATTGCTTGTCTTGTAGTGAAAGTTTTAACAGAGACTCCAGTGGCAAGGAGTAGGTGATTAAAAGTCATAGTTCCAAGTTTACTGCTAAGCTGCAGTAATTGACCTCCGAAAGGAATCCAACTGATGACATCACTAATGCATGAAAACGAAGCACCCACGTTATCACCTGCTTTCGCGTATTTAATGCAATTGTAAAAGGGAACAAAAGCTACTAACACGTCCACTATCTTCTCTTTGAACGTTTTCTCATATCCTGTAGAGTACAATTGATTTGCAAATTCTTTGGCTTTCAAACGTGCTAAGCGATCAATAAACGTTTCGTAAGTTTCAAAGGAGTGTTTTAAAATTGTTGGAATTGCGGATATCTCAAGTTCTGCTTTCGGTGGTAAGCCGATTTTGTTTAAAAATTCCTCTGGATCGCTGTTGTAGTACAGCAAATTTAAATTACTCCCACTTTTGTCCAATGCATAATAAAAATTACCATCCGCTGTTCTCAAGGCAAATAAATAAATATTTGGATTAAGACGTGGTTGGTACGGTGGACAAGGATATGGAAAACAAGAAGTCGGAATTGGAACTGTCTGACTTTCGTAAACAGCGGTTTTTGTTGAATTAATCAAGTCCACTAATCCGGCATGAGAAAACACTTGCTGCAGTAAAATCTCCATAAGAGAGTGATATTTTTCTTGAAGCACATCAACCTGCCTTTGGTAAACTTGATCCACGTTGGGCAATAATATACTTTCATTATTCGGGCACTTACTGCTCGATGCGAATAACTTGTATTTGTCAATAGCTGATTCAGTTTCATTTTCCAAATTACATTGTTGACGTAAAAAATCTTCTGCCAGGTCAGTACGACTTTTGAACTGCGACATGGTAATATTGAATTGATAAAATGGACTGCTCTCGTATGCCTCTCGATTAATTGTCAGGAAGGTTTCATTTAAGTATGAGAATAAACTGTTTAGCGTTTCTGCCAAGAAAGTTTCATTCTGAACACAGTCAGCCACATATTGTTGATTGAATTTTTTTGCTTCGTTACTTGCATTGAAGAGAAGAGCTGGAAGAGTAAAAACTGTCAATGCAGATTGATCTGTCGTGTTCTCTAAGACTGCCAATTCCAAAGTCTGCGATATTACGATGAAATCATTGAAAGTCACGTTAGTTGTGTTAATTTTCCCCGATTGAGCAAATATTAAACCAGCTTGAGCATAAATGTAGTCAATGTCAGTTATGTTCATGTCCTTTTCTGGTTGAGGGAACAGAGACAAAAGAAAGTCGTCCCTGATTCTATCAGATGACAGAAGACTGAGTTTTGAAATCGTTCCCTCTGGAGTCAAAAACTCGAGACTCATTAGATCCTCGAGGATATATTGTTTGAGGAACGAAAGTGTCAAGTTATTTGCCAAGTTGACGATTTTTGCCAAGTATCCATAGACATTTCCATAGTCCGCAAATACAATGTTACTTATAATATACTGAAACGTTGCGTCGACATATTCCATGTCGAGTGTTTCATTTTCATGCCCTCCGTAAAGGTCAGATCCTTGGAGTAGATTTTGAACGAGACGCCTTTTCGCTTCTTCCTCGTTGTTCGTTCTGTTGAGATGTTCAAAGTACGCATTGATGATTGCATAGTGTTGAAATTGATTGTTTGATTCTAATAAATCTTGATTGTAAAATATATTGCTCAGTTTGTCAGTGTAACTTAGTATTGACAAAAATTGAAAAGTTTGTACCGAGTACATAAAAAGACTGGTTTCATTCATTTTATCAGTTGTAATTTTGAAAATTTGCCAAATAAATAGAAATTGTGTTGTATTAGTTTGAGGAATCCCGTAACTTTTGTAATGTCCTTTCGAAAAAATTTTTTGACTCAATTCTTGTTTCTTAAAATCAGATTTGTCTGAAAATATAATAACATTCATATTATTTAAATTAAAAGAATACTGTAAAAAGAAAGTACTAAAATAGTACCGATTTTAGGTATCAAAATTGAACCAAATGACAATTTAGTAGGGGAAAGGGTGGGTAAGTTCGCCCAAAAAAAGTTTAGAGTATAAAAAAAGTTACTTAATTATAACGTTTGAGTATAAAAACTCTTTCATAGTACAAAGACAACCTTCAGAAATAAAACAGAATAGTTATTTGAATTGTTTTTTAATGAAAATATTAAATAAATTGTAATTAAAATATCGATGGTAAAAATGAAGAATTGACCTTAGGTGCGGGTAAGTTCGACTACGGAGGAGGGTAAGTCTGTTTCTTCCAAAAAGTAGGAATAAATTGAAATAAATGTGTCAAATTTTTTGTATTTGTTTTTATTAATCAATAATCTTATGAATGTCTTAAAAATTAATACTGTATTATAATGAAATATACATTTTTTTTGTCAAATTTAATTTTTCCATCAAAACTAGTTTTTAAAGGAGGAGAAAGTAGCTACGTAAAGTACGTAACTCTCAAAGACAAATGCGCATGCGCGCTTTGTGCGCGCTTATTTCAAATGTTTTTCTTTCTCAAAATATTCAAATAATTATTTGTTATTGTAAATTTATTGAATTATGCATTTTTTCTATTAAGAGATTTTTAGACATGAAAGGAAGAATGAATGCGAATGACAGTGAAAAAGATAATTTATTTATTAATATTTAACAATGTGTAAATAACATTTTTAGTATTGGACGAAAAATCAGATTTAACATTTTTCTATTCGGTATAAAATCTTTTAAAACTTTAAAATATCACATTTTAGATAGGTATTGTATGTATATAATTGAGGTTATGCATAATAGTAATTTTCTTAATTCTGCTGCAATAAATGAAAATTAAAAGCGAAACAAAAATTTAAATAATAAAGTATAAATAAAAATATACTTGTTATTGCAGCATTAAATTAAACTATTATTAAATAATCACCTGCATTTGTAGAAATCTATCAGTTCGTCTTCTGCTGCATATCTCTAGTAGTAGTAGTAGTAAAGATTGACGTTGGCATTTATACTAGCTTTGCGCCTTTGCATATCTCTAGTAGTAGTAGTAGTAAAGATTGACGTTGGCATTTATACTGCATATCTCTATATACATTCTGAGCAATTGCGCATATCCCGTACCTAACTTACGTATCTTGCTTGCGCGACTTGTGATTTGACGAACTTAACCGCACGAACTTACCCGACATTAATAGTTTAAACATTTTATTACTTATTTAATTTTACAACTTATTTTTAATTTTCAAAACATGATTTTCATAAAGTGTAATGTTCCAGAATTATAATAAAAAAAAATTACCAATTTCTATGGATAATAAATACGTTTTTCTAAAATTCAAAATTCAAAAAATTTACAATTTGAAACAACTTTTTCATACTTGTTTAATATTTTTGTTAATAACAAACCGATTACAATAAAACTTTTTAGACACTATCGTTACCATACAATACTCCATTCTTAAAAACGGTTATACGTAATATTTATTTTTAAAAAAGTTATTTAGAAAAACGAACTTATCCGCCGCGCGAACTTACTCACCTTTCCCCTACCTAAAGTAGATATTAAATTAATACCTTTCGTTTTACAGTGAAATTTAGTTTCTAAAATATTTATGTCAAATTAATATATCATATAATAGGTAAATATTATAAAGATTATTTTTCAAATCTCATTTCAGATTCGTATTTATAGCGATCTCAAAAACAATTAACACCACTGCATTCTTATTTTTCTAAATCTATTGACGACTTAATGAGTTAATTTTACTGCCTAATCTCTCTGACAACCGAAAATTTTTTTCCGAATATTATTTGTATATTTTTTGTTAATAATTATAATAGATAATTATTTATTCATTAGCGTTTATAATAATTATTATAGAAAAAATCTTCACCTGATTTCTTTATTATTAATATAACTATGAAACTTGTATCGAAATTGATTGTAAAACTTGTATTTTATAAATTTTAATATCTATTGGTTAACAAAATCTTTGAGACAAAAATTATTTAAGTTGAACATATTGATTAGTTTGATATTTAGAAACTTACTTAGAATAAAATTTGTTTTTGACTATTTTATACTCAGTGGTATTTATAATAATACTTAGAAGTTTAATTTGTTTAAACAGGTGTCAATATTAATTTTGTATTAATTTACCCGATTTAAAATGTAAAAAACATAACATAATATATGATGTTGCAACAATTTTCAGAATTGAATTTTAAATTATTCACTTAATTGCTTTATAGGTTATTAATCGCGTATCATACTATAGAAAATTGTGTTAATTCTCATGAAATTTTTATGGAATGTAAAATAGACAATAAAATTAATGTTCAAGTAACAGATAAGGAATATTACAGGAGAACACTTGTTTCAATAATTTTAACATATATGTTCAAAATTTTCAGAAGTTTATACGCTTTATACTTATACTTTGAATATAAAAATCATTTTTGCAATGAACTACGCGTGTAATTGATACTTTGATTTAGAAATTAATTTTTTCATCAAAACTCCATGTGTAATCACGATACTTTAATATTTTTGAAGTTTTAAAAAGTTTTTACAATAATTTTAAAAACTTTCGAAAAAATATCAAAGTATTAAATATACACGTGCACTGAAAAAATTTTGGTGCAGCAGGTGCCCCAAACGGAAAATTTCTATATTCAATTAACTTCATACTTAATATTTGCCATGCGTTTTTATATGAGTGAAGTTAACTGAATATAGAAATTTTTCATTTGGGGCAGCTGCTGATCCAAAAGTTTTTCAGTGTGGAGACCATTGAGAAAAATGATTTTTAAATTTAAAGTATAAATTGTATTTCTTCAATAGGGTCATCAATATTACTAAGAAATGTCATTTATATGTACCTAATAAAGAAAATGTGGAATTTTAAAATCATTTATTTAAACCCAATTTTTTAAATATTTTCGTTGCAAATATATTAGTTTTTAAGGTATATTAAGTTGGCGCAACCACATTATCGAAATTACTTTTTACCTATGCTATAATTAAGTGCTCATTTAGTGCTAATTTAATGCCAAAAGCACAAATTTAATGCTGTACATTTTTTAAAAAAAAACCGTGGTGGCGCCAGCTTAACGTTAAGGTAGCGCCACCACATAAAAAAAAGCTGCAAAAAATTTTCTTATTGATACCATAATTTAGTGCTCATTTAGTGCTCTCCAAATATTTTGCTCTTAATTAAAAATATGAGATTTTAAATGTTAGATTTGTCCAAAATCAAGTTTCAGACAAAAACAAGTTTAACCACTTACATTTTTTTAATTTAAAAATTTACAAATTAATCGATTGACTTGATACCAGTTACACGGGGGTTTTCGGGATCGCTGATTAGGAATCCGGTATCATTTTTTCAAAATTTAAAATGGCGGAACCAATATGGCGGATGACAAAATTAAAAATTGACCGAATATGTTTGAAACTCGTTACTTGGAGGTTTTCTGGGTCGCTCATTACGAATCCGATGTTAAATTTTTTACGAATAAAAATTTTGAAATTAAAAAAAGATATAAACTCATCCTCTTTGCACAAAGAAAGATTTCTACTTGTGGAGCAAAAAATTTAAAATGGAGAAAAATTTATTGGCAAAAAATCTCCATTCTCTCTTTAGGGGAAGGGAGTAATCATTGTTAAATTAAAAAATTTGATTTTCTTTTCATTTTGAATTTTTTAGGACACAAGTAGCAACCTTTTCATTTGTAGAGAGGAGAAGTTTAAATCTTAATTTTTATTGGCAAAAAAAATTATTAGTAATACTAATTACTTTTTACCTATACCATAATTAAGTGCTCATTTAGTGAATTTTAATGCGAATAGCACAAAATTAATGCTGGACATTTTAAAAAAAAATCATGGTGGCGCCAGCTTAACGTTAAGGTAGCGCCAACACATAGAAAAAATCTCTAAAAAATTTTCTTATTTATGCCATAATTTAGTGCTCATTGAGTGCTAATTTAATGCCAAAAGCACAAATTTAATGCTGCACCCAGAGAATAGATTACTTTGATTTAAAGAAATCAGTTTCTTTGACTTGTTTTATTTCATTTAAAATAAAATTTTCTTTGAAACAAAAAAAGCTTATTAGTTTCAAAGAAAATTGTGCTTTAAATCAAAGAAATTCTAACATTGAGTCATGGAAACATTTATTTGAAATAAATAAAAAATTTCTTTTAACGAAGATAAATTTTTTTAATCACAGAAAATTTGTTTGAAACAAATAAATTTTCTTTAAAGCAAAGAAATATTTCCCAAAGACTTGATTTCTTTAATTCAAAGATATCCTTTTTCTAGGTCCGTTAACCAGGCTTGTCCACATTGTCCGATCTGGATAAAACCTATTTGAAAATTAAGGGCTAATTTAAGGCTAATTTAATGCCCTAATGACGAATTTAATGCTCGGCATTTTCTTTAAAAAACTTGTGGACAAGCTAGCTTAACATTAAGGTGGCTTTTCCACACAATGAAGGAGCACTCGTAGGAAAGTCTACTATAGGTCAAAATTGAGGGTTTTTTAAGGCTCTTTAATGCTTTATTGCCGAATTTAATGCCAGCATCATTTCGCGAAATATTTGCAAAAATTCAATTTTTACTTGATATCAGTTTGTCCACAGAATGAAGGAACACTCGTAGGAAGGTCTACTAAAGGTCAAAATTTAGGGCTTTTTTAAGGCTCCGCAATGCTCTATTGACAAATTTAGTGCCGGCATAATTTCGCGAAATAATTGCAAAAATTCAAATTTAACGTTATATTAGTTTGTCCACATATTGAAGGAATACTCTTAGGAAGGTCTTCAAGGTGTCAAAATTTAGGGCTTATTTAAAATTCTTAAATGCTTTTATGCCAAATTTAACACTACCTTAGCAAGTCTAAACGATTTTATTTAAAAATAAGCACTTAAGAATTACTTGCTTATTTATTTCTCGTAAATAGCACTGTATTGGCTGTTTAAAAATTATCTACCAATCCTAAAAACTACCCCCGACTAGTTCAAAAATTTATTTTTCAATTTTTTTTATAGAAAATAACGATTTTTTTATAAACAAATTATTTTTTTTAACTTTAGACCCGTTGTTTTACTTTTTTTATATTTACATACATGGAAATACTACTAAAATACTTTGCAAAATGTTTTACTGATAACCTGATTACCCTTTTTGGATGACTACTCGAAATTTTTTTTTGCAAAATATTTTTACTATTTTCAGGTATGTAAAAATAAAAAAAAGTAAAAATAATAGCTTTCACAATTTAAAAAAATTAATTTGTTTATTAAAAATCGTTATTTTCGATATAAAAATGTAAAAGAAATTTTTGAACTACTGAGGCGAAGTTTTTGAAGTTGGTGGATCGTTTTTGAAAATGCAATTTAGTGCTATAATAATGAACCTTAAATTAGCCCTATATTCCAAAGTACTTCTTTTTTGTAAAAACTGAGTTTGAAGTACTCAGGGGTAGTTTTTGAAATTGGTGGATCATTTTTGAACATCTAATTTAGTGCTATTTAAGAACCCTAAATTAGCCCTAAATTTCTAATTACTTGATTTTGAAAAAATTGATTTTAATTTTCTCAGGGGTGGTTTTTGAAGTTGGTGGATCATTTTTGAATATCCAATTCGGTGCTCGTAAAGAGCCATAAATTATCCCTAAATTCCTAGGTACTTTTTCATGAAAAAATTGAGTTTAAAATACTCATGTATAGTTTTTAAAATTAGTGGATCACTTTTGAACATTTATTTAGTTCTATTTAAGAGCCTTATATTAACCTTAATTTCTAAGTACTTGTTTTTTGAAAAAATTTAGTTCTATTTAAGAGCCTTAAATTAGCCCTAAATTTATAAGTACTTGTTTTTGGAAAACATTGTGTTTGAACTAATTATGTGTAGTTTTTAAAATTGGTGGATCAATTTTGAACATCCAATTTAGTGCTATTTATGAGCCCCAAATTCTTTAGTACTTTTTTTTGAGAAAATTGAGTTAGAACTACTCAGGGGTAGTTTTTGAAATTGGTGGATCATTTTTGAACATCTAATTAGTAGGTAGGGTAGGTTTTGTGTTTGGTTTTCTATCAGTTACATGGTTGGGGTGCTTGGGAGTGCATTTTTAAAAAGTCAATTTAGTGCTATTGAAGAACACTAATTTAGCTCCTAAGTCCTATATGATTATTGTTTGGTTAAATCAAGTTTTAATAATTGGGGATGTTTTTTTGAACTTAGGGGTGGTTTTTGAAAAATTTAAATAGTCTTAGTTGAGAACCCTACTCTCTAAATCTGACTTAGTAGTTTTCTACTAATGAAAGAGTGCGTATTCGTTTACCAATTGAATTAATAACAGTTTTTACTAATTTTTAGTAAAAAAAACTACTAATTCATGGAGTAAATCGGCTTACTAATTTGAAATAGTAAAAAATACGACTTACTCCATAAATTAGTAGTTTTCTACTAGCAATTAGTAGTTTTTTTACTACAAATTAGTCATAACTGTTACTAATTCAATTAGTAAACGAATGCGCACTCTTTCATTAGTAGAAAACTACTAATTCAGATCCAGCTTGACGTCAAGCTAGCAGTACGAAGGGTTACTTTAAATAGGTAAAGGGCCCTAAATTTTTGCATGTGGTACTAAATTAGCCCTAATTGAGCCCTAAATGTTAGCATATATAAAAACTTTTTTCGGGGAAGTGGTACCTCTAGGATTAACGACTTTTTGGCTAGACTTTTCAGACGAGCGACGCTATTTAGGGTCTGACTAGTGGCTGAGTAGCAGCAGAAATGGGCAAGCTTATCAAGTAAGAATTGAATTTTTGCAATTATTTCGCGAAATTATGCCGGCACTAAATTTGTCAATAGAGCATTGCGGAGCCTTAAAAAAGCCCTCAATTTTGACCTATAGTAGACTTTCCTACGAGTGCTCCTTCATTGTGTGGAAAAGCCACCTTAATGTTAAGCTAGCTTGTCCACAAGTTTTTTAAAGAAAATGCCGAGCATTAAATTCGTCATTAGGGCATTAAATTAGCCTTAAATTAGCCCTTAATTTTCAAATAGGTTTTATCCAGATCGGACAATGTGGACAAGCCTGGTTAACGGACCTAGAAAAAGGATATCTTTGAATTAAAGAAATTAATTCCTTTGAGAAATATTTCTTTGCTTCAAAGAAAATTTATTTGTTTCAAACAAATTTTCTGTGATTAAAAAAATTTATCTTCGTTAAAAGAAATTTTTTATTTAATTCAAATAAATGTTTCCATGACTTTATATCAATGTTAGAATTTCTTTGATTTAAAGAACAATTTTCTTTGAAACTAATAAGCTTTTTTTGTTTCAAAGAAAATTTTATTTTAAATGAAATAAAACAAGTCAAAGAAACTGATTTCTTTAAATCAAAGTAATCTATTCTCTGGGTGCAGCATTAAATTTGTGCTTTTGGCATTAAATTAGCACTCAATGAGCACTAAATTATGGCATAAATAAGAAAATTTTTTAGAGATTTTTTCTATGTGTTGGCGCTACCTTAACGTTAAGCTGGCGCCACCATGATTTTTTTAAAAATGTACCCACCGAGAAAAAGGATATCTTTGAATTAAAGAAATCAAGTCTTTGGGAAATATTTCTTTGCTTTAAAGAAAATTTATTTGTTTCAAACAAATTTTCTGTGATTAAAAAAATTTATCTTCGTTAAAAGAAATTTTTTATTTATTTCAAATAAATGTTTCCATGACTCAATGTTAGAATTTCTTTGATTTAAAGCACAATTTTCTTTGAAACTAATAAGCTTTTTTTGTTTCAAAGAAAATTTTATTTTAAATGAAATAAAACAAGTCAAAGAAACTGATTTCTTTAAATCAAAGTAATCTATTCTCTGGGTGCAGCATTAAATTTGTGCTTTTGGCATTAAATTAGCACTCAATGAGCACTAAATTATGGCATAAATAAGAAAATTTTTTAGAGATTTTTTCTATGTGTTGGCGCTACCTTAACGTTAAGCTGGCGCCACCATGATTTTTTTTTAAAATGTCCAGCATTAATTTTGTGCTATTCGCATTAAAATTCACTAAATGAGCACTTAATTATGGTATAGGTAAAAAGTAATTAGTATTACTAATAATTTTTTTTGCCAATAAAAATTAAGATTTAAACTTCTCCTCTCTACAAATGAAAAGGTTGCTACTTGTGTCCTAAAAAATTCAAAATGAAAAGAAAATCAAATTTTTTAATTTAACAATGATTACTCCCTTCCCCTAAAGAGAGAATGGAGATTTTTTGCCAATAAATTTTTCTCCATTTTAAATTTTTTGCTCCACAAGTAGAAATCTTTCTTTGTGCAAAGAGGATGAGTTTATATCTTTTTTTAATTTCAAAATTTTTATTCGTAAAAAATTTAACATCGGATTCGTAATGAGCGACCCAGAAAACCTCCAAGTAACGAGTTTCAAACATATTCGGTCAATTTTTAATTTTGTCATCCGCCATATTGGTTCCGCCATTTTAAATTTTGAAAAAATGATACCGGATTCCTAATCAGCGATCCCGAAAACCCCCGTGTAACTGGTATCAAGTCAATCGATTAATTTGTAAATTTTTAAATTAAAAAAATGTAAGTGGTTAAACTTGTTTTTGTCTGAAACTTGATTTTGGACAAATCTAACATTTAAAATCTCATATTTTTAATTAAGAGCAAAATATTTGGAGAGCACTAAATGAGCACTAAATTATGGTATCAATAAGAAAATTTTTTGCAGCTTTTTTTTATGTGGTGGCGCTACCTTAACGTTAAGCTGGCGCCACCACGGTTTTTTTTTAAAAAATGTACAGCATTAAATTTGTGCTTTTGGCATTAAATTAGCACTAAATGAGCACTTAATTATAGCATAGGTAAAAAGTAATTTCGATAATGTGGTTGCGCCAACTTAATATACCTTAGTTTTTATGATATACTTAATTATATCCGTATATCAGAATAAATAAAAGTTTATTTATTAAATTTTCCTGTCATCATTTTGCAAAAAAGGCGGATAAGACGAAAGAAGGAAAATGAAAATATATTGGGTGTATTAAAAGTCAATTTTCTCAGACACGTCACGAAAACAAGAATTTCTTTTGAAATATATGTTTATTTCTTAATTACAGTAACCCGACTAAATATCAATTTCCTCAGGTATACGAAATTCACTATGAGCCATTGTTGCCGTTCATTTAGAAAACCCACCGCTTGACACTCAGCAAAGTAAACCAATCAACTTTATGATAAGTCATCCCCACTAAATCATTGACCATCGCAATTCATAGTTTCCTTAATTACCTCTTAGTTTTCACTTAGTTTCTTGCCAACCTTTCCTTCGATCGTTTCAAATTCTCGAGAGTTTATAATATTTCTCGTTAATATATTTTTTTCGAGAATAAAAATTTTCAAATTGTGTTCAAGTGATTTTTAAAAGTGAGTGTGTGTGTATGTGAAAAAAATGTTGCCAGTGAATAGTTACGAATATCCGGAAGCTCAACCAACGTGGGACAAAAATTTTCCATTTGTGACAATAATTGAACATCCAACACATTCATTACGCTTTCGTTACGAGTGCGAACGACGATGTGCAGGAAGAATTTTGGGTGAAAATAGTGTCGCTGATAGACGAACATTTCCAACAATTCAAATTCACGGATACAAGGGACCTGTTGTTATTGTTGTGTCATGTGTGACAAGAGACAATCCCCCACGACCTCATCCTCACAGTATTATGGGGAAGAATTCCGCAGCGAATGGAATATATTCGTTAAAAATGAATCTTGTTGATGGAATCGTGACGTTTAATCATCTTGGAATTCAGTGCATGAAGAAGAAGCAAGTCGCCAGTGCTCTCGAGATACGAAAACGAGAGAATGTCGATCCCTATGGAACTGGTTTCGATCATATGGAATTTCCCGATTCCATTGACTTGAACTCGGTTCGCCTGTGCTTTCAGGTTTTCATTCAGGGCCCTCAGAAGAAATTCAACATCCCCCTGAAGCCCGTGGTCAGTAATCCAATCTACGACAAGAAGGCAAACGAGGATTTGATAATTTGCAAACTCAGCGTTTGCAGTGCTCCCGTCTCAGGTGGCACCGAGGTGATACTCCTTTGTGGTAAAATTAGTCGCGACGATATTCAAGTTCGTTTTTTCGAAGTTCGCAACGAGTGGCTCTTTTGGGAGGGTTTCGGCGAATTTCAACCCGTCAACGTACACAAACAAGTGGCCATTGTCTTCAGAACACCCGCCTATTGCAATCAGGACATCAGCGAACCAGTTGGAGTGCAAATACAACTTCGCAAAAAATCCGACGGCTCCACGAGCAAACCCCTACCGTTTATAATGCTCCCAGTAGAAATTTCTGATACAAATATAATGAAACGAAAACGTGCTCGCTTCGACTTCAGTCCCAAGTCATTTATGTTGAAACAAATGGAAATCCAAGCTGAAAAACGCAACGCAGTGGTGAATCAATCTCTATTGCTCAATTTCCCAACTCCCAAGGAACGTTCTCCTATTTTTCACAATTCCAATTTTCCCGAGAACAATAATTATGCAACGCAGGATTTAAATATTCACTGTGATCAAACAATTCACGAAACCTTTGGAACGCCAGTGCCACAACCACGAACCTCATTGATTGAACCAAATCCCAAGGAACCGAAACCAAAAGCACCGAGAAAACGAGCAACGCCTCGAGTTAGAATTCAAAAAACCGATGTTCCACCACAACCGGAACCTCGTCGACGTCTCGAGACACCACCGCCAAATGTTACGATTCATTCCTATGCATATTGTGACACAAATCCAACACTACAGTGGCAGGATCTCGACAGATATCCACGATATTCCACTCATCAGCAACAACAATCAACCGACGTGATTGATCCATTTGTGAATAATTTACCGTCTTGTGATTTTGCTCCACGTGGTCCTGTTGCTCAGCCAGCATTCGTCGAATTTGAAAATACTCGAACTCACCAACTCCCTGACAATTCCGATACAATTTCGGACAATCTCTCCAAGGGTCTTTCGATATCGGACGAGATTCATGATACTTTGCAAAATATTCACGAATTAAATCGAAATGTTGAGGAAAGTCAACAACGCATCACTGGTAAATACATGACGAATTATGTTGACAACGAGACGAATGTTAATAATTCACCATGGAACGATATTATGGGACAGGTTTACGATAATCAACCGAATGAAAATAATTTCTTTTCCTAATTCAACGTGCTGCAAATTTATAAAGGTAATTTTTTTTTCTTTTATTAATCGGAACAAATTTACACTGCAAAAAGAAGTATCTTATTTTAAGATGTTTTGGTAGCGTTTTCATATCTTAATGTTTTAAAAACGCTACCAAAACATCTTAAAATAAGATACTTCTTTTTGCAGTGTACTTTAAAATGGAGAATTAATCGAAACTTTTTTTGAACACACAGAAAAAAGATTTCTTTAATTCAAAAAAATCTATTTCTTTGACAAATGTTTTTTTTTTGATACAAAGAAAATTTATTTGTTTCAAACAAATTATTTTTGATTCATAAAAATGATCTTCTACAAAGAAATTTTGGAACGCATGATTATGTTCTAAAAATCATTAGTTAGAATTTTCATTGTATGGAATTTCATTTGTCATAATTATTTTTGAGACGAATTTTTATTTGTTCGAATTAGTATTTTGCAGAATTTTCATCAAAACGATTTTCTATATTACAGAATTTTTATATAACCGAAAATTCACTTCACAGAATTTTTATTTGTCAGAATTTTTATTTGTTCGAATTTTCATTTAACATAATAGTCATTTTAAAGAATTTTCATTGGGTAAAATTTCATTGCATAGAATTTTCAATATATTCTTTCAGATGAATTTTATCGATAATTTTAGATTGGTCGATTTTAAAAATCGCGCCAAAATCAATGGTTGTTTCGGTCATTTGCAATTTCGGACAAATGAAAATTCTATCAATTAGAAATTCTGATGATTTTTCGGTTAAGTAAAAATTCTGTAGTATAAAAAATTGTTTAATATGGAAATTATATCAAATAATAAATCCAATAAATAAAAATTCATCTGAAAGAATAAAATGAAAATTCTATGCAATGAAATTCTACCCAATAAAAATTCTTTAAAATGCCTATTAATGTTAAATGAAAATTCGAGCAAATAAAAATTCTAACAAATAAAAATTCGACTCAAAAATAATTCTGACAAATGAAATTCAATAAAATGATAAACTAATGATTTTTAAAACATCATCATGCATCTCGAAATTTTTTATTTAGTTAAAATAAATATTTCTTTGACCCTATATATCAATGTTAGAATTTCTTTGATTTAATGTACAAATTTCTTTCAGTCAAAAAAAAAAAAATTCTTTGATTCAAGAAATTCTTAGTTCCATTGAAACTAAGCAGGCCTCGGATTATACGACTTTTTCTGGACTTTTTTTCGGAAATACGACTTTTTCGTCTTATTTTACTAAGATGCAACTTTTTCGAATTTTTTTTTTACAAAATTTTTAAACAAAATACGTCTTTTTTTATTATATAATACAGATCTTCTTCAGATCTTTTTTATTTCAATTATTTACCAAATTTTTAACTAAAATTATTTTCTAAATTAATTATTTTAAATAATTTGAATAACATTCTTTAAAAATTAAATTTTTTCAATTCTGTAAAATTTTACAAAATCTTTTGAAATTCAATTATTTCTCAAAATTTCAACTGTAACTCCTCCAAAATTCAATTATTATTTTTAATAATTTTAATATTTCTTTAAAAATTCAATTATTTAAAAAAGCTTCAACTTAATTATTTTCCGAAATTTTTGTTGACTATTAAAACTAAAAACAATGCAAAAAATTTTAATTCAAATTATTTGCATAAATCAGACTTTAAAAAAATTTTTAATGGAACTTTAAAAATTTTTTTTTAAAATTTATCCTACTTAAATTGAAATTTTGAAAATTTGTTGGGTTTTGAAATATTTGAAATAAATATTCTTATTATGGAATGAAAAAATAAATTAAATAATATACAATAACATTAGATATTTATTATTTAAAGTAAACTATTTATTAACTAATTAAATTTATTTTAATTAAGAAATCGACTAAACGACTTTTTTTGCGCCTCAAAGTCGATCCGAGGCCTGAACTAAAAAGCTTTTTTTTTGTTTCAAAGAAAATTTTATTTTGAATGTAAGAAAACAATTTAAAGAAACTGGTTTCTTTAAATCAAAGAAATCTTTTCCCTGTTCTCTTGTTTTCATGATTTTAAACAATCAACCGTATGGATTTTAAAAAATTTCAATTTTTTCAAAAAATAAAAATAAAATTTTTTTAAATTGTAAAAAAAAATTTATCACAGAATATTGCAAACCCATCCAAATAATTAAAAAAAAAATATTTTTTTTTATCCGATGTGTGTAGTATCAAACACAATTATAATTTATATATTTATTTTGTTTTGTTTCAGCATAGGAATATTTCTTGAGCTTCCAATAATGGAACCAGTGTTTGTTAAGAAGACTTTCTATAATTAAATATTATGTAAATATGTAAAGAAACTTAAAATTATTTATAAAAAAAAAAATTCATTTCGCGCAGTTGAATGATTAATCGTTGTTATTATTATATTGAGATCAATGTCAGTATTGTTACTATTATTATTGTTAATAATTACTAACTAATTATTATATGAATTGTACGTTTGCGTCAAATTTTGACATGATATTATATATATAAATAATTGATAATTTCAAGAATAAGGTATACGAAATTATAATATATAATAATGAAATTTATTACTTCGTAAAATAAATCTAAGATGACAATTTACAAATATAAATCCTTCAAGACACGTATTTTTCTTTACAATAATTTATCACATTATCTTTGTTTCAATAAACAGTATTAAAATATTTTTCAATTGTTGAAACAATATTTGTATACTTTCTGAAGAAGACAGCTGTGCTGTCGATATACATAAATTGATGACCTCGAGCTTGGAGGATTAATATTTGTAATTTTTTATGAGACATTTTTCGATAGAATAAAATAATATTTAGCTTTAAAAGCTAAAATAAATTTGACAATTTCTTATATGACAAAAAATATGTACCTGTACCCTTTTTTTATTTCTTATATGTAGCATTAAACACTTTTACAATAAAATTTGGAAATATTTTCAAATAATTGTTTTATTCAGAAAAAAAATCACACTTTAGGAATTTTTAAGCGAAAACAAAAGAAAAATAATGTATAAATTGAAATTACGAAGTGAAATAAATAAATGTATAAAAATATATATAAATAACTAAGTTGTTAACTGTAAGTATTATTATGTATTGTTTCTTATATTTTTCACTGACAGCTTGTAAAAAAATTTTAAACTTTATAATTTCAAATTGTGTTTAATTTGAAAATTAGAGAAATAAAGTCTATGAAATTAAAAAAAAACTCTTTGATAACATTTTACAAATTCCATTCAATATAGAAAAAAAGGAATATAAATATTTAATTATTTCTACAATAATAAGGTATTTTTTAAACATTAAGTTGTATTTTTAAGGACCTTAATTTTTAAATATAAACTTTGGATTCTTTTGTGGCCTTTGGTCCGTATAAGAAATAGTTTCAATTTGGTTTTTTAATATAATTTATTTACAATACAACCACTCGAATGCATTTTCGCCATGTACATGGCTCATCAGGAACTACAATGAAAAAAATCGGTTTAGGATCTATGGTCGGAAATCGCATTTTAAAGGTAAAAAAATAAAAATAAAAATAAGGATATGTTAACATACCGCATTTTACAGGGGTTGAGAATTTAAATTTAAATTTTATAAAAATTAGAGACATCGATGTAAACATAACCTCCAAAGGTAAACACACAATGAATGTTGTCGAAAAACTTTACAAGACAAAAATTCCATTCTCATGGGCTGGCACAGGTTTTGTGTAGAAAAAAGTGGTATAATTAAATGTTTAAAATAATAATCATAATAAATATTAAAAAACTTTTTTAGTATGAAATTTGAAATTTCAAATTGAATATAATATATAATTATAATTTCCAAATTGAAACTATTTCTTATACGGACCAAAGGCCACAAAAGAATCCAAAGTTTTTTTTTTTTTTTTTTAAACATTGTTAACAATTTTTATTCAATTTTTATTTCAATTCTATGGATCCTAAAAAGAAAACATATTATTACAAAAAATAGAAAACAAAATTATCCACAAAATCGTTCTTCATTTGAAATATTATTTGTTTTCGCGTGAATAACGTGTTTTTCTATTTGCTCTCACAAAAATAATAAATTTTCATTTAGGAGCCATCAAATTTATGTTAATTGGGACGTTCATGTTTAACTTTTAATGACCTTCTAGTGTCTGTTTTGTGCTAAAAATAATACTTTTATCAGTAAAAAAATGATCATAAATTATCAACAATTTTTATGTAAATTAATACTTGATGATAATTTGGCTCCAAAAAAAGTTTGCTTTTTTTTGTGTTTTAGAAGAAATGTGGGCTCAGTCAGGGAAACTATATTTCATCGTTTTATTTTTATTCACCTTTGAAAATGTTCAAGTAATTTTTAATTTTTACATTTATTTAATTCAGTTTTTTTAAAAAGTAACTTTTTTTATAATATTTAACATATTAATTGATTAATAAATATTATTATTCGTAGAATACTAAAAGTTTAAAATATTTTCTAAAAATTATAATATATGGATTCTTTTTGTTAATAAAAAATACAAATTAAAAAATAGTTTATTGTTAATTTTTTTTGTATAAATTTATTGTTTTTTTTAGAGTTCTTCATTCGATTTGGATAAATTGGCTGTAGACAATTTTCGGAATTATCTGCGAATTCCTTCAGTTCAACCGAATGTCAATTACAGTATTTATTCAATTTAATTTCAAATGCTTTCTTAAAATATTTTTAAAATATTTAAAATGCTATTTTATATTTTCAATAGAAAAATCTTGGTAAAGAAATGTTTTTTAGAAAGTGATATTTTTTCCAGCAAAATGTGTCATGTTTTTAAAAAAACAAGCAGAATCTTTGAATCTCCCAATAAAAGTCATTGAAACGACTCCTAAGAAACCTCATGTTATAATAACATGGGAAGGTACTGAACCTGAAAAATCATCCATATTACTCAGTGGTCATATGGATGTCGTTCCAGTCAATCTTGTAAGTCAGAAAAAATTTAATTCCTTCACTGAAATAATTGTACATTTTAGAGAATCGTTACATTCAGATTAACAAATATTAATCAAATAAATAAAACCCGGGTTAAGACTTGAATGATATTCCCGAACGATTATTTCGCAAATTTAATTTTGCGGAAATTTTTCCAAAATTTTTTTTGAATGTAACTCAGAATCCGCTGGACCAATTAAAAAGTATTCCATACATTTTTCGTTCGCGACTTTTTTCTAATCACTTTGGTGATATTCCGGAGCCATTATCTCGAAAATTTTATTTTTCGAAAATTTTCCCATAACGTTTTTTAGTGTAGCTCAGCATCCACTGGACCAATCTAAAAGTGTGCCATACATCTTTGTTCAAAACTTTTTCCCTATTTTATTGGCGGTATTCTGGAGCAATTATCTCGAAAATTTTTCCAAAACGTTTTTTAGTGTAGCTCAGCATCCGCTGGACCAATCTAAAAGTTCGCAATACATTTTCTGTTCCAAACTTTTTGACTATTTTTATTATCTCGAAAATCGAATCTGTCGAAAATTTTTTCAAAATGTTTTTTAATGTAGCTCAGCATCCGTTGGACCAATCTAAAAGTTCGCCAAACATTTTCTGTTCCAAACTTTTTGACTATTATTTTGGCACTATTCCCGAGTGATTATCTCGATTATTTAATTTTTAGAAAATTTTTCCAAAACGTTTTTTAGTGTAGCTCAGCATCCGCTAGACCAATTTAAAAGTGCGCCATACATTTCTTGTTCGCCACTTTTTGCTAAAGAATTTGGCGGTATTTCAGAACGATTATCTCGCGAATTAAATTTTTCGAAAATTTGTCTAAAATAGTTTTGAGTGCAGCACAACATCCGCTGGACCAATCAAAAAGTGCGCCAAACATTTTTTGTTCGAAACTTTTTCCCTATTTTATTGGTGGTATTCCCGAACAATTATCTCGCGAATTTAATTTTTCGAAATTTTTCCGAATTTGTTTTCTAGTTTAGCTCAGCATCCGCTGGACCAATCAAAAAGTGCGCCATACATTTTTTGTTCGCTACTTTTTGCTAAAGACTTTGGCGGTATTCCCGAACGATTATCTCGAAAATTTAATTTTTCGAAAATTTTTCATAAATTTATTTGAGTGTAGCTCAGCATCCGCTGGACCAATCAAAAAGTGCGCTATACATTTTTTGTTCGAAACTTTTTCCCTATTTTTTTGGCGGTATTCCCGAGCGATTATAACGCAAATTTAATTTTTCGAAAATTTTCCGAATTTATTTTTTAGTATAGCTCAGCATCCGCTGGACCAATCAAAAAGTGCGCCATACATTTTTTGTTCGCTACTTTTTGCTAAAGACTTTGGCGGTATTCCCGAACGATTATCTAGAAAATTTAATTTTACAACAATTTTTCCAAAATGTTTTTTAGTGTAGCTCAGCATCCGCTGGACCAATCAAAAAGTGCGCCATACATTTTTTGTTCAGAACTTTCTTCTAATCACTATGGAGGCATTCCCGAACGATTATCTAGCGAATTTAATTTTTCGAAAATTTTTCATAAATTTATTTGAGTGTAGCTCAGCATCCACTGGACCAATCAAACAGTGCGCCATACATTTTTTGTTCGAAACTTTTTCCCTATTTTTTTGGCGGTATTCCGGAACGATTATAACGCAAATTTAATTTTTTGAAAATTTTCCGAATTTTTTTTTTAGTGTAACTCAGCATCCGCTGGACCAATCAAAAAGTGCGCCAAACATTTTTTGTTCGAAACTTTTTCCCTATTTTATTGGTGGTATTCCCGAACAATTATCTCGCGAATTTAATTTTTCGAAATTTTTCCGAATTTGTTTTCTAGTTTAGCTCAGCATCCGCTGGACCAATCAAAAAGTGCGCCATACATTTTTTGTTCGCTACTTTTTGCTAAAGACTTTGGCGGTATTCCCGAACGATTATCTCGAAAATTTAATTTTTCGAAAATTTTTCATAAATTTATTTGAGTGTAGCTCAGCATCCGCTGGACCAATCAAAAAGTGCGCTATACATTTTTTGTTCGAAACTTTTTCCCTATTTTTTTGGCGGTATTCCCGAGCAATTATAACGCAAATTTAATTTTTCGAAAATTTTCCGAATTTATTTTTTAGTATAGCTCAGCATCCGCTGGACCAATCAAAAAGTGCGCCATACATTTTTTGTTCGCTACTTTTTGCTAAAGACTTTGGCGGTATTCCCGAACGATTATCTAGAAAATTTAATTTTACAACAATTTTTCCAAAATGTTTTTTAGTGTAGCTCAGCATCCGCTGGACCAATCAAAAAGTGCGCCATACATTTTTTGTTCAGAACTTTCTTCTAATCACTATGGAGGCATTCCCGAACGATTATCTAGCGAATTTAATTTTTCGAAAATTTTTCATAAATTTATTTGAGTGTAGCTCAGCATCCACTGGACCAATCAAACAGTGCGCCATACATTTTTTGTTCGAAACTTTTTCCCTATTTTTTTGGCGGTATTCCGGAACGATTATAACGCAAATTTAATTTTTTGAAAATTTTCCGAATTTTTTTTTTAGTGTAACTCAGCATCCGCTGGACCAATCAAAAAGTGCGCCAAACATTTTTTGTTCGAAACTTTTTCCCTATTTTATTGGTGGTATTCCCGAACAATTATCTCGCGAATTTAATTTTTCGAAATTTTTCCGAATTTGTTTTCTAGTTTAGCTCAGCATCCGCTGGACCAATCAAAAAGTGCGCCAAACATTTTTTGTTCGAAACTTTTTCCCTATTTTATTGGTGGTATTCCCGAACAATTATCTCGCGAATTTAATTTTTCGAAATTTTTCCGAATTTGTTTTCTAGTTTAGCTCAGCATCCGCTGGACCAATCAAAAAGTGCGCCATACATTTTTTGTTCGGAACTTTTTGCTAAAGAATTTGGCGGTATTCCCGAGCGATTATCTCGCGAATTTAATTTTTCGAAATTTTTCCGAATTTGTTTTCTAGTTTAGCTCAGCATCCGCTGGACCAATCAAAAAGTGCGCTATACATTTTTTGTTCGAAACTTTTTCCCTATTTTTTTGGCGGTATTCCCGAGCGATTATAACGCAAATTTAATTTTTCGAAAATTTTCCAAATTTATTTTTTAGTATAGCTCAGCATCCGCTGGACCAATCAAAAAGTGCGCCATACATTTTTTGTTCGCTACTTTTTGCTAAAGACTTTGGCGGTATTCCCGAACGATTATCTCGAAAATTTAATTTTTCGAAAATTTTTCATAAATTTATTTGAGTGTAGCTCAGCATCCGCTGGACCAATCAAAAAGTGCGCTATACATTTTTTGTTCGAAACTTTTTCCCTATTTTTTTGGCGGTATTCCGGAACGATTATAACGCAAATTTAATTTTTTGAAAATTTTCCGAATTTTTTTTTTAGTGTAACTCAGCATCCGCTGGACCAATCAAAAAGTGCGCCATACATTTTTTGTTCAGAACATTTTGACTATTTTTTTCGTGGTATTCCCGAGCGATTATAACGCAAATTTAATTTTTCGAAAATTTTCCGAATTTATTTTTTAGTATAGCTCAGCATCCGCTGGACCAATCAAAAAGTGCACCATACATTTTTTGTTCGAAACTTTTTCCCTTTTTTATTGGCGGTATTCCCGAGCGATTATAACGCAAATTTAATTTTTCGAAATTTTTTAAAAAATTTTTCTGAGTGTGGCTCAGCATCCGCTGGACCAATCAAAAAGTGCGCCATACATTTTTTGTTCGAGACTCCCGGGTTAAGACTATGGCGGTATTCACAACTAATTATCTCGCAAATTTAATTTTTCGAAATTTTTTAAAAAATTTATCTGAGTGTAGCTCAGCATCCGCTGGACCAATCAAAAAGTGCGCCATACATTTTTTGTTCGAGACTCCCGGGTTAAGACTATGGCGGTATTCCCAACTAATTATGTCGCAAATTTAATTTTTCGAAATTTTTTAAAAAATTTATCTCAGTGTACCTCAGCATCCGCTGGACCAATCAAAAAGTGCGCCATACATTTTTTGTTCGAGACTCCCGGGTTAAGACTTTGGTGGTATTCCCGACCAATTATCTCGCAAAATTATTTTTTCGAAATTTTTTAAAAAATTTTTCTGAGTGTGGCTCAGCATCCGCTGGACCAATCAAAAAGTGCGCCATACATTTTTTGTTCGAGACTCCCGGGTTAAGACTATGGCGGTATTCACAACTAATTATCTCGCAAATTTAATTTTTCGAAATTTTTTAAAAAATTTATCTGAGTGTAGCTCAGCATCCGCTGGACCAATCAAAAAGTGCGCCATACATTTTTTGTTCGAGACTCCCGGGTTAAGACTTTGGCGTTATTCCCGATCAATTATCTCGCAAATTTAATTTTTCGAAATTTTTTAAAAAATTTATCAGAGTGTAGCTCAGCATCCGCTGGACCAATCAAAAAGTGCGCCATACATTTTTTGTTCGCTACTTTTTGCTAAAGAATTTGGCGGTATTCACGAACGATTATCTCGCGAATTAAATTTTTCGAAAATTTGTCTAAAATAGTTTTGAGTGCAGCACAACATCCGCTGGACCAATCAAAAAGTGCGCCAAACATTTTTTGTTCGAAACTTTTTGACTAATTTTTTGGTGGTATTCACAAACGATTATCTCGCAAATTTAATTTTTCGAAACTTTTCCGAATTTGTTTTCTAGTTTAGCACAGCATCCGCTGGACCAATCAAAAAGTGCGCCATACATTTTTTGTTCGGAAATTTTTGACTATTTTTTTGGTGGTATTCCGCAGCGACTATCTCGCGAATTTAATTTTTCGAAAATTTTTCCGAATTTGTTTTCTAGTTTAGCTCAGCATCCGCTGGACCAATCAAAAAGTGCGCCATATATTTTTTGTTCGGAACTTTTTGACTAATTTTTTGGTGGTATTCACAAACGATTATCTCGCGAATTTAATTTTTCGAAATTTTTCCGAATTTGTTTTCTAGTTTAGCACAGCATCCGCTGGACCAATCAAAAAGTGCGCCATACATTTTTTGTTCGAAACTTTTTTCCTATTTTATTGGCGGTATTCCCGAACGATTATCTCACGAATTAAATTTTTCGAAAATTTTTCCGAATTTGTTTTCTAGTTTAGCTCAGCATCCGCTGGACCAATCAAAGAGTGCGCCATACATTTTTTGTTCGGAACTTTTTGACTATTTTTTTGGTGGTATTCCGCAGCGACTATCTCGCGAATTTAATTTTTCGAAATTTTTCCGAATTTGTTTTCTAGTTTAGCTCAGCATCCGCTGGACCAATCAAAGAGTGCGCCATACATTTTTTGTTCGGAACTTTTTGACTAATTTTTTGGTGGTATTCACAAACGATTATCTCGCGAATTTAATTTTTCGAAATTTTTCCGAATTTGTTTTCTAGTTTAGCACAGCATCCGCTGGACCAATCAAAAAGTGCGCCATACATTTTTTGTTCGAAACTTTTTCCCTATTTTATTGGTGGTATTCCCGAACAATTATCTCGCGAATTTAATTTTTCGAAAATTTTTCCGAATTTGTTTTCTAGTTTAGCTCAGCATCCGCTGGACCAATCAAGAAGTGCGCCATACATTTTGTAGACAACTTCCGGGTTAAAACTTTGGAAATATTTTCAGATCGTTTAATTAAAAATTTGAAAAAATCACAAATTTCATTTTTCTGGAAGGTTTATTTTGCAAATGTAATTTTTCGAAAATTTTGCCAACATTTGTTTAAATGTAGCTCAGCTATCGGTCCTAGGCCACGACGCTCTAAAAAACCCAATTGATTTTGACTTGAACAATTATGTTTATTGGATTTTGAAAATTTTGAATTAAAATTTTTGTTTTAATATATCATGATATCTTTATGATGATAATTTTAAGGAAAAATGGATTTACCCACCGTTTGCTGCTCACATGGACGAAAAGGGCAACATTTATGCCCGTGGCGCGCAAGATATGAAGAGTGTCAGCATTCAGCACATCGAAGCAATTCGACGATTAAAATTAAATGGAATCCGATTGAAAAGAACAGTTCACATTCTTTTTGAGCCTGATGAAGAGATTGGTGGCGTTGGTATGGAGGCATTTGTAAAAACTGAGGAATTTAAAAAATTAAACGTTGGATTCGCAATGGACGAGGGTGGTATTTCTGAAGGCAGGGAAATTATTGTTATTTATGCGGAAAAATCTCGTTATCGAATGTGGGTGCATTGTCCAGGTGAAGCTGGTCACGGTTCCTCGCTCTTAAATAACACTGCGGCTGAGAAATTGCGAGTCATCATCGATCGATTTATGGACTATAGAACTTTAGAAAAGGACAAGTTGAAGGATCCAAAAGTGAAACCCGGAAACGTTACATCAATTAATTTAACAATGTTAAAAGTATAATTTTGTTTTATTCCCAGATAACACAACGGAAGAATCCGAAGGAATATTCCAAGAACCTGGAATATTCCAGGAAGGTTCTTGGAATTTGTTGTGTTGTCTGGGTTTTGATTTCCGAATGAAAATGGGGAAAAGTAATGTTTGTTTTTCCAAATTTAAGGGTGGAGTGCAAGTGAACGTTGTTCCTGACGTATTGTCTGCAGCATTCGATATTAGAATTCCACCTGATATGAAAGTGTTTGAAAAATTTGACAAAATGATACACAGTTGGTTCAATGAAGTTGGATGTAATGTTGAATACATTCAAAAAAATAACAGTATTCCTGTCGAAGGTACAAAAATAGATGACAGCAATATTTATTGGAGTGCTTTTAAGAAGGCAGCCGATGATTTTGGCGTGAAATTGAATCCTGAAATTTCTGCTTGGGGTTCAGATGCAAATTACATTCGAGCTGTGAGTGTTTGATTTATTTTGAAAATTAATTACAGAATTTTTCTCAATCAATATTTTTTTTTAGCTTGGAATACCAGCTTTAGGATTCTCGCCAATTAACAATACACGTGTATTGCTTCATGCCGATAACGAATATTTGAATAAGGACATCTTTCTCAAGGGGATAACAATATTTATGAAAATTATCATTGCTGTTGCAAATGCATAGCGAAATTATTATTAGGTTCATATGAAACAAAAGTTGCTTTATTATAATAAATAGAAAATTTAATTTTTATTACTTTTTATCGACAATAATTTAAGGCATAAATAACTAAGAAAATTGTTCAAGTTTATTAAATTTTTATATTTAATAAAGATTATAAGTGGAAAACTATTTTATGAGTTGAATAAACGTTCGTTCAAAAGGCAGAATATCTCCAATGATTATTTTTTTATGGGGCATTCTACATAAAGCGGACAGTTTAAAAATTATTTAATCTTTAATAAAAAAAAAAAAAGATAAATTAACTTTATAAAACCATTAAAGATGCTATTTTACAATTTAATATACAAAATCTACGCAAAATTTAAACAATTGTAAGATATTTTTTAATATCTTAAAAACGGTCGAAGTCTATGAAAAAGTGATTTATAAATTTTAAATCAATTCACGCAGAATGCCCCATATGTTATTTAGTATTCATTAATTCAATACAAAGTAAATATGGGACACTTTATCATATATTTATTTTATAGAACTGATAACTGTCTTGATTTTCTTTTATTTAAATCAAACATTTTTTAAAAGTAGTTTGTTTTTTAATAAATAAATATAAAAAGTTTGAATATATTTTTTTAGAATATATATAAGAACTTATAATATAAAATTTTTTAATTGTAATTATTCAAAAAGAAACGTTTTGATTACTATACTCGCGATATAGTTTTAACATAATGAGATGAAACTGGATTTCTACAGATTACCCTCTATGACTTAATTTAAGGAAATAAGTTTTCGTTTGGTTTCTCCTTTCCCATCGTCATGGGTAACATTTTTCGTCTTCCTCTGATACATTCGATTCCTTGAGTAGGTCTGGTTTGTATATAAATGGGTGAGAAAACAATCAAGTCTTTTTGTTTATTGACGTGATGACAACCTTAAATGACTTCTCTTATTTATACAAATTATGTCCATTGAATTTCGCATTGTTGGCAGACCATTTATTACACACATCTTCAGTTATATGCGTATCTCTGCGCAATTCTGTTCTCCGGTTTCCAGTATTATTTTAATGTTTTTAATTTTTCAATTCTTTTAAAATAATCTAAAACATTAATTAAGATTTAATTTTTCCGTCTTTTTTTCTTAAATTGGAAATTATTTCTCGGACAGTGGTGACAAATACTGGAGACTAATAACAAATTTTATACAACTGTTTGATTTTAACCTCATAAAAGGTAATAATCTTGTTATTCTCAATAAATTTACATATTCTATACTTTTATCAGATTTTTTGCAATCAAATTTTTAATTACATAATATAATTTCCGGAATTATTCCTTACAAACGAATTTCCTTTTAAACAGAGGATAAATAGAGAATAAATATTTTTGCTTATGTATCTTTTTACATTAAACGGAATATTTAAAACGCGTGTAAATTTAAAAAAAAAAATTTATGGAAAATTTGTGAAGAATACACGCTTTATAGTGATCCTAAAAAATATTTCGGCAAATATTTTAAATAGTTATGAAATTTTAGAAAAATTTTATTTTATTTATTTATTTTTATTTAATTACAATGTACGGGCTTACAAGTAAAAAGTTAAAAATGCCCTTTAGTGCAAAAGCACTTAATATTATAAAAATATATAATGAATATAATCACAGAATGACGAAATCATGTAGGTGACTTATCGACTAATACAAAATTAATTTTCGTAAGTCGTTTGTGAATTTTCCTAAAGATATACCAAAAAAGTCTAACGCGTGACAGTACTCGTTACCTCTAGTACAAATTCTGTTAATAACACTGTTGTCTAAATAGTTAGATTTATTAAATTTAACTCTGAACAGTTTTTGATTTCTTAAACCTTTTGAAGGAATAATAAAATTTATTTTTGACAATATTGATGGACAATCGATTAATCCGTTAATAATTTTGAACAATAATAGTAGGTCCAAAAAAATAATTCTGTCGTAGAATTTTGGAACCATTAGTTTATTTCTTAAATCTGTATAATCGTGACTGAGTATGTTGTAATATACACCAACTTGTCTTGCTGCAAAACGGAGAAATTTATTAAAATTTTAATTAAGAAATGTTTTAAATAATTGAATTTTTGAAAAACTAGATTAGATTTTAGAGATAATTAATTCAATAAAGAATTTAAGTTGAAAAAATAATTGAAATTATTTTAAATTTGAATTAATGAAAATTATTAACAAAATTTTAAACAATATTTAATTTTTAAATAATTTTGAATTAAAAAATGTAGTAAATAATTCAATTACTGAAAAAAATTTATAAAAGTTATTGAAATAATTTATTTACCAAAGAATTTCAGAAAGAAATTTTAGAAATAATTGAATTTCATGAGATTTTTAATTAAAATTTTCTTAAATTTTTATAGCAAAAGGTTTTTTTTTATAGGCTTTAGACAATAATTGAATTGTATACCATTTTTAAATTTAAAAAATGAGTTAAATAATTCAGTTTTCGAAGACCTTGATTAAAGTTATTAGAAATAATAAATTTAACAAAGAATTTATAAATTTTTTTTAAATAATTCAATTTTGAAAAATTTTCAGTTAAAATTTTTCAAAAATAATTGAATTTTTGGAGATTTATTTTTATTGAAATTTTTGTAAATTAGAATTAATAAAAATTATTAACAAAATTTTAGACAATAATTGGATTTTAGAGAATTTTAACTTGAAAAATAGTTTTAAATAATGGAATTTTTAAAGAACTTGACTAAAAATAATTGAAAATAATTAATTTTGTGCAGTAATATTAATATATTTAGTTAATATTTTTTTGGAAAATTCAAATTTGCAAAAATGTTTATATTTTATACTAAAGAAATCGTATTTAGCTAAAAAAAAAATTTTTAAATTCAAAGAAGTCACATTTTATTAAAAAAAGTCAAAATTAGTTGCATTTATGGAAAACAGACGATAAAAGTTGAGCAATCTGAAGTTTGCAAAATGTAATTTGATAGAAATTCTATCAAAAATTTTGTGATAAGTATTAAAGAGCCTCGGCAAAAAGTGCCCCTTTTTCGTACCTCGAATTTTGAAACTTTTTTTATGCCAAATGGTTACATATGATGACCCAATAATCCCTGCAAAATTTCAAGATGAGCATGTGCCCCCTTTCCGAAATACAGGGGGTCAAAGGGGGCCATGTCCAAAATTAGAATATGCAATATAATCGAATAATAATGTTAAAAAAAATCAGACCAAATAGTTCCCTTAAGATTTTCGTCTGCTGATTACGAATCTAAAGTCCGTTTTTAAAAATTCAAAATGGCGGATCCAACATGGCGGACGACATTTTTAAAAATCGATCCAATTGACGTGAAAATCGTTCCTCGGGGGTTTTTGGGGTCTCTGATTACGAATATGATGTCCGTTTTCACAAAATCAAAATGTCGGATCTAATATGTCGGACGACATTTTTAAAAATCGATCCAATTGACTTGAAATTTGTTATTCGGGGGTTATATTCGTTATATTAGATCCGACATTTTGAATTTTTAAAAACGGACATCATATTCGTAATCAGAGATCCCAAAAACCCCCGAGTAACGATTTTCACGTCAATTGGATCGATTTTTAAAAATGTCGTCCGCCATATTGGATCCGCCATTTTGAATTTTTAAAAACGGACTTTAGATTCGTAATCAGCAGACGAAAATCTTAAGGGGTCCATTTGGTCTGATTTTTTTTAACATTATTAGTCGATTATATTGCATATTCTAATTTTGGACATGGCCCCCTTTGACCCCCTGTATTTCGGAAAGGGGGCACATGTTCATCTTGAAATTTTGCAGGGATTATTGGGTCATCATATGTAACCATTTGGCATAAAAAAAGTTTCAAAATTCGAGGTACGAAAAAGGGGCATTTTTTGCATGGGACTTGCCGAGGCTCTTTTCGTTTGGATAGGCTTTGATAAATTTTGAATCCAAATTCTTTGATTACTTAATCAAAGATTTGGGATAAATTCATTAAATTTTGTGTAGAAAATTAATATTTTTAAAAAGTATTCTCATAAAAATCAAAGCTTTATACTAATTTTTTTTTTTTTAAATAGGGAAAATTTGTTAAATACTTTTAGGGACAAATATAGGGAAAAGGGGGATCTTTAGAGAAAGTAGGGAACGACACCCTGTAAATAGCATATTTAAAACGCATGTACCTATATTTTTAAAAAATTTCATTTGTGAGGAATAAAAAAATACAATAATTCATTAACTCTGCACACATTCTAAATATTAACGGTCTTTAAAATTTTTTAATATTTTAAATATTTTTCAGGTGTGAAGTAAAATTTTAATTTTTACCAACGAAATTATATCATCCAATAGAAAGATTTATTCTATTTTTTGTTTTTGTAAAGAAATAAATTTTGTCAACATGTTTTTACCGAATAAATGTGGAATTTGTGATGAGGTTAATGACTTGAAAAAATGTACACGATGCAATTTAATATCCTATTGTGGTGGTGAGCATCAGAGACAACATCTGAAGGATCACAAGAGAATTTGCAAAGTATTAGCCGAGATATTACAGGAATCAAAATTATCTCACATATTTGAAAATTCACATGGTATTGATCATCAAAAATGGATATTAACCAGAGAATTGACTGTGCGAAAAGTGAATCAAAGACTTGGAAGAAATCTCGATGACGATGAGAAAGCAATGATTCGAATGCCACGAAGTTGTCTTGTTTGCCATGAAACAAGAAACAGTGAATTAACAAATTGTTCATTTTGTCCTTTTGCAAGTTTTTGCAAAAATCATCGTGACGATAATCAACATGACAAGTATTGTTCACTTATGAGAATTTGCAATGCAATAGGAAATTATAATTCCATATCTGGACCAGAACGTTATAATGAATCAATTATTTCAATTCTTCGTACGCAATTTAAGTTAAATTTAAAGCCACCTTTGGATATGGATGATTTTTTAAATTGTTATATAGATAAATCTTTGATTATTGACGATATATTAAAAATGATTGTGTCTGATTATTTTAGTGTACCTTTGACACTGTATAGTGCTTTGAAAACTCTTAATTATTGTCACACATATAGTCTTGTACTTCACGTGGGTGGTAGTGAATTTCCATTTGAGCATGTTCAAGTTTGGGAGACTATTTTACACTTGCTGCCCAATTTGAAGAAATTATTGGTCGTTTACATTGGACAGAAGTATAATTTTCATCGGATAATATTTCCATTGTGTGATGCTTGCGCAATGGACAGAACAATTGCCGTTGATGTTTTCAGCATGAATTACAAGTAAGATTTTTTTTTTATTTGCGACCATTTTTTAAAATTATTTTTGACAAGCTTTATTATCTTACAGGCAATACATGAATTCAGAATATTTCGAAAAGCCAGATCTAGTTGCATTTCTAAATCATGTGTCTCCAGCGGAAAATAGTGCAATGCGTGAACAATATGAGGACGATTTTCTCTTAATATGCGGTAGAATAAGTTCTTGCTTGGTGGTAACGACGACATCCGAGAAGAAAATGTATTCAGCAGCAAGGGATTTTCAATCGACTTTGTGCTTTCGGGAAATTTTGAAAGACGATAACAATAAATTTGCTTCACTAAAACCACAAATAGATTGGGAAGATGGCATTGCATTTAAGTCGAATGAAAATATCCTCATCTTTTGTCTCCCAGCACGAAAATTCTTCTATGGAACCAACTGTCACGTTTGTCATTCGAATGAAACATTTGTCACCTGCGAATTTTGTCGAATGATTTTCTATTGCGACGAGGAACATCAACAGGATGATTACTTTAGTCACAAGGATCTTTGCAAAGTGTTGATATCGATGATGGAGAATACGGAAACCATGTGTTTTTACAGTCACTTGAAGGGAGCCGATTCGGAGACTTGGCTTCGTGCCAAAATTGAAATAATGATAAAAGCAGAATTGAAACTTGGAAGAAGGCTCATGGATTTCGAGGAGGAACTTCTTCTCTTTCCAAAGACGTGTTTCGTCTGTCATGAAAGTGATTTAGACGTGTTAAATGATTGCGAATGTGGGGTGAGTAAAACTTACTAAAAAATACTTTTTTTACCCAAAGTGTAAAATATTTTAACTGATTTATCAATTATTTTTTTTCTACTCTTTTCCACAGATTAGCCTTTGTCAGGAACACAGAGATGATGAGACACATGATAGTATGTGCAAGGAATTCGATTTAGCCTACAGAGTGACGACAGCAAAACAATTTCCCATAATTGCAGCGATAGTGAGAGATGTAAAACTCAAAATCGATGAAAAACTTCCAAAATCGCTGGAAGAATTCGTCAAGAAATTTTTGTTAATAAGCAATAAAATTTCAGATTATCGTGTTCCCAATTACGAGAGGCTAATGATGACAGACTTTTTAACAAGACCACTAACTCTACTTTACGCGATAGAACGATTAAATTTCAACATTCAGCCAATGATGGTGATACACGTGATTGGGGCATCGACTTTTGAAATTTGGTCGCAGAAATATTGGAAGATTCTTTTATTTTGGTTGAAAAGTTTAAAGAACTTGATTGTCGTTTTCATTGGACCTGAAATTTATGAATTTAACAATGACGATGTTGAATTGACATTCCCCGAAACATCGTTGGGAAATGATCAAAGACTTTGCGTTATCTCACCTCCAATTCATTATGAAGATTATTACAAGCACAAGTCATTTTTAAGACCTGATATTATAGTTGGATTTAATCTTGAGATTCATGAAATTGAATTGGGAATTTCAAGTTCATCGTGGAGAAAAATGCTCTCGACTGTGGAAAAAATGAATGTGCCCTTTATTTTGACTGCGGGATCCAAAGAACGTGCTCAAAGAGATCACGAGATAATGAGTGTTCTCATGAATAAAAATTTGACTTATTTTTCCTCCGAGGTTAATCCATTTGCTGGACATATTCCTCAACGTGATTTTAAAACCGAAGGTCTTCGGTATTCAAACAAATATGTGACAATTTATAATCGATTTTAAATAATCCAAACAACAAAAATTTCTTCTTTACGTTTATTTTTAAAAAACGCGCTTTTTTATAATTATAATGACACGTTGTTACTCAACATAAAATAAGACTGACAAATTATTTTAAGGTACATTTATTGCAATGAGGAATATATTTTTAAATATATATATATATATATATACAAAAGCCAATAGGCCAAACAGTACTTTGAGATCTTTTATTTAATTAATACATGGCTTCATAAATTTATTAATAAATAAATAAAATTAGTTATTACAATAAAACACAACAACTCTCAATAAAATTATATGGGTCAATTTCTCGAGAACTTAATCAGCAAAAAAAAATCCACTTCCCAAAATTCCAAAATATTATTCATTGTCTTTGTTAATTTTATTCATGAGTTTAGAAATTACCGTTTCCTTTGAAATTGGTCTGTTATGCATTACAATATAATTAACATCACAACTAATAATTTTCTTTTTCTCCGCAGTAAAGATTACATAGGGTATTTCAGGAATTAGCACATTTCTGTTTTTCAATAAGGATAAATCATTTAAATCGACTGCTAAATATGAGGAATCAATGTGAACTTCATACATGAAAATTTCATGTTTTTCACCTGCGTTATGTTTGTAAAAGTCCAATTCAAGTAATTCTTTATATATTTCTTCTTCACTTGTTGAAAAATGTATTCTGTGAGCCCATGTATTTAATCCATGTAATTGTGAAAGATTCTGTTCTATTGTAACTGGATTTCTTATTTCTAAATGAAACAAAATTTTCGATGACATTCCACTAGATTCTTGACTCGCTTGTCTAATAGCTAATTTGTATAAAGATTTTTCCACTAGCTTTGAAATAATTGGATTTTTGATATTACTGTAGCCATACAGTCGCCAAACAAGAATTGCATAATAATCCTCAAATGTAGAATGCTCAAAGACTTTTTTTGATATATATGTTTCAAATGATGTCTTTATATCTATTTCCTTAAAATTCCTTCCATAAAGTGCAGCGAGTTTATTATTTATTTCCTTAATATTGTAATTAGCAGAAAACATCATTCTACTGCTATACATTAAATTCTCCAAATCTTTGGGATTAGTTACGTAAAATTCATTATATATATGATTAATCTGTTGAGTTCTAATCCAGTCAAGTGCAAATTCATGATACGTTGGTACCGGTAAATATTTATTCAATGTTGGATCAACTATAAAATTTCCGTCAGTTCCTATTATGTGCTCCTTTATGAAATCTTGAACTTCAATATTACCAAAATTCTCAACCTCTATTCCTAAATCTACAATGTCTTCAGTAATTTCAGGATTATGAACTTCTAGTACATAATGACGGAGTGTCAACTCGGCCTTTTGCTTGCTAACTCCAATATTAGCATTTGCCACCAAATTTGCAGCGTTCATGATACTTCGTTCTCTTTTAATCATCAGTGCTCCTCTACCACCAAAACCTTCTGTTTTAATCATATATAAATGATGTCGCAATGGTTGTCTTACATTTTCAAGTTGACCATGCTTATTTAATTTCATTTCAAGACCAAATGCTTTTTCTGTTTGTAAATTAATTTTTCTGTAAAATACCTTCCCGCGTTTTGATACTTTTGATATTACAACGGGTGTCTCCTTCTCAAAACCAATAACTTGTCTTAATTCCGCATATCCTTTGGATAGACGAACGCACTTTGGTCCATATGGTTCTTTTCTATATATGAATCTAAATACATCACGACCCTCTATCTTACTTTCTAGCAATGAAAGCTCTAAATTATCTGTGGATTTCATTGTCAAGTGCTGCGAAATAGTTTCGAATTTAGCAGACTTCAAAGAAGGCAATCGTTTCGAAATTCCCTTATAATGCTTTATAATTCCACCTATCAATGCTTTTGCCCGCAAAGTCAATCTACCAACAAGTTCAAATCCAGGATCCAGTGCTCGAATAACGCTAATGGAAAGGCTCTTAAACATTTGTTTGGTGAAAACTATTTTTGAAAATATATCACCAAGGTCTGTTGCTGCATTTCTTAAACCAACGGTCATTGTCCTCAGCATCGCTTGTCTCAAACAATAAGTTCTCAAACTAATTTCAGTGGCAAGAAGAAAACGATTAATTGTTGTTGTACTAATTTTGTAACCTATCTGAAAAAATCCAGTAAATGGTATTAAAGTAACAACATCACCAAAGCATGAAATTGCAGCCAAACCTTGTTCACCAGCGTTTGCATACTTAATACAATGATAAAATGGAATAAATGCTTCAATAATTTCGTAAAATTTTTCCATACTCGTTTTATCATATCCATAAGCAAACAATAGTTTTTTAAAATTATCAGCTTTTTTCTCCGTTACTTTTTCCACGAATACATCAAAATTTTCCCCAACTTTTTTAAATCTATCCATAACCATAGAAATTTGCAGACTTCTTTCTTCAGGTAATCCAACAAAATTATTAAATTTACTTTTTTGTCCTTTCTCAAATAATAATGTAACATTATTTTCATTTCGTTCCAAGGCAAAAAATTCAATCTGCTCCTGATTTTCGAGAGCAAAAAAATTGATATTCGCTTTGTATGATGGCGACACTGGTGGACACATATTACAAAACGCGCCATATGGTTTTGGTTCACTTCGATAAACAGTTGTTAATGGTGAATTTATCAAATCTCTCATATGAGGAAATTCATTGAATGCAGTGCGAATTAAATCTATTTCCATTAAACGATATTTTTCTCTAATTAAAGAAAGTTGGGCATCGTAAGCGAATTCAAGATTCGGTAACTTAATCCCATTGGGACAACGAGTACTGGCTGAATAAGTTTTATAATCATCGATTAATGATTCCGTTTCATTGAGATTACAGTATTTGTGTAACAAATCACGCGCCATCACTGTTCGATTAATAAACTCAGACATGACTATATGAAACTGATAAAGTGAATTCGTTTGATGCACAGCTTCGAATGCTGAATTTAAATCAGTAAACAAGGTGAAGAAAACGTCGGTCCAAAAATCTTCATCTTTTATCAAATATTTTATTGTTCGTTGATTGAATTTTTCTTTCTCCTTCCAGGCATAGTAAATCATGGCTGGAAGTGCGAAAATTTGTAAAATCGATTCAGAAATTTTCTTTCCAATTGCAGATGTCTCCACAGTCATTGCGAGTGTGACGTATTCATGAAAAGAATTTGTCAAATTCATTTGCGCCGTCTGAGCAAATTTAAGTCCAGCTAATGCGTAAATATATTGGATATTAATTATTGTCATATCGTGCACCGGTTCAGGGAATAGAGGCCAAATAATTGTTTCGGCAATTTTGGCTCTTGACAATTCAGTGAGACACGAAACTTCACCGTCTTCATTTAAGTGTCGTTGATACGAGAGTTGTTCGAATACACTTTTTTTAAACGCAGACAATTTCAAGTCAGTTGATGTGCTCACAATACTAGATAAATATCCATAAAGATTGTCATTTTGTGAGAATACAACACTACTCACTATGTAGTCAAGAGTGTCATCGACGTATTTCATGTCAAGAATTTCGGATTTGTTGCCTCCATATAAATCAGTGCCCTCTAATAATTTCTGTACAAGTTCCCTCTTCGTCGCTTCTTCATTTTTCGTATTATTTATATGTTCATAGAAAGCATTAATTATCAAAAATGGTTCCTTTCTATTTTTTCTTGTTAGCAATTTTTCCATGTAAAATATTTCACCTAATACATTTAGATAGTGGAATAAAGGAAGAAAATTAACAGATTGCACAGGTGTGAAATAAACACTTGAGATATCCATTTGATGTTAATTCTTTTTTAACAATAAATATTTAATAAAATATATTTTTAAACGGCTTCACAGGTTCTGAAAGATTAAGCATATATGTTGAATCCGGTTAAAGGGAATATTATGAACATTCCGTAATTTTTTTTTAAGTTTTACTTTTCTGTATACATTAAAATTAAATTAAAAAGAATAAAATTCTTACTATTTTTGTAGATATACCCTCGACGTTGAAATTTAACAAAACGTTGCTTATTGCTTTATTCAGCAGTGTAACAAATTTGAACAAAAAATAACCGTCACTTCTGTTGTCTATAGGGTATCTCCTATCTATTATAATTTTTTTATTCCATAATAATAAGTTTTACCTTATTCTTTCTACAAATGAATGAAGGTCGATATAAAAAAAATGTTATAACAATTCAAATTAATAGCTGTTTCATTACTAAAAATTGCACGTGTATACATATAAAACTTAAATATTAGTTCTTCGGGGAACTATGATGAATGTTTGATAAATATTTATATTATAAGAAATTTCATAAATTATCTTCATATTTCATCATAGTAATATATATTTCAATATTTTATAATTATTAATCTAAAATAAATGACAGTATAGAGTCACTTAAAATTTTAAAATTTCAAAGATTCTTTAATGTTATAAAAATAGTAATTTGAAAAAATTTAAAGAAGCCTATAAAAAAATTGGCAATGAAAAATAAGAGAAATTATGAGAGAAGTTTAACTTTTAAATTTTTGACAATTTTTAGGTTTATTTTAGAAAACAATACAAAATTAATTGTTTATTAATTTTTCATATTATATTATAATTTTAAATACTCAATATTTGTCAGAAAAATAATTGAAAACCATAAACAACATTAATTTCGATAAATTAAATTTCCACACACCTTAATTTTTATTTTTAATGAAATTATTAATTTTCTTTTGTGACCACTCACTTTTTAGATAAATTGTAAATTAAAATGTAACTAAAATATTAATATATATTTTTAAACAAATACTTTTAATTAAGGAATCACATTTTTTAACTTACTCTCTAAATCTGAATTAGTAAAAATGTTTACTAATTGCAATTAGTGACTCACTTTTTGCTTCTGAATTAGTAAAATTTTACTAATTAATAGTAACTTTTACTAACAATTAGTAAAATTTAACTAATTCTAAAGCAAAAAGTGAGTCACTAATTTCAATTAGTAAACATTTTTACTAATTCAGATTTAGAGAGTAGATTAGATTAGATCTATTAGATTTTTTTCAATAAATAGAATAGAATAGAAAAAAGTTTTTAAACTTTATCAGAAAGAATTTTTGTTTCTTTAGAAAAAAATATTTTGTATAAAATTTTTTTGTTTCTTATTATAAAAGTGGATTATATATTTTTAATCTCTGAAAAAAACTAAAGTTTTTGTCAAATTATACTTTTAAAATGTTTTATTAAAAATTATATTAAAAATTACAGAACTAAAAGTTTGCTGTAAGCAGTGTTTCTTTAAATCACTTTAAAAGCAAAATTATTGTATAGAAGTATTGATTTCTTCATTCTAAGAAATCTTTTTTTTTTAAATAAACTACGTTTTGTTCAATAATTTTTTGTCCTTGGTATCATAGGTTCGATTTTTGATCTTTATCAGTGGAAATAAAGGTGAGTAATACATAGTTTTAACTTCAAGAAAATACTTTTTAAAAAAAAACTTAAAGTTACATCTTAATAAAATTTTCTTGTCAAATTATACTTTTAAAATATTTTATTAAAAATTATATAAAAATTATAGAACTGAAAATTTGCAATACTAAATGTTTCTTTAAAACATTTTAAATGCGAAGTTATTGTATAGAAGTATTGATTTTTTCATTCTAAGAAATTGTTTTGTTTTTTTTTAAATAAACTACATTTTGTGTAATAATTTTTTGTCCTTGGTATCATAAGTTCGATTTTTGATCTTTATCAGTGGAAATAAAGGTGAGTAATACATAGTTTTAACTTCAAGAAAATACTTTTTTAAAAAAACTTAAAGTTACATCTTAATAAAATTTTCTTGTCAAATTATACTTTTAAAATATTTTATTAAAAATTATATAAAAATTATAGAACTGAAAATTTGCAATACTAAATGTTTCTTTAAAACATTTTAAATGCGAAGTTATTGTATAGAAGTATTGATTTTTTCATTCTAAGAAATTGTTTTGTTTTTTTTTAAATAAACTACATTTTGTGTAATAATTTTTTGTCCTTGGTATCATAAGTTCGATTTTTGATCTTTATCAGTGGAAATAAAGGTGAGTAATACATAGTTTTAACTTCAAGAAAATACTTTTTTAAAAAAACTTAAAGTTACATCTTAATAAAATTTTCTTGTCAAATTATACTTTTAAAATATTTGATTAAAAATTATATAAAAATTATAGAACTGAAAATTTGCAATACTAAATGTTTCTTTAAAACATTTTAAATGCGAAATTATTGTATAGAAGTATTGATTTTTTCATTCTAAGAAATTGTTTTGTTTTTTTTTTAAATAAACTACATTTTGTGTAATAATTTTTTGTCCTTGGTACCGTAAGTTCGATTTTTGATCTTTATCAGTGGAAATGAAAGTGAGTAATATTTTTTGGTTTAATTTCAAAACAATACTGTACATCAAATGGATGGTAGGAACTTTTTTCTTTGTCTTCATTTTGCTTCGGTATTGCTTGGTTTAAACATATAAAATAGACAAAGTTACGAATCTTAATTATACTTTTTACAGTGTTTTCTTAAGAAAAGAATTGAAAATTCTCTGTAAGTATTTTTATATAATTAAAATTTGAATTTTTTTTTTAAATTAAATTAATTAAATTAAATTAATTAATCGTTTATTTTTTGTTTGTTTTAGATAATAATGAAGTCTGCAGGTAATCTACTGCTACTTGTCATTTTCTTAATCTTTCAAGGTAATTCTAATTCGCAAAATTGCAATTCATTTCCGAATGTCGTTAGAAATTACCTGCAAAGAGATGATGAAATAAGACAAATATTCTTATTTGTAAATAATACTAGACAAAACAATGAAATTAAAATTTTTCTCAGTTTTCCAACAATAGTATTTGACATTCAAAATATAACAGAATTGCATTCCGTTGTAAGTAAAAATACTCTGTTTTTTAAAGAACCAAGGGCAACATTGTTTCTTGTAACTTGTCTATCATCAGTTTATTATCCACTTGCGACAATTTTTGAAATAGTGGATTTTTTGAATCGTTATGCTCCAGCAAAGAGACGACCAAAAGTTTTAGTTGCATTGGAGAGAAATAAGAACCACAAAGAAGTACTTAAATTAATGTGGACCAAAAATTTTCTTGATGTAACCATTTTGCAGTTTGATAAAAAGCAAAATACAACAGATTATTTTTCATCTGCCAATGAAAATATTATCACTAAACAATTGTTTTACAATCCATTTTCCAATAAATTCATTAAAAAAAAAATCTCATGCAAATTAGATTTATTTCCAGACAAGTTAAAAAATTTACATGGATATCCTTTGGCAATTGGATTTTTCCACTATCCACCATATGTAACTATTTCTCGAAACTCAACAGTTAGATATTTAGATGGTTTTGATGTTGTTACTGTAAAATCACTAGCAAGAGTTAAAAATTTCAAAATTGTTGAGAAGCTCTCGAATAAAACTTCCTGGGATGTTGGAAATTGCATTAAAGATAAAAACGAAGGCATGCTTTTAGATCTATTGTATCACAGATTGCAGTTGATTGGTGATCAGTCAATAGCGGTACTTAAATGTGAGCCTGAATCCCTTATGTCCTCAGGTGAAAATTATCAATTCATCTATTACCAAGCATTGATACCAATTCCAACTAAAACTCCTGTTTTTTTAAATATACGTGAAATTCTACGTATTTTACCCTTTTTTGGCCTATTGCTTTTTATTTGGATTACATCTAGAGTTTTGAGATTTGATCAAAAAAATTGGCAAATTACATACATTATGGAAATTGCTCTTGGATTTAGTGTACCACATATGCCAAATACCTTAATCGAAAGAATAATTATGACATCTTTACTTCTAGCTTGTTTTTTTTATTCATCGGATATTTTCTCAACATTTACAAAATCAAGTTTAGCAATGTCAAATACTGAAATGGAAACTCTTGATGATTTGTTTACGTCAAATCTCGTATTGTATATCACTCCAAATATGTACAAACTGGTAACATTAAATAAAGAAAGTAATGCAGTGAAATTCTATGAGAGAGCTGTTGTAAAATCAATAACTGACGAAGATTGCATTGAATATTTAATCAAGTATAATAATATATCATGTCTGATGCGTGGTCCACAAGCACATTTTGCAGTCAAGAGTTATAGAAATGAAAATGGTGAACCAATGGTAAAAGTTATTAAAGAATACGTTGTCTTAAATCCAGCTGTTGTTCTAATGGAAACAGCATCTCCATATATCAAAAGTTTTGAACAAGTTTTTATGAAATTAGGAGAAGTTGGCTTGTACAGACAATGGTCTAAAATTTATATTGATTCAGAATTTACAAGTGATACTAGTACCTCGGGAAAATTAACTTTTGATGTCTCGGAAAGTAGTAAGGACATAATAGAAATTATGGTCTACATTTTTGTTTTAGGATTTACTTGTTCTATTATTGTATTTGTTGGAGAGATTTTGTTTCATCGAAGAAAAAATTTATTGTAATCTTCTTTTTCGTGTGTTCTGCGCAGATGCGAATTGTTTAAAAAAATGTTTATACGTACACAGAAAATTAAAAGGCATTAAAATAAGCAGCAACGCTTATTATTTTAATCCAATTTTGCTTATTTTAATACCGAAATGGATTAAAATAAGCAAAATTGGATTAAAATAATAAGCATTGCAGCTTATTTTAATGCCTTTTAATTATCTGTGTAAATAATATGTCAAATAATGTTTATTTCGAGTTTAAATATTTTAATATTCAACCAGTTTTTGACTAATTCTGGTTTTAATCTGGAATAATAAATCTGTATTAACATTGTGACTACATTCAAACCAATTGTACATCTATACTGACATTACCTCGATTACTTTCACTAATAAAATGTAAGTTTATCTACATAACACTTGCAAACTGTAAAAACTTCGTCATATAAGTGTCTACTCATTTGTCTTGCAACCCACATCAATAATTTTCTAGAATCATTTAAGAATAATATATATTATTGTATATAGCAAATAGTAATAAACAAATTACAAAATAAAGACTGAAAATAACGTCGCTGGTGTTATAAATTTCTTCTTAAAATTCATACCTCTATAACGGTAAGTTTTGTAGTCCCAAAAAGACAAATTTAAAATTAAGATTTGACAAAAAAGAGTGTTTTTTTCTTATTAAGATAAAATGACAACAAACTCAATAGAAAAAACAAAATATATGAAAATAAACATTCAAGTAAATTCAACATCTGCTTGTTACACTGTAAACGAGAAACGTTATCTTTTCAATATTTTTCGTATGGGACGAGCACAAAATTTACGTATGATATTTTATCGCATTGAACAAAGTGATGATGAAGATCAAAATGAGAAAAATACCCTACCACATGGTTTAAATTCTTACAATATCAAAAAATTATACGCCTATTTTCCATACGATAATGATGAATTGTCATTGAATTTTTGTCGTCTAAATTATGAAAATGATATACACGATGCATTCTATCGTCATCGAAGTCTATATTTATTTTTATATCGTGAAAATAAATTAATTGACATTTATGATGTGAACAAAATTGAAAATCGTTTTCAATATGTGCCACTTGCACCTAAACATAAAAAATCTAATGTTATTGATTGTTTATCACATTTTTATAATTCGTATCGGCAGCATTGAATTAGAATATATTGAATTTTGTGTCTTTTTCCCTTTACAGAGATATGGTGCCGCGAAAAATTCTTTCAGCGAAAAGACCAACCGGTTTGGCTAAATCACTCGAATATCAACGGAAACAACAACTTTATAAAGATTTTTATAATTTGCAAAAAAAATTTCAACGTAAGAATGAAAGTAATAAAAACGATTTTAATGAAGACGAAACTTTTAAAAAAAATTTTAATAGTAAAAGTGATTATGATGATGATCATGATTCTGAGGATGATAACATTACCGATATTAATGATCTGCATATAAATAAAAATCATGAAACTTTGAAACAAAATTTACAACTGTTACAACGTTTCATTACAACTCAAATTAAAATTAATGAGATTGATATACAATCATTACAGTTGACAAAGGATGAAATTTTTCATGAATTTCCCCATATGGCACCAATTTTATTAAATGGCATTTTTGAAACTTTATCTATTAAAAAACCACCACGTCTATTTGTTTTAATTCATCGACGTAAAACAACATCACGTTATATTTTAAATATTGCAAAAATTTTCCAAATGCATCAATTTGAATATGTTCCATTAGAATCATTGTCATTTACAAAATTAATTTCCACCCAACAGCAACAATGTCAGTATGATCATAGTAGTGTTATTTTTATTCACATTATGCTTGTCTATTTACTGTACGCTTTGTTCTGTAATAGAAGAAAAATTTTTGGTGTCATCGAATGTGAAAATATATTTGCAGGTCAACAATTACGAAAACAAATTCAAATTCATTATCCAATGTTGTCACAAATTATTGAAAATTACACGTATTTTATGTGAATCCCACATATTCTCATTATCCAGATCATAATATGTGGAATTAGGGCCGGTTTTTTCCTAACACCTAAATTCAGTTGGTCTAAAAGTCGAATGAACTAATTATTATTATTATTACCTAATTCTTATTTATGGCTTAATCTTCCAATCTAATCCTCATTTGTACTAATCGTCATTTGTCCTAATTCTCATTTTGCCTAATAGCTAATTCTTATTTAACATAATATTGCATTGTAATTAAATAAAAATAAAATATTTACCCTAAATCTCACTTGGCCTAAATTTTCTGTAACCTAATACTTTTTTAGCTTCATTTTTTATTTGACCTAATTATTACTTGGCTTAAACTCCATTTATCATAATTATCATTTGAATTAATTTTCATCTGGCCAAATTATTATTTGGACTAAACGCCGCTTAAATTAATTTTCATTTGATCTAATCTTTACAAAACCTAATTCTCATTTGGCCTAATCATACTATAACCTAATTATTATTTGATCTAATCCCTTTTTAAAATCTAATTCTCATTTGGCCTAATTTTACTATATCCTAATTGTTATACTTGTTCTAAAATTAATCTAACATAATTCTTAATTGGCCTAAATCTTAATGTAACCTCTTTTGGCCTAATCCTCATTTGATCTAATTAATTAATTCCACTGTCGAGTCACTGAATTTGATTGTCTCTATTAAATATTCCATTTTCATAGCCTGAATCTTTCAAAATAGTGGAAATGGAATGTTTGCAAGAGGTAATTAAAATATGTAAACTATTTTGAGTCCCGTTCTTTTTTAACACTTATTTAATCGGCAAAAATAATTATTTATCTTTCAATAGAGACACGTGTTTGTAACAATGTTTGTATTAATACAGAAACATGTAAAAATTAAGTATCAGTTGAAGGTTTTATATTATATTTCAGCACGTGTAAAAAATTATGTATAAATTGTGTGTTACGATATGGCTTTAATTAGAATTAAATAATAATTTTACTCTATTTTTCGGATCTCGTAACAACCCAAATAATTATTTAGTTTATACAAATGAAACCCCTTAAAAATTAATTCTTTATGTTATACTGATGCATTCCTATCCAATTGTATTCTTGCACTTGTCTGAAATTCCATGATTGGAACATCTTTTCTGAAATATGATTTTCATTAGTAATAAATGCAAATGAGTCTGTTCCTTCGTCTGCCAATATTTTAGCCAAAGAATTTGCAATTATTTTTGCATATCCTCTTCGCCTGCAACGCTCAATTGTTTGAACAAAACTGATGGCACCAAATTCAGATTGCGCAGCCCACGATAAAAGTTCATTCGTATCTTTCGAAAATAATCCTAATCCTTTATTAAATTTAATCATTATTGACACATATTTGTATGTTAATTTTTCATCATATGTAGATCGAAGGGGCCATACAGAATGTATTAGTGGCACATGAGTTTCATCAAGTTCTTTTAAGTAACAATTATTAGGAAGCCTAAAAAACAAAATGAATATTATAGTTTTTAACTTGAATATATATTTTGAATATATATTTTTATATATTTTTTATCGTTATTTAGATATAAGTCCCCAATATTCATTATATGGTCGAGAATTCTATATATTAGTATCAGCGTCGAATATGTCAAGCAGGGAGATCTATTCATATGAGTGTGTGATTGTGCGTGTCAGCGGTTTTTCCTTAGTATATAGGTGGTTCGTTGTCCAATGAAGGATTAGGAAGTTATTTCCTAATAACCAGATATTTCCGGATTCTCACCGACCAAGGGCCAGCAGGAAGGAAGAGGGCGCGCAATAATCAATCGAGATCAATCCGAGCTGCCGTGTAAGGCGGATGTGTGCCGACAAAGGATAGTAGGAAGACTATTGAAATTATCTAATAAGTATATTTAGTGTATAAAGTACGAGATTGTTAATAAATAGTTATTATTAGTTAATTGTGTGCGTCCAGCGGATTATCTCCACAAGAGTGTGTTTCGTGAGTACAATACAAAAGGTAACAGGTAGTTCAAATCAGTTTGTCGTCGTGTTTCTCGATCGTTTCAGCAGAATCTCCCCATGAGAGAGGCTCGTATGCCGGAGAGTAGTGTGTAGAGAAATCACAGTACGTAATTTATTAAACACGGGATTGTGGAATATTATTATTTTAACTAATATTTCTATTATCTAAATTAGCGTTACAATATTATTATCGTTTATTTAATTTACTTGACTATTTCATTTGTTGCATCTGACATAATTCCAGTCAACCTAATATTATTTGTTTAGCAACTGAAGACAATTTGTCATTTTTTAAAAAAGTAATTATCTTATCTTACTGTACTTGAAAAATAGCGGCCTCTTCTTTGGGTCTGAAAAAACATTTTCCTAGTTCATTATATTTTATTTCTATCCCTTTGTTTGCCTTTAGATATTCAATAATTGAATGAGCAGTTGGAATGAGTCGAGACTGAACTGCTGCGAAGGAAACTTCTTCATCCCAATTTATGAATTTAGTTTTTGTTACAGCTGTGTATAATAGTTCCTCACAATCTTCATGTGCAAAAATTATGAGACAGTAATATGTACACTAAAAAGAAGATATTTATTATTATCCAATTTTCAGTTCTACGCATCATGAATTAAGATTTAGTTTTTTGACAATCCGGATTGTTGCGTACTGTTTGCGGATAGTTTACATATACAAATTCTGGATTATTCTCGACTCATTTTGGATTGTTTTTTCATCTAACTAAAATCAAATTATTGCAGAGGCTAATTGCGGATTTATTTCATCTCCCATAGTACCGAAACTTTCCTAAAGATTTTCTAAAGATTTATTTGAAATGTTCGGAATATTTAATTGCAATGTTTAGTGAAAATTGTGTAAAGATTTAAATGTCCAAATTGAATAAATGTTTCGCGCTAAACATTTATTCAAGTGAGAAATCTTTAGGAAAGTTTCGGTGCTTTGGGGGATATGTCAATTTCAGACTATTCCGGGGACTATTCCTCGGATTTATTATTATTTTTATTACTTTTTAAAACGACTTACTGTTGATATTGCAATAAAGACTCCAGATTTGTAATCACCGTTTGGACAATAAATCGTGATAGGTAAATTTGCTTCTTCTAATTTCCATTTTATGGCAGTTTCAATAAAATAGTAATACTATAATAAATAGATATACTCTCTAAATCTGAATTAGTAAAAATGTTTACTAATTGCAATTAGTGACTCACTTTTTGCTTTAGAATTAGTTAAATTTTACTAATTGTTAGTAAATGTTACTAATAATTAGTAAAATTTTACTAATTCAGAAGCAAAAAGTGAATCACTAATTTCAATTAGTAAACATTTTTACTAATTCAGATTTAGAGAGTAAGGTAAAACAAACGTCGATTACTTTGATATATTATTTGGGATACAGTTCATTTATATCTAGTTCAATTAAATTAATATTAAAAGTGCAAAAAGTATTCTAAAAATATTATTAAATGTTACTGTCGACATTAAAAAAATTTTGATAAGATCGATTACTGGCGTCTTTTACCATACGCTTATGTTATTACAATTGGAATAGAATAAATTTTTAAAATAAAATTTACGTAACAATAGGAATATTATTTTCTATAAAATATATACATACTTGTATATTAGAAGGCCAATTTTTCTTTAATAATTCTGCAAGTAATTTCCAATTTTCAGCGCTTAATGGTTGCAAAATATCATCAGAAGACATTATATGTTAAAAAAAAACTAAAAGAAAAAAAAAATTTTCGCTTTAATACGAACTTGTTTGTTTATCAGCAGTACAAGAATTAAATTTTATAATCATGATAAATAATTTTGTATGTTTTTTTCAGTTCACACACCGATAACATAATAATATGCCACACGTGGCAATAATATAACCAGTGAATTTGCAATGTTAAATAAATAAAATATTTTTGCATAATATCTTGATAAGACATTTAAGTCTGTTTAAATGTTTAGACTTTGTTCTTATTCAAATATGAATGTTTAAATTTTTATTTTTTTGATTCATATTCATTATATCAGAATTTTCAATAAAATACAGTAATTTAAAAAAAAATATACAATTTAAAAAAGCTGCTGTAATATTGGTGAGGAGTGATGGTCACAAAGGTAAAGTAGGTAAATTATTCAATGAACGACTTGGTAAACTAAAAATGATAACAGAAAATTTATTTTTTTTGATGAAAATGAAAATTTTTTTTGCGCCACCATGTTGTAATACTGAATACTAAACAAGCATATTATATTTTGTAATAAAGAAATTAGATGTTAGGTAAATAAAACACTGGTTAGTTCTGGTTAACAATTTAAAATATATATTAAACAATTAAATAAACAAGAGCGATAGGCATTCTATATTTCTGTAATTTAATAACAATTATTTAAAATAAGCGATATAGCAATATAAAGTAAAATATATTTTTTTGCGCACAAATAAAACCAATTTCTATCATCTTTTGTGCGAATAAATATTTTAGATTGAAGTGAAAAGAATTATCTGTATATCGGTGTGCAGTAGTAACGACTATTTATGAACTTGATACAACCAGCTGTAAAACACAAGTAAAGATTAATTTCCTTTTCATGCACAAATTACTATTTAGTATCAGTAAAATTGTTAGTTACCAATTGCAGCATCGTGTGATCTGTATGCCATCCATCTATCTTCATTCCAACAGTAGAATGAATCATCATTTTCGTATCTAATGCATCTTTCTGTAACAAATATCATTTTTTATATCTGAAAGATAATTTCTATTTATATTCAATTAAAATTTTCATTTTATTGAATTCAATTTTAAATTTTTATTAAAAAGAATAATTTATTTTAATTGCATTTTTATTTAGGAGAATCGCTATTTCAAAGAATTTTTATTTATTTAAAATCAGTAAACTATTTAAAAAATTCAATTCTGTTTCTATAAAAACAAGGATTTAAAGATTTTCAAAACAAAAATTTTCATAAATAAATAAAACTTTCTCACCATCTGCATATATTAAATCACTGTAACTCATTGCATAATTGCCCATGCCATTATTATTCGAAGCCACATTGGCAAATGTCAACTGACAATAAAAGAGATTATATGCAATCAATAAACCAAAGAACAAAACATTTCCTACTGAAAACATTATGGTTAGCTTTTTATAATAGTTTAAAATTTTTTTAAATATTATTTTATATTGAACAGTGACACCAAACTTAATAGTTGCGCTTTTCAGTTAAATACTTATAAATATGCTTAGCAAAACATGGTTTTTATAGTAAATCGTCAATATTTGTACAAGATATATATGAATTTTTATCTTGCCTAGTAACAAAATTTATAATAATAATTTCTTATTATAAGCATATTATTTTAATTATATTTTCAATATATATTAATATTATATTAATATTATTAATATTAATATATTTTCAATAAAGACAAGAAAAGGGTCATTTATAAGGCACGTGATACATTTTTTCAAAATTTTAACACCTCTCTCCTCCACGTGATGCTATTAACGATTAACTTGGAGTACATTACATCTTGCTGACTACACCTCCCTAAAGTATCACATACTTCAAATAGATGACCCCAAAAGGACTTTAACTAATTGTTACTTGTTCTAATATTAATCTAACATAATTCCTAACTGGCCTAATCTTAATGAAACCCAATTCTCTTTTGGCCTAATCCTCATTTGATCTAATTCTCACTTGGCCTAAACTACTTCGTTTGTCACCCGTTCATGAACGCGAAGCATAAGAGGAATGCAACAGTATAAAGTAGAGAATTAATCGGTTTATGGAGTTACATTTGTATAAAAACTAAATAATATATAATTATTTGGGTTGTATAAACTAAATAATAATACGAATGAACTTTTATCGTGGGCTGCGCAATCTGAATTTGGTGCCATCAGTTTTGTTCAAACAATTGAGCGTTGCAGGCGAAGAGGATATGCAAAAATAATTGCAAATTCTTTGGCTAAAATATTGGCAGACGAAGGAACAGACTCATTTGCATTTATTACTAATGAAAATCATATTTCAGAAAAGATGTTCCAATCATGGAATTTCAGACAAGTGCAAGAATACAATTGGATAGGAATGCATCAGTATAACATAAAGAATTAATTTTTAAGGGGTTTCATTTGTATAAACTAAATAATTATTTGGGTTGTTACGAGATCCGAAAAATAGAGTAAAATTATTATTTAATTCTAATTAAAGCCATATCGTAACACACAATTTATACATAATTTTTTACACGTGCTGAAATATAATATAAAATATAAAACCTTCAACTGATACTTAATTTTTACATGTTTCTGTATTAATACAAACATTGTTACAAACACGTGTCTCTATTGAAAGATAAATAATTATTTTTGCCGATTAAATAAGTGTTAAAAAAGAACGGGACTCAAAATAGTTTACATATTTTAATTACCTCTTGCAAACATTCCATTTCCACTATTTTGAAAGATTCAGGCTATGAAAATGGAATATTTAATAGAGACAATCAAATTCAGTGACTCGACAGTGGAATTAATTAATTAGATCAAATGAGGATTAGGCCAAAAGAGGTTACATTAAGATTTAGGCCAATTAAGAATTATGTTAGATTAATTTTAGAACAAGTATAACAATTAGGATATAGTAAAATTAGGCCAAATGAGAATTAGATTTTAAAAAGGGATTAGATCAAATGAAAATTAATTTATGCGGCGTTTAGTCCAAATGATAATTAGGCCAAGTGAGATTTAAATAAGAATTAGTTGAAATTAAGATTATGCCAAATAAGAATTAGGACAAATGACGATTAGTATACAAATGAGGATTAAATTGAATTAAGATTAGGCCAAATAATAATTAGGTCATATACAGATAAGCAGGCCAAGTAATAATTAGTCCATACGACTTTTAGGCCAATTGAATTTAGGTCAATTAAGTTTTAAGCCATTTGAAATTTGGAGAAAATTCATGCACCTCATATATGTAACTATTTGACATAAAAAAAGTTTCAAAATTCGATATATGAATTTACATTTTTTACTCTCTTTTTGTTCGCTCCTTGTCCTTGAAATAATAATTCTAGAAATATGCCAAACATTGACACGCATGTCTTATTTGAATACTATATATAATAATTTTATTAAAAATTCATCAAATTGTCTGCTATAAAAGAAAATGTTTCTAATGTCAGATGATAAAAAAATTAGTTTATTATTAAAATATCTATCACTTGTCACATTTAAAAACTCCCTTCTTCGTTTAAACTTTAAAGGTAAAATGCAAACAAATTTCAAAATCTAAATTCTTTTCAGCTAGTAAAATTAAATTATAAAATTAATTTAAAAAAAAAAATAAAATTAATTTTATTAATTAAGTCGACAAATTTTTCAAGCTTGTTTTAAATTGTTTCATAATTTGATAATTAACTTCTTGTTTCTTTTTCACGGCTATTTAGATTGTGGAAATAAGAAATATAAATAAACAAACATGTTATTTATGCGATGTTTCTATTTTATTGTTCTAATCATGATAAACAATCTTTATAATCAATTGACATATGCTCGTGTAACTTCTAATAATTTTGGAGTAGGCAATAATGAAATAAGTTACATCAATAAAAATATTGCAATACGTAAGTTATATTTTTTGTATCAAAACCCTTTTTGTATCAACAATTTATTTATTTTTACATATTTTTTTCGCATAAATCTTTTCGGAACAAAATAATTGCAAATATGAGGTTATTTTTGTTTCACTCTAAATCTGAATCAGTAAAAATTTCATTGAGTCAGATTTAGAGTATGTGTAAAAATTTCAAAATAGCCAATCTCGAAAATATTAAAGCTGATTTGTAGAACATATTTTTTTAATTTTTATTAAAAATTATTATTGAAAATAATGAAATTATCAATTTTTTTAGAAAAATGTATAGAGTCCTACAACAATGGATACTTATGCACAAATAGTAGAGTTTCTTATCAATTTGAGTCGGACGCAAATGGTAATTATATAAAGTTAATAATTTTGCTCAACATAAAAAGTGCTTTTTGTACCAAAAAAAATTTTATTTTTACTTTAGCCACAAATGTCGTGTTAAAATAACGTGTCGAACAAACCGAAATCTTTCAGTCGATTGTTCGGACAAATTTAAATTCGGTGAATTGGAATTTCTGTTAACGTTTATCTACTGAAATGCAGCGACCTCCAGAAAAAAATAATAAATTATCATTTAAATAATTAAAATAATATTATTAATTGTACTTTCTGAAAGAAGACATATCAATTTTCAAGAAAAAAAAATTTAAAACCTAAAAAATTTATTTGTTTATATAATTTGGATATAGGATATAAATTTTCTGTCATTTTCTGCCGTTTGGAAAATATGGCTATTTGTTTAGAAAAATCTAAATTTTTTCTTTTAAACAAATAGCCATATTTTCGTTATTGGTTAAAAGAAAAGTAAATTACCTATCTTTTTCAGGGAAATGTATCAAAAAAATATTGGGACGTTTCTACTGTTATTAGCAGGAAAATGGCGATTGAATGAAAAATTATAATATAATATTATTATTATTAAAAAAATAATGTGATTTATAGGACTTTGTAATTTAAAAGTAATAATAATGTACATTAATCACGTAATATTAAAATCATAACATTATAACAATTGACTAATAAATAATTTTCACAGTGGGCAAGAATATTTTAATTATTTTATTTTAGTTGTAAACGGACTTAGAAAATTAGTGTAAATTAAAGTTGTACTATTAGAAATTTTTTTTATACAAATATTAAAATTATATTTAATCAACTGAATATATATATATATATATATATATATAACAATTAATGAATATAAAACATTTAGAAAATAATATTAAATTATTATTAATTTATTTATTATTTTTATTTGCTAGAAATTATTATAACACGTGTGAGCAAAAAAAAGGTTTTCCATAAAATATTATAATTATTATTTTTATAATATATTTTTCCCTTATATTTAAACAAGTGGTTTTAACTCGGCAAAGATAAATTCTGTAGAATTAGATATGCAAGACTATTAAAATTTTTAATTTAATTGTTACTATACCACTTCTTACATATTTTAATAAGTAAACTATTCTCAATTTTATTGATTTATAATATTTCATTAGTAGAAATATGCACTAAAAATTAATTAATTATTATTATTATTTTACCATTTAAAATTGTTTATATGTGACTTGGACAGTTAAAAGGAACGACCGAAGAAATCGGTTTTTTTTGCAACTTATTGCATTGAAAAGAATGTACTTTTTTTAGATTTAAAGTGATTTGTAAAAAAGGCAAAATTAACAGGATAAAGCGGAAAAGAAAATAAAATTTTTTCTTTATTATTTAATTATTATATATTATTTATTTACACTATTTATATATGTATTTATTTGTTATCTTTCTATAACGTCAGTAAATTCCTTCGTTTGTATCCAATCGGTTTCATGAAGATGTTTCCAATTCAATGAACTAAACATTGATTCCGAGGGAATATTTCCTTTTACAATAAACAAAAATGAATCAATTTCTTTCATTGCTAATTCCTTTGCAATGGCATTTGTCACAATTTTTGCATATCCTCTTCGTTTACAACGATCAATTGTTTGAACAAGACTAATAGCACCAAGCTCCGATTGTACAGCCCAAGATAGCAGTTCATTGGTATCTTTTGAAAATAATCCTAATCCTCCATTAAATTTTACCATTGCCATAACATGTCTTGTTGATAATTCAGGATTCTCTTCATTTCGATGCGGCCATACGGAATGAATTAAAGGAATATGAGTATCATCGAGTTCTTTCAAATAGCAATCATCAGGAACTCTATAAAGACAAAAAAAAACTAATAATTGCCTTTCATCTTGTTTTTTAGGGGTTTATAATAATATGGATTCAGAAATGTTTTTGAAATTTTTTTTTGGGTTAGAAAAGAATACTTACTGTACTTCAAAAACGGCACACTCTTCCTTGGATTTAAAGAAACAATTGCCCGGAACATTCCATTCTATTTCTAAATTTTTTTTCACCTTCAAAAAGTCAATGATAGAGTAAACGGTTGGAACAAGTCGCAATTGAATCGCTGGGAGAAAAACACCTTTGTTCCATTTTATAAATTTACTTTCAGTCACAGCCTTGTACAATAATTTCTCAAAACCTTCATGAGCAAAAGCGATAACAGAATAAATTGTGAACTGTAAAAAAAATAAATTGATTTTAGACTAAAAATCGTTTAATCTACAATAAAATAACATATAAAGGGTGGTGCATTATTAATAAGGGGCCGGGACACAAAACAAATTTCTTAAGTAATTTAGTTCCATATGCCTCTGGCACGGAACGGAACAAAATTATAATTCATTTTACTTCCGTTTCCGGACACATCCCTGATTTGAATAAACATTTTAAAAAACAGAGGCGAAAATAAAATTAATGAAAGTAATATTTCTTTATACACTTACATCAGATACTGAAACGAATATTCCAGAATTATAATCTGCATTTAGGCAATAAATTGTAATAGGAATATTCGGTTCCTTTGTTTTCCATTTTTTTGCAGTATGAACAAAATAGTAATACTGTAAAATATAAAACAGTGAGTTATTTTTAATAAATATTAAAATTTATAATAATAAATGTTTATATCCATGTAATATCTAAAAAAAAACATAAAGAATATTTTTTAGAATTAGAACTAAAAATTTTAAAACTAAAAATTAAAAATTTGTTTTAATTTAACATACTTGAACATTTGCGGGCCAATTTTTTTTTAATTTTTCGGCAAGTAATTGCCACTTTTCTAAAGGTAAAGGTTCCAAAATATCACTAGACATTTTTCCTCTGTTTTTATTATTTCTCACTGCAATCACGCGAGAGAGATAAACTAAACTGACTGCGATAGGTTCAACGGTCCGTTTATTCGTCTCATTCCAACGTCGATAAGAACTGAGGAGGATAGATGAGAATGAAGACAGTGGTGTTTAGGAATGCGTTTTCTGTTAGATCGTGAACACTACTGTACAAATAAAAGTAAAAATTCCTTCTCAAACAGGAATGTAGTAAGCGATCAATGAACCCGCATGAGGAGAAACTTTAATTTTCAATATAATAAATATAATTATTATTACCGACTAATAAATATACTATTAAGAGTTAAATTCCCATGAAATTAAATAAACAAATAAATTTGTTAAATTCGAAATATTTATTTTTGTGAAAATCACTAAGAACATGCAACAACTTTTTATTTCTTTTAAATTAAATAGAAAATACATATAGGAATGCAAATTTGTTTTTGCTTTTAACTGATGTCATTTTGCTCATTGTATTTTAGTCATTTGTATCCAGTCATTTTCATGAACAAGTTCAAAATCCAATGATTTAAACATTGATTTTGAAATATTATTTTCATCAACTATAAATACAAAAGAATCAATTCCTATGAATGATAATTGTTTTGCAAATGCATTTGTAATTAATTTTCCGTATCCTTTTCGTTTGCAATGCTCAATTGTTTGTACAAGACTAATTGCACCAGTTTCAGATTGAACAGCCCATAAAAGAAGTTGTTTGGTTTCTTTTGAAAATAATCCTAATCCTCCATTGAATTTTATCATTGACAACACTTGTCTTGTTGTTAGTTCAGGATTTTCTTCATTTCGATGAGGCCATACTGAATGAATAAGAGATACGTGAGTTTCATTAAGCTCCTTTAAATAACAGTCATCTGGAATTCTATAAAAATAATTAAAATTTTTCCAAAATTCATTTCATTTTTCATAAAATTATATAACTTACTGAAGTTGTACATTAGTGCACTTCTCTTTTGATTTGAAGAAACATTTTCCTGGATTGTGAAATTTAATTTCTATCCCATACTTTTGATTTAAAAATTCAATAATAGAATAAACTGTTGGAATTATTCGAGAATGGACTGCTGCAAAGAAAACACCTTTACTCCAGTCGATAAAATTAGTGGTAGTCACAGCTTTATACAAAAGCTCCTCAAAACCTTCATGCGCAAATGTTATTATAAAGTAAAGTGTATACTGTGAAGAAATAAAAAATTTTTAAGTTAAAACAAATTTTTAACTATAGTACAAAAACACACTAAAACGATTGAAAAAATACTTCTTTCTCTACAACAAGAAAAATAAAACTTAAGTACTGAGGATACGGCTACAAAAATTCCAGAATTATGATCACCATCCGGACAATAAATTGATATGGGTATATTTGGATCTTTTGATTTCCACTTCATTGCAGTTTGAATAAAGTAATAATACTGTAAAATACAAGTAATATAGCGAATCAAAAATTAAACTTGTAAAATCGTAATCGATTTTAAAATAAATTTATAAGATTTTTAAGTTAAAAATATTACTAAATTATTTGACTTTAATAAATTGTTAACCTATATTTAAATAAAAGAAAATAATAATTTACCATGCCTGTATTATTGAATGCTTACTTGTGCATAAGGGGGCCAAACGATTTTTAGAGTATCAGCCAGTAAGGACCATTTTTCAATTGGGAAAGGTTGTAAAATATCGTTAAAAGACATTCTATATAATAGCAATCTTTAAAGGGAATAAATACTGTCAATATTCAACTAAACGTGACTGTTTTATAACTCATCACACTATATAACATATTGCGAACACAGCATCGTAGATTTATATTTTTGCACCTAGGGTCAGCATAAGATTTTATTTTCTACATCTTAAAATTAAAAAAAAATTACTTACAGATGCATTGAAAAATAAACATCTTTTTTGTATATCATTAATTGTACAATAAATAGTTTTGCATTAATTTTAAAATCATTTCAAGTATTATTATAACCAACTTTGCGTTTGATTGAGAAAATTACAGTCACGTGAGTTATGCATATTGAGAGTAATAAGAAAATCTGCTTATTGTCATTCAAGGAAAGAAAAAATTAAGAACCATGAAATAATTTTTTTATTTTTGTATATTTCTCATTCATATCCCTAATCTTTTTCAATTTTAAATTGTTATTCGAAAAAAATGATAAAAAAAAAGTCAAAATTGAATATTCAAAGTAAATCAATATTTAAAAATAGAGATCAGAAATATATTTGGGAGAAAAAAAATAATATTCCGATTATATAAAACGCGTGAACTTAATTTGCACAATAGTAATAATTATTTACAAATTGATACATACGTACTTATATATTTCTATTCTTATCAATAAACATTTTTCTATTTACCTACTTGCTTCTAAAGTTTTTTTATTTGAAGCTTATCATCCCACATCACAACTGCATAATTTTTCATTATCTAATTTTAATTTTAAAAATGCGATTCAATGAAATTAATTAAATTTTTATTGAAAAGACTTTGCTCAAACTATTTTATTTAAATAAAATAAAAATAATTTCACTTAACATTAGCAATTGCAGTTATAATGTTTATAAATATCGTTATTCCTTTCAGAAAAATATCTTTATTTAAATATTCATTGTGAGCATGAAGAAGTGGAGGAGTATTGTTAATTGGTGAAAAGCCTAAAGCCGGAATTCCAATCTGTAATTAGAAATATTTTGTAAACCAAAAAATATAAAAAAATTATGCAAGATAAAAATAAAGATTTAAAAATCGATTTCAAACGACTTACAGCTCGTAATGAGTTTGCATCTGTACCCCAAGGAGCAATAGAAAGATCAATATTAACTCCAGATTCTAGACAAGCTTCTCTAAACGATGTCCAATAGATGTTATTTTCATCTAACTTTGTGCCTTTAATAGGCAATGGATGATTTTTTGTTTCATCATCAATTTCACATCCAATATTCTTGAGCCATCCTTGTGTCATTTTCTCAAATTCTTGATAAATTTTAACATCAGGCGGTATTCTTATATCAAAAGCAACGGAAAGTTCGCCGGGAACTACATTCAATTGAACTCCTCCCTAAAAGATACATTCATTTCTTCATATTGGAAATTTTATTCATACGAAATCTTCTAATAAATAAAATAATTACTTTCATCATTGTTAAATTAATCGATGTTACGTTTCCAGATTTAACTCTTGGATCTTTTAATTTCGCTTTTTCTGAAGCTCTATAATCCATGAATCGATCGATAATGGAACGCAGCTTCTCCCCAGCTGTATTATTTAATAACGTTGAACCGTGACCCTCTTCGCCGGGACAATTGATCCAAATTTGATATGGCGATTTTTCTGCATAAGTAACAATAATGTCGTTGCCTTCAGAAATGCCTCCTTCGTCTAATCCAAATCCGACATTTAAATCTTTAAAGTCCTGGGATTTAACGAAAGCTCTCATTCCAAACAATCCTCCAATTTCTTCGTCTGGAGCAAAGTGCAAGTGAATTGTCCTTTTAAGACGAATTCCACCTAATTTTAATCGACGAATTGCTTCAATGTGTTGAATACTAACACTCTTCATGTCCTGAGACCCACGAGCATAAATGTTGCCCTCTTCGTCCATTTCGGCTCCAAACGGCGGGTGAATCCATTTGTCCTGAAATCAAACGACGCCACACAGTAATTTATTCTTTTGGCAAAACCTAATACCTCCTGAAAAAATGGACGTTGGATCGAAATAAAGCTAAATAAATTTAGAATAGAGTAAAGTTATAGAGAATTCTTGATCTCATTTTCTGTGCTAGGAGTTCCGAATTTGTCACCAATGAATTCGCCACCGAATCTTCTACAACATTCAGTTTTTGAATTCGTCACCTTTTCAACTTCAGGTTCCAAGAACTGTTCACCAATTTTCTCTCTTATTTAGAATTTAACAAATCAAATATATCTATAAATTAAACTCAATTTCAAATGGCCTAAAAATTAACTGACCTAAATTCTGTTGGTCTAAAAGTCGTATGGACTAATTAATCTTCATTCAATTATCATTTGGACTAAACGCTGCTTAAACTAATTTTCATTTGATCTAATCTTTATAAAACCTAATTCTCATTTGTCCTAATGATAAGCGGCTGACAAATGAAGTTTAGGCCAAGTGAGAATTAGATCAAATGAGGATTAGGTCAAAGGAAATTATTAGGTTACATTAAGATTAGGACAATTAAGAATTAGGTCAGGTAAATATTAGAACAAATAATAATTAGGTTATAGTATATATGATTAAGATAAATGAGAATTAGGTTTTATAAAGATTAGATCAAATGAAAATTAGTTTAAACGGCGTTTAGTTTAGTCCAAATGATAATTAGGCCAGATGAAAATGATTTCAAATGATAATTATGGGAAATAGTGTTTAGGCCAAGTAATAATTAGGTCAAATAAAATTGAGGCTAAAAAAGTATTAGGTTACAGAAAATTTAGGCCAAGTGAGAATTAGGACAAATGACGATTACACAGAAAAAAGTTGGACTCATATTTGTTGCATTTCAAAATGAGTGCATGTTAAATGACATAGAACGTGGCGCCATCTGCCTGTCTAATTTTTTATGCGTATCAAATTGAGTATAAATTTTGTACTCAATTTGAGATCAGGTTTTTTCTGTGTAGGTACAAACGAGGATTAGATGGAATGAAGATTAGGCCAAATAATAATTAGGTCATATACAGATTAGGTCAATTAAGTTTTAGGCCATTTGAAATTTGGAGAAAATTCATGCGCCTCGTTTTTTATTTTCTTAAAAGTTTTTAAAATGAAAAAGTCAATAGCAAACTTTTTTTAATATTTTTTTATCACAACTTCACATCTGTTGATAACTGTCAATAAGGATATATATATATTTATATAGCATTTGCGTATATCAGGCCGCCGTGACACTGTAGCAATTTAAGTATTAGAATGGAAATTAAACTTTCTTATCAAATTTAACGTTTTAATGATTTTCAGTTGTTTAATTTAATATTAATATTAAATACTTTTTAAGTATATAATAACTTATATAAATTTAATATTTTACAAACTAATGTAACTTTTAAAATTTCTCAATTAACGCAAAAATTTATTAATTTTATATTTAAAAATGTAAAAATGTAATTTTGTTATCAAAAAACATTTAATTTTTCTTATTCTAATTTCACTGAGAACTGTTATTTTTAGTAACTTACAGGAAATACAGGTACGACATCCATATGACCACTCAATAATATTGAAGATTTTTCATGTTCTGTGCCTTTCCATGTTATAATCACATGGGGTTTATTTGGAGCAAATTCAACTATTTTTATTGGGAGATTCAAAGATTCAGCCTGTTTTCTTAAAAAGGTAACGCATGGGGCTGTAAGTGAAAATACAAGAAATACAGAAAAAATATTATTGGCATTATTACTAAAAACATAATATGTTCTATGAAATATAACAATTACTGTAATTGACATTTGGTTGAACAGACGGAATTCGGAGATAATTTCTAAAGTTGTCCACAGCTAACTGATCCAAATCGAGTGCAAAACTCTAAAATGAACATTTAGTAATTATTAACATCATTTTCACTTAAATTCAATTATCTACCACAATTATTGGTAAAAAATGAGTTTGCTATTAAAATAATTAGCTGCATTAGCTACATTAATAATAATTAAATAAAAAACCTCAACATTTTTTATTGCAGCTAACAGAAATTGAATAATGAGCCAAATAACTTTTCTTGAATCAGGGAACATTTTAAGATATTCACTCTCACAATGTTAATTAAGACAAAATTTATCGTGGTTGAAAATATCTTTGAGAAATCATAAACAAAAATATAGATCAGATTATTGTCTGATATTATTTTATTTGCAAATCATGATAAGTGTCATTTTTTACCTGATAAGACATAAAACTTGATAATTGAAATAAATGACGAGATTTCATGCCAAAATTGGAACTAAAAATATTGTTGTTACGTATGACTTTCGTAACTTCTTATTAATAAATTATCAATATTATTAATAATTCATTAATACAACCCTGTGGGCAAAAAACCAAAAACCGTTTCATGTCCACCAAATAATGTTCTGGAACATTATTTGAACATCCATGTTCTTAAAATGTTCCAGAACATTATTTGGCGGACATGAAACGTTCTAAGAACGTCCTTAAAACGTTTTTAGAACGAACATGGTTTTTTGCCAACAGGGAATACTTGAAAAAGAGAACACATTATGAAACACAGAAAATAAATAACACATTATAAACATTATACGAAATGCCTTTAGAATTTCTTAGAGCTGTCCAAATAATTATATATTAAATTTTAACTTTCAATTAATAACCTAAATTTTAAGTAAGACCTATTTAACTTTCATGAGGAAATTGAGAAACTAAGTGATTTAATATAATACAAGAAACAAAGGGTGATACAATAAAGATTGCTGCATCCGAGGTATGTCCATTCAAACTGAACTGGAACACTACCTCAATCCCGTGTGGAAAAATTTTGTGGAAGTCTAGCGTCTAGAAATAGTCTTACCAGTCATAGACAAGCCCGTCTAAACTAGTCGGTCTTGCTATTCGCTAAGAAGCGTTTCAATAGACGTAGTCGAGTTCGTCTTATCTAGACCGTTTTTCAAGACTCAAGCCAGCGACTTTACAGCGCTACTTGACAAACGTGTAGGTTATGGTCGTTTGCGGTTGTCATCGTACTTTTACAGTTGTTGCACTTTTGTGAAATTCTTTTCTTTGTAAAATGCTTTTGTAAAATGCTTTTGTAAAATACTTTTGTGAAATACTTTTGCGAATTACTTTTGTAATTGTGTACAAATATTTTTAAATAATATATTTTTTACAATTTTTACTAATTACAATTTAATGTATTTTATAATTAGTAATTAATATTATTTAAATTATATTTATATATTGCTGTTAATTTCAATAAAAATATTCTTTTATCTTTTTTATAGATTTTTGAAATTTATTTTTTTAATCGAAGAAAAAACTTTGTCACGAATTTATTTATTTTTATATTATATATCCATTTACATAACCTCAAACTAAAAAGTAGTTTTTAACAAAACTAAAAATATATTTAAAATTTATTACACCCAAATTCGACATATATCCAATTGTACAATATATATTAATTTAAATAATATTAATTACTAATTATGAAATATATTAAATTGTAAAAAATATATTATTTAAAAATATTTGTACACAATTACAAAAGTAATTCGCAAAAGTATTTCACGAAAGTATTTCAGAAAAATATTTTACGAAAGTATTTTACAAAAGCATTTTACAAAAAAAAAGAATTTCACAAAAGTGCAAGAACTGTAAAAGTACGCTGACAACCGCAAACGACCATAACCTACACGTTTGTCAAGTAGCGCTGTAAAGTCGCTGGCCTGAGTCTTGAAAAACGGTCTAGATAAGACGAACTCGACTACGTCTATTGAAACGCTTCTTAGCGAATAGCAAGACCGACTAGTTTAGAGGGGCTTACCTATGACAATAAAGGCAATGGATATGGCTTTTATATAAATAGAAATAATTTTATAATTATATTAAAAATATATGTAATTTAAGAATAAAAACATTTTGAATTTAGCATAAAGGCGCGCCAAAAACATCACCGATATTAACAGATTGTCGCCAAGTAGCCAGCGTGGCCCCGTGGTTAGCGTTGTAGGTTTGCGAGTGTTAGGTCGTGGGTTCGGTGCCCAGTGCGAGCGAGATTTTTCAAATTAGATTAGGTGTTATTTCCACAGGTGTTGTTAATTAATCTTAACTGATGAAACAAAAATTGTAAAAAACTTCGGATTAAATTAATTAAATAATAATAAATTTTTTTTTGAAATTACTAATAATAATTAAATGAGGAGATAAGTTGTCTTGACTTATAAGATTCCAATACAACTTATCTCCTTATTATTAATAAATTAAAATCATATTATTAATGAATACTAATGTTATTTTAATTTTATCTATAAATATAATAATACGTAATATTAATAGGATTATTATTATTATTACTATTATTATTAAGAATTATTGAACGCGAGAATCAAGACCTGGCCAGCTTGTCTAACTCTAGACCGTAGCATGGAACTTTCGTTCCACTTCTGATCGGGGGCTCGACAAGACCGTCTGGCCTGGGTCTATAGAGACGTTAGACAGTCTGTCCAGTGTCCTACCAGCGCCCCGAAATTTTTCCACACGGGATATGGCAAAGGTTGCAATAAACACATTGACAACAATAAATTTTTTTAAATAAAATATACTTTTCCCCACCAAAAGTCAACTTAATAAAATCAGTTAACACACGAAGATCGAGGTCTTCCAAGTGTGGTCTCCGAGTGAGACAGGTGGAACAACCCCTTAGACCAGGGTTGTTTAGTGTCAGTTGAGGAGATCGAGAGAGAGAGAGAGCTCAGGTTGGAGCTTGGAGTTTTAAGAGTTTTGAGTTTGAGTCTCTGAGTTGAGAGACTCTTTGAAACAAACCTCTAGTTTCGAGGTTGTTTCCATTTAGAGTTTTTATTCTGAGTTTTGATTTGAGTTGTGATTTTTGAGTTGAGATTTGCTTTAAGAGTATTGAGTTTTACAAAGAATTAATAATTGAAGTTTTTTGAATAAAGAGAATCTGATTTTGAGTTTGATTAAAGAGTATACAATTGAGTTTTTGAGATCACTTAGTTTTGAATTGAGATTGAAAATAAATAGTAATTGAGAAATAAAGTTTTATGTTTTCTATTGAGTTTTGAGATTGTTTGACATAATTGATTGAGATAAAGAGAATATTAAATAACTATAATAAATTGGAGAATTGAGTTACGTCGAGTATATTGGAAGATACAATTCTGAGGAATTCCAAAGGTAAATATACGAAAAAGTTAAGAGACTCTTAACAAATTACACACACAACATCCTTACACATACATTACATCTTTTGAAGTAAGGAAGTGAAGTAAGGAGGGGATCCACTACCTGTACAATATAATTTGTCCGAAGGGCAACGTATGTTAAAGTACCAAGACCTTTAGAGTTTTTGAAAATATCAATCTTTGATTGATATTGATAAAAACTAATTTTCTAATTTTCAAAATGTATCTTTAACAATTGTATCAGATATCGTTTAAAGTATCGTTTATTATCATGGAGCTTTAAGATTTTTTGTACTTTTCTCTGAAAATTCATTTTCATGAAAAATATAACTTACCCCAATTGGAAAAAAACCATTGCGCCACTGTCGCTTACTTCCGGTCAGCATTACCATTAGTCGGTAATGTATATTTCTACCTTATCATAGGTTGGTAAGGTAGATCCCTGTTAGAAAATTTTTGCCTTGGTCAATAGGGTAGGAAACTGTTTTACCGATTGAATAGTCGACTTTTAATCATTTGTACTTCGGAAAAGGTTAGGGCGATGACGGTATTAACCTTGGTTGGTACGTCAGCTACCCACAGTCGGTAATATCCTTGGCCGGTAATGTAGATTTCTATATTATCGGTGGTAGGTAAAGTAGATTTCTACTTATCATCAGTCAGTAACCTTATAACTACAGTCGGTAACATGATAATTGTTTTTCTACATAAAATTTACAGTTCTATGCAACAGTATATTATTAAGTTGCTTTAAAATTAAAAATTATAATTCTATATAAAACAAAAACAATTATAAAAATACATTACAATAAATTAATAAGAATACAATAATTATACATAAAAATAAAATTTGACATATGTAATGCGATAAAGGTAAGGTCTTGACTTAATATTTTCACTGCTACGTCAGAATAACTGATAATCAATACTATCAGTACTTCTGAATATTATGAAATTTAATATTGTTATAAATTGTTTCACAGTTCTTCATAAAATGTACAAGTGTTGATACTTTAAAATGTCATTTTTTATTAAAAACGTTTTTTATTACATTATTTTCTTACAAGTTTATTGGTTAAGAAAAGTGGAGGTTGTAATTTTGTAGAAAATTGAAATTTTTTTTTATTTATTTCTCAAATAATGTCCATCCATTGATAAAAAAAATAATAATCTTCTTTTGCTTAATCACAGTGCACTGACTCTGAATTGGATGCGAAAGCCTTGAAAAATTTAATAGAATACTTAAAAATACCAACAGTACATCCCAACGTTAATTATGGTAAAAATATTATTATTGTTATTTATTCTACTATTGTTTCTTGTTTCTTCTTGTTGCCATTGATGTTGACTATTATCTAATAATATATTACATGCTTAATTTAATGAATTAATTAGTAAACTCTGAAATTTATTGTAAAAACAAAAATTGATGATTGTTTTAGAGGAATGTGTGATTTTCTTGAAAAAACAAGCGCAATCTCTTGATCTGCCTATAAAAGTTTTGGAATTGTATCCAAAAAATCCGATTGTTATAATATCATGGAAAGGCACCGAACCAGAAAAACCTTCTATTTTATTAAATAGTCACATGGATGTTGTACCAGTTGTATCCGTATGTTTCTTCTTTTTCTTCTTATCATCTTCCCCTGGTTAAAATTTTTGACTGATTTCAGATTAAATACAGACAGATCATTCTGGATTAAAATTCAAAAATTGTACGAAAACAATCCGAAAATGATCCGTATTAGTCAGCAATCAGTCTGGATGAAAAGATAAATCCGAGATTAGTCCGGAAAAAGTTCGAAATTTTTACCAGGACTGATTATCTCGTTTTAATTTCGCAGGAAAAATGGAAATATCCACCGTTTGGAGCCGAAATGGATGAAGAGGGAAATATTTTTGCTCGTGGAGCACAAGATACAAAAAGTTTGGCTATTCAACATTTAGAAGCAATTCGTCGATTGAAATTAAAGGGAATTCGATTAAAACGAACAGTTCATATCTCAATGGTTCCAGATGAGGAAACTGGAGGAGTTTTTGGCATGAGAAGTTTTGTAAAAACAAAAGAATTCACTGATCTTAATATTGGTTTTGCAGTTGATGAGGGGAGTGCCAATCCAAGTGAAAAATTTTATTTGTATTATGGAGAAAGAACAGTACTTCAAATATGGGTTCACTGTTCTGGTACAACTGGTCACAGTTCAATTTTCGTTCCAAATACCGGCGCAGAAAAATTAAGATTTATAATTGATCGCTTTCTCGACTTTAGAGAAGAGGAAAAAATTAAATATCAGGATCCAAATCAGAGGGACAATGTCACTTCGATTAATTTGACAATGCTAAAGGTAAATAAGGTGAAGTGCGATATATTTCTGTCGGATTGATTTACTTTTAATTTTTAGGGTGGCGTTCAGGTAAATGTAGTTCCCGATGTTCTTTCCGCAGCTTTTGATATTCGAGTTTCGCCTTTTATAAATCATACGAAATTTATTGAAACTATTGATGGATGGTTAAAGGAAGCTGGCGATGGAGTTAATTACACTGTTATTAGCAAAGATTCGCCGACTGAAATAACAAAATTAGACTCAAGTAATATTTATTGGCTAGCCTTTAAAAAAGCTTGCGATGAAAACTCTGTGAAATTAGATACACGAATTCTGCCAGGTGCAACTGACGCTCGACAACTTCGTGCTGTGAGTTCGAATTTAAAATGTTTTTTTATCATAACTTTTATAATTTTACTTGAATTATTTGTTTGAGTTATCAATAAAATACTCAAAGAATTAATGATAATTAGAGCTATGACTGTCTGTAATTAAATAAATTTTATTTTTAGCTTAACATTCCTGCAGTGGCATTTTCTCCGATGAATAATACTATTCCTCGTGCACATGCAAATAACGAATACTTGAACAAAAGAGTATTTCTAAGGGGAATAAATATAATGATGAAAATTGTAGAAGCTGTCGCTAACGCTTAATGTACTGATTAATTTTAATTGAATTTTCTTTCTTACAATGTTTTGTCGTTAATTATTTGCTATCAAACCCATTTTCCTCCGTGTATAAATCTAGACATAAAATTAAATAATTAAATTGCATTTGTTTATAATTAATTAATAATTAATTAATGAGATTCTTGGATCATTATATCCAATAATGAAAAACAAACTCTGTTTATGGGACACGATAACAAAATGCATTTTAAATAATTTTCTGCAATGGTATTTTTAATTTAAATACATATCAAGTTTGAAATTTAACAGACACGCTAAAATGTGAAAAATTATCTCACTTATCTTAATAAATTCCAGTCTGTCAAACATTTATCGACACAGTTCGACTCATGCAGTCGATGTTATTGCCCTGTACAAAAATGGTTGTCGAAATGTTGAAGATCATTAAGTGCCTTATTGTTCTGATTTTTATAACTCAAAATGTCAAGGTTGTTCTTTATGTAAAATAAATAAGTAAATATTATTACAATAGAATGTAATTATTAAGTATTAATAAAAAAAATTTAATTAGGTCTCTTATTGCTGTTATAAATATTTTAATTTTTTAAATAAATTTTTCTACAATTGACAGAGTGCAGAATCTGAATTAGATGCTTTAGCTTTGAGAAATCTTAAAGAATATCTTCAAATTCGATCAGTTCAGCCGAACGTGAATTATGGTATATATGGGAAATATTAATTTAATATTTACAATATATGCGGTAATTATAACTTTTTATAATTTTTACAATTTTCAGGTCCCTGTGTAAATTTTCTAAAGAAACAAGCTGAATCCTTAAATCTGCCCGTCAAGGTTGTGGAATTGCATCCTAAGAAACCAATTGTAATCATAACATGGGAAGGAACAGAACCAGAAAAACCCTCCATTTTGTTGAATGGTCACATGGATGTCGTACCAGTATTTCCTGTAAGTTTTTAAAAAAACTCAAAGAATATACTCTTTCTGGGATCCTTGCTATCTATTTTTTCAGGAGGTATTAAACTCCGCTCATCCTTTCTGAATTAATTTAATAGACATCATTTTAACGATGTCGGGTTTTTTAGGGTTGCCATGGTAACAGTTATACCATAGCAACGGTTTCTATAGCAACTTTTTTTTATCTAATTTCAGGAGGAATGGACATATCCACCGTTTGGGGCGGAAATAGACGAGAGGGGAAACATTTATGCCCGTGGATCGCAGGATATGAAAGGTCATAGCATCCAACAAATTGAAGCGATTCGTCGACTAATATCAAGTGGAATCCGTCTGAAAAGAACAATTCATCTTTCATTTGTACCAGACGAAGAGATTGGTGGTTTGACGGGAATGAAGACTTTTGTTATCTCATCAGAATTCAAAGCATTGAACGTTGGCTTTGCAATGGATGAAGGTGATTTTTCTACTGAAAATAAATTCTTCGTGAGCTACGGTGAGAAATCATGGTTTCAAATCTGGATAAATTGTCAAGGCGATCCGGGTCATGGTTCATCGCTACTGAATAATACCGCGTCGGAAAAATTGCGATTCATCATTGATCGTTTTATGGACTACAGAGCTAGAGAAAAAGCGAAATTAGAAGATCCGAATGTAAAACCAGGAAATGTAACATCAATTAATTTAACAATGATGAAAGTAAGTATATTTCATTCTGATTGTTTAATTATCTTTATTTAATTGTTTTAAATTATTTTGATATAATTAGGGAGGTACTCAAATAAATGTAGTGGCTAATGAGCTGTCGGTTGCTTTTGATATTCGACTTCCTCCTCAAGTAAATCATGAAGAATTTGAGAATATGATTAACGATTGGTGCAAAGAAGCAGGAGATGGAGTATACTACACTATTATAAATAAGGATCCACCTATTGAAAATACCAAAATTGACGACAGCAATATCTATTGGGTGGCTTTCAAAAACATTACTCACAACTTGGGCATGGAAGTGGAACCTTTAATAATGACTGGCGTTACTGACGCTCGATTCTTACGATTTGTAAGCATTGCATTGAAAATCGTTAACTTTTCACTTTTAGCATTTAATTTTATGAATTTTCGCATATAGGTTGGAATTCCTGCGTTTGGATTCATGGCAATACACAGCACTCCCCACCTTGCGCATGCGAGTAATGAATTTTTAAATAAGGATATTTTCCTGGAAGGTATAGGCATTTTTATGAAAATCATACCTGCCGTAGCAAATGCATAAAAATAAAAAACGATGAAATGAATAGGTAAGATTTTTCCAAAGGAGAAACAACTAAAAAATTTGGTGTACACCTACTTCATACTTTAAAATAATTCACGATAATTCACGATACTTCAGATAATTCGCAGGATAATTCATATACTTCAGGTTAATTCAAGATAATTCATAGTAATTCGATATAATTCAAAATAATTCAAGATAATTCATACTTCAAGTTAATTCGAGATAATTCATAATAATTCACGTTACTTCAGATAATTCATATACTTCAAGTTAATTCAAAATAATTCAAATTCAAAGTATAATTCAAGGTAATTCATGATAATTTACATTACTTCAGATAATTCAGGATAATTCATGTAATTGAAGATAATTCAACACAAGTTATTTCCCTTTCGGATTTTTTCGTAATATGTAGAATCAAGCAATGAATTTTGTCTTCTAATAAACATTTCATTGGAGAACTATTTTAATTGAATAAAATTACATTTTATTGTAATCAAATTGTTTTATTAAGAAATATATATAAATCATATTTCTGCCGTACATTGTCGCTTAGGCTGATTGTAGCCTGTTTATTATTACTGAAATCAGCCTAAGCGACAATGTCGGTTACCTAAGTTTTTACATTGTACGGCAGATTTCATACAAATATTTTATAATTTTGAGAAGCCCTGTACGTATGGATGGTTTTTTTTTCTCCTCAAATACATTTTAACTCTACTACAATTTTATTGATTGTTAAAACATTTTTCTAAATCTCAAAATTATAAAGCCTTTTTCGTATTAAGTTGAAAAACATTTTTTTGCAATTTAAAATATTTTATATAGGTACAAAATCAATTTTCGAAATTTTTTGAAAACATCCCAATACCCATTCTTTATAACATTAAATAACAATCTTCCAAAAATTTAATTTCACAAATTATGGAATATTAATTATAACAATTTGAGATCTTAAGTCTGCCCTACAACGAAAGAAAACACATAAGCCACATTGTCGCTTCAGTCGCTCTTCCGCAGTGTTTATATACAGAACTCGACCAAAGCGACAATGCGGCTTATGTGTGTTCTTCCGTTGTAGGGCAGAAGTGACATCAACATTTTTTAATTTCCTAGTGCTGAAAAAGAAAAAATACATTTAGAAATAAATCTTTAGGTGCAATCTCAGAAAGCACAACATTTTTTCACTAAGTTTGCAAAAAACTTGTGGCAAATAATAGAATACAAAAGTTCCCTTTTCTTGATGTTTAAAAGACACTTTAAAGTCTAAATCTCTTTAAGAGATTTTAATTTTTAACATTTTATCGTATTCTCTCGCATTTTCGTATTTCGGGACTGAATTGGATCAGTAAAACCAGGTAAGTTGTTACAGAACCTATGAACTGAAAAATAATTTATTTTAATATTTCATCTAAATCTATTTTAATTTTCAATAATTAATTTAATTCTTACAGTTCGCACAAATGCATAATCGAGAGTATTTAAACCAGTGGAAAATGCCAAAGGACGTTGTGTCAATTGTAAAGAAAATTCTTCAATCTAACAAATAAATGCCAAATATTCCAAATGTTAATAAATAATTGCACATTTTTACTAAAAGAAATTTCTTACCTCTTCAATTATAGCTTTATCTCTGTTTGAATTCTTTAGTTCAAAGAGAATACTTCTTGTTTTGCGCGCCTAAATTTTGAAAAATGTGAAAATTATTCTCCAATAAAAGTCGCTATAAACTTATTTAAATAAGATTTAAAAAATGTAAAATTATTTATACCTCGGTAGTGACTTTGGCACAGGTGGAATTAATTTGAAGAAATCGAAAACAATACACGGCAAACCATATTGTGGTACTGACCACGCTTCCATTTTTATCGTTTAATGATTCATTGACAAAAAAAAGGTATGTAAATAGATTGTACGAAAGACCTGTTATGATAATAAAATGTGCTCCCATTTTCATCATCATTTGCTTTCCATAAATTCTATTGAGTTCCCAGGATATTTTTGATAACTCCATATGGAGATATCTAAAAAATTTCAATGTATTTTCCTTCACAAAACAAGATTTTTGAAAATACTAATCCTTTCTCACCTGACTAACACCAATACCTTCAATTGTTTTGAGTTGTCGTTAAAATTAATGTTAAATTCTTTTGAAGCCATTAGAACGTGTACTTTACTATATTTTGGAAACACCTCTCTCACCGATTCTATTTCATCGTAAATTGGTAATGTTCTTTTTAAAAGTGAATTAATATTTGCAAATCTTCTTCCTAAGCAGCTGATTAAATAAAAGTATTGAATAAAAAAATTCTCAAAATTTTTTTTTTTTTAATCAATTAATTCTTACGTTACGAGAGAACTGAAGGTAAAGTCAACAACAGAATTCAGATGAAGTGGAAAATGAAACAAGTATATAAGATTGAGACTTGTATGTAAATCGTACTTTGATAAAAAAAGATTTAAATCATAATAAATCAGAATGATTATTACAATAACCCATATAATCACTTTTCTCACTGCATTTATAAAAATTTCCCGATACTTATTTGGAAGGCCCAAATATTCTAAAGCTTCGTCCAATGATTCTAATCTTTGAATATTAGCCTTGAATGCCTTGAAAATGAAAGATTTTTTAACAATATATTTTCATAATTAAAAATTGAAATAAAATCACAAACCTTGTAATGATACCATCCAATTAAAATTGAAGAGGTTCCAATGAATACATTAACGTAAACAATTAACACATAAACATTTTTGCCAATTTGAGTTTCACCCTGACTTGTCACATGCCTGGCAGAAAAACCAAAGAACCAATATGAAAAATTTAGCAACAATACATAAATAAAAGTGAAAGCTGGTCGAGGCTTTGATAATGGATATTCAAATATATTCAATCCTGTAATCCAATTTAATATCAATATTGGCACAATTGAATCGTGAATATTTTTTGGATCCCATTTTAATATTTTGAAAGATAATTTTTTCTTTATTTTCTCAAACATCTTTTTTTGATTACGCTATTCACCATATCAAATCACATATACACTCTGATTTATTTTAGTTGAAGAAATTTGTCATGCGCTGAACAATAAGGTTCATAATCGTTAAAAATCTATTACCTAATGACATATCAAATAGCAATACAGTAATGTTTATTTTGAATTATTAAAAAAAGACATTAATGATATATATACGAATAAACATTATTGTAGATAATTTACCTCTATTACTTTAACTTTATTCTATCAATAATACTTTTCTGACGATAGTTGTATTATTTAAATATATGCAATTTCTATTTAAGGGTAAATCTCTGAAAAAGGACAACTCCAAAATTATGATTAAAAAAAAAAATTAAAAAAAATTGTTATAAATATTCCTATGAGAAGAGGGGGACTATAGTAAGGCCCTAAAATACGTTGTTGAAATCTTCATGAACATTATTGTTTAAAAAATAATTGTTTAATTTTTTGTCGGAGGTACAATAACTGAATTAACTTAAAAATGGTTACTCGGTGGTCAAAATAAGACGGATCCAATATGGCTGATGAAATTTAAAAAAATAAAAATTAATAAGAAAGAAAATATTAATTAGATTTGCTTGAAACTTGTTACACGGGGTTTTTTGGGATCGGTGATTATACGAATATATAATGTTAGTTTTTCAAAATTCAAAATGGCGGATCCAATATGGCAGACGAAAATAATAGGGTTTCATTGCAAATCATAAAAGGCAATTATATTTTAAAAACTACTATTTAAAGTTGAATTAGTTAAAAATAATTAATTTGACAGCAAAAAGTTAGTAATTGATTAGTAAAAATTTGTAATAAATTTTTTGTTTTGTTAAAAATAATTAATTATTAGTTAAATTCACTTTTAGGTTATGTTAAAATAAACTGACATTCCTGTTATAACTAATTCAATTATACTCAAATGTTTTCAGTTATTTTTAAACTAAAAATGAGTTATTTTTTACTAATTGCTTAAGTAAAAAGTTATCCGTTATTTACTGAAGAGTTTATCATCCAATTTATTTAACCCGCCTTTTAATAATTAATTTTGATAATTAGTGAGCCATGGTAATTTTGTTTTTGAGTTTTAAAATACTTGCAGTTAAGATGGTAAATAGATGTCTCCTATTGGATATTTTATTAAATTAATCACATCTGATAAGGTAGAAATTATATTGACCAACGGTCAATTTTCATGTGTTTGATAATTTGTAAAACTTATATTTTCAGTCAACGCTCAAATCATGTTGTTACACTGGTTCTCGTTCGATCACCAAAGTTAAGCAACATTGAGCGCGGTTAGTACTTAGATGGGTGACCGCTTGGGAATACTGCGTAGTGTTGGCTTCCTTTTTTTTAATTTTTATAATTTAAAATTTATAGATATATATTCAAAAATTCGTAAAAAATTGCTTAAAAATGTTCAAAAAAAACTTTTTTATGTTGAAATTAAAATGTAAATAAAATTTTCTCTGTCGGTGTCGCCTATATTGGAAATTTGTTAAATTAATATAATAGAAGATTTGGAATTCTGAGAGTTTTTCATATTATAATGATTTGTATAATTATATTATTATACAATATTTAATGAAATAATAAAGAAAAATCAATATAGATAATAATTCATTGTCCAGCATTGTAGGGAACAAATTGTGAATAATTTATAAGCAGCGCACGCGATAATATATTAAACAGTTAAATGAGTCATGTATGTGAATTTTCGGGTTTTTTTTGTCTCGGAAGAGTTTTGACTTTGTTTATCTCAAAAAGAAAATTATAAAAATGTTAATTTCGAAAAAAATTTATTACTATTTTAACTGTTTTAAAACAGCATGAAAAATTACAATATTTATAGGAAAAAATTTTATGACATGCAGTAAAGTTAAATATTGTTACTAAAATGTATTTTATTTAAATGAACAAAAATTTACGAAAGAAAAATACGTATACATTTGAAATTTTTTAAATTCTTTCTTCTAATTACAAACATTACGTAATTATATAAAGAAATTTATTTTTAATATTTTTCTAACGGTACTGTACATAAATATGTTCTCCGTTTAATAAACTTTAAATTAATCTTAGAATTAACAATTTTAATTATATACAAAGTTTAATCATTTAAGGAAGTTCTCTCGCAAACAGAAATGACGAAGAGTTAATTATCAAACTTGATAAACTGATAGATAATGGTTTAAAGAAGATATAGTTAAATTTTTAGAGGTCTAGGTGGATTTTGACAAAAGATATAAATAATTTTCTCTTTTCACATTTAACACGGGTTCTTATGGGAAATTGAATTTTTTGGTCTGAAATCTCAAATTGTGAAAAATCTGACGAAAAGATATTACTGGAACTTTATATACATAAAGTTTAATAGCCAATGTTCACTTACTTTTAATAAAATTGATCAGACCTGGCTTAGGAGACTCACAATTAATTATTTTGTCTAAAAAAACACCGTATTTTGACAATCAGAAATTACTTAGCACAACGCTTGGCAACGTTGCGTCTTGTAGGTTAGGTATAGAAAAAGCGCGAAATTTGAAAGTAATATAAGTAGTATATACATACACGGAGAGAAAAATCTGCCTTTTATAGTATGAAATAGATTGCTGCTATTTTTCTTTAAACTTTTCATACTAATAGAGCAAAGATTTGAGAATTTTTAGGATAGTATTTGTCCGTACTAAAAAAGCATAGTATATATGCTTCTATAGTACGAAACATGTAGTTTAATAGCAACAACGCCATGCGAAGATCGCACATAACATCATCCTACTATTTTTGCATAAGTTCTATGCTTTTTCGGGGATAGACTCTTGCAACTGGCGATTAGGGCAGTTCCAATTAAGTAAAGGTGGGCGTGGCCTAATCGCCAGTTGCAAGAGTCTATCCCCGAAAAAGCATAGAACTTATGCAAACATAGTAGGATGATGTTATGTGCGATCTTCGCATGGCGCCGTTGGATTAAAAGTATAATAAGTGTGTAATAAGAGGCTATATGACAAACTTTATTAGCATAGACAAGTTTCATGCTAAAAAGACATACGATTGTACTATAATTACTCAAATTTCATGCCTATATAGCATAGAAAATTTCTGTGCATTAAATGTAAACCTTTCTATACTATAAAAGGCAGATTTTTCTCTCCGTGTATAATAGTATATTCTTCAAAGATTCATAATAATGAATAATAATTTGAATTTGCTTATAAAAAATTAAGATTTTTAAAATAATAAATTATTATTATTATTATTTAACGAAAATAAATCAAACAATAGCAAACGACACGAAACGGAACAGGGGAAATATAATCCAACGTTGCCAAGCGTTGAGCTAGTACTACGTGATACAAATGAAAACTTAAATGGGCATTGATTTGACTGACGTTGGAGGGAGAGAACTTCCTTAAAGCGTGAAAAATTATGATTAAGAACAAGTAGAAATTGTTGAAAATCACAGATGAAAATTGAAATAGTTCTGTATCTACATAATAAAAATTTATACCAAACATTTTGTAAATGATTGCTCGTATTTAAAATTAATATCTCCCAACAAAAACTAGATAAAATCTTAAAATTAAAAAAATATATCACAGAGACATAAAATTTAAAGGTTCCAGAGATATGCCCATATGGTTGTAATAACTATAGTATATAATTTCTATCAGTGAAGGACATCATCATTTTACGAATTATTCTTAGAATAAAAACAGTAACGTTAATATTGATTTAACAGTTTTTTTTAAATTTTTAATGAATATTATCTTGAAAATATTATCACATCAAACAATTATGAGGATAATTATAAAAAAAAGAAGATATAAACTAAAATTATGAAAACTTTCAAACAGAAAGAGTTAGCAAACACAAATAAATAAAAATGAAGTGGTATTTTAAAAACATTAAACAAGCAATAATACCAATTTTAATTATAAATTGGTTAATCGGATTTGGGTTTGTTGAATATCCCATTGGTAATTCTCGAACAAATGTTAATTTTATTTTTATTTTCTTAATGGCATTTTGTTTTTTATTTGTGAGTGTTACGGAATTTTTTGGATCATGTAGCGATACAAATGCACATAATTTGGATTTCCTAGTTTTTACAGTAAATCGATATTTAAATACTTTTACCGCTATTATTTCATTAATTATCGGATGGTTCTGTCGAGAAGTAAGTAAAATAAAAATGCAATTATATTCATTTTAAAAATTAATATTCTGTAAAATCTTTTAAGGAAAATAATTTGATTTTTAAGAAATTGCAACTCATCTGGGAAAGAATAAAATTAACTGAGCAATTTTTCGAAATTTTTGGACTGAAGGAAACTTATCAGAAAATTTTTATAGAAAGTTTAGTGACTTCGATATTTTGGGCAATTGCAATTTTTGTCACTTATACCATGGATTTAATAGGACATTTGGATGACTGGCAACTACTTCGAAGTTTATATTGTATTTTTCGCTTTCATTGGGCAATTCATGCAAATACAGTTGTTGATATTTCGTTTACAATAGCCCTCAGGTAATTTAGCAATTAATCATTTAATCTTTTATTTACAAATAATAATTGACATTTCTAATAACATTTTATTATTTACAATTATTTCAGTTGCATAAATGAAACATTTAAACGAATGAATTATCTTCTGCAAAAAAAATTTACAAAAACTAAACGCGAACGGTGTAAGAGAATTAGGAAAAAAACGAAATTTCAGAAATTTTGGACAGTATAGATAATTTAACAGAAAAGGATGTGTTAGAGTTAGTGAGGTAAGTTTTTGTTTTTTTGAAAATCAAAATTTTTTTTGACTTTTTTTCAAAATCGGTCTATACAATTTTTAGACATTTGCATCTGGAAGTTTGTGAAATAACAAGAGAAATTAATAAAATTTACCAAGTTCATATTGCATTAGAAATGTTAACAAATTTTTCATCTTTAACTGCAGTTCTTTATTATTTTTTAAATTCAATGCCTGAATTAGAAAACTTTCCTATGTCAGATATGAAAATATCGATTGTTAACTTAGTAGGATGGATCATAATATTTCTCAGCAGATTTTTATACGTTAATGTTGTTGCCGAGAAAGTTTGTTCCGAGGTAAGAACAAACGTAAAACGCCTATAGAATATAGACTTTAACAAAGAAATTTAAAAAAAACTTATTTAAAAACGAGACAGATTACACAGCCACACAAAAAAAAAAAAGTACCCGGGCCGGGAAATGAGACCATCATTTCTTGATGTATCAGATTATTCAAATTCAAAATGGCGGATCCAATATGGCGGACAAATTTTTAAAAAGTAGTTGGATTTTTACAAAAATTGGTATCATGGGGTTTTTGGAGTCGCTGATTACGAATTTAACGTCAGATTATTCAAATGTAAAATGGCAGATATAGTACGGTGGTCAAATACACTGGAGTCTCCCAAGAGAGGACTTCTGAAGAGAGGACTAAGTAGTGACGCGGCGCGGTAAGGAGTGAGGGGGGAAGAGATGGGCGGGATCAGAAAGAGGAACGTGAACTCAGGAGCGTTTGTTTTTAGTGTACCTTTCTCGCGTAGTGTTTTACAAACGTAACAGAATGTATTCTGTTAAAAAAACACATCTCTGTGATACGATATACGGCCCTGGAGTGTTTACAATTTTCGGCGTCAAGGACGAATTCCGTAGAGAGGTCCAAGACTTTCTGTCCTCTCTTCGGAGACTCTAGTGTATCTTTATGTTTCTACATGTGTCTGCATCCAGGGTACCTCCACGCGGTGATGGTGGACAACGGAGTTTGTCCGCTATCCGGCTATAAGTCCCTGGATAATGACTTTGATGCCGTCATGGCAGACACACGTAGGAAACGTATTACGATGCAGGGACTCGGAACCCCAGTATCGGCCAAGTTACATAAAAATTCAACTATTTTTTAAAAACTCGTCCGCCATTTTGAATTTGAATAATCTGACGATAAATTTGTAATCAGCGACTCCCAAAACCCCTAGATACCAATTTTCGTAAAAATCCAACTACTTTTTAAAAATTTGTCCGACATTTTGAATTTTATAAATCTGACGTTAAATTCGTAATCAGCGACCCCAAAAACCCCCGAGTAACAAGATTCAAACAAATCTGCCATTGTTTAAAAAATTTCTCCTGTCATTTAAAATCAGCTATGTTTTTTGAGGTTATGTCAAAATCCTGACGTGATGGACCTAAACGGACTTCAGATTCGTGTTCAGCGCATCAAAATACATCAAGAAATGGTGGTCTCATTCCCCGGCCCGGGTACTTTTTTTTTTTGTGTGGCTGTGTTATTGTCAGTTAAATAGGTATTTCTTTTAGTGTTTTCATTTACTTTAATTAACATTTTTACAAACTACAAATGGGTTGTAATATTTTTGATAATATTTCTTATATTTACTTTTGTTTCAAGAAGGCTTTAAACACTGGGCACATTATTCTAAATTTGAAATCTTTAGGAAATGACGCTGACAATGGACCATTAGAAAAAGAGGTGAATATTTTTGTCATTAAAAATTTTAACTTATAAAAACAAAACAATTATTCTTCACATTCAGTTGAAAATGATTATTAAATAATATTAATTATTTTTTAATTGACCAGATAGAACAGTTTAGTTTGCAGTTGACTCAACAACCTTTATCTCCTTCTATGCATGGATTTAACAATTTAGGACACAATTTTATCAAAAATGTATGCAAAGTAATTTTTGTAATTTAATTTTTTACTACTATTAATTTCATATTTGATTTATCATATTATTTCAGTTCTTAGTGCAAGTATTGGTTTACTTAGCTGTATTAACGGAAATGCGACAAGAAAATTAAAAAATCTATAAAAAAAATTCACTATAAGATGTTTTCAACGCCAAATCAGACACCACTTTACATCTCCGATTTTTTTGAAAATTTTTTTTCTTTTAGTACTAATTGAAACTCACTTTCATTATTTTTTTTTTCAATTTTTTACTTTTCGAAATTTCAGAATTTTAATCATTTTTTATTTTTGAACGATAATAACTTCTTTAAAAATGCATTAATTTCAAAAGTTATTTTTAATTGTGTGTGTGTGTGAGCAGCAAAAAAAAATTGACTATTAACATAATAAATTAACAAATATTAATAGCAATTGATGAATATTATTATTTTGCTAATAAATTGAATTTATCAATAAATAAGGAATGAAAACATGTTGAAAAAAATTGAAGAAAATATATATTATTTTGAATGCATTTTAATTTTTTCATAAAGCAAAGTTTTAAACTCGTTAAAAAATGCAAAAAATAATTTTCGACAATATGTGGAAAGATTATTAAATATTGTCATCCTTCGATTTTTATGTTTTTTGTAATAAAAATATAGAAACGTGAAAAGATTAAAAACAATTATTGTTGCCTTGCAATTTTTAATATTTTTTCGACTAAAGTTTTGAAATCGTTACAAAAAAATTAAATATATTATTCTGACTGAAGTAATTGAGAAATTATAAAATTGAGTAAATATATTTTAACAAATTAGTATAAAAATTTATCATTATTACGCAGTAATTGAAAATCAAAATAAAAATTGAGGATTATCGTAAGAAAATGTTATTAATTAGGGTTCGTGCACATAATACGTCACGCGTACAGGGGGAAGGGGGTTCTAGAGATTTGTGACGACCCATAGAAAAAATGACGCTAATGTATGGAACCAAGTGTGACATGGGGTGGGGGGGGGGTAAAAAAAGAGTAAAAACAGCTTGACGTATTATGTGCACGACCCCTTATAGTAATGGATGAATATTCAAAAAACTATGAGTTATCATAAAAATTGAGATTCATCATTAAAAAATTGACAATTATCATAAAAATTGAGGATTAGTTTAAAAATTTATTATCATCATACAAATCGAGGATTATCATTGAAAAATTAAAGATTGGTATATAGAAATTGAGTATATTATCAAAATAATCAAAAACTATCGTCAAAAATGAGGATTACAATAAAAATTGATGACTATAATAATAAGTGATGACTATTATATAGAAATTGTGGATCATCATACAAAATTGAGAATTATTATTTGGAAATTGATGATTGTCATCTCGACTATCAGTAAAAATTGATTAGTATCACAGTCATAATAAATTAACAAATATTAATAGCAATTGATGAATATTATTATTTTGCTAATAAATTGAATTTATCAATAAATAAGGAATGAAAACTTGTTGAAAAAAATTTAAGAAAATATATATTATTTTGAATGCATTTTAATTTTTTCATAAAGCAAAGTTTTAAACTCGTTAAAAAATACAAAAAAATATTTTCACTTTATTTGAAAGAATATAAAATGTTGTTATCCTTGAATTTTTATGCTTCTTGTAATAAAAATATAGAAACGTGAAAAGATTAAAAACAATTATTGTTGCCTTGCAATTTTTAATTTTTTTACGACTTAAGTTTTGAAATCGTTAAAAAAAACTTTAAAAATATTATTCTGACTGAAGTAATTGAGAAATTATAAAATTCAGTAAATATATTTCAACAAATTAGTATAAAAATTTATTATTATCATAGTAATTGAGAATCATAAATAAAATTGAGTATTAACTATTAATGAATAACTGTATATTAAAGTAATTGATGAATATCATAAAAATTGTAGATTATTATTCAAAAATAATCATCTTAAAAATTAAGGATTATTATAGAAATTGAGTACTATTAAAATAATCGAAAACTATCATCGAAAATTAGGATTACCATATAAATTGAAAACTATTATAATACTTGCTGAATATTATATAAAAATTGTTGATTATAATAGAAAATTGAGAATTTTTATAGAAATTGATGATTATAATCTCGATTATAAAAATTGACGATTAGTATAAAAGTTGATTATTATCTCAGAAACTGAGAAGCAAAATGAAAATTGACTATTAACATATAATAAATTAACAAATATTAATAGTAATTGATGAATATTAATATTTTGCTAATAAATTAAATTTACCGATAATAAAAGAATGAAAACTTGTTAAAAAAAAATATATATTTTTTTGAATGCATCTTAATTTTATCAGAAAGAAAAGTTTTAAACTCGTTAAAAAATGCAAAAAATAATTTTCGACAATATGTGAAAGGTTATTAAATATATTGTTATCCTTGAATATTTTTATGCTTCTTGTAAGAAAAATATAGAAACGTGAAAAGATTAAAAACAATTATTGTTGCCTTGCAATTTTTAATTTTTTTACGACTTAAGTTTTGAAATCGTTAAAAAAAAACTTTAAAAATATTATTCTGACTGAAGTAATTGAGAAATTATAAAATTCAGTAAATATATTTCAACAAATTAGTATAAAAATTTATTATTATCACAGTAATTAAGAATCAAAATAAAAATTTAGTAAAATTATTATCTATTATTGTAATTGATGAATATAATAAAAATTATGGATTTTAATATAAAATTGAGTATTTTTTTTATATAAAGTATAGAGATTGATTTTTATCATAGTATCAATATGAAAATTGAGGATTATCGTAAGAAATTGTTATCCATTATAGTAATTGATGAATGTCAGAAAAATTATGAGTTATTATAAAAATTGAGATGATTCATCATTAAAAAATTGACAATTATCATAAAAATTGATGATTGTAATTAAAAATTGACGATTATTAAAAAAAATTAATAATAATCATGCAAATGGTGGATTATCAAACAAATGATGAACCTGTATGAAAATAAAGTCGCAATAGTTTTACCTTCAGCTGTAAAAAAAGACAATATAATTTATTATCTAAAGACGATTGATACATGTTTCAAATATTACTTTTTTACAGCTATATTAAAAAAACCATTAAAGTCATTCGTATATAAAGCAAGTGTTTAAGAAAGTTTTCAAAATTTGAAAAGTTGAATTCTAGTTAAAAATAAATTTTAAAATGTATAAACATTTTGCAATTATTTTTTTTCTTTCCAGATGTCTTTTCGTACCTGTCACTTTTACTGAAGCATATTATTCATATCAGGACTTAGTAGTTATATCACTTACTATTTTTAAATAAATAAAAATTAAAAATTTCAGTAATACAATTTAACGAATCTCCTGTGATTAAAAAACTCTTAATTTCTTTTCAATTTTTTCTTGAGATTTATTTTTTAGATTTTGATAAAAACGTTGTAAGCCACGCGATAAAGAATAAAAAAATATGTAATTAAAAACAGAGATATAATTAAAAAGATTTTCATTACAAATTAATAATTATAGAAAAATGGATATCATTTTACATTCACAAATATTTATAATTGCAGTGGACATTTAAGCAAATGTATGAGGAATATATACATAATTTTTATATTAATTTCGGAAAAATAATAAATTGTCCGTCATGGAATTTAACCATTGAAAAATTATATGATGAAATGAATGACCTTAGATTATACAAAACAGAGTATCCTGAATATATAGATGTAAATACAATACAAGAAATGACAGATAATTTAATGTTATATTAATATACGGATATGTTAGAAAGAGAAAACAAAACTTGTTTGAGCCTGCGAAAAAACCCAACTTTGAATGAGATCAAAATATTGGTTAGTTATAAAGAAAATTAAATTTAGAATGTAAAAAAATATGTTATGTTTTGTAAATTTAAAAATTGATTCCAACTTTCATGAATATCATTTTTATTGTCAATAATTTCTAATACAAATGAAATATTGCATTAAATACGAATTATTATTCAAATAGTAAATTTTTTATAAAAATAACAAATTTTATATGAATATTGATATGCGTTTATATTTTATTTTTTCTTCTAGCCCGATTACCAATTAACAATATTATATATACATTTTGTCAATAATTTTTGGGTAATTTAAAGTGCTTTTCCATAAATATAGTATTTAAAAAAATTCAGAAATTTGTTATCGATTTTCGGTACATTTTGTTAATATTTTTTTATTCAATGTTTTGTGATTTTATGCCGATTATTTTTGTTTTTGTTGGTTTAGTGACAAAAGCAGTGTTGTTTTTCGTTGATGTTGACACATTTTCATTAGAAAAGTAGAATTGGTGATTCTGTTAAATTATTATTTTTATATTGTACCTATATAAATATGATTTTTTTACTACGCTAATATTAAAAAAAATTACAGGAAAATAGTCTGGTATTCCTAAAAATGATGATTATGGATGCTCTTAAAGCATATTTCTATCATTTAAATTTATATATTACAACTTACCCTTGTTATACTGAGACATCAGAAGTGACAAATGGAATACAGGATTTTAAAAATTATATTAAAGAATTAAATTTAAAGTTTCCCTTGCTTATAAATGTAGATATAATAAGTTTTGGGAAAAGTTTTATATCATATGTCACAGATTTTGTAACTCGTATGAATAAAAATGCTACAGATGTAAGGAAAAATTCAAAGATTCTAATGCTACAAGAAATATTAAAATGAATTTGGTAAATAAAATTTTCAAACTAATTATAGTTAGTGTGTGTGGGAACATATTGCTGTAAGGTTATCGTATCATTATATGTATGGGGTGTAAGATTACGTCTTAAGCCTGTAGTAAACTTACGGTGGACTTTAAATATATCCGCCCTGATAGTAAGGTTATATGTAGAGGTTGTGGTAAGCTCACAATATTAACTTACCATAACCTTACCGCGTTAGCTTACCACAACCTTTACATGTAATCTAACAATCAGGGCCGTGAGTTTATTGCCTTACAACATTATGTTGTGCTGTGTGGGTATTTATTAAGATAATATAAAAATAAAATTTTCTAAATATGTAATTGCAGCAAACAAGTTATTCGAATTTTGTTGAAAATATTGATAAAAAAGAAGTGGCAAAATTCAGTAACTCAATTTACCTTGTACCAAGCAATATAACAAACTCTGAAATAGTTCTAAACAACAAAAGGGTAAGTGGTCTTTCTTTTGTGAGTGAACCAATGAGCATTCCCAGATAGCACGTAACATTGCAGCAACCTTGCGGCAAGCTTCAAATGTCCCACTTAACTCAAACTTGTATGGTAAGCTTACCGAAAGATTGCAGTGTAAGATTACTGCAAGATTGCACAATAATATTATCGCAAGATTGCTCAGTAAGCTTGGCGCAAGCTTGCGGAATATAAAGAAAAAATTTGGAGGGGAAGAAATTTATTTTTGTATACTGCTGTGCTGATTGGGCAAGGTTATTAGCAACCTTGCACCAACCTTGCCACAAGCTTACCATGCAAGCTTGCGATAATCTTATTATGCAATCTTGCAGTAACCTTACACTGCAATCTGTCGGCAAGCTTACCATGCAAGCTTGTGTTAGGTGAAACATTTGAAGCTTGCGGCAAGGTTGGCAATATTGAGCGTCAAGCTTGCTGCAAGCTTACGTGCTGTCTGAGTTATATTTAAGGGATTACTGATATTTAAGAGCGTAAAAAATAAAGAATTAAAAAAAAAATTTAGCCGTTTTTAAAAATTTTTTTAAACGAAGTTTATTTTATCGAATAGTACATATTTCTATGTACTTGTAAATAATTTTATATTAAAAAATGTTAGTAACTGTGGAAACTGTAGACCTTGCACTAAAACACTTTTTTGTCAGCTGCTTGCAGTGACTATGGGTACGATAAATCAGACAGAGTTTAACTAAAATTAAAAAACAACCAAAATCCCGTTAGTATATTATATCACCTCGTGCGTGAATAAAGGGTTTTGAAGAAAAAAAATTTTCTAGAAATGGCGATGATTTTTCCCTGAAAATCGTGATTTAAGGGGTTTCAAATTTGGTCAAATAAAAATTCGATTTTCGATTTTTTAAAAATGGGTTATATGGGCTTTTTTTTATCTAGAATGCATAATTTTTTATGTCACTTTTTCAAAAATTCGAAAATACGTTTTTTAACCAACAATTTTTTTACACTGTAAATATAATTTTTTTGTTCGAAAAACTGATTTCTCGGATTAAAACAAATTGATTAATCTGTATAAAGTCTATACTTTAATTAAAATCTATAAATTATATCATTTTTTAATTTTTGAAAAAAAGATTTTTTTCGTATTTTTTGAAATAACTTTTTTTTTCATGAAAATTTTTAATAAATTTTGTCAACACCGTATTCCTGGCATAAAAACGAATCGATTGATAAATATAAAGTTTACATTTTACCAATATTTGTAAAATTGATCGCTATTTTAGTTGTAATCCTTCTTTTAATCTTGAATATAAGTGTATCATGATGAGGAAGCTAAATGGTCATATGAATTGAATACCCTGTTGTATGTATAAAGAATCCCTAAAAATTTCAGCCCGATTGGTTTAGCGGTTTTGGAAAAATCGTAGTCCGCTCCGATTTTTATGATATTTCGAAAAAACATTCTCGAGAGTATATACTCTCAAAACTGCATATATCAAAAGTACATATATATGTACTTTTGATATATGCAATTTTGTTCAACAAAAAAAATAAAAAGCATATTGATAATTAAAAACATTTTTTTCTGCACTGCCTGTTTTACATTATAAACCACGCGATAAAGAACAAAAAAAAAATTTTTTAATTAAAAACAGAAATATAATAAAAATGATTTTCATTAAAATTTAATAATTATAGAAAAATGGATATCATCTTACATTCACAAATATTTATAATTGCAGGAGATACTTAACGAAATACATGAGTTATATGTGACTCTTTTTTTAAAAAATTTCGAAATAATAAAAAATTGTCCGACAAGGAAGTTAACCGTTGAAAAATGCAATGATGTAATAGATGATATTAAATTAAAGATAATAAATATTAATGAAAATACAGATGTTCAAGAGAGTACAGTTAATTTGGAAATAACTTATATGCATTTCAAGGATTGTGGTCCCTCGAAAAAAACAAAACTTGTATGAGCCTGAAAAAAAACCTAAGTTTGAATGAGAACAAAATATGGGTTAGTTATAATAATATATTATGCACCAAGTACCGAAAGAAGATGTTTTCCGACAAGTGCAAAATTTGCTCGAAGTCGGAAAATGTTCTTTCGTACGCGTTACACACAGTACTTTGTGCGATACCACTTTAGAGAAAATGCTTTTTATTAAGTAAATAACAAGCTACAATTTAAATTCATAAAATATGTAATAATTTCTATATAATTAGTTTTGTACACAAATTCAACTGCCAATAGAGAGCAAAAGTCAAAGTTCTACTTTATTGATATTTTATTATATTTAATTAATTTAATAAATTATATTTATTACCCTCGGTGAAATTCATGGAATATTCCAGTGACATTGAGGGGATATTCAGGTGATATTGTGGAAATATTCCAGTGATATTGAGGGAATATTCCACGGTTACATTGAATTTTTTTTAAAAATGTGTTTTTAATCTTCCTGCTTATTCAAATAACAATTTATAACATATTTCTATTATTTCAACAATTAAAAAAAAATTCAATATAACCGTGGAATATTCCCTCAATATCACTGGAATATTTCTTTAATATTACCCTCAATGTCACTGGAATATACCCTGAATGTCACTGTGGAATATTCCCATGATGCGGACATTTTGATTTTCCTAGAAGATCATGGGAATATTCCACGGTGGTATTCAAGGGATATTCAGGGGATATACAGTGCTGCTTGGGTATATACATACTTGTAAACATCCTTCAAAGTACTTTTCTGCACTAGTACAGCAAAGTAATGTTTTCCGCCTACTTTACAAGCATGTAAAGTAATGCCTTTCTTTAAGGTGTTGCACAAAGAAAATTAAATTCCTAATGTAAAAAAAATATGTTATGTTTTGTAAATATCAAAATTGTTTTCAACTTTCATTAATACAATTTTATAGTCAATAATTCTTAATACAAAAAGAAATATTGCATTAAATACGAACAATTGTTAAAATGGTAAATATTTTCTAAAAATAACATATTTTAGTGCAGATGATAATTTTTTTGGATTTTTTTAATCTAGTAAAAATGTTAAATGTTTTTTGTTTAAATCCACTATTTATTTTTAAAATTCACAATTATATGAGGTTTCGCCCGTCAACGTCAAGTCTCATCAGATTTAAATACTGGAATTAAATTTAAATTTTTAAAGATTTTTATAAAAATTTAATTCCAATATTTAAGGAGGTTCATCCCTTCAAGCGGTACTCATTCTATTAGGGGTTTTCCGTAAGTTTAAAACCGACAGCTATAGTCCATAAAAGTTGAGCTCCACTGGCCAATTTAGAGGTTATGTTGCCGTTTCTCCTCTTCTTTCTTTTATTTACATGGGATAAGTTCAAAAGTTGCTAATTTTGATTAACATTTACTTCACAACCAAACGGTAAAAAAATTTCATATTTTTGTAAAAACTGTTAAAACTCATAATTTAAAACATATTAGTTTTTTAAAAAAATCTGTAGAACCGTTTTTTTTTAATTAATGAAAACATGGTCATTTTTCATGTTTTTCACTGTTCCCATGTAAAACTTCAAACTTTATCAATTTTTATCTTGAAAATGATACGGTAAAATTCAATAAAATTTGAACAACACATGTAAAGTGATGTCAATAATACATCTTAAAAATTTTTAAAAAATCTGTAGAAAATCGATTTTGGGATGAACCTCCTTAAATCTGATGAGGCCCGACGTTGACGGGCGAAACCTCATATAATTGTGAATTTATAAAATAAATAGTGGATTTAAACAAAAAACAATTAACATCTTTAATAACAAATTTTATATGAATATTATATATTATGGTCTTAATATTTGTAATTTTTTAATTTTTTTTAGATCCATGTCATTGAAGAAAATTTTAATTATGTAAGTGTTACCAATTAATAACAATATATTATATATAAATTTCTCTCAATAATTTTTAGATAATTTAAAGAGTTTTTCCATAAATACAGTATTTAAAAAAATTCAGAAATTTGTTAGCGATTTTCGGTACATTTTCTTAATTTTTTTTTTATTGAATTTTTTATAATTTTATGCTGCTTATTTTTGTTGACAATGCTTTTGTGACGAAATCATTGTTGTTTTTAGTTAATTTTGACACATTTTTATTAGAAAAGTAAAATTGGTAATTTTGTCACAATAATTTTTTTTTATATTGCATACAAATATGATTTTTTTATGTCACTAATAAAAAAAATGTTCAGTATGTAGTTACAGCAAAATACCTCGATGGAAATTAAGAACCTCCTTTTAGATGCTTTTAAGGCATATTTATATCATTTAAATTTATATTTTACAACAACTTACCCTTGTTATATTGAGACATCAAAAGGAACAACAACAGTTTCTGTAAGAGACAATGGAATAGATTCTGAAACAACCAAAGGATTAGAAACTACAACAGTTTCTGTAAGAGACAATGGAATAGATTCTGAAACAAGCCAAGGATTAGGAACTACAACAGTTTCTGTAAGAGACAATGGAATAGATTTTTGAAACAACCAAAGGATTAGAAACTATAACAGTTTCTGTAAAGGACAATGGAATAGATTCTGGAAAAAGCAAAGGATTACTATTTTTTTAATTTCTTACATAATAAAACCTTTATAAGTGAATCCTCGATAAGTCAAATAAAATATCAATTCCCTCCCCTAGGAGCTCAAAAACCTCAGTAACTCGAAGGTTTTGTTTTTGCAATCAAATTCATATTTTGTTCAATATCATTAAATTTATTATTAACGATTTAAGGAATTTAAAGACGAATAATAATACACATAAGTATATTTTGTGGACAGTTATTAGTGTGCATGATACATAAAAAGGGTGGCCTTGAAAATCCCGATAATTTTCGCCCTATTACTTTAGTCAAAAATGTATTAGTGAAGTGCCCGGCTGAAAAAACTTGTACAAGAAAATCTATAAGTTCTTGTACATGTTCATTAATGAACTTGTACATTTTCTTCGTACATGTTCGAGTAATGTTCTTGAACAAGTTCAGCATCCGGAATTGAGACATGTTCTTGTACCAGAACTTGTACAAGATCCTGGACAAGAAAATGTACATGTTCTTGTACATATTTTTTTGTGCAGGTTTCATGTACATTTTCTTGTACCAGATGTGGAACATGTTCTTGTACATGTTCATTTATGCCTTTAAATTAAAAATTAAAAACTTTAAAGGCTGCGCAGTAGTTTTCTTAAGCCTTTACAGCTGCGCAATCATTTTTAGCATGTATAAGTGAAGAACTTGTACATTTTCTTGTACAAGTTTTTTCAGCCGGGTGGCCCACCCAAATATTGGCGGACAGACTTTTGATGTAATTTAAAAAAAAAACGCTAATCATTCTGTAAAACATTTTAAATCCTTTAAAGTTTTACTTGTTCACATAAGATACTAATTGTAAGTAGGAAATTATAAGAAAAATTTCAATAATAGATATATGGTATGATGTAGATTACATCTGCGTTACAATCCATTTCTCTCCGTGTATTATACAATTTATAATTTACTATATTATATATTATAATAAATAAACAATATGTACTATTGTTAATAAACAATTCACCGTTAACTACAAATAAATAAATAAATATTAATTATATAATATATTATAAATTATTATTGTTACTGCGAGTGACATTATTTATTATTTGCTATTCATAAGAGCACGAATTCCAATCGAAACTTTAACGAATTGATGGGCCGGTTCCGATTTCGCACGGAAAAACAAGGACACAGCATACTTCCCGAGTACTTTATCAAGTATAATAACATGTGAAAATAACAATGGCAATATTATATATTTTTTTTCATTTTATTTTCTTTTCGACAATATAAAAACTATAAATGAATGTTCTAATTTATAGGTTATGTTTATACTTATTTTTCATTAGCATTGCAATTTGGGCTGAAAACTAATCAATTATTTTAATATTCGTTGTTTATGCATGGTATATTTAAAATTATTCTTTTAAAAGGTCAATTTTCTCAATATTTATATGAGAATAATTTTTTAATTTGATATAGAATTGAAGCAGAAAATTTAAGTTCTATGTTGACACAAGCTTTGTACAATAAAAAGAGAACAATATCGCTTGCTTTTTGTTTCTTTTGGGCTGAATTTCATTCCCTGAATGTTTTCCTCTTTATTAGAATCATCACTTTAATTTGAACAAAACTTTTAGATTAGAAAATAGAAATTGTGAAACTCGACGTTAGCACGTGTAAACAAACGTGAAATTTTGAATCTGAGAAACTTTCCGAAAATTTTCTCTTTCATTGAGAAACTAAATTTCCCCAGAAGAAATTACTAGATGCCAAATGACGTCACAGCAGCAGCAGCATTACATCTTGAGTTGACTACCCTGTCCTGGTCTGTAGTAGCAGACAGCAGCAGTAGGCGCAGTCAATAAGTCATGTCAAACACTATTTTTTAAGTTTGTTTTGAAATTGATAGATTTTTCAAATAGTGAAAATAAATATTTTCGGATTTTCTCGTTTTAACGAAAGGCAAGTACAATTTGTTTTTACCTCAAATGATATCTTAACATTGTTTTTCTTTAAAATCTTATGGCAAATCAATATTCCTAACCTAGTTTTATATTTTTGGAAAAATTTAATATTTTCACATTTTTCCCTATTCTTCTATTTGTTTTAATTAATATTTCTTATTTATTATATCTGCACTATAATCTACAATCATTTTTTTTAAAGCAGAAGTAATTACAATTTTTTGAAATAATCAGAATTTATACAACTACTTTTAGTGAAATTTAGCAATTAACTGTTTAATTTTATAAAAATTTTAATGTTATTCCATTTGTCACTGTTGTAAAATTTGAGTTTTATGATAAATAATATTTATCAAATTTGGTATCTCCTTTTTTTTAATTTTTTAAAAAAATATTGTTTTTTGTTAAATTTTTTTGAATAAACTTTAAATATAACTTTTCTTCTTATAATATTTTATTTATGTGCTTTTTATCTATTTTAATTAAAAAATATTCTGATAATATTTACTTTGTTAATAATATATATAATATATATTATTTTAATAATAATAATTAGGCATTTTAAAAATTTTTCAAAAATATCCTTTTAATTTTTTTTACTTAAAAAATAAAATTTGCTAATCAGTAAAATTATTAGCAAAAAAAATAGCAATTTGATATTATACTTCTATAAGTACTCGTAAAATTTAATTAAATTTTTTAGTTTTTAATTTTTTTAGAAATATAATTTTAATCAATAACAGTGATTTGTATATAATTTTTAAAAATTTTCAGGTTTTTAGGTTTTTCTATTTATTAAAAATGCTTTTGAAAAAAATGGCCATTCAAAGAAAAGATCAATAACTCGTCTATCGAAAACTTTTCCGTTGCAGACAAACGCGTAAGTTTCTAATATGTATAAAAAAAATTCTAACAATGAAGTTTCGATTTAATATTCCAATATTGCTGCATTTTTATTAATAAATATTATATTTAAAAACTTTTGACTATTGAATAATATTACTCAGAAAACAATCTATTTAACTTTAAAGAAATTCATTTATCTTAAATCGACTATTTCTTTTAATATTTATTTAACAGGATTTTCATGATAAAAAGAAAGTTCTTTAAATTATATCCTTTAATTATTAAAAGTATTTTACTATCAAAAAAAATGAATTTTTTATTAATTATTAGTATTATTGGTAACTAACTAGTTTATCATTATTATTTTTTAATTTTAAATAAATTTATAAAAAAAATAAATCAATGAAATAGTAATAAAATAAAATAAATAAATTTTTAAATAAAATTAAATTGAAAAATTAAAATTAATAAAAATCATTTATTATTATTATTATTAAATAGTTAATAATTTTTTTTTAAATGAAACTCGAAATTCTCTAAAAATCAAAATTATAACCTCTCTCATAATATCTATTATTTTTTAATTAACAATTTTTTATACATAAAAAAATTCTAATTATACTGAACAAAAATTTATTTAGTTTAAATAATCTGTTACGTGGATTTTGGATTTTTATAAATATTTTGTTAAAGTTGTGAAGGCTCTAGAATTAAAATTAAAATCAATACATGTTTTTTGTTGCTGCAATATGTACTTGTAATTCCAAAATACAGTTCACTTTAGAAAATAGAAATAAGAATAAAATCAATTTTTTCGATACAATTATTTAATAATTAATTATTGCCTGAAACCAATTGCTACTTTGAGAGTGTTGAATTTTGTCCGCTTAAGCGAATGTATTGATTTTAATTTGGATCCTAGAGTCTATATAAGTTGATCAACTTTTTAAAAAGTTGATTACAAAGTTTCTTGATAAATGATGCAGGCTTCGAAGTGTAGTAAGAGACTAAAAAAAGTATGAAGTAATACCATTTCGGAAAAAATGGATCCCTGACATTAAAAAAAAGTAGCAGAAAAGTAACATGCTTAAAGTAAAATAAAATTTGATTTTGAAGTAAAAAAAATACTCTCTAAATTTAAATTAGTTGTTTTTCTACCAATTAAATAGTTTTGATTCGTTTTTTTTATTTGGCAGATTTTTTGTTTTACAGCCATTTTACATAATAATGACTTTTTATTTAACAGAATTCTCATTCAATCGATTTTTATGTGATTCGAATTTTTAAATGACAGAAATTCCAATTAACCGAATTTTAATTTATCCAAATTTTCATTGAACAAATTTTTAATTGACAGAATTTTTAAGACGCCGAATTTTCATTTGACCGATATTACAAAAGTGGCCGAACAAGCAATCGATTTCGGCACAATTTTCAAAAATTGACCAATTAGAAATTATCAAGAAAATCGTGATTGGTCAATTTTAAAAATTGCGCCAAAATCTTTTTGTCGATTGTTTGTTCGGCCATTTGTAATTTCGGACAAATAAAAATTCGGCTAATATTCTATCAATATTAAAAATTCAGTGATTTTAAATTTTTGTCATTTAAAAATTCGAATCACTTAAAATTTGATTAAATAAAAAGTCATGTACATTAAATGAACCCTTTTTTGCGACGCGTCACATATATTAAAGGAATTTTTTGAATCCATTTTTTTTTGTTTTTTCTTCAATTCAGTATAATGTTTTTTAATTAAAAAAAAATTTTTTCAACTAAAATATGTTTTATTTTTGTTTAAATCAAACATTATTTTTTAGTCTCCCTATAGCAATAATTTTATATTCTTTAGAAATAGAACCATTTAGTAACTTCTGGACTACACTCAGGGAAATGGTATATTTGTCTCCGAGCCTACTAACTCATTTATTTGTTGCAAATATATTTTATTTCATTGAAATAAAAAATTTATTTGAGCCAAAGGAAAATTTATTTCTGACAAATAAAATTTTTTTTTACTCCAAATAAATAAGTTAGTAGGCATTTATTTAACTGAAATATATTTTATTTGGTTCAAATAAATAATTTCTCTGGGTCTAAATATTAAATTATTCTGGACTAATTAGTAATAAAAAAAAGTGTGACATTTTGAAGCCTGATGCACTGAAAAAAAATGTATTTTATTTAAATAATCGGTTACTTGACTATTATCAAATAAATATTTATTTGTATCAATTAAATTGTATTTGCTTGAAATACAGTTTATTTAATTGAAATGAAAATTATTTGGTTCAAGTAACCAATTATTATTTATTATGAAATAAATTATGCATAATTAGGGACAGCAATTTTGTTGTTGTTAGACAAGGAATTGTTGATAAATAAATGTTTGTTTAAGCGTAAATTTGAAAATGTCCGAGGACACCAGAGAGCAGGCATCACTTGTGCCTCAATTGCCCTCGAATGCCACTCCCGATTCAAACACATCACGAGTCGGTGAACAGCAAGTGAGTCGTCAAAGTAATCAGCGTCGTATTCAACAGCGCAAGCAACAGGTGTTTTCATGGCCGAAAATGAAGAAGCTCATTAAACTCGCCAATTATTGCGCCTGTCAGGAAGAAGGCTGTAAATGCATTGGTTGGCGTATAAATCAACAGATTGTCAAATCACCGAAACCAGATTCATCAATGGTGACCGTCGCCACATACAATGATCCGTGTCGCACATGCAATCATGTTCTCGAGAAGCACGTGTCACATTTGATGCGGGAAAATGACGAGGACATTAATAAACTCCTGGGAATGGTTGTCGATGTGGACAATATTTTCATGAGTATGCACAGTGAAAAGGATCCGGACACGAAGAAAATTTATTTGTATCTTTGCAAACTTATCAGAAAGGCCATCTTCTCGAGAAGCAAACCGGCGATCGAGGGACCATTGGGTCAGCCACCTTTTGAAAAGACCTGCATCGAAAAGGGAGTTACGAACTTTGTTGTTTATAAATTTGGACACTTGTCGCTGCAAGAGTGGCAAGTGATGCACGACTTGGCGAAAATGTTTCTCCACTGCTTGAATCATTGGAATTTTGAGACGCCGACGGTTTTGCGAAACTCGATTTCAACGGAAGATGCGGCGGCGTATAAAATTAACTACACGCGCTGGCTGGTTTTTTGTCAAGTGCCAGCATTTTGTGATTCACTGCCCCATTATGACACAACTCGGGCTTTTGGCAGGACTCTACTGAGAGCGGTTTTCAAATCCGTTTGCCGACAATTGATGGAGAAGTGCCACAGCGAGAGGGATCGCATGTCACCGGAGAAGCGCGTCTTCGTCTTCACACACTTTCCCAGGTTCTTGTCACAACTCGAGGAGGAGTTGTACTCGGAGGTTTCGCCGATTTGGAGTCAGGAGTTCAAGCAGGCGCCGCCTCCGCATTTGCAGACGGCGGAGGAGGCCGAACGCTCGCGGAACGATTTCGACAGGTTGTACAGCACCTCTGGCGAGAGTGCTTCCCTGAAGCGACCGCTGGAGAAGAAGGAAATGAGGGTGGATGCGAAAAAGAAGCGAAACGAGGAGCCATTCGAGGATCTCTCAAGTCAAGTGATTGCGGAGATTGTCGCGAGGATCGACGACCCCAACTACATGTGCGGACCGGATGCATTTTTCTCGACAAATGTCCCGCGGGACGAGACACCGAAAATGGAGGAGAGTAGAAAACTGATAGAGTTCCACGTGATTGGGAACAGTTTGACTCAGCCAGTTTCGAAGCAAACAATGCTTTGGTTAATTGGTCTTCACAATGTCTTCTGTCAGCAACTCACCAAAATGCCAAAAGATTACATTTCGCAATTTGTCTTCGACCCGAAGCACAAGACTCTGGCACTCATCAAGAATGGAAGACCCATTGGAGGCATTTGCTTTAGAATGTTTCCCACGCAGGGTTTCACGGAAATTGTTTTTTGCGCCGTCACCAGTCACTTACAGGTCAAAGGCTATGGAACACATTTGATGAACATGTTAAAGGACTACCATATCAAGAATAATATTCTCCATTTCCTGACGTTTGCGGACAAATATGCGATTGGCTATTTTAAGAAGCAGGGTTTCAGTCTTAAACTCCCGAGACTTGTTTATCAGGGTTACATCAAGGATTATGAGGAAGCAACGCTCATGCACTGTGAGCTCAATCCCAAGATTGTTTACACTGAATTTTTGGCGGTGATACGAAAGCAGAAGGAAATTATCAAGAAGCTCATTCAACAGAAACATCAGGAGATTCAGAAAGTTCATCCTGGATTGACTTGCTTCAAGGAAGGAGTCCGAGGTATCCCAGTTGAGGCAATTCCAGGTATGTAAAGACTAATTGAGGGGCGACCGGTCGTTTTCGATCGAATCAAGCTGGTCAAAAAGTGTATTTTTTTCAACATAGTCCATAAACGTTTAGAGTTGAGCATAACTTTTGTTTTGAAGATATAGTGTTAAAAAAGGGTTACTCAAGGGTTTTTGGGGTCGCTGATTACGAACTTGGTATCAGTTTGTCAAAATTCAAAATGGCGAACAAGATTTCCAAAAATTGCTCAGATCCGCTTGAAACTTGTTACTTGGGGTTTTTTTGGGATCAATGATTATGAATCCAATGCCATTTTGAATTTTTGTAAAGTGACACGAGATTCGTAATCAGCGACCCCAAAAAACCTCCGAGTAATAAGTTTCAAGGGAATCTGAGCAACTTAAATTTTGAAAATTCATGAGCCTAAAAATGGATTAAAAACAGTATATTTTAGCACCGCTCTTTTGGTTTTTTTTTATTTTATTTATTTTTACACATTTTGATCATCTTGGTTCGATCGAAAACGACCGACCGTTGTTATTGTACGCAGCCTCTCAATTATTTATTTTTGAAAATAAAAATTAAAAGAACGAATTATCAAAAAAAAAATTGCAATCAGACAAATGAAAATTCGGTTACTGAATATAAATTCTGTTAAGGAATTATTTTTAAAAAAAATTTCAGGAATCTGTGAAACTGGTTGGAAAGGCTACGGGCAAACGAGAACAAGAAAAGTTGCTAAAACAGTGCAGGGTCAGGAGCCAGTTGAGGCGTGTTTGGACGTGAAAAATTCTCTATACACGAGTTTGAAGGAAGTTTTGAATAGCGTGAAAAAGCAAAATACCGCGTGGCCATTTTTAAAACCAGTAGACAAAGAATATGTCCCCGATTATTACGATCACATTAAATATCCCATGGATCTAAAAACAATGTCTGATCGTTTAAAAGATGGTTATTACGTAAGTCGGAGACTCTTCATTGCGGATATGACGAGAATATTTACAAATTGCAGATTTTACAATAGCAAAGAGACTGATTATTTTAAATGTGCGAATGCTCTGGAAAAATATTTTCAGACAAAAATGAAGGAACTTGGCATATGGGACAAATAGTGTCATTTTTATTTTAAAAAAAAACTTTATTTCCCTAATTTAATTTTTTTCATATAAGAGAAAAAGAAATATTTCCAATTAACGAAAAATTGTAATAACTTTACAATTGACTTATAAGTTATTAAATTGGTTGAAATTTGTAAAAATTGGATCTTGTACAATTCATCATTTGAATTGTCTGTAATTGATTCTACTTGAAAAAAAATGTATGTAAAGTGATTTAAATTTTTTCTCCATTTTCAAAACTTGGTTTCGTCTTCGAATTTCACGTTTCTTTGTCATTCATCAAGTGTAATAAAAATCATATTTTTAAAATGGGAATTCTTGTTTTCTTTAGATTTTAATTAAAAATTTATTTATTCAAAGTATACATTAATAAATTAATTATGTTTATATAAAATTTCTAATTTAAAGTAATATTTCCGTAATTTTTTGTTTTTTTTTTGATAATAAAGGACAAAATTATGCAATACAATTTTTGAAAAGTGTTTGAAATTCGTTGGCAATTTCAAACATTTCAGTTGATACTTTTACACTACATTTTAATGATTCACTTAAAATTTTCGGTTTTAATGTTTCACCAGCAATATTGAGCATGTTTGCTTCATCCAGTAAAATGTTTAATTTTTTCTTCGTTTTACTGATTTTTTGAGAAATACATTCCTCTTCTGGTTTTTCGGTTTTAATCGAACAACTGGTTTTAAATTCCTTTACATCTTCTGCCATTTTTAATGTTTCCTATCAAATAAATTTAAATTAATCAATTTTTTGATAAACATTTTTTATGTCACTACTTATTTACATTGTTATCAAATTTTTTGTTTATTTCACTGCAGTGAAAAAAATATTTGATTTTTAAGTAATTCAAATTATATGAAAAATATTTACTTGTTTCAAAATATTTTTTATTTGGATACAAAAAATATGTATTTAATTGAAATAACTTGAATTATTTGAATCGCACTTATTTCCACCAAATAAAACGTATTTGTTTTAATTAAATAATTAACTGAATCTAATAAATGAATTTATTTAACACAAATAATAAATTATTGAAAACAATTTATTTATTTCATCCAAATATTTGATTTTTTTATACAAATAAAATTTATATGACATAATAAAATTATTTTATTGATTCTAATACACTAAATTATTTAATACGAATAATGCATTATTTAATACTAATACATTATTTTATGAAAAGTAAAAAATATTTCGATCAAATAAATATTTATTTGAAACGAAAATAGTGAGTTATTTGAAACAATTTATTTATTTCACTGAAATATTTGATTGTTTGATTCAAATAAAAACTATTTGACACAATAAATTTATTTTCTTGATTCAAGTAAACTAAATTATTTAATACAAATAACGCAGTATTTAATGCAAATAAATTATTTTATAAAAACTGAAAATATTTTCTTCCTTCTTAAGAAAAAAATAAAACAAAAAATTTTTTGGTAATAATTTGAGGTTCATTTTTACGTTATTTATAATTTTTAACAAAAGAAATTTTGATAAAGTCTCGTAAAATAATTATCATTATATACTTAAGTAATTTGGCAGCAAATTAAAAATCTTCATTATCGACAGATAATCAAATATCAAACAAAAGAAATTTTATTTATTTAGGTATTTACTACAATTACCTGATGTGATGCTTGGAATTTTTCGCGAATTGAATCTCCAATTTTTTTAGGTACATGAACACAAGTATCGAGATCGAATGACAGTTTTACAATTTTTTCACCAAATTTATCTTTTGTAGAATCAATGCAAACTGTTTGGTCAATTTTTGCTACTTTTTCATTGAAAAACTAGAGAGATGAAAATTATAATTTTTTTCTTAATGAATAATTAGGTAAAACATTATTTTTTTATCAAAATATTAAATTAAATTTTATATTACGTTTGCTTGGTCGAGAGTTGCTTGTAAAGCTTTCGAATTCACCTCCATTGATAAATCTTTTAAATTACTTAACATCAGAATAACAGAATTTGAAAATTCTTCTTCATAATTAAGAATTGTCTTTATTGCCTCATTCACTGTTTTATTAAAATCAGTTAGTGAATCGCTTCTCACCTATAATAATGAAAAATATATTTTTTAATTTTTATCAATTAAATAATAATTGTATAATAAATAGTGTAAAAAAAATCGCAATAATAATAAATTATTATACAACAAACAACTTTAAAGTAAGTTTTTTACATTTTTCAGTATAATTCATTGAATTAACCAAAGAATTTTTTTCAATAAAATAGGTTTATTAAACCTTTGAATTTTTGAAATCATTAAATTTTTAATTAATAAAATTTCATAATAATAAAAAATTATTAATTCTTGTTATTATTTTAGTTTCAATGTACAAGCTTACCTGAAGTAGGCAAAAAGTAAAAAATATATAAAATTCAAAAAGTTTCATTTTAGAAAAAAAAATTATTTTAATTGGAGGTTTGAAAGAGACTAAAAATTAACGGACATTGTAATGAGTTTTATTTGAAAGCTTTGTAGACGGAAATTTTCCATGAAAATAATAATTGATTACTGAATAATAAAAATCTGATTACAACGACCTTGAATAATAAATGTAGAAAGAATAAAAAAATATATAAATCCCCGAAGGACATAAAGGCTACGATTTATTTCTCGAAAAATTTGTTTATTTCACTTCGAAATGGTAATTATTTGATTTTTATCTATTCACACAATATTTTACTATTGCAGTATGTACTAATACTCTCTTTTAATAATAATAATAATAATAATAATAATAATAACAACAAACATATTCAAAATAAAAAAAATATTTCCAAGGATAAAAAACTTATTTTAATTTTGAACTTCGTTTTGTTTCATAATACACAATTTTTTAATTTTTTCTGAAATTGATTTGATAAATCGTAAATATTGTCCAACACTTTTGCATTACAAATTAATGATTGAGCGTAAATTTTCGGTCGAAATGTTGCAGCTTCAGCTTTGTAAAATGTGACGTTTTTTATTAAATTTTCAAAAGAAATTTCAAGTTTTTTCACATTATCAGAAATACATTGACTTTCCGATTGTTCCGATTTATAAGAACAATTTTTTTTCACCTCACTTAATTGTTTTTCAATTTCAAAAGCTTCCTGTCAAAAAAAAAATGTAATATTAAAAATTTTTTCGTACAAATTTTGTTTTTTTTTTAATTTTATTTATATTTTAAAATAATTTAAAAAAGATTTATTTTCTTTTCAGAAAAACAAAAAAAAATACCTAATTTTTTTCACTTTTGAGAAAAAAAAAATTAATTTTACCTTTTTAGCGTTATGAAATTTTTGTCGAATGGGATTTCCCATTTCTCTATAATTAAATAAACATCCATAAATATTTGAATTGAACACTTGTAATTTTTCGATCCATTGTGTTTTCTTAAATTTAATACATTTTTTTTGTTCGGTTGTTTTTATATTTCCTCTCATTAAAACCTGCATTAATTCAAATTGAATTCGTTAATTAATTTTTTACTTTTAGTAAGAAAATGAAGCAAGCATAATGGCAAATAATAATATTCAAATTATAAAAAAAATCTAATATTTCAAAATTGTATTACCTAAATTGAATAATTTTATTATAAAATTATTATTATTATTTTATTTTTTATTTTTATAAACATTATTTATTTACGGTTTTCAGAGTACAAGTTGCATTCCATCCACGAAACATAATTTCTGAAGTAATTTCTCTTAATTTACTTAATGACAATACAATCGAACCAAAAAATTCATCATCATATTTTATTAATTCTTGACTTGCTTTATTAATAATTGCTTGAAATTTTGAAGTTGATTCGCCTTGAACCTGTTTTTTGATTATTTATAAATAACAATATAATTGAACATATGTCACTAATTGAAATAAATAAAGTATAAGATAAAAATAATAATTCATCTCGTGTATTGTAATTTTCTTATAAATTTTAAAATATTCATTGGTTAATTCAACAAATAATTAAAAACTTTTTTTTCGCAAATTTAGTGAATTTTTCATTGAAATTTAAATTTATAATCTTAAATTGTATAACTTACGTGAAAAAAACAGAGAGCAAACAAAAAGTGAATTGTTAAAAGACTCATTTTTTTCACTTGATATTAAAGAAAGTGTATTGTGAACTAAAAGACAACGGCAGAAATTTTGACTTTTATTGTCAGATAATTTTCTAATAAACAACCACATATATTTAGGTCAAAAGAAAAAAATACAGAAATAAAGATCCTATAAAACATAATTAATCTATAACCAAATATATAAGCAGATACTAATTTTTTTATTTTTAAAAAATTAAATTAATATTTCAGTTTTTTTTTTTTAATTATTCACTAATTTAATTATCCTATTTTTCAATTAAAATTTTTATAAAATTTAATAATTGTTTATAATTTTAAAAAAGATTAGCAAATAAAATTACCGAAAATTTTTAATTCAAAATCACTTGATATCTAATTAATTGCAAAAATTTCAATGATTTTTGTAATATTCTTCGAAAATTCAATTATCTGAAAGCATTTTTCAATTAAATACTTTTGGAATTCAATTTTTTTTATGTGATTTCTAAAAAAATTTTCATCAATGGAAATCACTAAAAATTTCTCTTATTATAATTTTTGTCTGAAATTTAACACAATCTTTTGAAAATCAATTATTTTCAAAATTTTCTATTCAAAATCAACTAAAATTCAATTATTTTCTAAAATTTCAATTCAAAACCAATTAAAATTCAATTATTTCCAAAATTTTCTATTCAAAATCAACTAAAATTTAATTATTTTTTAAAATTTCGATTCCAAATCAATTAAAATTCAATTACTTCCAAAAATTCAATTCAAAACCAATTAAAATTCAATTATTTAAAAAAAAATTTAATTTAAAAGCTTTTAAACTTTAATTATTTCTAAAAATTTTCCATAATTTAATAATTTCAATTATAACTCTCCTGAAATTCAATTATTTTTAACGATTTTTATAATATTCTTCGAAAATTAAACTATCTAAAACCATTTTCCACTTAAAAAGTTTTCAAATTATTGTATTTTTGTCTGCAATTTCTAATAAATTTTTTAGTGAAATCATCAAAAATTTAAAATTAAAAATTACTTGAACTTCAATTAATTTTAAAAATCAAAATTGTAAATCTTTGAAAATTCAATTACTTTTAAAAAATGTTATTTAAAATTATTTGATAAATTATTTTTATTTCTGTAAAATTTAATTATTTTCTGAAAATTAACAGAATCTTTTGTAATTCAATTATTTCTAAAAATTTCAAATTTAACTCTTCAAAAATTATTGTTATTTAAAAAAAAAAAATTTTTTTTAAATCTGTAAAACTGAATTATTGCCTGAAATTTTGTTGACCATCAAAACTAAAAACTATGACAAAATTTTAAATTTAAATAAATTGCTTAAATCAGACTTGAAAAAATTATAAAAATAAAAGTTTAAGAATTTTTTTTAGAAATTTGTCTAACTTAAATAAAATTTTGAAAATTTGTCTTACAATTTGTTCGATTCAGAAATATTCGAAATAAATTTTCTTGATAATATTCATTATAGAATTATTTCCATTACAGAATGAATAAAATGAATTTAATATCTAATAACATTAGTTACTTAAAGTAAAATATTTATTAACCAATAAAATTTTGTTAAAATAAAAAAAATCGACTAAAACGATTTTTTTGTGTCCTAAAGTCTATCCGAGGTCTGTATTTGTTTTTTATTATATTAATTTATTAATTATAACACAAAATAAATTTTTTTGTATGAAATTAATAATTAGAAATTGAAGATTCTATACATAAAGTGATATATATTAAATTTACATTATGAGATTTTGTACAATCAACGATTTGACGCATTTGTATAAAAAATAACTATTATTATACTGCCGTACGAAGTAAAAACTTAGTTAACTCATATTTTGGCGAAAAATGAGTTTTTGGTATCAATGGATTCGTAATAAAAAAACGCGTCTGATGGTATTATTAAAAAATTTTTATTTAATTATTTATTGCAAAAAAATAATTATAAAAAATTGTCGAAAACCCAGAAAATGAAGAAATACTACATAAAAAGTATGCTAACTCGAGTTAAGGAGTCCGAAAGTCATAGCTCGAGCATGATATAAGAAACAAAAACTCAGTCAACTCGAGTTGAGTATTTTTGCTGTCAAAAACGTAGTCGAATTTCATGCATAGTTTCGAAACGAAAACCTTAACTCGAGTTAAGTGAGTATTTATTTCGAAAAGTGGCGTGAGCTAGACCCTGTGTTTCGAAAGCAAACTCCTCAACTCAACATCGTTTAACTTCGGTTTCTCGTCGGGTTGGTTCGGAATCTCGCGTGCTATGATCATGCCGGTTTGTTATTCTTGCAAATAATGCACCGGCTTTTTAGAAAAAGTTTACTTTAGAAAAAAATAAATAAGTGAATAAGTGAAAAAAAAAACGAAAAAAATACAAAATTTTCTTTGATTTTTTTTACTTTTAAAAAGTTTAATTAATAGTTTTTTACTGTTGATTATTATATAAAGACTGTTGTAGTAATTATAAACAGCTGTTGTAAGTTATTTGAATATTATAAGCAAATATAATCAATGTTTTTCCACTAATAACGCCGTTTTTTCATACAATCCTTCTACACATTTTTAATTGTAATAAATTTTATACTGAAACATGTTGATTAAAATTTAATTTTTAAAAAAATATTAATAAATAATAAAATAATAAAAAAATATATAAATTAAAAATAATAAAAATAATCTTTGTTAATCACAATCAGAATAAAATTTAACTCAAAAACAAATTTTTTATAATGTGTATTTATTCCCCCACCTCGCGTGCTAGCTTGAGTTAGGTGAGTTTTTACTTCTGAGCGGCGGCTCGAACTCGCCTACCTTTTCGGAAAGCACTCCTTAACTCGAGTTAACTAAGTTTTGCTTGTGTAAAAAAACACTTATCTCAATTATTTAATATAATTTGTTTAAATAATCAATTTTTGACAACGGATTTAGAAAGAACTCTATTTATTTACCTAGAAAGTGAAGTTAGATTAAAGAATTATTTATATTATATTAGGTTTTTTAAGACAAACAGTCTTTCATCATTTTCTCGGTTTCACGAAAATATGAGTTAAGTAAGTTTTTATTTCGTACGGCAGTATATTAATCAGCAATGCATTTTCTCAAAATTTCTTGATAATCGATTGTCATTTTAAATAAACTTTCCAATAATATTGCATTACAGTTCATAGCTGCGCTTAATATTTTTGCTACTATCGTTTGGGCCTCAATATTGTACATTTGAACGAGTAGCAGTAAATTTTGAAAGGAAACATTGAGTCGATTAACAGTTTGGGTAATGCAATTTTCATCTGGCACAATATTCACTGTAGAGCAGCTTCTTCTAACATTAAGAAGATCCTCTCTTATTTTCAAACCTCTCTGCAATTAAATTTTCAAATTTTTTTAAATTAAAATCACATTTTTTATAACCATATTTCAATTGTAAAATATTTTTGTAGTTTTACGATACCTCATATGCATTTTGTATATTTTTTCGAATCTCATCACCCATTTTTATAATATCATAAACACACTTGTAAAGATCAGAATTAATTGATGGTACTTTTGCCTTCCATTCAAGTTGTCTACGAGCAATGCATTCCTTTTGATTTAAAGTTTTTGCTGCTTCGCTTAAAATCTAGTCGGGTAAATAAATTTTTTTTTAAAAAGTATTTTGTTAAATTTAATATTATTTTTCAATTTTTTTTTAATTATTACATTACTTAACGTAAGCGTTGCATTCCATGGACCAGAAAATATTATATCTGAAGTACTGTCTCTTAATGCATAAACGGATCTTATTATCGAATTAGAAAACTCGTCATGATTCTCTAATATTTTTGGTAGCTCTGCGTTTATGAGTGACAATAAATTATCAATCGGATTAGCTTTGGCCTATTAAAAAATATATTGTTACATTTTTTGTTTAATTTTAAAAACCGAAAAATGTTTCTTTCTTGTTTTTTCAATTTTAAGTAAAAAATATTTTAAATATAAAATATTAAAAATTTAACTTAAGGCAATTTGTATATTTTTGCTACTTTTGAATGTTAATTGCTATACAATATGGACTTGAAAAATAACTTACATGAAATACGCAGGTGAGCGTGAGAATAATATAGAATCTTAGCATATTTATTCAATGATCATTTACTTAACGAGTTATTTCCATTAAACTGACTCAGAACTCTTAAACGCATTCGCTTTTATGCAGTCAAGATGACCGTCGTCTTTTTTTAAAATAAAAAATACCATTTCAAAATTTTTCTTATCGTGTGTATATTTCACAAAAATTGCATCATAGAATTTTTTCATAAAATTTCTTCTTATATAATAAGCATCTTAAAGAAGTTTTGGAGAAAATATTTGCAAAGATAAAATGGAATATTTGTGGTGTTTTTGATCGAATTTCAAGGTCTAATAAATCCTCAGTATTTTTTAATTATTAATTTTGAATTAGTTTTTTTCAATAATAGATAAATATTATTTATTATTCTTCACGCAGTACATTAAATTTTTTATTTGTTGTCAAGACATTTTCTCATCATTTCTTGATAATCGATTGCGATTTTAAATACATTTTCCATTATTTTTGCATTACAGTACATAGCAACGCTAATTATTTTTGCTGTTATTGTTTGTGCCTCGATTTTGTCAATTTTCACGAGTTGTAGTAAATTTTTGAAGGAAACTTTGAGTCGGTCAATTGTTTGATTAATGCAATTCTCATCATCCTTAACATTTGTGGTTGAACAATTTTTTCTAACATTTTTTACATCCTCACTTATCTGAAAACCTTGCTACAAAGAAATTGAGAAATTTGTAATTTTTCGCCAAAATAATAACAAAAAAATAATACTTGAATGTATAATTTAAATATAGTTTTACGAAACGTATGTACCATGTATGATTTTTTCATTTTGTTTAAAATTTCGTCCCCCATTTTTACACCATCAGAAGCACAATTGTAAATTTCATTCTGAATAGATGATATTTTTGCCACCCAATCTATTTGTCTACGAAGAATACATTGCTTTTGGTAGCCTGCTTCACTTAATATCTAAAAAAGTAATTAAATAAAAATCAATTTACTAAATACCCCTAACGAAATGTGTTATTTATTAATTTTTGATTTTTTTAAATTTTATATTTATTCATTATTTGTGTTTTATTTAAAATTTTATTTTATTTTTTTTATTTTTATTCTTGTTCTATTTTTTATTTATATTATTTTATTGTTTATTTATTTTTATTAAATTTCGACTCATATTAATTTAATTCATGGTACTTTTGTTTGTTGTTTTTAATTAAATTTTATAATTTTATATTTGTGACGCGCTCAGAAGAAAGATACCTTAGAAGCAAACGAATTATAGGTTATGTTTACGATAGTTTTAACTTGATTAAACTTTTTTTTTTTTAATTTAAAAATCGCAGTTTTTATTTATTATTTTGAATATAATGATGACTTAAATATCAATAATTTATATTGAGAATTAATCCTATTTGATTATTTTCACTTAAAAATTTCAAAACATAACCTATAATTTTTTGCTTCTAATGTCCCTTTCATCAGAGCGCGTCACATTTAATTGTCAGATTACCTAAAGAGAAAATCAGTGTGATTTCGAAACGTTGGAGGAAATTTTATTAAAAATCCATTTTTATTCGAATATTATTTAAAAATCAACATCAGTTAAAAAGTGGAATTAAAAAATTGTTAATTCTTACATAACCTAAGGAAAGCGTAGCATTCCACGGGCCAGAAAAAATAATCTTTGAAGAATTGCCACTTAATGCATAAGCGGATGTTACTGTCCAATCAGAAAAATTTGCATAGTTCTCAAATAGTTTTGGTAATTCTGCATTTACGATTGACAATAAATTATCAATTGGATTAGCTTTGGCCTATTTAAAAACAAAAATTATTATTAATTTATAAATTTTTGAAAAATACGGAACTGAATATTTTTTCATTTTCAAGATAAAATATAATACTTTTTTAGTTTTTGTAAAATATAAAATCGTTAAAACAAATTTCTTAAAATAATTTTTTTTTAAATTTGACGTTAATTATTTTTTCTTTGCTAAAGAGGAAAATAATTTCCTAAAAAATTTTTTTGCTTTTTTGAACTTTGGGATAAATAGATAAAAAAAAACAAAGTGGACTTAAGGAACTCACGTCAAAGGCACAAGTGAGCGAAAGAATAATATAAAATCTTAACATATTTTTTCAATGACACGAGTTATTTTCATTAAACTGTCTTTGTATGCAAAAACGCATCCGCTTTTATGAAATCAATTCTAAATCTGAAATATTTGCAATTTTAATTGTTTGGAAAAAAAATTTTGATACACATTGATTTTTGTTTCCACTTAAATCAAAAAGTAATTTATGTCAATTATTTTCTTTGGAAATTTTTTTCACCTTTACGACATTGTAATTTAGAATTTTTTTTTTTTTTATTATAGGCAATGATTTATTATTTGATTGTAACTTCTCGAGTAATTCTTATCAGATAAAGGAACGAATTATGTATCTTAATAAAGTTGACAATATTGTCCTCATTTGAACATCTTTCTTAAAATTCATAAATAACTCACTTTCTTCAAAAACATTCTTTCGTTGAATCATTAATTTTTTTTTTCAAACCTTTTCTTTCAAATATTAGTACAATATTCAAATCGGTTAATAATTATAATTTATTTACGATAAAATACATATTTTACAAATTACAAATTTTAACATTATTGCATTAATTTTAAAATTAAAGAAATAGAAAATTGTACAAAATAGAAAAACTTTTAAAACTATATACAAAATATATATATACGAAACTTTTAAAAAATGAAAATAAGTGAACAATTTCCTAGTAAATTAATAAATATTTATTTAAAAAAATATGGAAGGAATAAATCTAAAAAATATATTAATTACTTTATGTAAATAATTATGAGAATACTTTTTCGGTGCTGTGGTGAATGAAATTTCTTTTAAACCGGTGCAATGTGATTTAAAAGAACGCTTATAATTTTAAATTTCCCATTAAAACAAGCTCTTTGTAAAGCTGTTTTTTTATTCGAATCAACCAACTCGCTATCGGCGCCATGAGCGAGAAGAAATTCGACAGTTTTCGTGCGATCATCGCCCAAAATAATTTTCTCATTTGAAGAGAAAAATTTCTTTTTCAGTAAATAATCATTCTCCATATTGCCATTTATTTCACCGCAAGCAAAATGAAGGGGAGTTCCATAATAAGACATTACATTTATATCGGCTCCCTGCTCCAAAAGCATTTCCAACATTTTCACATTTCCTGCTAGTGCCGCGCAATGAATTGGCGTATAGCCTTCGATTTTCGCTAAATTATTATTATTATTATTATCATTCACCTCCTCCTCCTTCTCATCGTCGAGAGAGACAGTGCGAATATTAATATTTGCACCGCGATCAAGAAGCGCTTGCATCATTTCACAAGTGCCGTTCATGGCAACAATGTGCATCAAAGTCGTTCCTTTCGAATTGAATGCATTAACGTCTAAATTCTCCTTCAAGAGTGACACAAAACTTTCATTATCGCCGTGCTTCACGACAAAATGAAGAAGTGTCGCGTAATTTGGACTGAAAATGTCGAAATCCTTTTTGAGGTTCAAAAAGAAACTAATCAGGTCCTTGAATTTTGCGCTGCTGTTCATCAAATCTTCTTCATTTTCTTCGTTGTTGTCATTGTCGTCGTCTTTTGGAATTCTGTCCTCCTCTGACATGAATATTTCGACTGCGTTCAAAAGTCTCGATAGCAACAAATCCTCGAGTTCTTTTTTCCCTAACGATTCTCTGGTCTGAAAACAAATTTCGATAATTTTAATTAAGAATTGAATTTTTAACTAAATTAAATTAAATTTTGAAAATTACCTTTACATCTCAAATGTTTTGTAATTCTCAATATTTGGGCATATCTCTCAACTCTTTAACTTTTATGTCCCTCTGATATATTTTTTTAATTTTAAGATTTTAACTAGTTTTTGTTGGAGATATTAATTTTTAATACGAGCAATCATTTACAAAAAATTTGGTATAAATTTATTATATAAATACAGAATTTAATTTTTCATGTGTGATTTTTAACAATGTCTACTTTAGAGTGGCCCAAAAATACACGGGAAAATTAATTTTCTTAAATTTTCTTGCTCCCGCCCCCTGGAATTGTTCCAAATGGAAAAAAAGAGACCCGTATTTTTTAATTTTAAAATCGATTAATATTTAATGGTGTCTTACGTTCTTTAAAATTTCCTATAAATTTTATATATGGGAAAAAGCTGCTTTTTCGTAAAATTGCAATAATTTCGTTAAAACTTAATATTTTTAATCGGCAAACGTTATTTCTCTTCAGGAGTATTCAAACTATGAAGTTCTAATAATTAATTTAAAAAAAAATTAAATTAACTATTTTTTACAAGGCAGCAAAAAACCCCGTAAAAAACTGTAAATTGTTATATTATTTTTTTTATATTATCAATTTATGTATATTAAATATATTATTTTCTTATTTAGTCACATAAATCACAATTAATTGAACCCTTTCTAAGAATACGTAGGCTAACCTATACCAATTTACTATTTAGTTATTTCTATACATAAAATATATAAAATCAAGTTCAGAATTATTTTATTACATTAAACGGGCTTTAATTATACGTTTAATATACTTGACAATTGTGTATAACATGAACAAACTCATTAATCACTTATTTTCATGAATAAAAAATTACAATGACGCGCGCTTTCTAACCTTCAATATAAAAAGTAAGTATAAGTGTATATAAAACTTCCACAAACTTTATGATTATAAAATACGACAGAACTTAATTCGCAGTATCTAATAGAACCTTTTTATGCAGTGAATAGATATTAATATTTCTAATAAACTGAGATATTTTATGCGTATACTCAACTTAGGCTACCTCATTTCAATAATCCACTAACCTTTGAAATATAATTATAGATTTATAAATAATTACTATTTATACTTACGCGAAAAGCCTGTGCTGACATCCTTAATAATTGCTTCTATTTAATATAAACAAAGAACTAGTAAACTCTAACTTAAAATCAATTTAAAATTTAATTTATTCAACTTTCAAAAAAGAACGTTAAAATCAGTTACAATATCTAACCTAACATGAGGAAGCCACCTGTTCGGGAATTCTGTCCTTTTCTATCTTATGCTTCGTTCACAGAAATAATTTTTGCGAATTCTGCGCTGACGCCTACGGTTTACGTCTTAGGGTACGATCACAACTCAGCTACTTATTAAGGTGCTTTTATACTTCCAGTATTTTGGTCAAGCAATCTGTTAGAGCCAATTAAATTCAGTGATTCTCCGTGAAAATTCAATCCAGCCGATTGCTTGACTTCGGCAGATGCTCCGGAGTGCTCTGGAGCATTTTTTGATTGACTGGATCCAATGGAATTAATAGGTGATTGGGCCATAAAATGCTCCGGAGTATTTCTAGAGCATCTGCCGAAAACGCCTAAAAATGCACCTTTAAGTTGCTTGTAGGCGGCAGCATCCGTCATCTACATCGAAACTAAAATTTCGGAAAGTTTTTAACATAACTCAAAGGCAAGATATACTTAGGTTCCAAAATTGCATTTGAGCGAGTATTAAAAAAAATTTGATTTCATCCATCTTGAATTTTCCCCCCACTCAACTTTAATAAACCTAAAGGTGCTTTTATACCTCCAGTATTTTGGTCAAACAATCGGCTGAATTGAATTTTCACGGAGAATCACTGAATTTGATTGGCTCTACAACAATATTAAATTCTCACGGTGGAAAAAGAATATTTGTCAATCAAATTTAGTGATACAACCGTGAAAATTCAATCCAGCCGATTGCTTGATCAAAATACTGGAGGTATAAAAGCACCTTAATGAAAATAAAGGCATGAGTTTGATAAAGACAGAGACTACTATCTCTATCTTTGTCTTTCTCATGCAAATTTTCCCGCCAAGTCGGAGCGATTCATTGAGTGTAGAATCAGCCTAATACAATTGAATCGTGAAAACTTTTTCGGTAAGCTCTTCCAAAATTCTAGATTAGATTTCTTTATTTTGTTCCAGGAAAACATGAGAACAACCATAAAAATAGATTAAATTTAAAAATATACAAATTCATTTTACAATTTAATTAAGAGTTCTTTCACAGTAATTAAATTGAAATATAAAATATAATCAAAACAATAACAAAATAACCATAAAAATATGCCTATAAAAAAAGACTATTACTCCAGACGATACAATAATTTAATTTAATCTGTAAGTATTAATTAAAATATTATGCATTACATATTCATCTGTAGCTCGTATGCATGTTGCTGTCGCCAAATAAAATTTGGAGGGTAAAAAACTTATGAAATAAGGAACATTTTAGGGTAGTTTGGAAAAATTTTTTTTTAGCTTTTGAGCAAAAGTACATTTTTGAAAATCAAAAATTGATCAAAAAATGATTTTTCAATATCATTTGAAATTTTAGGAAATTCTCTACAAAAAACGTTAGTAAAATTTTTAAATCATTATTAATCCAAGTAAAAGTTATTGACATTTAAAAATTATAGTGTAAAAAAATTGAGCAATGATAGTACATATTTTTTCTCTCAAAATCGAAGAAATTACATTTGGCATATTTTAATATAGTACATTGTGCAACGAGTGCGGAAAATGCTACTTTCCGCTCGAGTTGCACACTGTGCTTTGTGCAACATCTACAAGAAAAAATCTATTTTATATGCTGTTTTAAAAAATAGATTTAAGGTTATGTTACCTAATATGCCTGAAAGTGTGCAGAAAAATGTACTTTGCTGCACACTTTATCAGAATATAGAAATTAAAAACTTTGTGGTGCATTTACGTTAAAGTAAAGTTCTTGTTCGCACAAAATAAATTTTAATTTAAACGATGACACTGCTCATTCTTTTGAAGGAAGAAAAGAAAAATTCAATTACGATTTTAGCAAATTGCAATTTTATTTGGAAATTTCTATAGCAACAAATAGATTTTCACGTTAAAATTTTCTTTCGTTTTTTTTTTTAACATTTCAGTTTAATACAAAGCTTACTCCTTTTTAGTTCCAGTATACATGATATAGAGTTATTGGAATGTTAAAAATACATTCTTTTTCCACTGACAATAAGAAACATAAATTTTCGACTAGCTCCTAATTATAAACATTATAAATAATAATTGAATAATATAAATGGACGTCCACATAAAAAAGTTCTACTTTGTCGATTTTATTATTAATTTTCGTATATGTTTTTTTTTTCATATGTGGACGTCAACGCATATAAATTAATAAGATTTTCTAACCACAAAAATTTTTCACTGGAATGAAGAAATTTCTTTCGATAATACTGGATTTATTCTTTACTTAGAACGATTATATCAAATTTTTTTAAATAAAATTTTCTAAAAGTCTTTTGTAATATGAGAAAATTTATTTCACATTTTGTGCATTTTTAAAAAAATTATACTTATCGCACATTGTTTTCTAAAATTTTTGTGCGATTCTCAGATTTCTAAAAACATGTTCTTTTAATATTTATATTCAATTGAAATGATTCTAGGACTAAAAAAATAATTTTTGTCATTGCAAACTAATTTACTATTGATAAATAATAAAATTTAGCAGTAATGGGATATTAGTTAACGACAATAAATCAGTTTTAAAAAAAAAGTAAAACTGTTTCGTATGGTTTTGGTTACATTTTAGTAATTCTATAACTGTCTGAAATTTTTAAAAATTTCCATCATAGATTTATTTTTCAACTTTATAAGAATGTACCAACTTAATTTTTAATAATGAAACATTATTGATAATGTAGATATTTACAATTGTCGAAAAAATTATATATCCCATCACTATTATGAATATATCTTCAGTTCTTCATTATTGATTTTAATTTTTTCAAAATTTTTAAGTGTGCAAATTTTTATTGAAACAACTTTTTAGTATCTGGAAAATTGACAAATTTGTGCATTTTACAAAAACTTTAATTTTCTCTCATTTTCTAAACTAATTTAGTTTCATTCTTTTTTTGTACGTGGAAAACAAAAAGAATTTTAGCAAATTTCATATTATAACTAAATATTTGCACACTTTTTATAAATGTTTCACGCCATTCACACTATAAGAAAACTTAAAAGGTGCAACATTCACTCTCTTATTTAAGTACGTAAAACACCCTTTGCTAAAACTTGACATTTTTTTTTTTTTTTTGAAAATCTTTCTAAAGATAATCGTTTTGCATATACTTTCATTTTACTATCACTTGTGGAAATCGTCATCTCCACTTTATCTTACTCGCTACTTTAATTATTCGGAATGTACTGCGTGTATGTGAAATATTATAAAAAAAAGGAATGATTTTCTTCGTAAACCAATTGCACGAATCTTATTAATAAAATTGGGAAAGATTTTGTTTGAATTTTAGGATATTCATGTTTGTCGTTATAGATAACTCATATCGAGAGCTTTGTAAAGCATATGTAAATCCTTGTGACTTTGTATTCTCCAAAATGGAAAATTGTAAGCTCGCGCTGCAGTCTCATCATCAGGACTGTCGCCAATCACAACGTACGTGCATCTGCGACCAAATCTTGCTATTACTCTTCCAAAACATGATTCCTTCCCTGAAAAAAGAATTGTAATAATGTGATAAAACGGAAATTATTCCTTACAATTTGGAAAAATTTCCGAAAATAATTTAATTGTTAACCAATATTCGAAGGAATTATTTACTCAAAAAAAAAAGGAAAAACTATTCATTAGAAAACTCAATCGTAATGTGCAAAATAAATACAGTTTCAAAATGAAACAAAATTTGTTAACAAAAATATTTAATTAGTCCAAAAAATTTAGTTTGAAGATTAAACTTCTAAATATCTCAAAATTCGCATCCGATATTTTTCCACTGGGAAGTTTTTTTCTAATAATTTTGGATATTCCGAACAGAAGTAGAAAATAATTCCGTCTAATTCAGTTCTATTTTAGATTGAATTAAAAAATTAACCAATCACAATAATACAGGATAATTTTTAATTGGTCAATTTTTGAAATTCGCACTAAAATAGATCCGTTAAATGACAATTCTGTTACATATCAGATCAGTTACAGTGGAATATTCCCCAATAGATTTAAGATTCGATTGATAAAACGTCTTACCGGTTTTGCTTGCACAGTAGATATTTTCAATGGGAAAAATTCCTCCAATTCCAAAGAGTAAAACTTTTGCGAGTGCTGGTATCAATTGTGTCGAAGTGACAAGAATATTAACATGCTGATGTCTTTTGTTAATGAGAGTGAGACATTTAATGGCCATTGTTAACCAATTGTCAGTTAGCGCTTCAATGTCAGAACGCACTTGTAACCATTGTTCGCGTTTCTCAGATCCTAGAAGACCACCAACATTGTTTCTATAATTACAATAAATTTCTTTGATTTTTCTATAACGAAACGCCAATTTTCGCATCCAATCCACTCCACCTCGAACAGTTGATCCAACGCAAAGACCATTATTTCCTTGGGAACATTGAAAACCATCGGTTGCAAAATTGTAAGATGCAAGATCTTGTCCATTATCATCCGTTGAAACGTCGTCTATATGGGCTTGATCACAATCCTTTAAAGTTGTTATTATAAATTATTCGGACGTAATGAATGGAAAATGAAAACTAATCATAAGTTATTTACTAATAAGAAAATATGAACAAAGTGTACAATGTAGAATAACATTTTTTGATAAAATTGATAACTCACCTCAAGATCGTTGAAGAACAAGTGAGTATCTGCGAGGTTAAAGATCATTTCCTCCATACTGAAGGCCACCTGTAGAAGAAGATTAGGGTCCTTACCATGATTGGTAGCGTATATGCCTGTAAGAAGGGTGTGGAATACAACTATGGTTTCGTCCAGGTCCCAAATGAATATTCGACTTGGTCCGGCTTCCGTAGTTTCCACCGAACCACTTCCACTTTGCCGCCTTCCTGGTCGCCTTATTGGCTTCGCTGACACTAAAATGGGATAATTATTATTGATTTTTGCTCATTTTCTTGTAAATTGAAAGTAGAAACTCAATATAATTTGGTTTCACTGTTTAAGATAATCGAAAGTCTGCAGAAAAAAAAGAGTCAGTTCTGACATAGGGGCTGATAGCAAAATACGAATTACTTTTAATTGGGAGCAAAAACGGGTTATATCATTAACTAAAATTATGTTATTTAAAGGGAAACCATTCCCATTCGTATCAGTATTATTCAGAATTAAGCAGTTACAAAAGTTAAGAATATTATTAATTCAGAATTAGGCAGTTAAAAAAAAGTTACGAGTATTATTCGGTAATTAAAAAATATATATCAGTAAAGAGTTTCGTAATTAGTAATCAACGCAGTTAAAAAAGTATAAACAGTTCATCAATATTCAGCATCATCTATTTGTAAACAGTGAAACTAGTCCCTTACGAAATCTCCAAAAACTATACTAGGATCATAAATCCAGACTTAAATTATATACATTGAGATCCACGACCACATCAATTAGGCAAAGAATTACCAAATTTAATTACAAAGGATTATTTGATTAAATTCATTTTTCACATATTAACAATTATTGAAAATATAATATATTTAATTTATTTAATAAATAACAAATTACTTATTCACTTAATATTACCACTTAGTTTTCATTATAGTAAAATTGAGGGTTCGATTAGGGGAATATTATTAAAATTATTAAAATAAATATATGTGATGTTGTAAGCAATTTTTTCAAATGTCCCAAGATTTTTTTTTATCAGGCAATGATGCTTGTGATAAAATTATCGACCACTCGACTCATATTACCTTCAACGTTCGTGGTTTCCCGTGCGGTCAAGTCGCTGGCATCGTGAGAGGTCGCATCCAACGTGAGTGCCGATTTAGTTGAATCTTTTATATCAAAGAAAAAATAGTTTTTAATTTAATTATATAACTTTTTCTATGAGTGCGGTTATATTCGTATAGTAATTGAACAAAAATATAGGCAAAATAAAGTAAAATTATTTGCATTTTCAATCAGTGGATTAAATTTTACCTGCAAAATTTAGGTTGCCAATGTTAAAGGAAGTGGGTGCAGGATGATATCCAGCCATTGGATAATATCCGGAATATTGCAACGATACCCTGTCGTTTCCATAAATTGGACTGCTATATGCTGTATAATCGAGCTTCTAAATGAAAAAAAGGTTTTATAATTGATAACTAAAGGAATTAAAAATTTAAAACCCATTTTTAGAATTACCTGTGAGGCAGATGATATATTTTGACTCATTGGTGGAAACGTGGTTGTTCCACTATTATAACCGTAGGCCGAATATTGAGCCATCGAGCTTGGATTTGTATAGGAATTTAAATATGGACTTGGCAAAGCCGATGAATTTTTTGAAACTGTCGTCGTTCCATACGATGGCGAATTGTATATGCTGAGAAAAAACAATATCTATAATGTATTAATTTTATACAATTTGAAAATTACAATATCAAAGTAACGGAATACAGAAAACTAAAAAAAATAATTGATGACATCTGAAATGATTTCTATACCAATTGTTCCAATTTTTTGAAAAAAAAGTCAATAGTTTTGGGTAAAATATAATAATTTATTGGGAAAACTCCATTTTTTAATGAATTGGTGAAATTTTTATTTTACCTATTGTAGTATTGATTGGCACCATACAATGAGCCATAATCGGCCTTTTCCATGGAGTCAGGAAATTCTTGGTCCTTTTCTTCGGCATTTTCATCGATATACAGTTCACCACTGGGGACATTTTCGCTCTCTGGGCACTCTTGGACCTCATTTTTAACCTCCGTTTCTTTACAAAAATTTAGACCAAAATTATCTTCAACTACACTAAGAGAAATATGCTATTGAATAAATAGCATTTTTTCCAAAGGTATAAAAATTATTGATTCAAAAGCATGTGCTATAGAATCTATAAAATATTTTACAAATTTTATAGCATATGCTTTAGAATCAATAATTTTTATACCTTTGGCAAAAATGCTGTTGATTTAATAGCATATTTTTCTCAGTGTATATATACCTATTAAAAACAATATAGGGAATGTAGTCTTGAGTGGACCACGTTTTGTTTATGGATAGGTATAGTGAGAAAAGCTATATACAAATTATATGTATTTAGAATTTTTTTTTTACTGTCATAGAAAAATTTTCTGGACGTTTTTTAAAAAGTGTTTTTTTCCGACTATTTTTTTGTTGTAGTCATGAGTGGACCACACTGGAAAAATCATCTTAAAACTTCTCAAAATTCATTAAAATATTTAAATATTTATTAATTACCTACTTTAAAATTAAATTTTTTTCTCTAGTGTGGAAAACTGTAATAAATTTCATTTTAAAAGTGCAGTCTAAAAAATTAATGATAATGAAAAATTATTTTAATTAAAATAGAAGATTGCTATGTTTCTTTTTGTAAAAGGTTTTCGAAGGGTTTGATTGACAAGGAATGATGCAGTAGTGTTTGGAATTTTATCTACCATTGTTTGCAGAACGAGGGTTCTGTATTGAGACCTCTGTCGACGAAGACACGTTGCCAGCATTGTCTAAAATCCCTGCCGGTTTGGTCGGGTCATTGTCTTCGGTTAACATATCACTCACTCAGTCTGGAAAAAATTTTTCTTTTTAATATTATAATGCAAATTTTAACTTTTTTCTTTAAACAAATAATTTACTTCTGAAATACAATAAAGTAAACAATATGGCAAAAATAAATAGGCTATTAATTACTTTATTACTATAAGTTAATTAAGTATATCCATCAAAAAGCATCAATTAATTGTTTATCAACCATCCCTTAGGTACATTTTAATATCTAGGTACATTTTAACAGTATCGAAAATTAATCCACTAGTTTCAACTGTCTCTCTTATACATTAAAAAGTGACGTTATTTTATACAGTCTGTCAGTTAAGAAATAAGCAACAATAAGTACACAAGTTCCTTCTTTTAACACTTAAAAGTTACATAGAATTATGTTATAAAAAGTTAAAAATTTCAACATATGTATATACCTCGCTCTTTAGATTTGCAAAGTCATTAAAATTTTTGCATTTAAGGGGACATTCATTTTTTCATGGGGGGATCGATTCCGAGATTTCTACAACAGATAGAGACATAAAATAAAAAGCATTTTCTTCGTTAGATATTTTTCTATGGATGGAACTTCAAAAACTGGAAAATTTCTTTTTCCCTTTTTTTATAACAGAAATTCTGAATAAAAACATGTGTTTTTTTTAAGTTTTAAGAAAAACTTACCATAAAAAAAGGAAGGAGGACGAAAATTCCACTTTTTTGAGGTTCCATTTATAGAGAAATATCTAACGAAGAAAATGCTTTTTATTTTATGTCTCTATCTGTAGTAGAAATCTCGGAATCGATCCCCCCAATGAAAAAATGAATATTTTTTGAAAATGTTGTACATCGCTGCCATTTGGGACTACAAGTGAAAAAAAATAATTTTTTCATATTCTTGAATAAGTTATTTATAACATGTAAACAAAAATTTCTAAATAAATGTCATGGTTTTTTTAGAAATACATCCTAAAAAAGCCTTCTTTTTCCCCATTTTTAAATATAAATTAATTTTATTAGTTGTCACGTAATAATAGAATTAAATGACGAATACATGAGTTTAAATGAATGTCTGAAGATAATTTTTAGAGCAATTAGAGAGTAATACCGCTTCCGGAAAATAAAATTATTTAATTTTTCCCTTAGTTTCGATTCTGTACCACAACAGCAAAGAAGTATTTTAAGAGGAAATAATGAATCGGAACTAAAAATTCAAATCTAAAACAATCAAAAATGAAAGAAACAATATTCTAACCTGAATAAAATCATCTTATTAAAAAAGAGTAAAAATATATGAAAAATATATTAAACTCAAAATATAATTAATTTTCAACTATAAAATCTGATTCTAAATGTTAATCTTAATTTATATACAAGTTTTTATTGATGTGCTACTAAATTTTTTTCTCTTCATTTTTCGAAGTCAAAAGTTAGTTCAAGAATGAAGTCATGAGAAATTGGCATCTTTTTGATATATTTTTTTTTTTGAAGGATCTTTTGCGCGCGATCTTAGATGTTTTTGGCGTAGGCTCATAAATTATTAGCTGCCAATTGAACGTCGAAGAGGTGGAGTATTAAAATGGAGATGGGTAGGCGTCCACTTCAATTCTGAGTAAACGGCCAATAGAATTCCTTTCACAAGTTTAACATTATGTTTTCTTTATGTTGCCAAGTCACTATCTATTCGTGCTCCGCCCTTATGCCTTCCCTTTACTCCAGTTATTGCACTTTTGGTACTCAGGAGCGTATTAAAATCACAACATCGAACAAGTGTGCAATACTTCAAATTTGTAACCAAAAGAAGAATATATATTGATAAAAAGGTAATAAAAATTTTTTTTTTTTTGGAAAATTTTGACTACTAAAAACAACATTTTCCTCTCGTTTAGCAAAAGTATCAAATTAATCACCAGGTTAATTTTAAACCTCAACTTCGAAGAAGTTTGACTTTTAAAAAATAATTTTTATTTATACCAAATCATATATATAGTTATCAGACTATTTTTTATTTTGAAAAATAAAGAACACAAAAAAAAAATTTTATAAACTAAAAGAATCAGGTCCACTCTAAAGCTTTTTAAATATTCTTAGTATTTCCAGGTATATGTAAAAATAAAAAAAAAAGTAAAACAAATCATGCTAAAAGCTCGGCCCAAAGTTAAAAAATGTATTTGTTTATAAAAATCGTTATCTCTGAAATACACTTCAAAGTATTTTAATGATATTTAATTAAATTGACTTCTTCACAGTCTAGTGCAAAAATCGTTTGTGGGATAAAACGGTCCAAAATAAATATTTATTTGATTTTACGAAATTTTTTATTTGAATCAAAGAAATCAATTTAAATTTCTTTAAATGAAAAATATATTTATTTCATTTTAAAATTGAATATACGTTCACATTTTGATTAAATTAAAAAAAATTTTCTTTGACCCTATATAATATATACAAATTTCTTTCAAAGAGTCTTCTTTTCTGTCGAGTTTTCTGTATGTACATTTTCTTCATAATAAAAGTTTGAATTTGGAGGAAATTGCACACTTTTATTTTTTTTTGCAAAATAACATTTGCAATATATTTATTTACCATTACTAAATAAGTTTTTTTCTTTGAAGTTAAAAATTTCTAATTCAATATTTAATTATATTGCATATAAACAGTACGCGTCTGCTCTTATAATCTGCGTTTATTATATTTATAGCGATTATAGATTGTACGTTTGATATTTTAAAGATATTTTTTCTTTGACCACATGCAGATAACATAAATTTGACAAGCAATGGCTGATGTTCTATATATATACGTATATATATACTCTAAATAAAATGTGCACAGATTCTTTTATCAAATTGAAACTGCTTGACTTGCATTTTATATTATGATGAAAATTATTCTTTAATGTTGTTTAAATTCTTTTCCAGGCTAAAAAAAATTTTTATATTCTTTGACGATAATAAAATAATAATATTATTATTTCTATTATAAAATTATTATTATTATTATTATTATTACTATTAAGTATTAACAATAAAAAATTCAAATCTATTTTAAAACCAAATTATATATAAAAATTGTTTCACAAATATATAGTTTCTAAAAATTTGTAAAAGAACGACTCATTTTCAGATAATAAATTGGCACTGTTTGCGACCGAAACGTCTGCAATCATTACACTGAAAAAAATTTTAGCTGAGATCTTCAACTACCGTTTGATAGTTGACTGGAAAAGTAGTTAAATTTTAAAAAATTTTATTGAGTCAACAATTAGTAGTTGCATTTTACCAAAAAATGTAGTTAAATCAACTTCAAAAACTGAAATGAATTATACCAAATTTTTATACAAACAACAATATTCTTAGTTCTTTTAAATACTTTCTCATATTTAATATACTTTTTACAACTTTTTTAAATTTAGTTGAGGACCTTTTGTACTAGGCAGAGTAGTTAAAAAATTAGTCAAATCTACTAGTTTTTTTCTCAGTGTGCAAACAATTTGTACTGATTATCATTTGAATCATGCAATTAAAACATTATAATTTTAATATAATTTTATTTTTAATCGACATAACTCAGATAATAAATTTATTAATTTTATTAACGTCCTCTTAATTTGTTATAATTAAAAACATATTTTCAACTACCAAAGATAATGTGATTTTTTTAAAAATAAAAAAATAAAAATTCAACGTTTCGGAGGCTATTGCTATTATTATTATTATTATTTAAACTGAAATAAATAAAATACGAATTAATATTAACCTATATATGTAATTGTATATTATATATATGTACCTATAAATAATATGATGTTTGGAATAGTAATGAAAATTTTAATGCTTCCCGGTGCACAAAAAAAAAATTTAGAGGTGAATTGAATGTAATATAAATAGTTGACGACCAATTAAAATTCATTACATTTAACGAGTCAAATTAGATGCATACGCTTGTTTCTGCCAGTACTTTTAATATAATATTTCGCACACGCATATATAAAACCGTACATCGAAAATTAATTACATATTCAATTTTCGATCAATTTCATAAATTATATTCATTAAGTCCTTTTGATTACTAAAGGTATTATTTAATATTGTAAAGAAACAAAAATTATTTATTATTATTATTATACAGAATGATTTGTTCCGGACCTCATAAAATTTTTTTTCAATCTCATTTTTTCGTTTTTTAAACATCGTAATTTTGAATTTTTAATAAATTTTTTTCCGTCATATTGCATCCGCCATTTTTAATTATTTAAAAATGACATCAAATTCGTAATCAGCGACTCCGAAAACCCCCGAATGACAAGTTTCAAAAGAATCCAACAAATTTTAACAAATGTCCGCCATATTGGATCCGCCATTTTGGATTTTCACCAGTGTTTTGGAATTTTGTAACTTTAAAATATAAATCCCATTTTGTTTGATTTTAAGCCATTTTTTTGAATATTTAAAAGTTTAATTTAAACTTTTAATTCTTACACTCGTAATTTTATTTTATTTTGAACAAAAAAAAAATAAAATAAATAAGAAAAAAAGACAAAAGTTTAACAAAAGAGCAAGGACGAATGAAATTTCTAAAATATTCTAAATAAATATCATTTTTCTGAAATATGACATAGAGGAAACTTTCACTTCAGGAAACAGTTTATGCATATGGACCAAATATGACTTTTCTGTGTGTTTTGGGCCCTAAAATACCCTTCTCTCATATCTCCCCAAGGCCAGAGTTAGAGGGTTCAGAAAACAAAAAGCATTCCAAACAAAAGGCACATTTTTTTCTACATTTCTCCATGTCTTTTTCCAGCCCATTTCATTCATAACCGTTAAATATGTATATAGTACAACATTAACATTTTTACTATACATATAGTAATTATTTTTGTAAAATAAAAATAATAAAAAAAATTTTTTTTTAAATTTTTTCATCCTTTTTAAGTCAGTTTCTATGTAAATATAAATAATAATTAAAAAACATTAAAAAATTTAAAGAGCTAATAATTGTTAGTAACAATAATATAAACAAAATTCTAATACTATTAATAAAAATCATTTAATAATAAAATAATAATTATATTATGATAGTATTAACAATAATTATATTTTTTTTTATAATTACTATCTAATATTGTAGAATTGCGATTTTTATTAAATATTTTAAAAATTAATTTATATCAATTCGAATTAATTATTTAATTACTGCACTGAAAAAAATTCATTTTATTTAAATAATCGGTCACTTGACTATTATCAAATAAATATTTACTTGAACCAAATTTTTATTCGAACACGGAAAAAAATATTTACCTGGAACAGCGAAACGTTTCATTATAGTAGCAAAAGTTTTACTTGTTTCAGTTAAATCTTTTCCTATTCTAGTGAAACTTTTCGCTGTTTCAGGTAAATATTATTTCCGCGAATTAAATAAAGTGTGTTTGAATTTCTCTATAACAAATACAATTCAATTGACTCAAATAATAATTATTTGATGCAAATAAATATTTATTTGATAATATAGTCAAGTAACCGATTATTTGAATCAAATAATTTTTGTTTTCAGTGATGACAAATTAAAGTGAAATTTTATTGAGCGCGTATTGTGTCGAGAGAACGATTGAAGATTGAAAAAGCTAAGAAATGTTTTGCTCTCTGAAAATCGCATATTAAAAAAATTTTAAATTAAAGAAAAAAGAAATTTAAAATTGAAATAAAGAAACTGTTATTTTTTTCCTTCGGAAGACAAATAAAAAACAAACCTTTATTCAGCGATAGTTTCCGACGGAGCGATATCAAATCCAGTGGCGTAGTCTTAACAAAAACTCCTCAACCCCACCTTCAGACGACACCTGTACATCATCCCTTAAGGGGCTCGCCTCTTATCACCACTAAAAAAAAACTTATTCCATTACTATTTGCGTTTTTGACACCATTAAATATCACTTGCCAAGTCACTTCTTGCAACTTGATTCAAACCACTTGAATTGCAAAAATTCAAAACTCATAATTTTCCCCTCCTTCCGACACAAATTAAATCACGAGGTGAGAAGGACACGTTTTTTCTCCTTCAAGGTTACATATATATGTATGCAAAACTGTTGCTTTCTGAGATAAAATTTGCTCGTCAATGATTACCGGAGGTTGTCGAAAGGATGAGGGTTGCGACCCTTCCCCGTGACGATCACTAGAATTTCTTCAATTTGTACTCCCTTTCATTCGTTCTGCAGATAAAAAAAAATCCGAACAGTTCATTTTTTTCGGTTTTTCTTTTCTCTCGATATAAAAAATACTATATAGAGTTTGAGGACAGTTTTATAAAACGTGTGTTTCGTTGATTCGGATCGGCAGGCTACGTGATGCTGCAGCCTGTTTGGAGTTCTGAGCATGCGAAATGTCGCCGCCACCCCCGCCCTGAGATCACGTGGTTAGCACGGCTCTCCCACTCACTTTGGCGTCGAGCTTAATAGAGAGAGACTCGAGCAGGAAGACAAATATTCGCTCTCGTTGGAGTGAGCGTGACGGTGAATGCAACAGGGATGGAAAACTTATGGGTTCAGTGCCCCCCCCTTTTTTTAAAGGGGGGGAGAATTAGAAAAATTAGGTATAGAAAGCATTTAGGATTTTGATTATTTTTTATCCATTCATAAATTTGGTATAACATTCATACCCAGAGAAATGTTTATTATTTGAACCAAATATAATATATTTGAGTTAAATAAACGTATATTTGTCTCACAATCTACTAGTCCATTCATTTAGCGTAAATAAAATTTTTTATTTAAATCAAATAAATATTTATTAGGCTATGAGACAAATATACCATTTTTCTTGGAGTGACGAATAAACTATTCGTTTTTTAGTAAATGCCTCGAATTATACGACTTTTTTCAACTTATTTTAATAAGATGCGACTTTTTTTACATTTTTTTTTACAAAATTTTTAAACAGAATACGTCTTCTTTAGTATAAACTGCAGATATTCTTAAGATCTTCTTTATTTCAATTATTTAATAAATTTTTAACTAAAATACATCTCTAAATTAATTATTTTCAATAATTTTTAATTAAATTCTTCACAAATTCAATTACCTATCTTAAATTGAAGTAACAGAAATCACCAAAAATTTCAATTAAAAATCACTTGAAGTTCAATTAAGGGGAAGGATCGCTTAAATTTCAACTCATCGAAATTAATGTTGTTAAGAGGTGTCAATTTTTTTCTGGCATTATTTGGAATCTAAAATATTATTGTGAATTAGGTATAAAAATTTAAAAAAAAATTTTTTTTGACCCTTTTAGAAATTTTATATTTTAATATTAAAATTTTTAAAAATCCATACGATTGATTGTTAAAAATCATGAAAAAAGTGTACAAAAAAATCTGCAATGTAAAATAATAAAAATTGCGGCAGAAGTATAAATTTTTAGTTTTTAATATTTTTGAGTTTTATTTAAATAATTATTAATGAATTAATTGTTTTTCAATTTCCCATAGTATATATTACAGTTTTAAATATACTCAATATTATCAGAAAAAAAAATTGACAACCTTAATAATTTTAAATGATTTTAAACTACTTGACCAATTTTTCGACTTTTTTAGACCCCCCTCTTTGTGCCCAACCATGGATTTTGTCACACCTCCCCTCCCCCTAATAAAGTAACATTACCTTCAACTAAAACCTAAAATAAAATTGTTATCAAATAATTTTATTTAGAATTCTATTCTTTCTACGCATGAGAACAATTTCATTAAAACCTAAGTGAAAATGTTGTTTTTTAACTTTATTAAATATAGAATTTTCATATCTTCTAATACTATATGATAAGTAAACATTTTAAAAATCTGAAACATAATTACTTATGTATTTTTTAAAAAATACATTATTTGTCGCGTTACTAAAAAAGGGACCTTAAAAGCAAAAAATTTTAGGTTATGTTTGCAATTTTTGAATCAAAATACACAAAGGATTTAACTCTCAGTTAAAACCATTGATGTTTAAGTCTTTATTATATTCAAAAGATTCAATAAAAAATTGCTTTTTCTATGTTATTTAATTAAAAAGATACTTTTAAACAAGGTTTTAACACAAACATAACCTTCAAATGTTTTAAGCATTTTTATTTGATTTGCTTCTATATAATAAGTTCAATCTTTTAACATGTTTTTATATATCTACAATCAAAAAATTAAGTTATATTCTTAAATAATATTAATATTTTCATAGAGAGCGAACTTTAAAATTATTGTACTGAAATTTGGCTACTACCGCATATATAGTTCGAAAACCGATTGACCGATTTCAAAAATTCTCTTGTTGCATTTTCTTCCATGGAATTTTTTCAGCGGATAAAACGTCTAATATTCATTTTTATGCTTTCTGTGAATAATTTAATCTCAAAAAATGATGTTTTTTATTTTCAAAAGCATGTTATTATTCAAATTTTGATAGTTTTGAGTAATTTCGAGGTTTATCCGCTAAAAAAAATTCCACTGAAGAAAATGCAACAAAAATTTTTGAAATCGTATCCAAAATCAGTTTTCGAGTTATGGTGCGGCAGCCAAAATTTTAAGATACCTATACAATTTTAAAGTTTAGATAAAGCTCCCTTTATAGAAAGAAAATATTAATATTTTTTAAGATCATGACTTAATTTTTTGATTGTCCTAAATATACATAACAACATGTTAAAAGATTTAAATTATTATCACTAAAAAACCGACTTTAGGATATATACTAAATTGTCATTTGGTTTTTAATATAAAATCAGTACTATTTTAGTACTTTCTTTTTACAGTGATATTTTGAAACTTTTGAGAAAAAAATCTTAAAAAACCTTAAGGCTTAAAAAATGTACAAGACCTCTTAATCTCCATTTCAAAAACTGTCATTTTTCACTAAATCAACGATTGTGAGAGTTCTATATGAGATAAGAACTTAAAATTTTTGTTGGCTAAGTATTTTTAGAGGTAAAAAAACTACTAAAAAAAATTTTGAACCAAATTGTTGTACTGCTGCCAACAAATTTGAGTTATAGATGTGGAATCCCTCTGATGATGTAAGTACCTATAAATGTCTAAATGAAGTAGAAGTGAGAGATTGTTGGATGAGAGTGGATATTGCGGCGATGGGGTGTTTTTCACGTGAGCAAAGAGAACTGGAGAGTGAAAGGGGTGAAAAAGATTTCAGATAAATGCAATGATATAGGGACACAATATACAAAAGGATGCAAGTCAGAGCACTAGCAACGCAAAGATATAAAAACTACATTGAGAATCGAATTTCATATTTTTTGCAAAATGTTTAATTTAAAAGGATGTAAATTTAATATTTGTATACAGATTATATTAGAAAATTGTACTAAATTAATAGTAAATTAGGACTTTATTTTGTGACCTAAATAAAATGCACCCAGAGAAAAAATTTCTTTGATTTAAAGAAACCAGTTTCTTTGATTTGTTTTTTTTCATTCAAAATAAAATTTTCTTTGAATGAAAGAAATTTGTGCAATGAATTGAAGAAATTCTAACATTGATATAGGGTCAAAGAAACATTTATTTAAATTAAATAACAAATTTCTTTGAAACGAAGATAATTCTTTTTGAATCAAAGATAATTTGTTTGAAACAAATAAATTTTCTTTGAATCAAAGAAAAATTTGTCAATGAAAATGATTTTTTTGATTCAAAGAAATCTTTTCTCTCGGTGTGAATATGTGATTTTTAAGGTCCGTCAAATAAAAAACTTTTGTAATCAATTTCAATTTTAAAAAAATAATTTTTCGATATTATACAATATTAGCAGTACCTATGCATTTAAAATAATTGAAATAATATACAAAACGAGAAATAATTTTTCCTATAATAAATATTTTTGAAATTTTTGTTATATACACGCATCGACATATATATAATATTTGTACATTCTCAAAAAGATGATGATGTTCATTCTATCGTGAAATGGCAGCGACCCTGACATATTAAGTTCGCTTAAGCGACCCTTGAGTTATTATGTAAAAGAACTAATCTCTATTGTGTTGGTCTATATGAAGAGCCCTCGATCTAGATTATTCTTTGTACCACACTAATTCCTCATTGGGTCCTGTGTGTTATGTGCTTGTCCGTCTGAGAAAATGCATCCTCAAATTTTTTCCACAGCCTGTGAAAAAAGACTACCGCTTCTTCTCATATTATATTTGATCCTTTGCTTCTGAATTTTTGGTTTCAATGTAATAAAAAATAGAAATATATATAGAATACGAATTTAATTTTTTTTAACACACTTGGATAAATTTTATTGGGCGCATGAATATCCCATATAAAAATCATTAGCTAGAATTTTCATTTGTATGAATTTCATTCAACAGAATTTTAGTGATTCGAATTGTTTAAGGTCAGAATTTTTAAGTTATCGAATCTTCATGTGTTCGAATTTTTATTTACACGAATGGTTATTAAATAGAATTCCTAAAACAGCGAATTTGATAGAAATTGCAAATAGCCGAGAACAAACAACCGTCAGAAAGATATCAGCAGAAATTTTAAAATAGACCAATCAGGAATTACTAAGAAAATTCTGATTAGTCTATTTTAAAAATTGTGCCAAATCTTTCTGACTTTTGTTTGTTCGGCCATTTGTAATTTCTCTCAAATGCCCTGTTTCAGGAATTCTATCAAATAACAATTCGTGTAAATAAAAATTCGGACACATATGAAGATTCGATAAATTAAAAATTCTGACATTAAACAATTCAAATCACTAAAATTCTGTTGAATGAGAATTATTGATAAATTAAAATTGGTTTAAATTATAATTCTTTTAAATTTTAAGTTGGATAAAAAAAATTTGGTAAAATAAAAATTTGGTACCTAAAAATCATGTTAAATAAAATTTCGTTTACAAAGAAAGTAACTCAAATACTAATTTAAAAAATGAAAATTCGTCTAAAAAGAAATTCTGTCAAATGAAATTCATACAAATGAAAATTCTAGCTAATGATTTTTATGTGATATCATGCGCCCCAAACAAAATATCACTTTTTCTACAAATAACGGAAATTTATTTATCCCTAGAGGTCGGAAACTTAAATTTAAACTCTGTGAACGATTTTTTTAAAGATAGTTGATCATATTCTAATTAAAATTTTTATTTAGCCTCTTTTTGACGACAAAGCATAATATATATATGTATCAACTGCGAACTAAACAAAGAAGGGAATTCAGGAGAGATTTTTTTTCTGCGCATTCGCAGTAGAGAAATAAAACTTGATCAACGCAGAAGCGTTTTAAATTCAAGGAAGATCAGCTGAGCGATGTTTATAACGTAATCGTCAATGGAAAATATTTACAAGTACGTTTAAAATTACCTTTCAATTTTTAAGTATCAATTTTCAA